TATATTCTATCTATCTATATATGCGATCTATTTATATAGTATTTATATATAGTCCTAGCTCTAATTATATTGGGTATAGCTTATTATATTACTAATAGATTATAAGCTCGAATAGTTATTAATCGAGATTTTAGTCTTTCGCTATATCTATTTATCACCGCTATAGCTCTAAATACTAGAGAACGCAGCCGTCTCGAGAATTCCATCGAAGGATACTCGGGGGTAGAGCTGTAGTAGACTAGGGAATAAGATCGTTTATTCGCTAAATAGATAGCGTTATTAACTAAGGGCCTTTCTTATTTAAAAAGAAAAGAAAAGAAGGAAGAAGAGGAGAAAGAAGATCTTCTACTCGATTTAAATAATTTACTAATAGTCGATTTATTAAAGAAATTAAATAAGGGACTTATTAGTAAACTATACGTTAAAATAAAAGTTCTAAAGGATTTAAACTATTATCTATAAATCTAGAATTATTAATAGTTTTTCGAGGAATAAAATATCTTTAAAATAGTGTTAGAGGAATTATTAATATCTATATAATTCGATAGAAAGCTAGTTAAACGATAAACTATTTTAGATAAATAAATCGCTATACTAATTAAAGATAATATTAATCGAAATTAGAAGAGTTATATCGCCTATCTTATTACTTTTAAGTTTATATAAAATAAGCTTCGTCGAATTTATGAAATAAGTAATAAAGAACATCTTCTAATTATATTATAGAAGTTTTTTAAATATATTAAGTTAGTAGACTAGACGATTAATTAAATAATAATAGATTTATAAAACTTATAAAACGAAGTTATAAATTTAAATTCAGTTTATATATTATATAATCTTACTATAGCGACGATAATTATAAATACTTATTAGAAGAGTAAGTTTAATATAATTAAATATAACTTAAAGATTAACGATAATCTTACTATCGAAATAATTATAGAATATCTACGAATTATAAAATAAGATAGATAGATTAAGAATAAAGGCTTATTTATATATAATAAACGAAAGGACTAGCTAGACTAAAGATCTTCTAGAAATATAAGTAAGATAGAATACTATAGCTGTGGGAAAATCGGGTATTATAAGAGAGAGTATTCGAATAAGAAGAATAAAAAGAATAAGAATTATAAAGCGAAGGATTTAGATAAGCGAAATCGTGAATTAAAGGATTAATTAAAGGATTTAAAGATATTTAAAGATAGTAAGCGAGGATATTTAGATCGTACTATAGTAGTAGCGAAAAAATTAGATAGTAATAGTGATATTAGCGATATAAGTAATATATATAATCGAAAGAAAAGCTTATAAATAATTAGGGAAAAGCTAGAGCCTATAGATAATACACTATTAGTGAAGAATTTCTTTATAATAGTAGACTTTTTAGAAGATAGTAGCTAACTAATAGACTTCGAAGCGACTCGCTATATAATATTAAATAAGAAACTATTTATCGACTTATAGTCTTATTCGAAAGAAGTAGAATTCGATAATTAAGATAAGTTAATAGCGATAGATAGAGAAATTATTCGAATTCGTATGAATAATTATATATAGATTATAATAGATGCTTTATATATTTCGAGAATAAATAATAATCTACTATCTATTATAGTACTAAATCGAAAGGATTTTAAGATATAATTCGAAAATCTATATATTAGAATTATTAATATATTTATAAACGAGACGGTAGTTGTTAAGGAATCATTATGATTTGACTCATATATGTGTGTGGTGTAAAAGATGTTGAGTATCTATGTACGGAGTAGTCTGCAGGCAGATATGTGCGGTGCCAAGCCTACGCTAGTGGCCCTATGAGTATCCCTGAGGCATCTCATGACAATTGCCCACAAAAAACAGAGAAATGCCATGTCCTCATGGCAAGAAGTATGCATGCATGATTTTTCGAAAAACCGGAAAGGAGTGGAGACACCGTGCTAATTAGTGGTGTGCATCCCACGAAATCTCCTGCTGGAATGAAAACTTTTGAATAGTACCGGAGCAAGACATCGGACGGTTTCAATTCGTCCAAATATGTATCGTCCGATCTTCCTCCTGCAGTGGCCCAATTGGCTGTGATCGTCGCAGTAGATCCTTCTCTTGTATCGTCAACTCAATGATATGCCATATCAATACGATATCGCCGAGGCACGCAGAGATAGCAGGCCAAATTGTAGTGTCATTCTCCGCTTGCTGAGTGGCGATTTGACGGGGGATTGTGGAGAGGTAAGCCGTGTTCTTGACGATGGTGGCCTTGTTGCCGCTTGGTTTCTCCGCCGTGTTCTCCGCCGTGTTCTCCGCAGTATTCTCCGCATTTGCCTGTTGTAGTTCCTCCTCTTGTAGAGTATCAGACTGAGTGGCTGACTGAGTGGATGACTGAGTGGCTTGCTGAGTAGCTGACTGAGTGACTGGCTGTAGAGACCTTCTCGTATATTGCTGGCGAGTCTTCTGATTCCGGTGCTTCTTCTTCTGCTGTGTTGCACGGACGAATGGACACTCCGGTGATCGAGTAGCGTGGAAATCGAATGGATTATCACTATCCCAGTCACAAGGATCAAGACCGCATAGTGAGCACACCGTTAGATCCGGGGATGGAAAAGTAGGGTCGAATTCTCGATGAAAGCCAGCACGGGCTACGTCAGAGGCACTTGGATATACGTGTGGCCATGACGTGAATGAGGCAAGTCTTGCAGCGTATGAGTTCATTGTGATATCGACAGGCCTATTGAAAGGATCGATTTGGACGGTGTCAAAAGGTACTCGATGACTGCGAGTGTGTTGGAGGTCCGGCTTGGAGCGTCACACTATTAGGTGTTGATGTGGGCTTTGCGTAAACGTCTGATGACGCCTGGATATCCTATGAAGTAGGGCCAGGTGTTGCTACCAATTGTTAAGGAATCATTATGATTTGACTCATATATGTGTGTGGTGTAAAAGATGTTGAGTATCTATGTACGGAGTAGTCTGCAGGCAGATATGTGCGGTGCCAAGCCTACGCTAGTGGCCCTATGAGTATCCCTGAGGCATCTCATGACAGTAGTAAGGGATTATGTGAGGAATAGCCTATATTAGTTAATCAAATCGATATTTAATAGAGTATTCGCTTTTAGAAAGTCGGGACCTTCTAATAAAAGTATATTTATATTTACGAAATAAGGATAAGTCGATTATTTTCGATTAATATATTAACGATTAAGTTATATCGAAGCGTATCGCCTAAAGAACTTATATTTCTATATAAGAGGTATAGAGGAAATAAAATTATCGGATAAATTTATAAGACTTATACTTAGCTAATTAAACTTATTTATAAGCTTCTAATTAGAGGCCGTAGTCTATATAAATTATTTAAAAAATAGATTATTATATGATAGTAGAGAGAGTAAGTTATTCTATAAACTATAGTTTAATAAGATATCGAATATTACATCGTCGTCACGAATCGAAGAAATTAAAGATATACGGGATTCTTAAATAGAGGGAGAAATTTCTACTAACTCTTTAGAAAATACGAATAATAGTGAAGATTCGAGATTAAGTAGTTTAAACGTATATTAAATTAAATCGAAATTTCCGCTAGACCTTTATAAAGCTAGAGAGACTCTTAATATCTTAAATAGTAAGAAAATAATAAACTAAGGGACGGTATCTGAGGTTAATATTTAATAATCTATTATATCTACACCTATCTCTAACCCTTCTAATTATACTAAATAACGTCTTATATCTTAAACCGCTATCTATCTTAGAAGAATAAACTAAAGAATTATATTAAAAGTTTGCGTTATTTCTCTACTTTCTCTGCTTTCTCTATAGAGATTTTTTCGAAGAGTGATATCAACTGTTTGCTCTATCATCTCTGTCTTCTCAGTGGCCAAATGAAGAGAGAGTGTTGATTTTGATGGCTTATGGCTATTAGCCACAATGTGGCTGGGGGCTACAGCCATATAGCTATGGGCAAATATAGCCATGGGTAATATAGCTATGGGCAATAGTAGCCATGGGTGACATAGCCATTGGCAACAGTGGCCATGGGTGACATAGCTATTGGCAACAGTAGCCATGGGTAATATAGCCATGGGCAACAGCCATATAGCCATGGCTATGGTGTGCCAGGGTAATCAGTCTACTTGGCGCATATGTGGAACTAACACGCCTGGAAGGCTGAAATGGGACCCCCAAAAAAACCCATTTAAAAAAGGCCCAAAAAAAAAAAAAAAAAAACAAAAAAAAAAAAAACAAAAAAAAAGGGGAAGAAATATTTTAAAAAAAAAAAAAACCACACCCAAAAAAAAAAAAATTTTCTTTTTTTTATAAAAAAAAAAAAAAAAAAAAATATAAAAAAAAAAAAAAAAAAAAAAAAAAAAAAAAAAAAAAAAAAAAAAAAAAAAAAAAAAAAAAAAAAAGGGGGGGGGGGGCTTAGGCAGCGATGTGCGAATGCTTCCGCCGATGAAGCGCATTTGTTCTCTAAGCAAAAACCTGTTGTGGAGGATAGACGCGGTGAACCGAAAAAGGGGGCGGGGACTGTTCTTACTGATAGGTGGTGAGACTGGAGTACGTTTCTGACGGCTTGGCGCCAAGCTATCGGCAGAACTTTAAGACTGGACGTATAACATACTTACTCGAAATAAATAGGCGGTGTAAATTGAGAAATTTGACCGACAGAGAATATCTATTCAATGTGTTTCACGACCACAGCCTTCCCTTATCGTTCTCGTTGGTGCCTGACTAGCAGGTCACATAGGTGTGATAGACCTTTCATCCGAAATTGCAGCTGCCAAATAATACTACGGTTCGACTGTCCGATTCATATCATCCCAGCTATATGCTCGCCACCAGGCACATATGACGACGCAATGGCCTCTTGCCAGATACCTCTCCAGTCTATGTACTTGCTACTAGCCACATGTGATGTTCCCACGATCAATGTCCATCTAAGCAACCTCCAGGATGGGGATTGCTGTCCTACCCATTCCGTGCTCGTAAACAATTTAGGAATAGGTGGTTTGAACACCTAACCTACCGTGTGTAAGACGGTTGCTCTACCATTGAGCTAATTTCCTCATGTTTGTTTCGCGGTTGCGATCGCAATCTAAACATGAGATAAAAACATGAACTCATACCCGTTTCGTGCTCTATAGGATCCGTATATCCACGCAGTAGACGAGCCTACTGAGCTGTCGTGGTCGTTATTAAAATGTCCGAAGGCATACTGCGCGCCGACCAGTAAAACTAGAAATATGCCAATGCTCGATACAAGAAGGAGAGTAAATCAAGTTGACTAGTTGTGTAGTAGGCGTGAGGAAAACTCGCTGTTTCAGCTCGTCTGAGCTCTTTCCGATCGACGTGGTTGGCGGTGCTTATGATATCGCACGTGGTAGAGCAGTTAGCTGAGTTATAAAGATCTCCCTAACTATGCTCATATTTATTTATACGTATCTTGGGACGGGTCTTTGATAGGTTTCGCTAACATCGTAAGGCGCTCTCAATAAGAGTGTAGAAATTCGTTTTCTTGAGATGTCGGATATGCGCTCCCCTCTCGGAAAATCAAAGCGTGCCTCTCGGTCAAGGTCATCCTTGGCCTGACGGGTTACCTCCAACTTCTGTTATAAATACTAGGCACTGGGGCTCTTGTCGTCGGTCGTGCATGTAGCTGACCCGATCTAGATATATCCGTGTCCCGCATCGATATAATATTGAGTTGAAAAGAAAGGGATTCTATCGAAAGTCCACTCTTCTCAACGGGATGATACTACTATCATGTTTTGCTTTAGGGGTAATGACTGAAGAAATAGCGAATTTCTTAGGCAAGAACTCTTTTGTGGATGTGATTATTCGACGACATGTCGCTTGAAGTGAGCACTTTTCGATTGCTTTGACCACCTAATAGTGCGTAACCGTGGGTGCTATACCCATCGTGTGTCAGCATAGAAAAGGTAGAGGTCCAGTTTAACAAGCAGTATAACAATGTATCGAGGTTAGGCTGGTCTGTAGCTGTTGGTATCTTATCCTGCATTGGGGGTGGTTGTCACTTCAGGTCCGCTGAGATTGCAACTGAAATGTCAAAACTTTGCCAACACTTAGATCACTTCAGACTCGGAATGCACATTTTGGCTATACTATGTTCTTTGCTCCCCGCATCTTCTAGCGGTTTCGGCAGCGGTCTTCATTTATTCTACAAGGACGACATAAACAAGCAATCTCCTTGAAGTGATTTGAGCGAAATTCCATCCACAACGCAAACGCTGGCATCAACCTGACTCGTAACCCAGGCGTTTCGCGTTTTCAAAGATAGTCCACAATCATGCCCGACCTCAAATTGCCTGAGGCGACTTGGGGCAGACCTCCTGGCCGCACCGCGAAGAGAAAGCGCCCGGACCCTGACTTCGACATCGCCATTGACACAGACAGTCAAGTTGATCGCTTCAAACGCCAAAATATCGGGAGTGATACCATCGATCTGACTCCATCCCATCGAATACCTGATGTCCTGGGGTCGCAAGAAACGGATCCTACCTATTCAACCTCAACAAGAGAGGCTCAGCGGTCTCAGCTTCCAGCCCCTCTGCTAGATTTACTGTCCTCCCAACCCTTGCGAAAGCCATCAATATCACCCTCTTCTCAACCAACTACACTGCCATCAGAGCCTCAGTCGCCCGATTTGCCCGCCTCCGCCATATCTGAGCTTGAAACCCTAAGTGCTGACAATCAACTCGACAAGCCCAACGACAAAGGCAAGGCCATCCAAAAATGGGATCCTAAGGTGTGGGACGAGAACGAATTCGACAGCGACGAGGAGAATATGAGCCTAGCAGTCACGATGAAACTAGCCAACGAGCTCTCCCTCTTGAAGTCGTTCCTTGGGATCTACAGAAAGTTCAACATCCATCTCGGCGGTAAGCAGAGCCCGTGCACACCAATCATGCCTAATTTAATACATCCATGACTACTGACACAGAAAAAATGTTCCTAGACATTGTATCCGGTCCCCGCCATAAAGGTTTCCTCTTCCTCATCTTTTCCACTGTCACTCGCCTCGAATCACACACCACGCACCTGCGCGCCCTCCGCAACGAAAAATTGCGCGGCAGCCCCACTCCAAGCACCATGGAACTCATCGCCGAGAAGATCTTTCGCAAGTCCAGAACTCGCCGTGACTACCTGTGGGATATTATGGAGGAGAAGGTGGACATGACTAATGTTGTGGAGAGAGCCATATGGGTCAAAAAGAAAAAGGCAGTGTTGGGCGATGTTATGGGCGGGCTGGTGGAGTATTTGGAGGAATTGGGAGACGAGGAGGGGTGGAAGGAGAGAGAGGTGAGGGAGATGGGGGAGAGGTGGGAGAAGAGGTGGAGGGTGTATGGTGCGATGGACAGGGCGGATCTGAAGAAGGCGGGGTGGATTCTGGATGTTGGAAACCGAGATGGGTGAGAGATATTACGATGATTATCCTTGAGTGGCCGCAGTCGATGATGCAAGGTGCTAGAAAGGATTGGAGGCTAGAGAAGTGGACAAGTATGTTGTTTTCGTCCGGCGATATTGCCTTATCGTGGACTTCACTTGTCCAATGACGGGATGTACGACATGATGCAGAGAGCCTTTGGACAGATTGGACAATGTGGGGGAATTCAGATAAAGCTGCATGTTTGTCCAACTAGCAATTGATATCAGAGAAACGTGATCTGGTCTCCTCCCCTAGTCGTTTGCTTCTCAAGCGTACTGATCTTGTGCATGCGCGAATGACATCAACAGGTTTGGATGTCACTTCTCGCATCTGGTACAAAAAATAATGCCTCGCTCCTTCCTCTCTCTTCCTCCCTTCCTTTCTTCAGTTCAAATTTTCCCATATGACTAGGAGACTTCCTTCTCGTCCAGGTCGTAACCCCAGAACAAGCAAGTTACCTGATATTATATTCCGCCACGTCCTTGCCCCTACTTCTCTTACTCCCACAGCTGCCCGAGCAATGGAGAGAGTAGGGTACCCAGCCAACCACCGTCCCTCCTTTGGACCCCGACGGTCCAGCAGTCACATCACCAGGCGTGATCCATCCGACTTCAACAACGATGGACACCGCACCCTCGCCGTGCGGCCAAGATACTCTGAACGAACCAAAAGCTCCGCGGGCTACGACTCCGGCATCCGTGGTGGCGTCATTTACTGCCCACCCACACGCCCGGGGCTGCGCCAGGGTCCCATGTCGGGCTCTTACATTGGAGATCCCTTCGCAGGACTCGATGAACTCCCTCGCCGAGCCGAAGTCTACGAAGTGCCTGTGTCGTACACCTCTGACCTCGACGGGATGCGAAGTAGATCCTCGACCCAGACTTCCCGACCGAGTTCCAGGGGGTCTGAATATGTGTACACCGAATACGAAGACGACGAGGAGAGGGAGCGAAAGCGGTTTTTGGGGACGGAGCTGTATGGCTATGTGATGGCCATGCGACTCAAGGACCGCCTTTTGGAGGTGCGTCAGGTCCTGCAGTTGTACAAGGACTTCGATCGTGCGAGTGGAAGTAAGTGTAGCTATCCCTAATGTCTTTTCAAGAAGCATCGTCACCAGGCGTATGGAGGCATTTCTCTTACCCGGAAGGCATCTAAAGAACCAGCAGTGACACGTTCCTCAGGTATCTTTGTGATCGAGACGCAGAGGGACTTCATCGAATTGATCCGCCAAGCGATCGAAGCTACCAGGGAAGTAGAAAAGCCATTGCGCAGATGGGCCGAAGCGGGGAAAAGCAAAACCGAAAGAGGATACTTCACCCACAAGCTTCTCGAGACAGCATCCGAAGTCATCAGACTCTGGCAAAAGCGTTTCGATTGGATCAGAACCCGCTCCGACGAGATGCTTTACGCGCACGGTGCAAAGGGTTCCAACACCCGACCGACGTACACCACGAGGAGGGAAAAGTGCTTGTCTTCTGTTGACGAGGCTTCGATGCTTCTCAGAGCGAGGGAGATGGATGAGATTATGGAAGGAGTACAGGAGTTGGGAGATAGATTGAAAGGGGAGTGGAGACGCGATGGGAAGTTGAAACCGGATGAGATGATAAAAAGGAAGGGTATGAAATGGGGGACGTTAGTTGGGACTGGGAGGACTTTGTAGCGATCTTTACCGTAGCTCCGCTCGACCTCATGTCCGTCTTTGGACGTCTCGGTTTTTGCCTACTATGTCAATGAATCATGTCTTTGATCTACTCTCTTTACCAACTTGGCTAAACAGCAGCCCACAAGCAGAACTCTGTGTTCATCACAACTGACTGCAAACACCTCGTCGTTGACAAAATCTGCGTTGTCGACCGGATCTTCTCAAACCGAGCGGCATCATTTCGCCGGTACGAGGACAATCTGCGCGAACGGCGATGATGGTTGAGACTTTCATCCGAGTATATAGCCACGGCGACGGCTTAGCGTTTCAATCGTTCTTTCCTTCTGTACTGGTATCAGCGAAATCGTTCCATCTTTGGGAAAACACAAGCCGTGGCGGCAAATCCTGGAAAGGAGTCCAGCAGTCATCGTATGGACTGATCTTATGATGATACAGGCTGAGACTCGACTCCGCGGCCCTGAAAAGAATTATGCCTCCGGTTCCACTCTGCCAGAGCGTAAATTCTTGAATGAAGACGATCAGCGCTGTCTTGGAGACAGCACTCACATAAACCTTTTTTCGCTCAGGGATCCCAGCGAAGGTTGCGCTCGTTGAAAGAGGTCCTCGAAAAAGCTACCCGTTCTCCAGGGAACACTCCAGAGAGAGAACTCTCGAGATTCTCATCATCAAATGGGCCATCCACCTGCCAGCATGGTAAAAGGCGCAATTTATCCCAGCTAGGTTGACACTACGGCTAAGACTTGGTTGTTGGAGATGACGGCTGTAAGCGTTGGCGATGCCTCCTAACTTTCCAATTCCCCTGATTTTACGCTGGAGCTGTGTTCGACCACGCAATGACCGATCGTTTCGTATCTTCAATCAGGACTCCCATGACTGCTGGGCAGACGTTATATTGAATGGCACGATACAATGAGCGAAGCAAGGGATGGCGCTAAATGATCAGAACAGGCCCTGGAGGACTTGTTGGGCAATCTCTACATGTTGTTGGCGACGCTGATATATGAGTTGAATAGGGTCAATTTCAAACCGCAGCCGAAAGTTTTGTCAACGATGAGACTTAGGGATGGAAGAGGGGACGGGAATAACGGTTCATTGTGAAGGAGGCAATGTTATAGGCTGAGCGAGAACTTCTGAGAGAGGAAAGGGACGTTACGAGGGCGGCCAAAGAGATTGGACCCCTGAGCCAATGAGAGGAGAACATATCAAGATCGACAAGCCTTTATGTGAATACAGGAGGAGCACTAACATGGAGACAGTAGGTGACATGTTTAGCATCTTGCCCAATGCTACAAAGGAGACCGAGGATGAAGTCGAGAGATTCAAAGAGATATTTGTGGAAACATGCAAGACGGTCGAAAAGCTAGACGGAAGCTAGACCTGAGCGAGGGAGAACCATGACCGTCTCTGCGAGGAATCACACAGGGTAGACAGTGGCCAACGAGAGGGAAGATACCTTGGCTGGTTAGCGATCCTCGATGCTCTAGACTTGCAGGCTCTGGGCTCTATATTCGTACAATAACCTATCAAATTACTTTCCAACATTCGTAAACCGCAAGTATGGCTTCACTACCCTAACCTCCCCAAACTTCTTCCTCGCATCCTCCGTGGATACGCTTGGCGGTACAATAACATCATCGCCAGGTATCCAGTCAATCGGTGTCGTGACACCCTTCCCATCGCCAGTTTGCAACGAATCGATCACCCGTAGTACTTCACTTGTATTCCTGCCCGTGCTGGCCGGGTACATCATTGTCAACCTAATCTTCTTCTGGGGATCGATCACGAAGACGCTCCTTATAGTAAACGCGATACCCTTCTCGTCTTTGTTCGTCACGTCTTGGGCGTCAACCATGTCGTATGTATATGCTATCTTGCGATCGGCATCTGCGATTATGGGGAACTGCAACTTGGTCTTGGATGTCTCGTTAATGTCGGCAATCCAGCGGCCGTGGGAAGAGAGGTCGTTGACGGAGAGTCCAATCATCTTCACGCCTCTCCTGTCAAACTCGGGCTTCAGTTTCGCAAAAGCTCCAAGCTCCGTGGTGCAGACTGGGGTGAAGTCTGCTGGGTGAGAGAATAAGATGGCCCACTTTCCGCCGAGCCATGAGTGGAAGTCAATATCACCCTGTGTGGTTTTGGCGGAGAAATTGGGGGCTATGCTTCCTAACCGTAACCGTGGTTGCTCCTCGGTGGCTGTTGCAAGTCCTCGGCGGAGGAAGGGGGAGGTAGAGGGACGAGTAGCGCGAAGGGAAAAGTTCAGAGCTGTCAAAGAGCGGGGAGCTGAGCGAGTAAGGAATAATGCCATTGTGACTGATGTGTCTGGTACAGAAACAGTATTTGACCGTATTTGATATGGGGAGATGATGCTGGGGAAGATTTAAAAAGTTTGACGCTTAGAAATCTATCCTAGATGGCGTAATGCGGAATTCGCTCCGACAATCCTTGGCGACGGTCTTGGCAACGGTCTCTAAGTATACTTCTTCCTACCTCCAGATCAGTCTTCAGTAACCCTGTGAATGTTCCTGAATCTGTTACTGGCGTATGATAAATTATCACACACGTGCTGCTTCGCTTGTCTCCAAGTTTGCACAAACAAGTCTTTGCCTACTCTGTCCCTCTCTCCCTCTTTCTCCTCTCCTCCCTGTTCTTCTCGTCATCGAATCGTTTACAAAGTATCAGAACAATCTGTATCACTAAGGTATCCCAAGAATCCAACACCATAAACAGGTGTCCAAGGAAGCGCCAAGCTTCACAGGGTCCTGTTGCTTCGAGCCAGATTTCCCGGATCTATTGCACTTCGCGCATACAGATTTCCCAATCCTTCTCCGATAACCTCAGATTAGCCAAACAAACCTCTCACAGCCTCACCAGCAATTGGCACCTCATCAACCATGCCTTCCTCCAGCAAACAGCCCAGCAGCTCAACCAGCAAATCTACCTCGGCAAGCGGCCAGTCGGGCAAAGGAGCAGGCAGTCAAGGAGGCACGGGCGTTTCTCCAAACTTCGCCCAGAGCTACGGCTTGAAGTTTCACGACCCGAAGGATTATGCGGAGGCTCAGGCTATTCAGCAAGCGTTTAGGGATCAGGATGCGAAGCAGGGCGGACGTTGAACAAAGGCACCATGGATATGCGGCCTTTGGTGATCAGTGACGTCTTATGGTGGGCTGGGCCGAATGAGGGAGGAGATGTTGTTGGACTGGCAAAGTTGGAAGACGCTGAGGACTTTGGTTGATACATTGGGTGTACAACCCAGTCAACAGTACAAAGAAAGTCATTCTCCCATGATCCCGGTCTGGGTTCACGCTCGTCTTCGACTCCTGATCTAAAACATTTGCATGCTCTGCGTATAAACATAATTCGTAACCCTTATACACATGATCTCCTCTCCTCGAGCCTCGAGCCTCGACCCTCCTCAATCCTCCACAATCCATCCACCCATTATGTACAAACCCTTCCACTTATCCTCGCCTACTCCTCCCCCAAACTCGCCCTTACATTCGCCCTACATCTCTTCCTAAATTCTTTCGTATCCTCTCTCCATAATCTCGCCGCCTCCACATTCGCCGGACTCTCATCATTCGGACTACTCAGCATACTGATCACGCTCAAGAGTATTGTTTCGGGCGTTTGAACCGGCGACCACCGTTCGCTGGCAGACTCGTACCCGTATGGATCGTTGGCAGGCGCATGGAGGATCGAGATGCAAACGTCGCCGGAGGGATAGACTGTGTAGGACAGCACGGCTCAGCAGGGACTTCAGTAGTGAGGAAATACGACATACCGTTTGGGTGGAATATCGGTGTCTGGAACGTCATCTTGGGTGGCAGATGTGGGTATTCGGGTGGGAATATGAGATGAGCGCGGTAGAATCCTCCTGTATCTCTTCCATCAGCCTTCCCCTTACTCTTTCAACAGCAATATTCCGGTACGTACCGCCGTAGTACTTGCAGTCGTCGGAAATCATAAGCATGACCTCCCACTCGAAGACGTTACTCCCAATGAGACCGCAACTTATGCCGGGAATGTCCTTATCGCTTTGCATCAACTTGAGCTGGCGACTCAAGAGCCCGGAGGCTGCTGAGCTCACCATGGCGGTGTGTTCGGAGCCCAGTAATATCGTGTTGAGGAGTTCAGCACCGGATTGAGAGGTTGATGGGGCATCATGCTCAAAGTAAGACAAGGAAGCGTCGGACCGAGATGCGGACTCGGGGGGTTGTCGGTTGCGCTAAATTCATGCAAGTTACCTAAGGAGCGCTTTCATAAATACGACACAGGATTTCGCTGTTAGTGTTCAAGCCGAATCTCAGATGGAGCACTTCTCAATAGAAACAATGAGCCATCGTCCTGATCGATCACCTTTTCTGGTATTGCTACATCCACAACGCTCCATTCACAATGACCTCCCTTACCCCGAATCCCACACCCTTCCAAGCATGGCTCATCTCCCGCAATGCAGACACGCTCCTTGTTCACTCGGCTGTAGAGATCGAGTATATGATCAAAGACCCAAGCCATCACATCGAATATCTTCTACCCGATAATTACATCTCCTTGCTCGAAAACAGCTGCAAACGCTCACTATAGCACTATTCACTTTAGACTCCGTTGATGGACCAATGCTGGCGTGATACGCTGGTTTCCTCTGACGAACACGGAAGCGGTACAGCTACTCTTCAGCTTAGAAAGGGTCTGGGACCCCATCTTCTGGGTTCACGAGGGAACGGAGGAACACGAGGAGCCTTTGTTCGGCGCTTGTGCGTATTGGCCAGAGTTGAAAGAGGCCCTTGGGTATGAGGTTTGGACTGACGAGCAGTTGGCCGAGTGGAAGCTGAAGAGCGGGTATGGTGCCTAGTTCACGGACAGCTCATCACGAGAAGCCGACTGAATTTGCTTTGCGTTATCCATAAATGAAGATTAAAATACAAGTAAGCCCTCAAGATTGAGACTAAGGTGTGAATGCTGCGGGCCGGACAAAGCAACTCCGTCGAAAAATGGAAGACTGTCCAATGCTAGCTATACAAGATATTAATTCCACCAGACATTATGACCACTCTGAAACTAATCACATGCACTTTGATTGCCAAAACAAGAATGGGTATCTTGTCAAACTAAGGAGTCATAACACATGATGATCGCAGCGATTTCTCCGTTACTCCTAGATTAGCACACGTCTCAACACTAATCCCATCACGAAAGCGCTAACGAAAGCTGAAATATTTGGCATCAGGGCGGTTCCAAAGCTCTTCCTGGTTGCGGAAGCTGCAAGTCTTGTTGTAACAGTGGTGACCTCTGGTGCAACGGTGCTTCCTGGCACGGTAGTCAAAGCCTCGGCCATAACAGACCCAACGGTACTGCCGCCCGTGATTGTCAAGGCTGAGATTGTAGTCGAGATGACGGAAGGCGAAACCGTTGTGCCAGGTATCGTGGTGGTATATGTGACCTCTTGACCTAATGCCGTTACCGGTATGGCACTACCAACTCCTGAGGCAGTGTCTTGTGTAGGCAGCGTCAGAGTCGCAGTGTTTGGAGGAGTCGCGGGCGTGCCGTAGATATTGCCTGATGATCCGTCCCCCAGTGTGTAGTTTCCCGTGAGCAGATTCGCTGTAGAGCCGTCGGTCGAGGTGTAAGAACCGTCATGGACTTGACCGTAGGATCCGCCAGGGAGAAAGAAGTTCGTGGTATAGTTATCCTAACAGATCAGCAATTGAAAGGCAAGAGGTTCAGTCGTGTGCTGCTTACATAGCAAAAGGAAAGCTCGAAGTCCTGGAGAAGAAGACAGATAGTTCCATCGGCACCTTCAATGAGGATCAGTACCAACTATGTTGGTCCGGACACCAGACGCTTACAGCACAGACTGCCTCCTGATGCGCGGGTCTCAATCGCGCAAGTGTCTTGCCCAGCCTCTCGCTTTGCTAAATTAGCGCTATCGAGGGTGTCCACGACATCGACAAAGAGAGAAGAAATTCCAGTGCCAATCGGAGGTTCATTTGTTGTAGCGGCGCCTTTGGGGCTGCATACAGTGTAACTGCTGCTGCAAGCGCCTCTGGCATGCAAAGTGTCATCGCATGCGATAACGTGGGCGTAGGAGAGGAGAAGCAAAATGAACGTGGTTGATGGAAGCATCATGAAAGCGAAATTGGTTGATGGATTGGATCGAGGTCGGTGCACAAACAAATCGATGGAAGAGTGGAGGTTGTAGAAGCTTGGGCGCTGAAGACGGAAGTATTTCAAAGAGTGTGTGTCCTATCACAAGTGTTGAGGCGCAAGGTACAGATGCGCCGTCGCAGGAGGGACATAGATAGTAAACCCAGCGGCGCATAAGGGCGGCAATTTCGCAGCCACCGAGCCAATCCCGTCTTCCGACACGGTTTTGTGGGGAAATGGTCTTATCTATATTTATTTCCATTATTTGGTCTGGTCTTCGATCCACGAATACATCCGACGTCTCATCTACGAGCACATCTAGAGAATGTGGAAGGTGGATAATCGTCAGCCTTACGACGATAAGATCCAAATCTCAACTAGGGCCCTGGATTTCCCCACAGAAAGGGACGCTACGAGACAAGCTTAAATCTATTTGGGGACCAGCATTCTGTTCCTAACTTCCTATCGCATCTTACCGCTGTAAAGAACTCACGCCCGAGGTCTACTGATAGAGCCTCAAGCTATCTATGAAACCAATAGCAAGATGATATAAAGTCAACCCTAGCTCAGAAGGAGACTCGTTTGCGAAAAGTCGAAAAATGTCGTCTTCTATGACCTTCACCCTCATTTACTGGTTAGCAGGTAAGAGGGTCCTTCTCTCGCACACGCAAGGAGCTGGAGAGGTCTCCAAGCCAAAGATCGCGCCATTGAAGGTCGGCCCAAATTGCCAGAGTTACCAGCTTCCGAAAGTTCCCTTCATGTCTCCACCGAATCCAGACGAGTGCTACCAAGAATCTCAATGCTAAGGTCAAAGCAATGTCAAATATGATTCACGGATTTCTTAAGAATGATCGGATGTATGCCGTTGCCTCTGGGTACCCTAGCAATGGGTCACTGGAGCCTTGCGCTGCCGTAGGGTATCCCATTCGTCGATCGTCAATCTCATCAAAACGATGTGCCCTTTACGCCTTGCTGTACTTTGCCCCCTTGGCCCCCAACATCACACCGGTTGAGTTCCGTCATGCATGCATGGGTTATAAGGCTTCTCTGCGGAAAAGGTGCCCCTTTGATGGGCCTAAGACTGACCTTATGGATGGTACCGCGCTAAAGCAGTCCCGCAGTACACGCCCCAAGAGATCCTTATTGGGAGGCTTCCGAGGTCAGCCAGTCTATAGTCCCCACCACTGCCTCTAAAGCCCCTTCCCAAGGTCACATTAGGTGTCGCTATCATCACCACAAGCGACAGTGCAAATGAGGGTAAATGTGCAAATGGGGGTGGAAACGAGTAGCGCAAAGCGCTAACCTCATGCGCTTAGCAAGGCTTGGCAGATTGTAGAACAAAGGACCTCGCTGGCAAAGGCGGATTCGCAATGTGATTCGAGATGATACTGATCATCTAGAAAGTCAGAATTGCATTTCTTTTGAGCATTTCAAAAGCATCGGCTTCATTAAAGGAAGACATTAATGACATTAATGCCTCAATATTGGCGGAGAAGTTCGCCTCGGAAAGGCGGGATAAATACATTCGGTATTGATTGGTGGTGCTAGGTATCAGCCGCACACTAAAAATGTCAGAAAATCAATAAAGAGACGTGACTTTGGATTTCATCAGTTGATTTTTTTGATTTGTTTGATTTGTTTGATTGGAATTCAATTTTGGCTGATGCTTCTTCTCTTCCTGTTGTAACTTGTAAAGCTTTTTCATGGAGTTGCTCCCTGTCGCGCAATCAAAGGACCAAGGAAGAGAACAACAACATGAGGACGATGCATCCACCACAAATCTGCTCGCCCCTCCACGCCCTCAGTCTCAGCGCTTTCATTCTCACGACCATCAGTCTTCGCACTCCAACCGCTCTCAACCACCAAGACTGTGGCAAATTTCCTGGTGGCTTCTCACCATAGTCCTGAGCGCTTTCATTCTTGCCACGGTCAAGATCTACCATTCTCAGGGTAACTTTGACTCTGCGCAGAAGCATGTCTTCAATACCATTACCACGGCTTTGATTCTAGCTTTGGGTCTGAATTTCTTCGTAAGCCATCAAGCTCGCGCCCTCAGCGATATGCAGTCAGACTGATCTATGTCCGGCTTGGCAGGAAGCATTCAAATCCTTAGCTAAAGGCTACAAATGGAAAATATTAGAGCAGGCATATTACACTCGTCAAGAGAAGGGATTGATTTCCAACATCGAGAACCTGACTGATGTGCTGGTCCTTGGCTGGGAATCTCTCGTAAAGCCTTACAGGAAGCCCTGGACGGCACTGTTGTGCATCGCATGGGTGAGAACGCCCCCAAATTTACTCACACATTTGTTTAACATTCTCTCATCGAGAATCTGTCATCGTGGCTTGTTTACTCAAGATGCTCTCAAATGTTTTCTCCTCCTAACGCTCACTGATTTACGCCCTAGATTGCCATCAACATTGTAAGCTTGCCTTTTGTATTCGCATCTGCTTAGCTTACGGAGGTCTTCTTTAAGCTCGCGCAAGTTTCAGTCGCAATGATCAGTCTGACATACAGCGTCGTGGATGGCACAACCTGGAACAATACGTATACAAGACCCGGTGTCGCCAGCGCATCCAATTTGAAATGCTACGCTTTCGGTCCCAAAGGTCGTTGTGGTGAAGGCAACCAAGCTCGGGCCCATGCGTATGGAGATATGGCTTTGGCATTCCCTTGCGGCGCCTACAACGATACCTCACAGATATTAACGTCCCGACAAAACTCCCGCTATTATTGCCGACGGACCCGTCATCAACAGGAATTTGCATATCGCTTCAACGAGTATAATCTTAATGATACGCAGCAAGCATACCCAATATTTACTCAACGAATCGTCACAGCCTCGGCTGGACAATGTTTCAACTATACAATGGTCGGTGATCCTCGTGATCTACCGGATGGCAATGTCTTCTACGAGTATAGCAATGGCACCTTCAGTAGCAACATTACAATCCCTGGTCAAAGTGGCGCTTGGGATGGTACTACGTATATCTACAGAGGATCCAAACCTCCAGAAGAAGCGGAGCTATATGCATGCGGCCCTCGGTGTTTATGGATGTGGGCCCACAAATCCCACGGTCATGGCGAGCCATCTACGTTCTACCAGTGTCCCATCACCGTAAACCCAGTGAGCAATACATCGAACGATACACAGCAAATCTCAGACGGCATGGCCCGTCTCGCAGCCGCGTCAATCGCAACACAAGGTCGCCCCATCAACGCAAACGTCTCGAGAGAATATCAACTCTATGCCTTTGGGTAATTGCAACTCTCTCATGATCCCCCTAGGGCGGAAAATGGAGCGCTGACTCTCTCTTCCAGGTCTCACTGGGAGGTGCACTTCAAAGAACCCGACCAGGTCGGCGCGAACATGGCCGAGTTCGCAATCGGATCCATCTCCACGATGGCGTGGACGAATCCTCGAATTCCAGTCAAAGGCTTGGTGCCTTACCTCGGCAGTCACGTCGAAGTGAATTGGTATTACCTTATACCACTGGTTGCCGGCATTAACGGCGCCCACCTAGCGCTCTTCATGTTAAACATTTACGCTACATAGCTGAACTACAACATATGTACCGAAAGAGCCGGCGTGAAGGTCAGTACGCAGGTACCTATCCCTGCGGGTGCGTTTAATATCTCTAGAAAAACGCGATCAATTATAAAAAAAAGGAAAAAGTTCTTATATAACTTTACGTATTTTTTAAATTATTTTAATAATATAATTATAGAAATAGAAGTATAAATAAATAAATCGAGTATTTTCTTTAAAAAGAATAATCGATAATTATATTTTTTTAATTAAATATATAATTATTAATTATAATATAAATAAAAAGAATATTTAAATTTAATAGAATAGATTTAATAGTTACTTCGTAATTATAATTAATATTATAATATACGTAATATATAAATATTACGTATCGAGCTATATATTAAAGAAAAATGAAATTGAATAAAAAGGGTTTGCCTTAAATGGAACACCGTATTAGCCTTCCTCCGCCGTAGTGAGCGGGGAATCTTCGGGGAGCGGATAAATTTAAAAAAAAAATCTGTTGTATTTAAGCGATTTACACCGCTGCAGGTTCCGCTCAAAGAATTTCAGTCACTGTGTGCCATTCTTTGCCAATCCATCCTAATGACATGGCCGCATGATTACGATACTCATTAATCTCGAATACGCATCAGCCTGGGGAAAGGATAGATCAAAATGGCTTCGAAGAATGAGCGATATCGCGTTTTACTCGTTGGCTCTGGAGGTCGAGAGCATGGTAAGTCAGTCCATCTCATCACTTTCCGGCTTGGCTTCGTGGTCTGTTCTGCTCCATGAAACGGCAGTAGGGTGCCCAAAGTCATGTCAGGCGCTGAACGCTTGAACACTTTGACGACTTCGCTACGGATGGGGACTAGTCCCACTACTCAACGCTTTTCATCGTTTCTTAATAGTAAGCAGCAATGGCGTGACTTTGGGCATTTCCCTGTGGAGGCGGTGGAACTTATGCTGCTCACCGCTTCCTTTGGCGATTTGACATTTTGTCGATGGGCTTTTTATAGTCAATCTACCAAACGATTATTCGGTGTGTCGTGTTGTCCGCCAGAGGCAGATTGACTTTCACGATTGAACTGTGGTTGTGTTACAATCTTCTACTCTGGTTCTTTGTATGCGTCATCTGACAAAACAATGACGATTAGCAATTGCCTGGAAGTTGGCGCAATCACCCCTACTGGAGAAAACCTACGCATCACCCGGGAACCCTGGCATTGCGAAAGAGCCGAAGACAGAGATCGTTCCAAAGAGCGAAGTAAGCCCCGACGACTTCCCAGCGCTTGTAAGGTTCGCTACGGACAAGTCCATCAACCTGGTGGTAGTTGGCCCAGAGGTGCCAATCTGCAATGGCATCGCGGATTACTTTCGCGCTGTGGGCATCAGATGCTTTGCGCCATCGATACGGGCAGCCCGGCTGGAAGGTTCGAAAGCCTTTTCGAAAAACTTCATGATCAGAAACTCGATCCCAACAGCAAAGTTCCAGACGCACAACGACTATGAAAGTGCCAAGATGTATCTTGATGAGGTAAATTTTCGAACCTGCCTAAAAGCAAGTGGCCTCGCTGCGGGTAAAGGAGTCCTGCTGCCATCGACGAAAGAAGAGGCTCACGAAGGACTCAAGGTAATTGAATTTCCGTGTCATTTTTCCGCTTTCCGGGATGCATTTCTTAAATCTATCACAATGTAACAATGCTGATCTCGAAAATTAGGATCTGATGATCGAAAAAAAATTCGGTGGAGCTGGCAACGAAGTTAGTGGTGCCTTTTCTTCCCTTTTCGGACCCCTTGCCCCAAAATTCTATCCCAGAGTAGCAATACTGACTTCGGCAACTACTAGGTAGTCATCGAACAGTACCTTTCAGGGCACGAAGTTTCTATCATCAGCTTCTGTGATGCATATACGATCAAGAGTCTTCCCGTGGGGCAGGATCATAAAGCAGCGGGCGATGGAGATAGTGGACCCAATACGGGTGGTAGGTTATTTCTTCAACACTATCGCCATCCTTTTCAACTGTCTTTTGGAGCTATGAATCATGTCTCAGAAGCGTGAGCTCTCAAGATCTGCACCACTGGCCCATCCTCTAATCCCCAAATCTATATACTGACTCCGCTTGAAGGAATGGGAGTCTACTCTCCATTGCCAAAGTCAATCATTTCTGACGCTCTGCTCACGAAAATACACGAGACGATACTTCAGCCAACTATCGACGTAGGTCTTCGGAATCCCCTTTCTCCATATTGTGGCCTAAAGATGGGTTCTGCGACATGTCTCGGAAGTAGAAGCTCCGTAGACATGATTCACGACTCTTTTGAGCCCTTTAGAAAGCATTCATTGACGCCGAAGTCTTCTGCAGGCTCTTAGAAGAGAACGCATGCCCTTTTGCGGCTGGTTGTTTACTGGTTTGATGCTTGGTGACAATGGAGAAATCAACGTCCTTGAATATAATACGAGGGGTAGGCGTTCGATTTAAGTCCTGAACAGCCAGTGCTTACTTTTCGAACGCAGGCGGTGATCCCGAAATCGAGACTCTACTCCCTTTGATGGAGTCAGATCTTCTAGAGGTTATGGTTGCATGTACCGATAATTACCTTGACACTGTCGATGTTAAATGCAGCAATGCTACAGCAGTGACTGTCATAGCCGCAGCCTCGGGGTACCCTGGCCCTTTTGCAAAGGACGACCTTATATCCATTGATCATAGCGGTAAGCAGAAATTCCCTTTTTTGAATATGAAGTGTGATTCGTTTTTTGAATATGAAGTGTGATTCGTTTTTGTTAGAAGGTTTCAACTCTACAAAGGCGAATCTACGCTCTCCTATCAAAAGTCCCTGGGCATTAAACACTAAGTAGGTCTCATCAGTACTAACATTCCAATAAGCAATCAATCCCGAGACCGACCACATATTCTACGCCGGCACCACTCGCGACTCCGCTGGCCAACTCCTGACATCCGGCGGCCGCGTCTTCGCAGCCACAAGCACCGGCCCCACCCTCGAAGCCGCCCTCCAATCCGCCTATAAACTCATATCCTCCATCACCTTCAAAGGCATGCACTATCGTACCGACATCGGCCACAAAGCCCTTCCCCACCTCAAAAACACCACCACCACGGCCAAAGACGTCCTTTCCGTCTACGCCTCCGCCGGCGTCTCCATCGAAGCCGGCAATACCCTGGTCAAACAAATCTCTGGGTACGTGAGATCAACAGACCGGCCAGGCGCATCAACAGAGGTAAGTGTTTTCCGAGTTACATTTCCATGTTCTTTGGCCAGACTCGAGCTTTTCTACCAAGCAAGTGTCTAAAGTTATACCGGTCACCGTGGGCTATCTCGGATTGACGTGAAAGAATTGGATTGTCCGGCCATTGTAATTCCACGCTTACATCGTCGAATCCGCGAAGCAAGCAGGTGCAGTTCTGGTTAATCCCTTTGTGGTGCTGCGACATGTCTCGATGTAGGAATCCTTAAAAGAGCAATGCTAACACTCCTCTATAGCTAGGTGGTTTCGGAGCGATGTTCGATCTCGAAGCCGCCGGCTACACTACTCCACCAACACTCGTAGTAAGCTCCGATGGCGTGGGCACGAAGCTTTTGATCGCGCAAGCGGTGGGAAAGCATGATACCATAGGGCAAGATTTAGCAGCAATGCTATATAACGATATAATCTGTCAGGGCGCCGAGGTGCGTTTCCTTATCTACTTTCCCTCGCGGTGGACAGAATACTCGGGATGCCAAGACGAGGTTTGATCAATCGCACCCAGGCGTGATGGTCACTTTTGCTCGCTTTGATGGCTCCACGTTTGAGCAGTGGGCTTTTACGGCTTGGCTAGCCCGTTGACTTAACGTCATTCCGTGACAGCAACGCGATGACCAGCGTGGCGATGGCATCGCGACAATCGTGTCTACAGCGCTCCATCCTTCTCTTGGTTGTTTGGTGAGGTGCTCGTACTGACATGCTGCAGCCCCTCATGATGGCAGACATCTACTCTTGCGCCCACCTCGACATCTCCACCGCCGCCTCCGTCATCCGTGGGATCTGCGCCGCGTGCAAACTCGCAAACTGTGCCCTCGTGGGTGGTGAAACCGCCGAAATCCGCGGCATAATCAAAGACGGCGTTTACGACGTCTGCGGCACGGCGATTGGAGCAATTAGGGAGGGGGATAAGATGCTGCCGTTGAAAGATGAGATGAGAGCCGGAGATATTCTCGTGGGCTTGGCGAGTAGTGGGTGCCATAGCAATGGCTTCAGCTTGATACGGAAGATTGTTGAGGGACAGGGGCTGAGGTATAGTGATCCGGCGCCGTGGGAGCAGGGGAGTGGGAGGAGCGTGGGCGAGGCGCTGCTGGAGCCGACGAGGATTTATGTGCGGAGCGTGCTTGGGGTTGTCAAGAATGGATTGATCAAAGGTACGTGGAAGTCTTCCAAGCGTTAGCGATGCTATCATCATCAGTCATCGAGATGATGATGAAAGCTTTGATGGCTTCACGGTTTAGCAGAGGACGGCCACGAGTTGAATGGCCCAATGGCTTCACGTCATTTGTTAAGACTAACATGGCAAATCAGGAGCTGCGCATATCACGGGCGGTGGCCTTCTCGAAAACATCCCCCGAATGCACGACAAGAACCTTGCCTCAGAGCTTGACGCTGCGACATGGCCAATCCCTAGCGTCTTCAAATGGCTCAAGAAAGCAGGGAGCATGGACAATGACGAGTTTGCAAGGTACGTCAAAACACCGTTAGGGGTGCCGAAAGTCATGCGCCTTCCTATCTTACTCGCTTCCACGATTTGACGTTTTGGCCATGCGTGTCCATTGGGTTTGCAGTCCAACGGCTTTTGGTCAATTCGTAGTTGGGACTTCTACTGACTGCGCTATCTCTAATCAGGGTGTTCAACACCGGCCTGGGCATGGTGCTCATTGTTTCTCCAGAAAGCCAAGAGGAGGTCCTCGAAGATCTGGAAAAGGCTGGCGAGACAGTATATGTAGTTGGCAAAATGGTGGAGAGGGCGGACGGAGAAGGCTGTGTCATTCAAGGGATGGAGATATGGGATCAGTAGAGGATTAATACTATTAAATTATTAGGATGCCAAGGCCCTGGAACTCCTCAGTCATATGCCTGCGTTCCAGTTGTCGCTCACTTCAACGTTTTGACGGGGGGGTGACGGTGGATGTCCGTTGGTATGACAATTCACGGGCCAATTACTGAATCATACCCCGAAACATCAACCCCTTACAAATTCATACCCCAAACTCTTTTGCATACCCCTGGGGGGGTATGAAGTAGTAATTTGCCATGCTGTCGGTGTATGAATTTGTAAACAACTTGCAGTTCTCATATTTGATAGAATATGATACAAAGCCTCTCGCGCCTTGAGAGTTATGATACTGTAACTTCTATATAAGTTTGTTCTGTAAAGACAGAACGTTGATCTAGAATTGAGATTCAAACCATCGAGCAGAGACAGGAGTGGTCTTCGCTTATAAGGATGAGACAGAAGATTGCAAAATCACGTTCAAAAACGATGGCTCCAAGCTTTCCTCGGGACTATTGCGTGCATGATCCCCCCATGAATTGTGCAGCGTAGCACGCTAGAGGATAATCTTACACTATTTCACAGATCCTTACTCCTTTCAGAGAATCTAAGGAGAGATATGTCGCAAAGATTAGCATCATTTTCGCGTGGATTTCGAGAAATTGAACATGTCGGTTGTCAACCAAATAGCTTTTTGTGCTGTAGTGTACCAAATTCACAACGTTCCTCCGCTGATCTACAACGAAAAAGCCAGCACGCAACGGGGTAATCGTTTGCCCTTCCAATACCAAGCCTTCATCCAATACTGTATCACCCGACCCATCTGCTAGCGCATGTTGGAGGTCTTTTTCAATGACAAAGCCTGGAACGCATTGTAAAGCCACGTTCTGGCTTTATGTGCGATCCGTCTATGGTCTGGCTCCTGATGTTCGACTGTCTCCATTGCATCATCGTAGGTACCTTTTAGTGTAGTAGAACGAGTTCTGAGCCTGTTCCATTACGCGTTTGACAGAAAGGCCAGCCGCACTGGCTGGGGACTCGACGTGAAGGCGAGCAAGCAGGAACCCTTGATTCAGTTGGGTTAGCATGGATGGTGAGAGAGAGTAGTTGCTGACATGTTCTCGGCTGTATTGAAGACCCTTTCTTTGATGAGGATTCACCGTACTTTAATATGATATCGCCCACGGATTAGGTCCCAGGCCAGCTGGGTCAATCCAGGGCGAATGGTTGTATATTATAGCGAACATACTCTACCTAGATTAGATCGCGATGTTGTAACAAATTATGGGCTCACGGCAGAATCCCAGAGTGCTCAGAGTCGACTCTTATATGATTTCTTCACCTTAGCCTAGCGTATTTTAGAAATATGCGGGGGCGGGAACGGCACGAGCCTAAGATGAAGTTCCCGGCCTTCCAGGGCAGAAATGCAGGTAATTAAGATCTGCGGGTACCGTACCGATCCCCATAGCGTACCTTGAATTGGTAAACCTCTACTACTAAATCATAGACCCGTGGTACAAATATCGTGAATGTCCAACACATTCGACGTCCGGCCATCATGCGCTCCTTGTTGTGGCATTGCGCACTCGTTACCTCCACATTCGCCTTATGGCCTCAACCCAAGCAATTCGAGCATGGCTCGTCAACCTTGTGGCTCTCACCCAATGTTCAGCTCGTGCACACAAGTAGAACGGCCACGTCTCACCCTCTCGAGTGGCTCTGGACTACCGTGGAAAAAGTGATCTTGTGAACAATCTCCCAGTACTCCAGTCATATCTTTCGCACTGACCCCAACACAGCAGCTTTCCTCATAATGGCATCACGCCAACAAAGGGCCAGATTTCATCAGAAACTCTGCTCCAGTCGGCATTTGAACGTATGAAGCACAACGTTCTGAATCATAGCTTCGTGCCTGGGAAATTCCATGCGAGAGACATTCAGTTCGAGCCGGCCACAGATGGCTCAAAGCGGTACATTGAGCAGCTTGCGATTGAAGAAGACACGCACAATGGCTTGGCGGATACCGAGCGCTTGGACAAGTCCGAGGCATACGCGATTGAGGTCTCTGAGGATGGTAGCGCAGTGATCAAGATTGCTTCCCCAGCTGGTGGACTACATGCACTTGAGACATTTGCTCAACTTTTCTTCGCTCATTCCACTCCAAATGCTGGCTTCTACACGCCATACGCTCCTCTCACGGTTACGGACAGACCAGCGTTCGGGCATCGAGGCCTCAATTTGGACATTTCCCGCAATTGGATCCCACCCGCAGATGTAATGCGTACAATTGAAGCTATGGCCTCCAACAAGCTCAATCGACTGCACATACACGCGACCGACGCCCAGTCGTGGCCTCTCGAAATCCCAGCCCTCCCAGATTTAGCTCTCAAGGGTGCATACAGTCCATCTCAAATCTGGCATACAGAAGATTTGGAGGCTGTCCAGCGCCACGGTACGAATTACGGTGTGCAAGTATTCGTCGAGATCGATCTGCCTGGCCACACTACATCTATCGGTATTGCTTACCCACACCTCGTCACCGCCAAAGACGTGCCATGGTCTGAGTACGCCCTGGAACCACCATCTGGCCAACTACGACTCAACTCTTCCGAGGTCCCACCTTTCATCGAGACCCTCCTTACCGATCTACTTCCCCGTACCGCGCGGTACAGTTCCCTGTTCCATCTTGGCGGCGACGAACTCAACTTGAATGCGTACATGTTAGACCCGACGGTCAATTCCGCCTCTCATCAAGTCCTTCAACCGCTAGTCCAGGCCTTTATCGATCATGTTATCTCCCTGGCGACATCATATTGCCTGACAGTAATCATGTGGGAAGAAATGGTGATCGACTGGAACCTCACCCTCCCCAAAAACATCATCATCCAAACGTGGCGAGGCAGCGACGATAATGCTCTCACTTCCATTTTGAACAAAGGATACAGAACCTTATTCGGCTCAAACGCTCATTGGTACCTCGACTGTGGCCACGGCTCCTTCATAGACCCGGAGTCTGCGAACCCAGACAGCCCTGTCAAACCACCCTATCTAGATTACTGCGGTCCGTACAAAAACTGGCGGCACATGTATGCGTACAATCCAGTAGCTCATATACCCCAAAGCCAAAGACACCTAGTCGTGGGCGGAGAAGCTCATCTGTGGGGCGAGCTTACGGACAGTGTCAATCTGGATGGCATGCTGTGGCCAAGGCTGGCGGCGGCGGCAGAGGTGATGTGGAGTGCCCCTGGAAAGAAGCCCGACGAGAGCACGACAAGGAGGTTGGCTGACATGAGGGAGAGGCTTGTGATGAGAGGGGTTGGCGCTGGGGTTGTGCAGATGGAATGGTGCCTAAGGCATGAGGGCGGCTGTAGGCTTTGATGGACGAAATACCCATGCTCAAGGCCTACCTTTATGTTCCTAGCCTACGTACAACAGTATGAGCAACGATTATGCACACCAGTCATGATCGAAATCATCTTTCTGAGAACTCCCCCATTGGTTATGACATAAGAGATACACATGGATATCACGACTTTGAGCTTATGAGGATGATTCTAGCCAATGCACGTTCTTCTAAAAATAAGCGTGGTGCGGGGCAGGATTGCGCGAGGCTGAGAAGCAATGATCCATCAATCAACCTCGAGAACACACCTTCTCATATATATATCGTCAGCCAGATATGATCGACCCTGTCACGATCGTGGGGACTGTTGTCGGAGTTGCATCACTGACTATACAACTCACTCAGATCTTGCACGACTACTGTCAGGGTGTCTCTGACTCTGGAAGTGATGTTCAAGGGCTCCTTGCCGATACACAACAGCTTGGTCAAGTCCTCACCAAATTGGAGGATCTTGTCAGGAAGGACTCGTTGAGGCTATCCCAGTCATTCACGACCACATCGACCTTGTATCTTGCCAATGTTCGCTGCGAAGCAAGACTCCGCTCTCTCGTCGCCGACTTGAAAAAACATTCGCAGGGATCGCAGGCTCGCCAAGCGTTCAAGGCGTTGAAATGGCCATTCAAAACGCAAGAGACGCGGAATATTTCGGCAGACCTTCATGGATACACCCAGACGTTCCAATTTGCTCTTACCCTTGACGGTTGTGAAATCCTGTTGAAGACCTCTGGAGATGTCTCTACAATTCTCCAGAACTCGCTTCGCTCCGCAACCATCACAGAGGAGAGTGCAGAAAATATCGGTCTGATTCTGGCGATTGTTACACCACTACCTGAGATGACGCTAGCCATACAAGAGGATGTGAAAATTCTGATTGATGAGAACATCTTGAAATGGCTAGGTGCAACAGACACAAGCGCGAAGCACCAGACGGTCAAGAGGAGGCGATCACCAAATACTGGGCAATGGATATTTCAGGACAAGTGCTATAAGAAATGGGAGAACGATGTGTCACCTGTCTTGTGGGCGCAGGGTAAACCTGGCGCAGGCAAATCTACTTTGATGTAAGGCAACCCCTCATTACTACCGAGACCTATGTTTCTAATACCAGTAGGTCCTGCATTGTCGATAAGCTCAAAGCTGATGCTGGCGGCGGCGAAGGCGTGGCTTCTTTCTACTGCGATTATTCGCAGACGTCAGACGTGCAGACACCCGAAGCGATCTTAGCAAGCTTTTCATATCAACTCCTCCGACGGCTTGACTCTATTCCCGTCGAAGTAGATTCCATCTACCACCGTCATCGCAGAGAAAACACCAGACCAGATCTCAACGAACATGTTGAGATACTCGAACACATTTCGACGGCGTTCTCCAAAGTATGGCTGCTTATCGATGCCCTTGACGAATTTGATTCAGATTGTAGAGACGATCTGGCGAGGGTCATCGAGACTTTGATGACTTTCACCAAAGTACTAGTCACTAGTCGCCCACAATCCATCGATAGCGAGAACCTCGAAGGTCACACTCTGCGCTGTACAATCTCCGCCCAAGACGAGGACTTGAAAGTCTTCATCGAGAGCAGGATGACCACCGCCTCCCGAGGCATCCGCGAGAGTCCTGGATGGAACGTTTTCGTCAGCGATGCACAGGATAAGCTCGTCACGCTGGCAGATGGAATGTTTATACTTGTGTCTCTCCAATTGGATATGCTCCTAAGACTACACACAGTGACAGAAATGAGAAGGGCCCTCGAAACCATACCCGACAAACTGGATGACTTCTACAAAATCACACTAGACCGCATCAGAGCTGGAAAGTCAGATAAACCACTCAAGATTCTTGCCTGGCTAGTAACGTTTCGCCAAACCATCACTGTTGGAGCATTACGGGAAGCGCTTGCCGTTGAAGATAGTACAACGTTCATCGACCCGAATGCGATGATTCCCGAAGATGATATAGTACCAATGTGTTGCGGCCTGGTCTTAATCCACGTGGACTTCCTCACCGGTTTCAGGGAACTCTCACTGGCTCACGCAACTGTACATGAATATTTGTGCAAGAACCTGGAAATGGTTCATGGCTTTGACCGCATCATAGCGAAGGCATGCGTGGGATATGTAAATCTTTTAAACCTCTCCGCCGAATCTGATACCCACATCTATAGGCACCCATTTTTTTTCTACGCCATCAAAAATGTTCTCGTGTCAGACCATGACATGGAGATCCCAACCATGTGCAGGCTTTTAAGTAGATTTATGAATCTTATAACAACACCTGCCACCCATACTAGAGCGCGAGATCAATTCGGATTGGTTACGGGGCGCGACTGCGATGGAAAGTTCTCGTCAGCGTGCTGCTACTTCTGCTGGCTTGAGCGCTGATCTGATCGACGTCTCCACACTTTCGGTGGACAAAGCGACTCGTTGATGATTAGGCCATTATTGAAGGGCTTCGAGGGCAACATTTCTGGCGACAAAGGCGTCAAGAACTAATTCGATTATACTCAGACAATGGTTTATAGAGCTTCGCACCAAAGAAGGTGCCACTTTTCCAAGGATTGTATTACTGCTATGGTGTTGTTGGGAGCGGATTCCTTGACTCGGAACGATGTTCTATCGGTGGCTGCTTTGTAATTGTCCCGCTTGATATCAACAATTGCGTGGAACACCGGAAAGTGACCATGGGATATCAACCAATTGGAAATCACCCAATTCTGGAGGAAATGCCATACAGTAACGATGATATCAGGGGGCGGATTCGCTTGCGCAATATGTATAGACTAGTCTTTGCTCCCCATGCCCACCTTCTTTCCTATATACTGCTTTCTCCACCCTTTCTATAACCATAAGACTTCGACCATTCATAGCCACAGCCACAGACCTATCCGCTGGCCCATTCTCTCGCTCCCGAGAAACCTGTAGTCGTGATACATGGACGCTGCCTACCCTGCGGCTTCCCTGTACTTTCTCCTGCGACCTCCTCCTCTCTGTGCGATCTCCTCGTGTCTTCAAGATTCGTCCATACCTTACAGTCTTTCTATATCATCAGGCCTTCCCACACTCTAAGGGTTTTCTATACTCTGAGTTTACCACGTGTACCATCTGATGGTGTCAAAAGGACACTGTTCTTCCGATAGTGGCGAAACGCGAGTATACGTTTCTAGATCTTTCGGACAGATAGTATATAATAAAGTCTCTCTGACGAGGAAGTTCTTATCATCGAGATTGAATATTGCTTCACCTGGTGCACCCCTGCTTAGCCAGGTCACCTGACAACTTGTTAGTACGAAATGTGCCCCGACCTCATCTTCCATCAGGTCTAGGATAAGCGTCGCTTTACGTTCGCGCAACGCGGGTAAGAGTTGCGGGGATCAAGCCCGCGTGAATTCAAGTAGTTTAGGAGAGTTACGTCTTACCACAAAAGGAAGCTACTACCTGATATTATCATTATCAGGGAAGCGAAAGTCTTCACCCCGTGTTGATACATGTCCACGCCTCAAATGGGTCATGAAATACAGATACGGGCCTGGGCCTGTGCCTTGATCGGGACTTGACTCCTCCTCACCAGCGCCACAGCTTCCACTCCCTCCTTCTCCATGTCATCATCAAGGGAACACCAAAAGACCCATCCATTCCTCGTTCAATTTGTCATTTGTTGCTCAGAGTGTTAAGGATGCATTGCAATGGCTGAAAGATAAACCGGAAAACACGAATTTGGATTCTTACTTAATTGGGTTGCTAAGACAAGCAGGCGGAGAAGTCAGGCAAGGGGATTTTGTGTAGAGTTGGAGACAAAGAATTGGAGGGGGATGAGCTGACGCGAGTGCCTTATGACGCAAAACCGAATATTTTAGGAGTTGGGGGAAATGGAGTATGGCAGGTGGGAAGACTTGTTGGAAGGGATGGGGGAGTACACCCCCGATGTGTAGATTGCTAGGGTGGAAAGGACATGCATGACTTTCTTGATCAAATGGATCGATGAACGAAGATGAGATATTGAGATGAGTCTAAAGTGACGAGGTTTAAAATTCTCATGGCTCCCAGCTGCACCGATTGACGATATTGACTAAACGACAGGCTTGCGCTCCAAAGTCGCGAGGTTTGTCTCTCTGGTCAAGTTGAGGGGTAAGGTTATGTCTGATGATGTTCGTCTGTAGACCAACTGTGGCGCACCCATTTACGCGCTTTTATACGAATGCCAATGGAGATTGGTAAAAGTTCGTCAATGTTAGCATACTTTCTACCCCAATAGACCCAAGTCATTGCTTGAGGCGAGTAAAATACTGAGACTGTGCAACCACCTTGAGTAGCAAAGCAGAGGTTACTTTGAGATTATGTCATCGAATTCTCCCAACAATCGATTGAAAGTGCTATAATTGACGACGTATCCTTCAGCCAGGCACTGTCGGATCAGTGCTCACTTCATGAGCGCATGAAATTGATGTTTCGCCGGCATACCGATGTCGCGCCGCCATAGCCTGTAACGCAGCTGTCATATCTGGGATAGGTCGATCACCGTGGCCAATGACCGAATCTGACCAGCTAGAGCCTAATTCGACCGTTATAGACAAGAGGGTCAGCTGTACCGTTTGAAGGGCGCAAATTCTTGCCACCATCTTAGGCGGGAGTGAAACTCCAAGCACGTTCTGCCTTCTGGCGAAGTTGGCATATTGGAGGTTATCTTTGTCGATGATCTCTAATTATCGTATAAATGCGGAGATAATGAGATCTATCTGGCCCGGTTCGAAGGTTTTCGAAAGTTGACCACCGACATATTCGTAGTCCCGGTAGGTGAGTGAGGTTTCATACAGCATTTCAGAAACGATCGAAATGTAACGTTGAAGGACGGGCAGATCCGTAGAGTGGATTTGTCTCTGCCTCCAAAGCTGGGCCTCTCTGTATAATGGCAAGAATATGTTACACAGTCGAGGCAAATGACATGGTAACCGAAAGTTTAACTTGCTTGCTTTGGTCTGTGGCACCTTCAACCGAACTGCGTACGACGGGTCCGCCTTCGGAAGAAGGCGAATATTCTCGGGTTATTTTGCCTTTATAATCAATGAGGACCTTTTTCTCCTCAGGCAGATTCGGCCAGCCTTCAGCAACGTACTTAGAGACTAACCTGTTTAGCTCGATTTGCAAAGCTTTAAGACACTCAAGCGGTCATCAAAGCCTGCATCGCTGTCGGGCTCCAGCCCTCGCAAGTTTTCTTGCACATCCAAAGCATTGAATTGGGCGGTCTTTGCCGCTCTGCAGATGAGCATCTTTTCGATCTTACTTTAGCCAGTTGTAATCACTTGAAGGACAATAGAAACGTGCGAGACTGTCGAGCGCGATGGCATGAAGCTTTAGCGTTGCCGCAGACGGGTGTTTCTTGAGGTACGACCTGAGGATGTTTCGAGATCGCCAGAGCATGCCAATCATGTCGCTGTTCGCAACTTGGCCATGAAGGAGCCTAAATTGCTCTCTCACGAACTGATCCTGATACTCAGCAACCCCCACCATAAACTGTTCTGCTGCTATTCTAGTTTCCAGTCCCAATAGCTCGGGATCGTTGACTATGAAGCCCATGACCTCATTTGAATCTCGAAAAACAAGGTGATCATTCCAGCCGACCGGAACTTGTGGCTCAGCGAGACGAGAGAGGTTACAGTAGTCTTGTCCGGATTCTTCGGTGCTCAGGTGGACGCGACGATAAGCAACGTACAGTGTACCAGAATAGGAGTTTGCCTTCGTATAGCTGTCTCGAGCGTCATTCAGCAGTTGTAGCCCTCGTTGACGGTCCCGAAGCTTCACAATCATAGCTTGGTTAAGCCGGGTCTGACCTCGGATCTCCCAATCATCTTCGACTAGGGATTCATAGAAATCATTGTAGAGATTTCCTCGGATTTGATAGCTTTCACGAATGTCATCCACAATCAATAAAATATCAATTTCAAGCCATTTCAATTTTTTGGATCGCAGAAATCGTTGTAGGCAAGTCACTCTTTGGCCGAAGTTGGCCTCATACGGGTAGAAACGTTGCTGTATGAAGAGCAAGCGAAGTCTTATCAACCAAAACTCCAGCCAAATATATAGTTCAGTCAGTCAAGCAACTCCTGTCTAGACAGACAGAAGCAAGAAACCTTGCCCCTGCCTCGGGGATGAAAGAGTCGCCTTCGAAAGGCGTATTCGAAGCCTGCTCGAGATTTTTCCGATGTTGGCGAATTCTTATGAAATTCGCATCATACAAGGAGCTTCCCGTCTTGCAACTAAGATTCAACAATGAGCTGTATTAATCGAAGGCAAGATCATTATCTTACAATGTTAGTAAACGGAAACCGCCTCGACTCGTTCAAGGAAGGACAGCGCCTGCTCGAAATCAACAACACGTTGAGTATCGACAAAGTGTGAGATCAATGCTAGCACCGTGATATCCTCTTGGTAGATCCATCTTGCGTGGTCGCTGTAGATATCACCGAAGAATTGATAATGGCTCTGGCAGCACGGATATGGCCATAGACTAGATACCAACGCGCAGCAGACGTCGCTACTACCGACGTAGCGAGCAGCTTTGGTGACGCGCTTCGAGTATTTTTCGTCCACCGTGGGAACTCCTCGCCGATACATCAATTGATGGAGGTCATCTGCAATGACTTTCGTGTGATTTTCGTTCTGTCCTACCAAGAACGATTCGAGATAATGCAAAAGCAGGGTTCGTCAGAGAGCGAGACTAGCTGCGGACTTCGCGTGAGGCTATGGAGCCCCTACCAGGTGCTGCCCAGAGAGGAATCCAGCAAGGCGGCGAGCTGGAGGAAAGCTGGCAGCCAAGAAGCTGTCCCGATCTTCCTCGAAGAGCTTTGGCGGAAGAAGAGGTCCTGTTGGTGTACCCTTATGAAGTTGTGGCTGTCATGACCACTCGCGCAAGGTCGATTATGGTTAGAAAAAAGTCACTGATGATATGAAACGGCATGAACTACCTGTACGTCTGATACTCCTTTATCCTACGAAGGTCGGCACCAAGACTCTTGCGCCAAGATACCGGATAACGCACCGCCTGAAGGATTGCCTGAACAATGCGCTTAGAGCTGCATCAAAAGTGTGCCTAGCCTCAGCCGTGCCCCTAAGATTATCAGGTCAAGAGATCACTGCAGGGTAAAAGTCTGTAGGGCCAAAGTTTGATCATTGCTGTGCTTGCATGATATCTGAGCTTGTACTATTTTCGAGCTTGTCCTCTTGTACTTAACATGCGCAGCCGCGAGCAGCATCACGACCGATTCCTTCCTGCGGTCTTGGTTATCTTCAAGCAAATTGATTTGTCGCTTTACCCATGCTCACCTAGCTCACTCGCTAAAGCGGCCACACATTTCTCATGCCAAGCCGGGAAAAACTGCCATTCCAAAAATCCTCCATTGAAAACCTCACCAAACAATTGCACAGCTCTCCAAGAATACAAGCATGGCCGCACCACCGACTTTACCGGCTCTCCTCACCACCCTCACCGACTCCTTGGCCTCCGCCCCCCCCTCGCTTCCCTCCACCACGAACCTCGCCCCACCAGCCGAAGGCATATCCCTCCTCGACACCAAGAATGAACTACTCCTCTCCTACCTGCACAACCTCGTCTTCCTGATAATCCTCAAACTCCGCAACCGGTCCTCCCCCGATGCAGCGGACGAACCCTCCCTGCACGACGCCGTGACCCACAAACTCGTCGAGCTGCGCATATACATCGACAAGGGCGTTCGCCCGCTCGAAAGCCGTCTCAAATACCAACTCGACAAGCTGCTCCTCGCCGCGTCCGAAGCCTCCGCCGCACCAGTCGCGAACAGCGCTGTCGAAACATCTCGGACTTCGGAACGGCGCGGAGCCGAATCCGATGCCTCGGCCAGCGACTCCGATGCCGAATCCGCTCCACAACCAGCACTGCCAGATCTGGCCCACCGCCCCAATCCATCCGCCTTCGCTCGCCCCTCTGGAACCAAAGCCGGTCGTGCGTCCGCTTCCGATGGTTTGTACAAGCCCCCACGCATCACGCCCACCGCCCTGCCCACTACCGATGCTTCGTCCCGCAAGAAGGAAGTCAAGCCCCGCAAATCGCACACGCTCGATGCGTTCATCCGTGAGGAAATGGATGACGCACCCGTCGCGGAACCATCTATTGGTACGGGTAGTGGGTTGAGAGGTAGAGAGAAGGAGAGAGATGAGGAGAGGAGGGGGTATGAGGAGACGAGGCTTGTTAGGTTGCCGGGAGACAAGAAGAAGAAAGATAGGAGGAGGGGGGAGGGCTTTGGGGAGGACTTGGCGGGTGGGCTGGGCGATTTTGAGTTTGAGGGACTGAAGGGCAGGGGTGGGAAGAGGAAAAGGGAGAGGGATGGAGGGGATGAGGGGAGAGTAGGGCAAGCATGGGAGAAGAGAGTGAAGAAAGGAGTCGGGAGGAAAAGGCGATGATACGACGCTGTACAATTTTCTTTTCCTACGCATGATTGAAGCGTCTCTGTAGGCATGCAGCCTCTGTGTGATAGCTAGTTACGGGGCTCTGCCGCTACACAAGCGACTTTATGTGAGAGTCGCAGTTGTCTGTGAACCAAACATCTCCTTTTCCTAAAATGCATCGAATGAGGCAATCAAACATAACGATCCATCCTGGCCCTCCTCATATTTAGTCTCCTTATGCTTTCAATTTGCAGGAGAGGCTTGGCCATCAATCCCACCGTCCATTCCAAACCCGAGTAGTACGACAACTTTGTCTTCCGTCTGCCGCGAACACTGCCATTTCAGCCTACTGTATGCAATTTTCTTCCTTGCTTAGCTCGATTATTGTTTCTGGCACATTCACAGGCGATGGCAGAACAGCGACCACCTCATATGGAGTACAGAGCCAAAAGGACAGTCGCACCCGCTTCCAGTGCTTTGTCTTTGGTAAATTATCCAAGCGCAGGCTGTGGGTAATGCAAACGATAAGAAGAAATGCATCTGGGAAGACATTTCTGGGGGTTTCCATCAGACAAAGCGGTAGGTGCGGCAACCGATGGCGTATAAGGGCTCGACTCTCAAGACAGTCCGTTACTTCAGACGTGAGCAAGAGAAGCTGACAGCAACGCCACCCCAATAGGCAAGCAAGGCGAGGTGACTTGGTCTTCTTCTATCCTGGCGCTGCACCAGCTGGTCTCGCTCCACTCAAGTTGACCACCATTCCTGGTCCAAAAGCAGGCGCTTTTCTCTCCTTTACCCATCCAGGCACTTCTTTGTTTGCCCTCGCTTTAATCACATCCCAAACACGTGGAAACCCCACCTGGACAGGACGTGCGTCTTTCACGCCCGTTATTGCGAACCGATGCTGTGCATGGCTGATGAAGCCATGTAAAAGGCCTTGCTCGATCAGTGAGGCTACGATGGATTCGATGATTTCCATATTTGGTAGTAGCGGAGGTTCGGGGTCGACGACATCAGCCAGATCGGGATCGACATAACTGTAAGGCGGTTCTGCGTCTGCCTCCTGAGGAGGTGGTGTTTGGGCCTTTGGGAAAACGAATATCGCATTGGTGTGAGTGCGTTGGGTGCCAGTATGGCCGTTCGTAAGCCCGTTAGATTTTGGAGTATCTTCAGCATAACCGAGTACCCTCTTTTCGAGGAGTGTAGCTAGCGTAAGCATATCCTGAAGCGAAAGCGTAGGCGCTGCTTTTCTTGTAACATCGCCTTGGGAGGTGACAGCGCCTTGAGACCCGGAAAGTGTAAATGTTCGGCGTGCTAGGGATCGCCAGACAAGTACTTCGCAACGATTCGAAAGCTGCAAAAGTATGCGTTTTTGAAGGAACCATTCAGCATGTTGGGCGTCCAGGTCCATGTATTTGCGGAAAGAGGCAAGGTCGCCTTTGGCAATGGCCGCGCATATTGGCTGGAATTTTTCGGCAAGGCCTGCTGCTTCGGGCCGCTGGAGCAGTCGAGAAGATGGAAACCGGCCGAGTATGATATTTGAGGTGGTGAGATAGATAAAGATGAGACGGCGCTGACTAATGCATTGAGCATGGCACTGATCGTAAGCCGTTTGAAGAGCGAGTTGAGCCCGGTAGAAGTGATTGTTAGCGAAGAGATAACGTCCTAGGTAATAAAGGAAGGTGACTCGTTGAGCAGCGGGGAAAAGACCTAATGGGGGTGATTGCTGGTAGATGTTGCCAAAAATCTGTTCCGCGCTTCGAAGTTTTCGGCAGTGAAAGAAAAGCTTCAGGCAAAGATTTGCCATTAAGTAGATCCCAACTCGTCTTCCTTCCGGCTTCCCGTTGCTGTCAACGCCAGACGGAGGACCACTCCGTTCGCTTAGGCACTTCTTAAAAGCCTCCCTTATCACATTGGCAGAGCTTTCCACCAGGGTTACCCTCTCAGTAGCTTCGTTTTCAACGACAGACTCTCGTTTGATCAAGTGTTCGATCAACTCGGGTCTTTTATCAAGACCAATCGCGAGTCTAGCGAGAGTGCGTGACAGTGAGACGACAGTGGGCAAAACTGTAACACCTATCGAGGAGCTCAATGCGAGGATAGACTGGCTGTCAATTTAATCAGCATTGGGACAAATGAAGGAAGAATGAATCACATACTTCAGTAAAGCTTTGAGCAAGTCGTGCGTCTCGATGAGATTATCTACATTGACGTCTCTTAGAAAAGTGAAGTACTTGACCATGAACATGATAAAAGATGTCCGTGAGCCACCATCGTCACCTTCGTCGTACTCCGGGATGAACGAGATGCATTTATTCTCGAGTGCTTTTTGACTATTGGTAGGGTAAAATTGCTTGATTTCCGAGACGATCTTGTTGTATAGAGGAGGAAGAGGAGGCTCGTAGATCAGATACTCTTGTAGCTGCGTGCCGTTCTTTTCCTTGATGATTCCTGCAATCTCACCCAAGAATTGATCCAAAGTCGGAGGACTCATTTTATCAACCACTGGAAGGAACAAAGTGCAGATATGAGGACTCTTTAGACGCTTCACGGGTAAGGTGTGTCAAGGGTACAAAAACATAACAATTGTGGGCTTGGACATCAAAGCCCACCGTCCATGTCGCATGTTATAAGTTGAATAATAAAACGTTTATCTAGAGTATGCCGAACCGAAGCTCAAGTATTCAATCATCCTTCCCCGAGCAAAGGAAGACACGGCTCGAGTACGTAAAGTAGCCTTGTAGGCTTGTCGGGTACTTTGGTACCTGACTTTAGTGCCAAGTGTTTCAGAACCCTTGCCAAGAGGAGCGGGCCGACAGCCGTTGGTTCCGTAAATGACGATCTCTTATCAACGGAAAATAATACTTAAAGTACTCTACTCCATTTTCACTTTTGTGTCCTCGATCAAATTGATCAATTAGAAGCAGTCCCGAAGTCCAGGGCGATCCTGATTATTGATCATGGCCTTTCACCCAATTCAATTCCTATACTCCATCCTTCAATGGTTCCTCGATCAGCTCCTCTCGCCAACTCCTCCCCCACCTCATGCCCACCTCAGCAGACCGAGAATTGCGGTTATAGGTGCAGGCTTAACAGGTGTTTCCTCAGCTTCTCACTGTGTTGGTCATGGATTCGATGTTACCATCTTCGAGGCTGGAGATGAGAAGAGCTTGGGTGGTATCTGGAGCGTGAGTCGAAGCTATCACAAGGCGGTACTGCCTCCACTAACTAGTTCCGTAGCAAGTCAACAATACCTCCGGCCTTCAGATCCACAGTATAATGTACCGCTTCCATCCCTCAGTCAGATGGACTGCTGGCTATCCAGACCGTCAACAAATTGTCTCCCAGATCACCGAACTCTGGAAACGCTACGGTCTACGAGAACGCACCAAGTTCAATACCCGTGTCACCTCAGTCACCCAAGACCAACAAGGTCTTTGGATCGTCAATGATCCTTCAAATGGCCGCTTCGACGGGGTAATGGCTGCTGTGGGAAGTTGTGGTGATCCTAAAATGCCTCATATGCCCGGTCAAGAAAAATTCAAGGGCGAAGTATACCACTCTTCGAGGCTTGATGGAAAAACAGCACAAGGCAAGAAGGTCCTTATAATCGGAGGCGGGGCATCTGCCGTCGAAGCTCTCGAATTCGTCGTTCACACAGGAGCCAAATCGACCTCCGTCCTCGCGCGCTCAGAAAAATGGATCATTCCTCGCAATGCTCTCGTCGACACACTCCTAGCCTTCAACATATTTGGTCAGGAAACGATATTCTCTTGGATTCCCGAGTCCCTCCTTCGCATCTTCTTCTACCGAGATCTAGACGACCTTGCGCCCCCGTCCGAAGGTCTCTTCACGGAAACTCCCATGGTCAATTCGGACATCTTCCACCAGATCCGTGCAGGCAAGGCTGAATGGCTTCGTGGTGACATTCTTGGTTTCACTGAGAACGGCATTCGCTTCAATCACCGCTCGAAAGGAGTCCCTAAGGGCGGGCCTGGTCGAGAAAGCGTCGTAGAGGGGGACATGGTTATTATGGCGACTGGCTTCGCACGACCTAGCTTGGCTTTCTTGCCGGATGAAGTGTTCAAAGAGCCTTACGCACCGCCGAACTGGTATCTTCAAGGTAAAATCTAACAATTGAATGTTAAGAAGCCATGCTAATGGGGAGTCACCAAAGTCTTTCCACCCGAACATATGTCTATCTGTGGTAAGCATGGTCCCAATGCACTGTTCGGTATTACATCTTGAAAGCAATGCTGACCGCAATCTCCTCTAGCCAACAACTGCACGTATGTCAATGCCATTGGCACTGTGGGCAATGTAAGTTATACGAATCCAACCTTTCTTTTTGGTTGAGCAGGAGACATTGCAGAAGAACCTTTTCCACTCCACTGCTCTGCTGGAACCTCAACTCTAACGCTGAAGAACGAAGGCTAAATCCAAAAAAAATTCCTAGTACCACATTGGAATCTATACACGTTTGCTCCTCATGTTTCTCGTCGATCCGCTTGCCAGGCCACAAGAGAGATGGATGAAAGCATGGATCGACATGACTAAGGCGATCAAGCGCCGTGCGCCAACCGGAGCTCTTGACTTCTTTACTTACTCTGAGTTGATGTACTGGTTCGTGTTCTGCATTGTGATCAACCCTTTTCGGTGGAAGTGGGCCCCCTTTGTGCTTTCGGGTATTGGGAGCGCGTTGCCATTGAGGGTTGTGAGGAGAGAGGACTCGATTCGGAACGGACTAGGTTTGAAGAGGCATCGTCATGAATAGAATGTTTGACGAGAATGAAGGCGTGAGGTAGATGAGTGCATACAGGGATCCATAGCATCTGTTGACCCGCGTACATAGCTTATGGATCTCCCACCGTGGAAAATCACCGGCAGGTATAATAGCATGGTATCACAGAGGATCAGCACCTGAAAGCAATCATCTAAAGAGATATAGCATAAATTGCTATTCTCAACGAGGTAATATCTTTTACCAAGCAACGCTTTCCTGTAATCATACACCTGAATGTTCTACCACCTATGTCCTAAGCTCTTACGCTCCATCGCCCACGCCCGTATTTACTCCGTCCCCAAACCTAGCACCCTCCACCCTTCACCCTTTCACGACATCCACCAAACTCCTCTGCTCATTCCCGCCCACCATATTCTGCTCCACCCAGCTCACAGGCCAGAACAGCCCCGCCCCGAGCACGCAAAACAGCGTCGCGAGCAACTGCCACGCATACACAAACACGCTCAGGATGCCGAACTGGCTCGCGAACTTGACAAACTCGTTGACTTGGTAGAGATCGTTTTGCGATTGGATCAGATACGTGGTCGGAGAGGAGTGTTTCCGAGGCACGAGGTGCAAGACCGTGACGAGGGAGACGCGCGCGGAGAAGAAGGGGACGAGCCAGACGCGGAAGAGTTGGTGGATGGAGACGTAGAGGATTAGGTTTTTCGGATCGTAGGCTGTTACCCACGGATTCCATTAGCCACTGCTTTCCGATCGTACAAAAGCGTACGCTCTATTCATATACTTTGCTCTGTGGGAAGAGTGATGGAAAGACGTACCAACGCTGTCCACACTGATCTCAATCTTCGGACTCATGATCTTGTACCAGCGGTATATGCACCATATCAACCACCTGCTGCCCTCGAAGCTGCCGGTGCGGCAGAAAGGGTGCGTGAAGGAGGCGGAGGGCGTGAAGTATGTCTCGAGGGTTTTGCGTTGGGTGGAGGGCGGTGATTGCGTGAGGAGGTGGATTACTTGGGGTATCTCTGCTTCTGTGCTCGGGTTAGCTGAGGGTGTTTGCATTGTAGATGATGGGGCTGGTTTACGTGGGTCTTCCATGACCGTGGAAGGTGGTGGAGTTGGTGGGCGTGGGACGAGGGTTTTAGGTCTTGGAGAGAGGGGATGAGATGGTGAGGAAGCACGGTGTGGAGGAAGTGTCTGAGGCTTCTTAATAGTCTCAATTGGGAGGAGAGACAAGTTGGAAGTTTGGAATTGGCGGAAAGCTCGTGATCTCATCGAAGCCCTGAAAAAAGAGCCCTAGAGCTAGAACGTTTACGGAAAACCGTACTACTGCGAATCAGTTGACAACGTGATCGATTGACAGACAGATCCATTTCCTCTCTTCTAATAGGCTGGAAGCTTGAACATGGCTGATTCGTCAACACCAGAAACCCCTATATGCCACAATGTTCTACATGAGATAGCCGATTTTGGCCTGATCATCTCTCTCCTTCACCTCCAATTTTTGTTCAGTCAATTTTGATAGATCCATAAATTCTTTGCACGAATACCCAACTCGAGAAGAAGCCGATAGTTCCTACATAACGTATTAGCTCTGTGATCTGGCCTTCAATTTCTACTCGGACTCACCAGTCAAAATGAAGAACAGGAAGCTGATCAACAGACTATACCCCACATAGAGCACCCCGGACGTGAAGCTCCCGAAGCTCAGCTTGCTAATCCAGTATAGCAGCGCATTGGCGAACACATAGAACGCGCTTGCTCCAGCCGTACAGAAAGCTCTCCATTGCCAATGATAGTTCTCACTACAAAGTAAGAAGTAGACGAGCAAGACCGTAACGGCGGCGCAGGTGATTATCATAATGCCGTAGCAGAGAAAGAGGAAACCGAACATGTAGTATACCTTGCCAAACCACATGTTGTTCATGATGAAGTATAGCTCAACGAAGATGGCGCCGAAGGGGAGAATGCCGACGAGGAGCATGGAAGGGATGGGCCGGAGGTAAGTGGTTGAGGGAGGAATTTGGCGGGGGATTTGATTGACGCGGACAGGAGGCTGGACGGGCTGAAGTAGCAGTCAGCACTGTCTGCTCTAGGTGAGCTCATGGATCTGACTTACAGCATGCCTGAAGCCTATCCAGCTACCTGCGAAGCTGAGAGGGACACTAATGACAAACCAAATACCCAGAATCACGAGCATGGTCGTGAACGGTACCGCGCCACTCGATCGTTTGGCCCACAGGAAGAGGTTGAGCATGAAGAAAGTGGCGAAGACAATTCCAGGAATCATGACGGGCGTCATGGCAATATTTTGCTTCCACTTCTCGCCGCCGAACGACTTGTAGACGCGCGCGGAGACGTAGCCACCAATGACGCCGAAGACTGTGTAGAGTAGAATCATGACGGTACCGAGAGACCCACGGTTCGAGGGAGAAAGAAAACCGAGAAGGGCGAATGTGATGGTAGTACCGACCATGACGAAAAGCTGAGAGCCGTTGCCCAGGAAGATACTCAATAGCAAAGGGTTCTTGGGCGTCCGAAAAACGTCTCCATGTACCAGCTTCCAGCCTGAATCTTCTTGGATGTCATTTTCGGCGTCGCCATTCGTGCCTGAGAGATCATCCAGATTGAATGAGTCGAGTCTGTTGTATCGGGCAATGTCTTTTTTCAGTGCTCGCACGAGGATAGCTCCAACCATACCTAAACATCCGTCCTTAGTGTGTATGTCAGCGCACTTTTTGAGTGAAGGGCAACTTACCGCAAAGGAAGACCACAATAACCGCTGAGTTCACCAACGAAAACCAGTGAATCCTCGGATCGAAGACGTGAAGATAGCTATCCCATCGAGTGGCCCATGCAGTCTTCGACTCGCGCCAGTATACGCCATAGGTCCAAGTGACAGAGGTGTCTCCATTCTCATCGAGCAAAAGGTGCTGTTCTGGGTTACCACAATCTCCCTTTCCACTACCCAAGCTTTTAGATCCACTCCTTGAGGATGGGATCACCAGAACGCCAACAACTCTGTACTTGTCGCTGCCAGCTTCATGGTAATCAATCACAATATCGAAGTGGTTGTTCAGCACTGCTTTCTTATCCTTATCCACCATCCCAAGAGGGAATCCTCGGAGGGTGAAGTCCGTGTTCGTCGAAGGGTCTGTGTATGGCTGCCCAGCTGGAAGGCCATCAATCAACCAATTGAGATTGTAATTCTGCACTATTCTCCTGTTCACAAATTTTGCGCTTCGTTGATCAAACTTTTGTTCCTCGCATAAAGCCTTGCAGGTCTCATTTTCCATCATTTTCAGCTCAAAAGGCGAAGTAAGTATCCGATCTCCGAACAATATGCTTCCCAGTGACTCTGATACATCTCTTGGTCCATCTGCGGGCCTGCAAAATCGGAACGCGGGATGATAGTAGTCGAAGGAGAAGACCGAATGTAGTTGGGAATCCTTGTCAGACAGTGCTGGTGTGAGATGGTTGACATTGAGTTCGACCTTGTCATTGGCCTTGTATGTGGTTGGCGCAACGCCCGGTAAGTAGAAAGCAGAGGCGCTGGAAAGGAAGAAGGTCAATATAGCTGCGCCAGAGGCAAGCCGACCTTTCGAGTACATTGTGACCAAGTTCCAGGCGGCTGTGAGACATAGAGTCAGCTCAGATGTGATCCTTAATGATAAAATCTTCAATGTTGGCAAGCTTCAAGTGGTACGGACCTGCCCGATCTACGACCTGGCGCTCAAAGCCTGCTTCTGCGTGATATAGTATTCAACCGTCCACGACAATTTGCAGCAATGTGAAAGATACTGAGACTCAAAGGAATGTCAAAAATTTGCGGGTCTCTATTTGAGAAAGAAAGCTGGCCTCCTGTAGCGATTAAATTCAGGCTCGCCTCGCTATTGGTTGGTCTTGCCGCTCCGCGCCTGGAAACTCTTAGCGATAGCTTGGGCTTGGCATCGATACAATCGTAAAGTAAAGTTTAAAGTCTTCAACAATAAAGATAGTCACTTGGATTGAGCAGGTATCAAATTTTCAGGCATATTATGTCGTATCTTCGATATGAGAGTAACCAGAACCACACCATGCTTGATTCTGGTTTGCGATGCCAATTGGTGGCTACAAGACGTTGGGTGTGATGTTTCTGACTGCGGCTATACAGTTGGCTCCAGACCTATGAGCTATCCAACCCCCGATGCGTGCGTAAGAATCATAACGCCTGAGGCAACCTCCGAACAAAAGCATGAGCATGATGCCAGCAGAAAGACGTGAACGCATCCGTCAACATTGCTCATACTAGGCCATCGTACAGTGATAGTGCCGAAACTATTGTTTCATCACGCTTGCTGCCTTCCTTGAACTCAGCCATGTCCAGCGACCCATTCTCGTCCTTGTCCATCATTTTGAAGATCTTCCGAACCCGTTTTTCTGGTGTGTCTTCGTCGGCTGGGAGCTTGACCATCGAACCAACCTGTAAGATTGTAAGCCGCTGAATACGGACAGCTAAGAACAAAATCCGGCATACCATCTTGTATATCGCTTCCACGATTTGCAGCATTTCACTGTAGCTTATCTCACCGTCGCCATCAATATCGTAAAGTTGGAATGCCCAGTCCAGCTTGTCCTCCATCTTCCCCCTCGAGGTGACACTCAGTGCGCATATGAACTCTTTAAAGTCGATGGAGCCTGACTTATCTGAATCGAAGACGTTGAAGACGTAGTCTGCGAAGGAGGTTGGGTCGCCGAAAGGGAAGAATTGCTTGTAAATTTTTTGGAATTCCTCTTTCGTGAGCATGCCGCTTGGACAGTCTTTGAGGAAGCCTGTACCTCACATTAGCATAGATAAAATCCTAGGCAGGTAAATTATTATAGCTAACCCTTGTACCATTGCTGGAGCTCCTTCTTGTCGAAATGCGTGTCCTTCTGAAGCTGGTTCAATTCCTCTTGGGACAACTTCGACTGACTGATCAGGTGCGTCAGTAGTGTACGATTAGTCCCACGTCTGTGATTCTACGCATCGACTTTGCTTTCGACTGTGTAAGAGATAGAAAAGGCATGCTGCAAAGAATGCTATGACTGTAAACCAGCATGATCGGTCCTCTCTCAGCACTTTCGGATTGCCGGCCCGACCGCAGCTCCTCCATGCGGCTCTCTCTTTGACAGCTGGGTGGCTTGGGTTGTAGACATTTTTGAAGGGCTTGTAGAGGTTGCCGGCAAGCACGCAAGGCTAGGCGTGTGAGACATTCTGCGCTCTGTTGGATCGCCATTTCCATCTTGTATTCTTGCTTCATTGTTGCAAAAGAGAGTGCGCGCTGACGATGCAGAAATTCAAGGGCAGGGTTTCGGTCCATGGCGACGCCGGGACGATAGCACCACGCCGACCGCACTGAGAATCGCACAGGCTGAGAATGGTACACCACTTACCGATTTCCCATTCTAGGAAGTACTTCCACCAGACAGCTTTATAAGTCCTATTGTTAATCCTGCGCAATACTTGAGGGTCTAGGAGCGTATGGTATGGCAGATCTCGGCCGTGTAAGCAAGAGGCGGGACAGGTGTGAGACGAAGGCGGGAGGGGAGAGTGTCAAGAGGTCAGTTGCTACGTCTCTTCGATAGGAATCTAGTCGTCTAGACGTGTCAAAGCTTGATGATTGAAGAAGAACAAGGAACAAGGGAGGGTCTACGCTGAACGCAGGGAAAGACAAGCGCCGAGGGACAGGAACAGAACGAGGGGTTCCAGACCCATTTCAACCGAACCCCAAACATTTCTCGATGTCGTAATTCCACCGACTTTGATACCTTTCAGCGTCATCTGAAGCTATGAATAACATCATACAAGCCCAGCTCGACAGGGTAGAAACGGCTTTGAACACTCTTATAGAATCAATCGCCTCCTACAACCCCTCCATCCCCGCAGCAAACGCTCTCCTAGCTGCAGACGACGATCTAAACGAAGGTCTCCAACAATGTACGAACAAACCTTCCAGATCCCAGAAGACCCTGCCACCAGACTTTGTTTACGCCTCGTACGAGTTGACATTTCAGTAGTATCAACCCACCAACGTAATCACGCCCGCATTCAGTCCCTTCGATCAACAATTGACCAGCAAAATGCATCCATAACCGACACCCTCACGGCCCTCGCCTCTACGCGCGCAGACCTGCTCTCTATTCCATCATCCCTGCCACAAAAAGATGCACGCAATGTCCCCTACAACGAGCTTCTCGACTATGCGAAGCGTATAAGCCGCTACACGGTTCCCCCTACATTCCGGCATGCTTTACCACCTGCACAACCAGCTATCCCCCCTGCTGTCAATGGCGATACCGTGGCGGTAGAGGAAGGAGCGGAAGATAGCAAAGAAGAGAAGGAAGGCATGGGAACCGCATCGTTAGAAGACATAGAGCGCAAATGGCTGGATCCTCTCACCCAGATTCCCTTCGTGCCATGGGTGAGCGACGAGACCATCAAAAGAGGCGCGTTGGCTGAGATACAAAGCATGGTTGAGAGGGGGGACGATCCGGAGAATATGGGAGCTGGAGGTTCGAAGGAAGAGAAGGGAGAGACGATGGAGATAGGGGAAAGTGAGGATGCGGCGGGCAAGGAGGGCGGGATCAGCGCGGATGGAGGAATGGGGATGCAGAGAAGGGAGGAGAAGCCAAAGGTGTTCGGGGGGTTGGACCTTTATGATCCCGACTCGCCTGATGTAGACGATGATTGATGTTCAAGCACCTATCGAGATAATTCTGTAGTCATATCTTCGGACACGATTCAAGAGGAATTGGATTCGCAAGCTCAAGAATGGTACAAATGACATGTGCTTGACAATGCTTTTGATCGCCTATCACGGTACAGTTACTGGAGCCATCTTTGATTCAGCACTGTTGTGTTTCATCACAGCAAAGCAGCTGCCTACAGCGTGATGACCAGCTTCTTCCCACTCAAGCCTTTCGCGTGGATATCCAGCGCTTTCTGCACGGACTGAATACCGCCATCAATTGCTTCAATCCCAGGACTTGGCACAAACGTCTTTTCCTCTAAAGATTTCGCTAGCCATTCATTGAACAGCCAGTGCCCGAATTCCTTGTCAATGCATATCTTTGCTGCAAACGTTTGCGATATTTCCACCCCTGCTGGCTTCCTGGCATCTTCAGGGTATGGAAGTGTAAGGCAAAGCTTTCCGCCGCCAAATGCTTCGAGAATTTCGGCACACTTGGGTGCACTCCCGTGCTCAACGATGGCGTCATATGCGACGACAGCCTGCTGGTTTGAGGCTTTCAAGGATTGTGTAATGTCTTTGACGACAGAGGAGGAGTTGTAGTCGAAGGTCTCATGAGCGCCGAGCTTTTTGACCATGGCGCTGTGGCGAGGACTGCATACTCCGTAGACCGTGTAGCCAAGAGAAGCAGCGATCTGCACAGCAGCTGTACCGACTGAAGATGAGGCACCCCAAACTAGGAAGCCACCCTGGTGCTTGGCAGGCGGGCGAGGAATTTCCATGGAAAGGAATATGCCCACGGCAGATGTTGCGACGCTCATAGGCAGAATTGATCCTTCTTCAAAGCTCATGAAGTCAGGAATCTTGGCCAGGGCGCAGTCTTTCACCAGAGAATATTGCTGAAATGCACCGTTCTGCGAATCTTTCGAAATTAGCATATCAGCAAAGCCCGTGACCCTATCGCCTTTCTGGAAGTGTTTGACGTCCGATCCCACTGCATCCACTACTCCCGAGACGTCACTTCCAAGAACAGCCGGGTATTTCTCAATCAAATGGCCGAATTGTTGCATCTTCCAGTCCACGGGGTTGGTGGCGAGAGCATGGTTCTTAACCACAACGTCTGACGGCCCGGGCTTGGGAATTGGACGCTCTTCGATGGTAAGATTGGCTTTTGCCTCTTTGAGGACGGCTGCTTGGTTGGACATGATCACTGGCGTGAAGCTTATGACAATGTGTGTCTGGGTATCAATGATGAGGGGAAAGAGAATTCTTCAGTGGGACTTTATACTTGTGCATGCATCGGAAATAGTGGGATTACATCAGCAGAACACAATTCAGTAAAGGGCGCTCGACCAGACTGTTGTCGTTCATCTCAAAGTGAAGGCTGATGAACGTTTATAGTTTGGTCAACTTGCACTGTACGAAATTAGCTTTGGCATGGAAATCTTACCCCGCGCCCGCTATGTTCTCGAGCTTTCGCTGTTCAACTTGTCCCGATGACAATGAAGCTATACAAAAAACCACTGTTGCATAAGCATTTGAAGGCGCTAGAGGCCCGTTGTGTAAGCTTGTGCGAGCCTCATCCCGTAGTTTTTCAAATCGAAGAGGTGTTCATTGGCCCCCTCGTGAGCACAGCTTGCGGAGGTAAGCCTTCATCAGATTTCAATCGGCAAGCATGAAGTACTCTGCATGTTCAGTGCTGCTGAGGCGAGAAGGCCATCTTTGCTTCAGTAGCGAGTCTCCATTGGGCCCTGGCGCGATTACTTCGAATGAAGAGCTGTGAGGAGGCAAAAATGCCAGACACTCGTAGCATGGAAACTTGAGATGCGCAGGGAGCTGAGACGATGGCCACCGTTGCATAGTATGCGCCAGTCTCAGAAGAGTAGTCTCCGAGCGAGTTTTTACGACAAATTGTCACTGTTTGTGGAGTGATTGGAGAAACGATGTTACTCGTGACGCGGCGAAAGCGCGGTTCTGCAATTTTGATAGGGCTTAGCGTTCTTTGCCCCTGAAGCTGAAACAATGAACAACTCCTTCCTCTTGTTCACGCTCACATCTAACGTATCGTCACTCTTTTTCCGTTGTACTCTCACACTCATTAGCAGGCAGGAGCAGGCTCCTGTACCATCACTCATTAAGAAAGCAGACTTGGTGACACTCATTTGGACAGGCTGCATTCACTCTCTTTATTTACTTCCGTCCCCCTCCGGACCCCCCATACGAGGAACAAACATAGTAACCAGCACAGGACTGCGGAAGGTTTTAGGATACGCGAGAAGTTCCATGGCTACCGAGGATATATCAACGGAAGCTGCGGCTGATTATCACGAGACAGCTGCAGTGGGAGAAAGCGATACCCGCAGTATCCTACTGCCGACAGAATCGATGGTCAGTGTAAGGCTATCAGATCCTCTGGTCGTGCCTTCCTCCGCTATATCTCCCGACAACCAGGTTTCTGTGGCAGCACTGGCCCAGTTCCTGCCTGTTGGACAAGATATGGTTCTACATGAAGATGCTTTAGACGCTTCCCACAACAGTCACACATCTTCTGGGCAGGGTCTTCTCGAAGACGAAAGCGGTACCGCTCCGGATGAGAATGCTGTTGTACTTGGAGACGAATACCAGGAGTCTACAGTCTCGATGACAAGCGTCCGCTCCAGAAGCGATAGCTCGGGCAGCACCCTATCTTCAAATGGCAGCGCCCAGGTCGACTGGGATGAGTTGGAGAAAAGTGAAGAGCAGGCACCCCGAGACGAGGGATCTGATGAATCGACCGCCTTCCTTCTTGCCAGACTGGAGCAAGAAAACAACGCCCTTGCAATTAATCCGAAGGCAGCTCTCGCAAGAGCCAAATCCACACGAAAGGGCACGAAAGTACGGCCACCCTCTATTCAACACCTCAAGAAGCTTGTCAACGAACCAACGAAACCTTCACTTCGATACTCCTTGATACCGGACCCTCCACCCATGACAGAGTTAGAGTTCTGGGCAGCTCTCGTTAACGATTATCCCCAGACAGCGCAACGCCTGCCAACTTTGACTTCCAACAAGATTAGGAGTGGAGTTCCACCACCATTGCGTGGTGTTGTCTGGATGAGCATAGCTGGATCCCGCGATCCCCTGTTGGAACATGAATATGAAAGACTCTGTGGCGAGTCAAGCCCTTACGAAAATCTCATCGGCAAGGACATCGGTCGAAGCTTTCCTGGGGTCGAAATGTTCAGGGACCCTTCAGGAGACGGCCAGCAGATGCTTGGTAGGGTACTCAAATGCTTCAGTCTCTACGATCAAAAGATTGGATATTGCCAGGGCCTTGGCTTTGTCGTCGGCCCTTTGCTAATGCACATGGGTGACAAAGAAGCGTTTTGTGTGCTCGTCCGGTACCTTTCCGCAAACAATGCATCCGCTTTTGCTTCGGCTAACAGCAATACAGATTGATGGAGCACTACGATTTACGCTCATGCTTCTTGCCAGATCTCTCTGGTCTCCATCTTCGCATCTACCAATTTCAACACCTACTATCGAAGCATCTCCCACGTCTCACAGCTCATATGGAAACTTTGCAGGTGGAACCTTTATACGTGTCCCAATGGTTCCTTTCGTTCTTCGCAGTCACCTGTCCACTACCTATGCTACTACGGATATACGATGTTATTTTGACCGAGGGAGCTTCGGAGACTCTAATGCGGGTCGCACTATCGCTCATGCGTAGGAATGAGACTAAAATCTTGACCTGCACCGAATTTGAAGACGTGATGAGCCTTCTTCTCTCCAGGGCATTATGGGATACTTATGGATCGAATGCGGATGATCTGGTAAACGACTTCGTTGGTTTGACGGGTCTTGTGACGCGGGAGAGCTTGGAAGCCCTTGAAGGAACTTTCAGAGAGCCTAGCAACGAAGAGTCAATTTCCAAGAGTAGCTCTCTTCCAAATGTTCAGGCCGCAGCATCACGTTTTCTGGGCCGTTTCTGGACAGGTCCAAGCTCATCCGCAAAGGTTACTTCCCCAACTTCTAGCCTAGCTGTCGCAGAGCCACCCCGACCCTCGAGCTTCCTGCGCCGGACGCCCTCGAAACAAAGTATGGCATCGACGCTCAACTCCATTGAAAGCGCTGAGTCGCAACTCAGCGCAGCTTCAACTGAAGCAACGGCTATGTCGAGAAATCCTTCAGCTGACGGCACCCCCGTCAAAGCTGGCAATACTCTCGGCAATAGCGTCTCGTCGTCCATGGGAGTCACCAGCCAAGACAGGGATCTTCATACTCAGATCGAGGACTTACTGACTGCTCTGAGTGATATGCAGCGAGACCAGACCTTACTCGAGAATGAGGTACAGAAAGAGCGCGAAGAGCGTGATGAAGATCGTGCTGCAGTGCAACGTTTTCTGGCGCGAGCAAAGAAGTCCGCCACTCTGGACGTCATACCAGAGACGCAATCGCATGGCTCATCTTCTTTGTTGGAAGCCCCAGCTACAGCTCTTGATAGTGACGAGGCCCTGATGGATCTAGAACTGCATTTCAACACGTCTTCGAATAAAAGGTCGTCTCTTATGCAGCAGACAAAGCATCAAATGCGAGAGGAATTGAAATTGTGGAAAAATCAGTATGAGGTTGAAGCAACAAGATCCGCCGATTTGACGCGCCAGCTTGCTGACGAAAGACTGGAAAATGCTCGTCTCTTAGAACAGTTCCGAGAGGCGCGAGCACGTATGCAAGATGCACATCAAGACAAACAGCGGCTGGAGAAGACTCTTTCAGAAATGAGAAGCCGCAGGTTTTCTACAGACAGCGAGTATGAATCAGTCCCAGCGACTCCAGTTGACACTGGACCTGCGCCCGCTGGACTGCGTGAGCTCAAGCTTGGAAGATCTGGTTCACTTCGCTCGAATGCAGCACCGACGCAGCCATTCGCAAAGCGATCCAGCAGTCTTGGCATATCTGCAGTACTTGCAACTGAGGATCATAAGCCTGCTCCTGAAGACACGCTTCTACTAGAGCTTGTCAATGCCAAGACAGCAGAAGCTGTGGCACGGCAGGAGTTGGAAGAGGTGAAGGCAAAGTTGGACTCGTTGCGGAAGATGATAGGAGGTGGGCCTGCTATGACAGTAAGCAGCGGTCATCGGCCAAGCGCCAGCGAGGCAGGCATTGTGAAAGTACCGAGCGTGACCGCAGCAGCGAGACCTGCTGTGGAGAAATTCAAACCTGCTGTCGCTGCTCCTGCTGGTGGCTTCTTTAGCGGCTGGGGAAAAAGAACGGCATCGAATCCGGCGGTCACGGTGTTCGTTCCAGATTCATGACGAGACATTCGCTTCTAATAAGAGACGCTTCGGGACAATTGATTTTTCGTTGTTTGGCGTCAGGGGTAGAGTACCAGCTTCTTAGCATGTAATGTTGATGCTCAAAAATTCACTTTCTTCTTCGAGAATGGAACAATGCCATTTCTAGCCACGTTATGAACCTGTCTCCGAACCACATTTGCGCATCATCTGTTTTGTGCACATGGCAGTGGTATTTGAGACGTCACATTAGTAGACGGGAGCATATGCCGTTCAACTGCCGACAGATATACCCCCTGTCAAAGATGTTCCCTTTACCCGCTTCCCCTGCCTGGCACCTGCAAACCAATCATCCTTGGCATCCCACTCCCTTGATGCTTCGGTTACAGTCTGGGAGGTAATTTGGGCCTGGCCAAAAGCGCGGACTTGCAGGACCTCCCTTGTGATAAGATGCCGCTGCCTCATCCCGGCCAAGCTACCCCACAATCTGGGGTTGATGCTGATGGCGTTCGGCGATCAGAACTGCTGGGCAATGTTTAGGTTTGATATGATTGATGTCTCCTTTGATTTATTTAAGTTTTGCTCTGCATCAAATGGAACTTCTCCTCATCTTCGCCTTGTCAAAGCTGCAGGATTCCGCTGTGCGTTAGCAGTAAGTGGGGGTAGATCCTTCAGCTGCAGTCATCACCTCTTATTGCGGTACCATCACCTTAACCTTTTAAGCTGGGTCGCCATTACTGCACCACCATCTTTGCGCGCTCATCCTCTGGAACGTAGTCGAGGGAGACATTTCAACCAGGCTGTAAAGCCGAACGAGATTTAGGAAACAGTGATCAAGATGGAGATGAACTATGATGAAAATGTACGCTAAATCTGCCGGCTACGTACTCACAGTACATTACTTGCGCACTGGCTCATGCTATCGTAGACGCTGCACCAGCTCGAGGAGGAACTCCACGTCCAAATTGTACCGGGTACAGAGATTATGACAGATGTGGGCAGCCATCATTTTGTCAAGTCCTCCAACCGAGTGCTGGTGCCGCAGCCAAGTGATGACCCTCATGATCCGTTGGTGAGCTTGCCACTGTTCGGACACAGGATCGATATGACCTGTTAGAAGAAATTATTGAGCTAACAAGATGTAGAATTGGAATACCTTCTGGAAATTCTCTACCTTGACCTGCGCGACATGTGCAACCTTTGTTCAGGGCATGGGTCCGCTTTCTCTTGCACCCATGATCCCCTATTTGATCGAGGCATTTGATTCAAACTTGAATGATGTGATTCAGTTCACTGGTGTTGCTATTCTCGTGCTCGGATTTAGCAATTTCATCTGGTACGCTGTACAATTCGTGTATCTATTCATAATTCGGATATTGATTGATGATAGGGTCCCGCTGAGCACTTCCTTCGGCCGGCGACCGGTCTATCTCGCGTCCCTCTCGATCTGCTTTGGCAGTGCCATCTGGAGAGCCAAAGCTCAGACGTATGGTAGTTTCATGGGGGCATGTGTGCTCAATGGTATTGCAGCTGGTCCAGCTGAGACCATCCAGCCTAATGTCATTGCTGATGTGATGTTCTTGCATGAACGAGGAGCGTATCAGACGCTTTACTTTGCATTTTATTTCGGCTCTCTTATGGTTTGCCTCTTCATCCCTCTCCGCAAACCTCAGCTTATGACTCCATAGGTTGGACCTATCATCGCTGGTCCGATGGCAGAGTACTCAGGATGGCGCAACTTCTGGTGGCTCAATGTCGGTTTAATTGGCGCTACATTCATCATGTGCCTTTTCGGCTTTCCGGAAACAAAGTATCACCGCATGCATCCTGATGAAATCCACAACATAGCTTCCGAAAAGACAACCGAGTCCCTAGGAGAGAAGACTACGATCACGACGATGGAAGGGTCTGACATAGAAAAGGTGACGTCCCCCGAGCTTGCCGATCTTTCTCATGCGGCCACCGCCCAGCAAGACCCGTGGCTCGGAAAGGGTCGGCCAAGCAAGCAGCAATTCGGGCTCTTCCAGCGGAACGCGCATCCGTTCAAGAGCGTTTTGCTTGACCTTTGGATCCCATGGAAGCTTTTCGCTTTTCCAATCGTGGAATTTGCCTCTTTCGTCGTATCGTGGAGCGCGTCCTCTTTCCTAACGCTAAATCGTACGTTATACTTTCCGAGGCGATTCTTCCCCATTCATGCTGTCTTATGAGTCGTCAGACATGTTTGAAGAGTTCTCTGCTCCTAAGACATGTCTCGCGACCCAGAAGTCCTCTGAAAGAGTAATGCTGACTCCGGAATCATCAAGTTACGCAATCTCAAGCGTTTGCAGCACCGCCTTACAATTTCAAGCCACTTACTATCGGCTTTTTCAACTTTGCCATCCTCATTGGCGGCATACTTGGTTTGGTCACAGCGGGACCTCTGAGTGATTGGATCAGTATGAAACTTACCAAGAGAAACAACGGCATCAGAGAACCGGAAATGAGGCTACCGACAATGATCCCTTACGTCGCCATCATGATAATCGGCAACTTCGTAGTTGCCTTTGGCTGGCAGCAGGGTTGGGATTGGAAGGTCAGTATCTGACACATCTGATTTCTCTCGAAAGAAATCACAATAACGAAGCTATGAGCTAACTTCATAATCCTAGCCGATCGTAATCGTTGGCTGGGCATGTGCCGGCATCCAAGTCGCAGCTCTCCCTGCCATCGCCTCCACTTACGCAATCGACTCCTATAAGCCCGTTGCTGGCTCAGTATTCGTGAGCATTACAGTGAACAAGAACCTTTGGGGTTATGGTTTCTCGAAATTCATCAATACTTGGATTGTCGAGGATGGATATGTGCCGCCAATCATGACGAACATGTGCTTGATCACGCTGTGGTGCCTTTGTGGTATTATTTTTTGGGTATGGGGGAAGAAGTTCAGAATCTGGACAAGGAACAGTCAGGTGCACCATATGTAAAATGGGAGGGCATGGGGCAAGACATGGAGTTAAGTAGGCCGGTGAGCTGGATGCATGCTTATTTTGGGAATTTGGTGGTACATAAATGGGTGTATGTGGTACCTATATAAGAAGATTGAGGTTCCAGTTGTCCCTGTCAGCCATTACAATTGAGGTGATACTCCCACTCATAGTAATCGATGTCGTTCACTGATCTTCTTGCGCGTGCAGAAAATAAAAAGCACCGCAACATCATTGTACCAGCGCCATTAGGAATCGAACCTAATCCACACGCGAAAGTGATTTGAGATAGGGCTGAGAAACGCGCCAGCGCCAAAAGCGGCTAATGAAGAGTCGACGTACTATGCATTCACCTCAATGTAAACAGTAACCACAACAAACCTTCCAGTGAAGGCCAACTCCTGTTCTTCCACCACACGCTCTTATCGTCGTGGTCTCAATATGAGTGAATCGGTCCATTGAAATTACCTACATCCCTAAGCGTACTTCAGTTCAACGCGTGCCCAATATGGATCCTTTGATGTCGGACTCCGTGTTTGATGATGGGGATGTTTCAGATGATTTTGCGCCTTCAACGGTAAAGTACCCCAAGACTACACGTTTTTCTGTCGCGGAGACAACCCTCTGACTTGCACTTGGCGTGTAGAAAGTCAAAGCCAAGCCCAAAGCAGCTGCCAAACCAAAGGCGGATCCAAAGCCCAAAGCTGCTCTGAAAAAGCCTCGAGCCCCCAAGGCTGCCCCAAAGAAGATGTCACAGACCACACTGAAGCCAACGAAGAAGCCCCCGAAGCCCGATACGGAGGACGAGGATTCTGAGGGTGATCCCTCATCGCACGACGACTCACTCCTTTCCAACACCCCACCAAGCGCGAAGATACCAAAGAAGGCCCCTGGCCCGAAGAAAATGGGCGCAAAACCTCTCCGTGAGGTTGAGAATGAGGCTATAGCTGAAGCCATAGACGCCTCTATGATGATGGATGGCGTAAATGAGCCGAAGGTAACGAAGGGCTCTAAGTCGACAGAGACGTACCAGAAGGTAATCAGGCTTGGACTAGGTACCCCGTGAGACATCGCGGCTTACAATGTTGTAGCTCACGCAACTGGAACACATAATCAAGCGCCCAGACACTTACATTGGGTCCGTCGAAGCCCAGGAGAAGCAGATGTGGGTGTACAACAGTGAACAAGAGTCGATGGAAATGAGATCCGTCACCTTTGTACCGGGTATCTACAAGATTTTTGACGAGATCCTCGTCAATGCTGCAGACAACAAGCAGCGAGATAAGAACATGGATACAATCAAAGTCACGATCGATCGAGCGAAGGGCGAGATCAGCGTCTTAAACAATGGACGTGGTATTCCGATCGAGATTCATGAGAAGGAGCAAATTTACATTCCAGAGATGATCTTCGGTCATCTGCTCACGTCTTCCAACTATGACGATGATCAGGATAAGGTCACGGGTGGTCGAAACGGTTATGGTGCTAAGCTTTGCAACGTTTTCAGCACTGAATTTACCCTAGAGACTGCAGATTCCAAGACGAAGAAGAAGTACACGCAGACATGGACCGCAAACATGAGCAAGATGGGCAAGGCTTCAATTACATCGAACAAAGGTGATGACTTTACGAAAATCACATTCGCCCCAGATTTCCAGAGATTCAAGATGCAGGGTATAGACAACGACTTGGAAGCCTTGATGAAGCGTAGAGTCTATGACTTGGCAGGCACCAGCAAAGGTGTTAAAGTTTGGCTGAACGGTGAGAGGATCAAGATCAACAGCTTCAAGAAATACATGGAGATGTACACCAAGGCCATCAAGAAGGAAAGGGGCGATGAAGCAGTCAACGATACCTCTGAGATCATCACAGAAAGCCCGGATGTGAGATGGGAAATTGGGTTCGCGGTGTCAGACGGGACATTTCAACAGGTTTCTTTCGTCAACTCGATTGCCACAACTTCTGGTGGTACCCATGTCAACTATGTTGCCGATCAAGTCTGCACGAAGCTGCTGGAAATTGTCAAAAAGAAGAAAAACAACAAAGCCGCATCTCTCAAAATCAGCCAAATCCGAAACCACATATTCCTTTTTGTCAATTGCTTAATTGTCAATCCAGCGTTCACCTCACAGACCAAGGAGCAATTGACTACCAAGCATAGTCAGTTTGGCAGTAAGTGCAACGTCAGCGATGAGTTTCTCAAGAAAATCGCCAGAACTGAAGTTGTGGCCAACATCCTGCATTTCGCAGAGCAGAAGGCAGACCAGATTCTCAAGAAGAGCGATGGTAGCCGACGAAGTCGTATGGACAATCCGAAGCTCACAGATGCCAACAAGGCTGGCACCAAAGATGGCTACAAGTGCACGCTCATCTTGACCGAGGGAGACTCGGCCAAAGGTTTGGCAATCGCAGGTCGATCTGTTGTCTCTGCAGATCTATTCGGTGTATATCCGCTTCGTGGCAAACTGCTCAACGTGCGAGACGCTCCAGTCGATCAAATAGCGAAAAACGCCGAAATCCAGAACATCAAGAATTTCATTGGGCTCAAGCACAAGACAACCTACACGGACTGCAAGAGCTTGCGTTACGGACATCTCATGATCATGACTGACCAAGATCACGACGGAAGCCATATCAAGGGTTTGCTCATCAACTTCCTCCAAGTCCAATTCCCGAGTCTGCTCAAGATCCCCGAATTCCTCGTCGAGTTCATCACACCCATTGTCAAAGCTTACAAGGGCGATCCAAAGAAGCCCAAGCAGGCCGAGACTTTTTTCACCATGCCAGAGTATGAGGCATGGAAAGAAGACCACAAACCTGAACTGCACAAATGGGAACACAAGTACTACAAAGGATTGGGTACAAGCACCACAGAGGAAGCTCAGGTCTACTTCCGAGATCTGGACAGGCACTTGAAAGAGTTCCATACCATGAAGGAAAGTGAGGTCGAACTTATTGAGCTTGCATTCTCGAAAAAGAAAGCAGACGAGCGGAAGGAATGGCTTCGCCAATTCAAGCCTGGAACGTATCTCGACCATTCGGAGAAAGGTGTCTCGTACACCGACTTCGTCAACAAAGAACTGATTCTCTTCAGCATGGCGGATAACATGCGTTCGATCCCCTCTGTCGTTGATGGTTTGAAGCCTGGGCAACGCAAGGTTCTCTACACATGCTTCAAGCGTAACTTGAAGAAAGACGTGAAGGTTGTTGAACTTGCCGGTTCTATTTCTGGTCTCACTGCCTATCAACATGGTGAAGCCTCCCTTCAAGGTACCATTGTGGGCCTTGCGCAGACCTTCGTTGGATCTAACAATCTTAATTGTCTTGAGCCCAGCGGCAACTTCGGCAGTCGTCTCCAGGGAGGTAGCGATTGTGCCAGCGCACGTTACATCTATACACGTCTCTCGCCTTTTGCTAGAAAGGTTTTCCATGCTTCAGATGAGCCGCTTTTGACCTACAACACAGACGACGAGCGTACGATTGAGCCTGAAGTCTATGTACCAGTAGTCCCAATGGTCTTGATCAACGGTGCGGACGGTATCGGGACTGGATGGAGTTCCTCGATCCCGAATTACAATCCCGAGGACATCGTTGAGAATCTCAAGCTCATGATGGCCGGCGAACCTCCGAAGGAAATGACTCCATGGTTCCGAGACTTCAAAGGCACCGTCACCCGTATGGGTCCTGACCGATACAAGTTCAGTGGAGTCATCAGGCAGACAAGCGATACCGAGGTCGAGGTCACCGAGCTGCCGGTGCGCATGTGGACTCAGGACTTCAAAGACAGGATTGTAGACATCATCAAGGCAGAGAAGACACCATCTTGGATCAAGGACTACGATGACTACAACACACACAAGGATGTTCATTTCGTCATCAAGATGGAAGACAAGCATATGAAACTTGCGCTCGAGGAAGGCTTGGAAGAGAAGTTCAAGCTGACAAAGTCGATTGCCACATCCAATCTGGTTGCTTTTGATGCTGAGGGTAGAATCACGAAATATGCGACTGTCGAAGATATTTTGAAAGAGTTCTATGGTATCCGCATCAAGTTCTATGAGAAGCGAAAGGTAAATTTTACTATTCCCGCTCCTCTAGTGCTGACCCTAACATTTGGTAGGCCTATATGCTGTCTGACATGCACCGTGAGCTTGAGAAGTTCACCAACCAAGCACGCTTCGTCCAGATGATTATCGACGGAAAACTCGTTGTATCAAAGAAGAAGAAGCTGGCCTTGGTACAAGAGCTGAAGGAGAAGGGTTTCAAGGCCTTTCCCAAGAAGGCCGAAGCTATCAAAGAGGGGGAACTTGCGCCTATTGCAGACAATGACGAAGAGGAGGAGGAGGATACCCAGACTGGCGCAGCCGCATATGACTACCTTCTCGGCGTAAGTCTAAGCAAGACCTTGATTCGAAATTGTGGCATGTAATCCTAACTTCTGAAAGATGCCTATCTGGTCGTTGACCAAGGAGCGCATCGAAAAGTTGCTGAAGCAGGTTGGTGACAAGGAGATTGAGATCGATAACCTTATCAAGCTCACCAAAGAGGATCTCTGGACGAGAGATCTCGATGACTTCCTCAGCCAGTGGAGATTCGAGCTTGACGATGAGGCTAAGCGCCAAAAGAAAGTCGCGAACATGGGTCGCCGAGGCTCCAGGAAGTTGAACATAACTGGGGGCGTAGCAGGTCGAAAACGCAAGATCGACTCTGACGATGACGACTTTGATGTTGCTCCTGTCAAAACTAAGAAGACTGCTATGCCGAAGGAGGTCGGAGGCTTGCTTTCTTACATGATGCCGGACACCAAGACTAAGATGTCGCCAAAATCGAAGGCTAAAGCCCCGACAGTCACGCAAAAGGCTGCGAAGAATGCCCTGGATCTGATATCAGCACCAGCTAAGGAAGAAGACAAGGGCGATGTCTGGATGAATCTGGACGGGGCAGGCTCGGATGTGCCGAAGGAAACCAAGCCCAGAGCAGCTCCTCAAAAGACGGCTCCTCCAGTAAAGAAAGCGGTACCAGCGCCCAAGAAGATCGACTCTGATGAGGATGATGAAGCGGCGGACGAAGAGATCATACGTCCTACCGCTGGCCGTAGGCCTCGTGGTGCAGCTGCGAAGCTTGTCTCATACAATGTTGATGGTTCGGACTCTGACGGCGATGGTATGCTCTTCGATGTTGGTAAGATGGTCAAAGGTATCGATACAGCCTCCGCACCTGCAGACAAATCTCGGCCCCTATTTTCAGCGTCGATGTCTCGTCCCGGCAGCAGTGCAGGCCTCCCAAAGAGGTCCACCTCTTCAAAGCCCGCTATCGATATCGATAGTGACGATACTAATTATTCCAAGCTTGCTCCTCCTACCGCGAAGAAAGGACCAGCCGTCACCGCGAGGAAGACGATCCTCTCTGATGACGACGAGGACTCCTTGGACGACATCATAGCGGCCCCTCCCAAAGCGTCCAAGCCAGCTCCAAAGGCCGCTGTCAATCCCGGTCCTAAGGGCAAAGCCGTAGCGAAGAAGCCGACCAAAGGGGCTGCTCCCCCTCCCCCAGAAGCCAAGAAGTTGCCGTTGAGCCCTGCAGCGAAAGCTTATGCAGCGAAGAAAGCCAAGGCAGAAAAGGCCGCGCTAAAAGCTAACAGTCCGTCAGAAGACGAACTGGAAGGTCTGGCAAATGAGATCATGGATGATGATGACGATGATGAGGATGCAGGTCCGGCTGTGCGTCGACCAGCGCGGCGTGCAGCTTCTGCTGCGCCGAAGAAGAAATGGGTTATTTCCGATGACGAGGACGAGCTTGAGGACGAGCTTGAGGAGAGCACGATGCAATTTGGTGACGGGGATAGCGATGATTGAGCTAGCTGGCCCACCGTTCCTATGATTTTAAGCCTGCGTTTTGTCATTTCTCCGCTGTTGATGGAGCAGACTTTGGTCAATCTTGTGATCAGTTGCCATTATTTTGCGCTGGACTTTGCACCACTGGGGTTCGGCGAGCATACATTAAGCGTAGTTATGCGGGGAGATGCCATTTGGACAGCTTTACTTTCAGCTCGCGTGCAAGAAAGGATTCGGTGCATGAATCCTGGACTTGTTATCTGACTCTTTCGTCGCCATTGCCACATTCCCTCACGTAGTAGACTACCATGACTTCTCGTATCGTTTAGCGAACCAAATGAGGCATTCTTCTGCCCTCAAGCCTGCATACAGACACGGGGCTCTAGACAGAACGAGTTATGGAATCCCTTCCCGTCCCAGCGGATGGGAATCCAATCCCACGCTCTACTACACACACTGCCTCAGTACCCTGCGTCCCCAAAATTTCTGCTCCGTGGGCTTCGATCATCCTTCGCCGGTGCCCGATGTTACCATCATGTGAGAGCTCCAACAGTTCGCCATAATCTTCCGGAAAAACGATGTCGACGTCTCAAAGCGTTCTTCCGCATGGCGCACCCAGCCGCCAAATTTTCCGATACGATAATCGTTCGATGCGGCCCCGGTCAAGGGGAGGGGGAAGGGTGGCCGTGTGCATGTACCAAGGTATCTCCCAGGCTGCCTCCGTCTCGGCTGCGTGATCCGAAAGCCCATTCTCTGGTGTGGAGGCACGTCCGTACCCAGGTTCCCTAACCACACCCTCAGGGTCCTTCGCGCGGAGCATTTCAAGGTTGCGTGCATCTGCGGAGAACGCATTGATGATCCGTGCGGGCTACCACTTGGCCTTGGTTGTCGATCCAAAAGGCGGCCTTTTCGAGTCTCGGAGGCTTTTCGAGGGCTCGTGCATGACGGAAGGTATGGTTCCTATTAGATGATCCTCGAAGATAATAGGCAAGACACATGTGCATATGCATTAGATGGACGATGCTCATGCGTTGTCGATCTTCAGGTTGCTAGTATCTTGGGTGTCGAATGATGTGGCGACGCTGTATGGACGGAACAAGCATGCACGCCCACCATTGGTGTGATCCTTCCGATCTTTTTTGCCTCCGCTGGTTGTTTTCGACATTGATTGGATGAGTGTGGCCGAACCTGCATAATCTACGAGCTACGTACCTGTACGTACGTAAGTGAACGCCTTCTCTGTAAGTTCTGGTTGGGAGTGTGACCATCAAAGCTGCAGGGTCTAGCGCTGGGAGCTCCCGGGTTGGGAAAGATCAGAGGCTGGGAACAAGCGGGGGCCGTGCATGGCGATTTTGAAAATCGAGAGAGGCTTAGGCGAAGCCTTGGTTCATAGGGGACGTAGAACAAAGACTGGGAGAGCATATCGTCTTAGCTGCCGAGATTGAATCAGGTGGCTCTTGGCCTTTTCCTTACTAGCAACGTAGTGTAGGCACGCCGTACCTTCATCGGAAGAGTGGCATAGAACACTTACTGAGAGATTCGAGGAACAGAACGTGTCATTTTCGTTGGCAACTCCTTCGACTCGTGCTTTGCATGTCAAGATGACATACTGACGGCCAGAAGGACGTTTCTGAGAGGTTCAGGTGAAATCCACAAAGATCTCGGCTCTTTGCCGCTGGTGAGTTTGCCACAGTCAAGCGCCCCAACGTAACAGGCTCCCATGCATGTTTGAACAAATGATGATTGATTGTGCCAGGAATCGTTCGTTCGGGAAGCTAAACAATGCCTCAATAGCAAAAAGGCTTTCTTCCCAGGCACCACAGCCTTCTGGAAGCCTTTGGAAGATGCGAAGGTCCGTGCAATATGCGTGGGGGCATTGGGTTTTTCCTCTTTCATGCGGAAGGCCATTGAAGTCCAAAAAGGTAAGGGCTTGCGGCGAGACTATAGCTAATGACCCAGAAACCTGGATATTGAAGAGGGGGGACGGGTAAGTACAGTAGTTGAGAAGCTTTAAAATTGATATACGGTGAACGCGGTGAAAGTCGTGCGGATTGATGATAGTACCTTCAATTGGCGGCTTCGAGTGGCAGTCACTGTTGTAAAGTCTGCTGCTCACTTCAGACCAGAAGGATGGTTTCTACGGTGATCATACCTTTCATAATTAGGCATATGTGCATCGAGGTCCCATTAGCAAATTTAGGGCAAAGATCACGTTCTCTTTGTCCCACAGGTCTCGGAAGCAGTCCTTTTCCGTGACCCCTGTTGATCCCTGTTGACCCATGCGCCTATCCAGTACAGCCAGCATCTTCACCTTACCAGGCCGAAGGCCATGATATTGTATAACTTCCTTCACGACAGACCTAGGTATCTGGCTTTGGCAAACGTCCCATAAGGTCACGCAATATTTCGGTCGAAGCATGACCACTATCAAATTGCGGATTTAACCCTGGTGATACCGCACAACCCGAAGCTGGATGCAAATCTCCCTAATCGAGCACTATTGATAATACCAAGACATGTCTAAGCTCACGGGCCCGGATAGGCACTGAGAAGCACACGCCAACGTAGCTGGACGGTGAGCTCTCCTTTGGAGCTTTATTCTAGCGCGATTTGTTGAATTAGATTGCCCGAAAAGTGGAAGAGAAGCCGTCCGATTGTGTTCACGCTCGCTTGATGAAAAGGTTAGATAGAAGACCGAGCTCGAGCGTGACCTAGTGTATCACTTTACGTACGTTTGACGGTACTCATCTTGTCGATAAAGTGTCCCAGATCTCCACTGATTCAGAAACAAGCGAGCGTCTCTGCGATAGAATCAGACATTTGCGCTTCACCGCCAATCTCTTGCGGTCGTCTGCCTGCCTCGATAGAGCCCAGAACTAGCGCTAAGCCAGACCCAGGTTCAAGGCAAACCGACGCAAAGTCACTGGAAGCCTTACCTTTATTGATCTGATCCTGCATCCCAAGGCAAGGATTAATGGTAGTGCGCCAGGATCTGCATCAACATCAACAAAGAGCCGCGGTTGGCGGTCTGCATCTCGATACTTTCTGTGCTCTTAAGCATCCCGTTTCAGAAGAGGCACTGAGAGCTGGCTTATTCACTCAACGGAGCCGTGCATCTGCCTTTGGCTTGTTTTGCGGTGGCCTTTGTCGTTGAGCTGGACGATTGAGCCCAGACCCAAGTGTTTTCGCAGAAGCCATATTAGGAGGCCGAGCCCGTCGCCGATATCAACTCCAATCGATCAATCAGGAATCTAGCCTTCCTAAAGAACTCTCGTTGTCTTTGGACCCCAGACCATTCACCAACTTCAGTCCCAACAGTGATCAAGACATCCTCCAGACATCCACGATATTACCATATCGAGCCATCATCTTCTACACGCAATCATGGTTCCTGTTGCATCGCTCCTCAACCCATCGCCGCCTTCATTCGAACGCTTTCGGGACTACCCTACGCCCGCCTTCGACAAGTACCAAAAGCAGTCCTCGCCACTTTTGGCAGCACCGAAGAAGCAGAAAATGTCAAAGGCAGCAGCGACATTCGTGAAAGGCAAGCCAAAAGGCGAAGTCAAGTACCCTCCCTATGAGATCCAGGATGAAGCCACTGCAGCAGAGCACAAGAAGTTCGAAGTCCAGCCAATTGGCCGCATCGGAGAGTACCCCAAGCGCATTCCATACAACAGCGAGAAGAAGACGTTCCAACAGAAGACTGGAATGGACGGATTTGAAGGTATGTGACATCATCGCAAGAAGATCGGTATCGAAGAGAAGCTCAATCATGGCCATTAGTCTACCAGTACACTTTCAGAATGCCGGACGATGCTCGAGACAAGGATGCACATACTGTGATGTGGGATTACAATGTGGGCTTGGTGAGGGTCACATCGTTCTTCAAAAGCCTGAAGCACACGAAGGTAAGCGATCCTTCCGTGGGCCTTTTGCAGTCACCATAGCTTACACCTCGTAATTAGACAATGCCAGCGAAAGTGATGAACGCAAATCCGGGGCTCCGTGAAATATCCCACAGCATTACTGGTGGCTCTATCTCCGCTCAAGGTATGTGTTGCGTCATTTTCGCCTCATTCATAACAGAGGCTGTTTCAATTAACTTCACGTAGGATACTGGGTGCCATTCGAAGCGGCTAAAGCCGTGGCTGCAAGGTTCTGCTATGAGATCAGATACGTGCTGGTGCCTGTTTTTGGACCGGACTTCGTCTCGATGTGCCAAAAGTGTGGCGATGAATCTTATCTACGCTTGAACGTCCACCCCAGTATCATCCAGCGGTGTACCGAGGCTGCGACAACCAACCAGACGCAATCTAGGGAGTCTTCTGTGGCTGTAAGTCCTCGTACATCGGCTCCTTACGCCAATTCACCCGCATGGCCTCCAAAGCCGCTGCGGCCCAGACCGGCCAAGGCAACGGATGCGGAGAGTGGATACGGTACGGACTCGGATCGCAGTGAGAAGTACCCAGGGTCCCCTGACTCGCCCAGGAGCATCGAATGGACTCCAGTGAACTCCCCAAGGCTGGCCTGCCTGCAGACATACCGATTCTTGCAACAGCAGCCAAGGAATGTCACTTCGAGCCCTCGTGGTCTTGGCTATCCGACTACCACACATAGCAAGCGGATGACCGATACTAAGCGAGGGATATCTGAGATTGACGAGGCTTCCGACGCCGAAAGTTCCTCTGGTCACTCGTCAATAGACTCTCCTGCATCACCAAAACGAAGGAAGGTATCTGCAGCCATGACACCCGAGATTGGAGCAGCGTATACGCTGATTGAGTTAAACATGGCGGACGCGACATTGGGGGAGAGAAAGGCATTGAAACGTCGTCGAGCTTCGGCATAGTGCACGATTCTGGGTATGAGGGTGTTGACCACATGACGTGATGCTTTCGAATGGAGTCTGTGCTGCAAGAGACAATTTCCTTGGGTCTGATTTAAGGGAAAGCGGATGCGAGGCCATGATTTTGGGGAGAGGATGGATAGGAAATGGGGATGAAATACAGAACAGACACAGAATAGATTGGATGATTGCTGAATGAATCGTTGCTCTACTTCATATTACACAACTCACGTGAGCTTGCTTTGTGCCCACTCTACCATGGCAGAGAAATTAAGAGAAGCTCGGAGAAGACCGGCAGGATTCGGATTGTAGCCAGGAACCGACAGCCATTGGATCAACGATCAATTGTGTATTTGTAGTTCGGGAGCCTTGTAGCTTAGTACTGACGGGAGTCTGAAATGTATCATGGGGAATGTACCCCAGCCGTTGAGTATGGGGGCGTCCATGGAAGGAAAAAAAGGGGCGTCTGACCCCTGAAACGGTTGTCCGAGATGGTGGAGACTGAAGGCGTCATCTGCCAGCTGGGTCAAGTGACAGTTCATGCGTGTTGAATTGAAAGATGATGCTGATGTTAGACCAAAGTGTCATCTATATTCTGTTCAGAGGAAATACGTGTTGATACCTCGTAACTTATTAAATCCCCTGAATTGTTGACCAGTCGCGACTTCTCAAGCCTTCGTCATAGTCTTGCCAAGGCGGCAGTTTCCAAACAAGTTTTCTCTCTCACCACCCTCATCTCCATCCACAGTTAAGGCAAAGATCTCGTCAACACTTCACCTCCTAAAGGCTCTTCACTGCTTCATAACTACAAGTATTTCACAGTTTACTACCTCCTTCAAGCATTTCGTGTGGTTGACGACTAAACATGACTGACTCAGGACCTCCAAAGCTTGATCAAATTTCGCAAAGCTCCGGATTCAACGTTCCCACAATGTCCAGCATGAACGATTCAATGCAAGACACGAAGGGAAGCCTCTATGACAGTCAGGTAGAATTCACCCTTTCGCAGCCGGGGAATGTGGACTAATACCTCTGTGGCAGTATTCCGAGCTGCTCGCGTGACCCTGGCAAAACTTGTTGACAATCGACCTAGATGCTCAATCTGCTGCCAACACGATCCAGAATCATCCTGCTACACAGAGTGTGAAAGATGCAATGGGCAACGGCCCCGTTGCGGACCATGTCAAGGACCAGCATGCAAAGACTACGTCCGAATTCCGTAGTCTTGCTGACTCTCGCACCACTCCCGAGCAGTCTACGGCAAATGGGCAGCCGTTGACTCGTAAGTCGAATATCCTCATGAAACCTAAATATCGTTATAGATTCTGACAGCCTTGGCAGATTACCATTCGTTCTTCTACAATCTCCTAAGCGTATGTCAATGCCCTTCCCTTGTCGGCCGACCCAAAACCCTAAATAGCGTCTTTGAATACTCGATCATCGGCAGTCTGAGCCACTTCAAGGATAAGAGTTGTGGTGCACGGCAGGGGCAGAAGGCCACCACAGCATGTCAAATAAGGAATGGGAGCAAGAAGCTGATTCTTACTACAGTGGGAGAATCCCCGTGCAACGACGCTATCCTTTGTTTCGATTGTACTCTCCATCTTCGCAGCCCGGTACTTGCCCGCCCTACGCTGGTCGTTCAAGGCCTTGTGGATGGTACTTGGGAGTACGTTCTAATCATTCTACAATGAGTCGATGCAGTAGCACTGACAGCAGTACAGTCACCGCCTCTGCTGAAATCGCTGGAAAGCTTGTCCTCTCCCAAGGCCTAGCTTCTTCCTTCCGACCAAAGAAATACTACACAATTCCAAGGGAGGCTCTTGAGGCATCGCTGGAGGACATCGAGCAATTCATCAATTTCTTCGTCATTGAATTCCAACGTGTCCTCTTTGCCGAAAACGTCGTCCACACCGTTGCGGGCTTTGTCGCAGCTCTTCTCTCCTACTGGCTCATCAAGGTCGTTCCATTCTGGGGCCTGTCCCTCATCGCCGTCTCATGCATCTACATGGGACCCTTGATCTACATGACGAACAAGGAGCTCATCGACCACCACGTCAAAAACGCGTCCGAGGTCGCTAACGCCCAAGCAAATCAGCTCAAGGATCTTGCTGGCCATCATACCGCTCGTGCTCACGAGACTGTCAAATCTTATGCCGGAGACTACAGCGCCAAAGCCCAGGAGTACATGGGTAATGCTCGTGGCCGCTCCACTTCTCCTGAAGTCAATAGCTCCAAGCCTACGTCCGACGCACCAGTCAAATCTGAGCCGGGCAGCGACCTTAGCGCCTCCGACTTCCCCCATGCTCCCAAGCAGGTAAAGCTCTTCATGCCCCTTCGAGCTGTCTCAGTGCTCGGGTTTTTGCCCCCAAAAAGATATGCTGACTCGCAAAATGTAATAGGAGCCTACGTCTGGCGTCACTTCCCACCAGGAGCAATACAAGAACTCCCAATTTGGTGGACAGGCTGAGCCAGCCTACTAGATGGTGCCGTATTAATGGCAAGAGCAAGCGGTGCTGAGGGCACGCAAACAAGGGATGCAGCCATAAGTGTGGCGACTCGAAGTGGACACGAAGACCTCTAGACTGATTTGAATTGCGGTAGCGATAAGGTATATGAGGATTATGCTGGGTTCTGACCCGGAAAGATGTACCAATGAGCGGTCTCTACTTGTACTTTAAATCTTTTAGAAATGCTTGTTTGTCGAAATTCGTCAGTGCGTACTCGCATATTGTGGTATCAACTAGCAAGTGAACACCTTACCATCGAAGCCCAGCCAGGTATTTTTGGACGACGAAGCTATAAGACATTGGTAATGTCTGAAGAAGTGTTTTCTCACAATGTTTACATCGATTCTCCCACAAAGCAACATAAGAGGCGACAATCCATATGTTTGGACGACACTGCCACGTGCATTCAACAGCCACTTCTGACGAGCATTACCAGCGTGACAAAGCTGATGAGATGCATTAGATTCACCTCCCTACGCAATCGTGAGCCATCCAGCAGCCACTCCTCAAGCGAAGGTTATGAATCGAGTGATCATTCAAGAGTAGGCTATAATCACGTAAGTACCACCACTCTCGCAGATTGAGTCCAAGACTCACAAAATGCTGCTAATTAGCTGCGCAGGTCTTCACTCCCATAATCGTAGAGAAACTTCTATCACCCACTCCAGTCTAAGGACGTTCCTGCCTTTGGTCGAGTATTAGTCGAGCATTGAATCAGCCCATAGTCAGATCGTTCATAGAAGCCTCTTGTCAATGACCTCCAAAGCACCATTCATCCCATTCTCAGCCGTTGTGAAACACTCGTTCAGATCAGCTAAATGGTCTGTGATATACTGGAGCTGGAGCTCGCCGTCGAGCTCCCAGCGTCGACGAAGGGTCTCTCGGTCCACATCAAGGGCATGAGCACTAGCACGCGATCTTCGCCAACAACCCGAGGCTTTCACGGTGGATGTCTTGCTCTCGCGAAGGGCGGAGGTTCTTGCGGCGTTTCTGAGAGTTCTTGGAGCCAGTGCCACAATTTGTGATATCTGCAAGGGCTGGTCGCGAGGATAGACGACGACTAGGGATGAACTTGATAGTAGGGTTTTCATCCTGAGTAAGGTCGATGACATTGGGTGTAGCGGGTGGTTCGATTTTTGCTCGCTTTGGTGACGAGGAGAGGAGGTCAATGACATCCGCGTTCCGTTTATTCGATGCACGAGGTCCCAAGGCAACGTTGTTTGTGCCTGTGGCGGGCGTGCGTGCCGAACGAGTGGTTGAGTTGATATTCTTGATGAGTTCCTTGGCACTCACAACAAAAGCTGGTACCGAAGGGGTTCTGACGACGTCTCGGTAGGCTTGGGTGACTCCTTTCCGTTCTCTCATGAGGTCAGCTTTCCAATGATCGGGATAGATATCGGATCTAAAAGCCGCAGGTCCCGTCCAGCGATCGGGGTAAGAGACTGGTGTATCGACAGCACGGACGGCATCAATGAGGCCTTTGAGCTTGGGCCTATGGATTTTTCCGAGTCAGCCTTTGTTCTTCAAGGGCGGGCCAAAGCAAGAAATCGGAGCAACGTGACAGCTTCAGGGGGCATGAAGAGCCTTTGGCTTCCAGAACGTGTCTGATCGCCCGTAAAGTGGTCCGAAACACATACCAATTGCTGCAATCAAATCCCGCTCTGGCTGCGGCCTCAGCGATTGGAGCATCAGATAGCTTCAAGTTGGAGTCTATAGCTGGGTAAGTGGAGTGCTGTAGTGAGAGAGAAAGCCTTACTTACGACGAATCTGGAGGTATTGATTGCCAGGTCCTGTGACTAGATGGGCGGACAAACACTGGTCTTGAGACAAAGGACAGCCTCCATTATTGAATGCGTAGCACGCGAACATTGATGGCGGCGATAGGGCACCTTTTATAGTATGGCTGTATCTGCATTGGTGATCCAGGCAACCAGCGGGGTCAAGTAACCAATGCCGGCATGTCACCCTGGCCTCTGCCCTCGACTGGAAGACAATCATCCGTCCTGAAGTCACGACTGCGGGTACCAGGCAATTAAAAGGGGTTGATGACTGTTATATTTATCCCGAACAGAACGCCAACAATGGTATGGGTCTTGAGAGTGATGTCAATGGAAGAAATGGTGATTATCAACAGATAGCTGAAAGATGTCATTGGCGGGTCGTCTAGTGTAGCGAGAAGGCAGATGAAGTGTATGGAGCCTCTGAAGATGATGTTTGGAGAGTGATACCGATGGCAAGAGATGTTGATGTTGAGCAAGTGGAGCAGGTGATACTTAGGCACACGCTAAGGAGACCCGACGCGTTGAATTCAACAATGTTCGAGATATTTACCTGCAGCAGTCTTAACTTTCACGTGGGCTCGATTGCAAGATGAGGCATCTTTCTAGACTAGCCTCGTTCATCGTGCCTTCCTCGACTCCTTCTATTTGCACATGAACGTCCCACACATGCCACGCAACTTCAATTGACTACAGTCAAAGCAATCCTCTCTGCACATAGCTTGGGCCAATTCTCAATAGCTCCTTGGAAGTCCTAACACCTTCTCACCGATATAATTCATGATCATTTCCTGTATGTCGTCAGCAAGTAATTCTCCATTGGGGTAGCCATGTTCGTTACTTACTCTGCTCACAGGTGCGATACGAGGAACGAAACATTCTCTCATGTACCTCTCGACGTGATATTCTTGCGCATATCCCATGCCACCATGAGCGAGTACCTGCCACAATTCAATCTCTGGTTCCCGAGTCTCAGAAATTGAAAGGGCTTACGGATCTTTCACAGGCAGTGAACGCAGCTTCGGCAGCAAGATATTTGGCAGAATTGCAAGCTACGCCTACTGCATGAGGCGTCACATAGGGATCCTTGCCGCTCGAGTCATACACCCTGGCTGCATGGTACGTTGCAAGCTTGGCAGCTTCGAGGTTCATGTAAGCCGCGGCAAGAGGATGCTGGATGCCTTGATTCTGGCCGATGGGTCTCCCAAAGACTACACGCTCTCGTGCATACTTCGAAGCCTTCTCCAATGCGGCGTAGCCCAGGCCCAATGCCTCTCCAGCGAGTAAACAGCGCTCAGCATTCATCCCGTGGAGAACCTAGCAGTGGTCAGTCTCCATACATCCCTCACTAATCTAGACCTTCTTCTCACAATCTTGAAGCCTTGCCCTTCTTCGCCTATCAGAGTATCTGCTGGGACTCGGTAGTTGTCAAAGAACACTTCGTTAGCATCAACAGCTCTGCCTCCCATCTTCTTGATCCTCTTCAGTTCAAGCCCAGGAGCATGTCTATCGAAATCAATGAAAAACAAAGACAGGCCCTCCGATGGCTTCTTAAGTTCTTGCAGAGGTTCCGTACGAGCCAACAATATCATCTTTGATGCAACTTGGGCGGATGAAATCCATATCTTCTGGCCCGAAATATTGTAAGAGTCCCCGTCACGAACCGCTAGGGTCTTCAACTTCAGGGTTTCTAGCCCAGTACTGATCACACCTAGCGTAAGTCATTGCCGACTGCGGAGACGTTGTCTATTTGTCTCCTGACCTTGGCTCCGTCACCCCAAAGCATGCTTTCCACTCACCACTGATCAACCTAGGCAGCATACTCTTTCGTTGATCCTCTTTGGCGAATTTGGCAACCGGTTGTGTGGCATATACATTTGCATGGATTGACTGAGCTCCTGCTATGCCGGCACCGCTTTGTGAGATGGTCTGAAGCATCATTGTGGCTTCAGATATACCAAGTCCAGCACCGCCGAGATCCTCAGGCAATGCGATTCCAATCCAGCCATCTTGTGCAAGAGCTGCATGGAGTTCATGTGGATACACGCCAGATTCATCATGTCCCGCCCAGTACTCGTCTGGAAATTTGGAGCAGATCTTGGCAACAGCTTCTCGAACATCTAGCTGTTCTTGCGAAAAGCCTGTGAGCTCCATGATCCTGTGCGGGTTACTAGTAGAGAAAGCGCGGGACAGATTTACGGGCAGCGAACGGTGCCCTGGGAGCCTACTTGGCGGAAGGCATTTCGACGGCAAGTGAAGGAGCTTCCTCGCAAATCGAGGCATCTTGTTCGACATCGATAGATGAAAGCCAGGCTAAGCGATTCATGCCACATATGGCACGTCACCGTGAATGAGGCCTGTTGGTTGTAAAGAAGAAATGTAGCTAGTCAATGGAAAGAGATGTTGCGAATTGAGCGGAGAGGAAGAAGAAAAGCGAATCATGTGACTTCGAGCGTAGGGCTGATTAGCGCGGTGTAGATCAAAACAAACCGCAGCGGAGAACCTGAACCTCATACTAACGATTCGCCATAACAGCAACACGGCTTTGCGATTGCTTCCGTAGCAGTGCGCTCGGCTGATGTTTGCATCATACTAAACTGCATCTTCATGACAGCGGCGCACCCAGCGAGATAGCAATTCCACTCCCTCTTTGCTCGCTCAACACCAAATTCATCATGGCAGCAGTCCGTTCCCGAGCGCAGCAGATAGGATCTCAACAATGGATCAATGATGAAAATGATCAGGTCACTCAATTTTGTACCCAAGAAGCAGAAGACTTCACGTTCTCAGCTCGCAATGAGGTCGAATGGCTCAACGAGCATATGGCGGAGATTTTCAGCAAGAATGAAGTGTACGAATGACAGTCTGGGAAGATGTTGGACTCGCTGATCGCGAACAGAAACGTTACGGAGATCTTCAAAACTCCGGGCAAATTACGCGGCAAGACTCCACGAACAGCGAGGAAGCGAAATCCGTTGGAGGTTCGAGAGGTGAGTATCTGAAGGGCCCAGCTACCAACGAGTACTAAAATCTCTTGCAGCCTTTGACTGACATTTTCCTGACCAACGCGCAGCGGGCTAACAACCCTTCTCATCAGGCCAGCCCCACGAGGGCTGCTCCTACATTCCAAGTTGCTGAAGAACCCATCATACTTGTCGAAATTGAGAAGGAAACGAAGGCGAACGCAGACTCGGGCTATCATGGACTTCCAGAAGATGACATGGATACTGATCAGGGTTTGGCAGTAGTGCCATCATCAGCTGAGACCCACGATACGCTGGAAGAGTTCCCTCCAAAGTCACCCTTGCGAGGACATCCAAACGTGGCAAACCAGTCGGAGCGTCACAGCACCACGGAGAGGTCCTTTCATTCAGCGAAAGAGGAAATTTCAAAGGTTGATGTCACCATCGCAAGCCCACAAAAGAATGAACCTCCAGTTGCAGACGTCGAAGATCCCGCGGAACCTACCAAAGCACCTTCGCCTGGACTCGCGCCTGTTCCAGACCATGTCTCAGATGATGTGATGGAAACTGATAATTTGGACAAAGATCTGGATGAGGATCTCGTTGTGGATGAGTCGCGGTCGCCATCTCAAGGATCGAGCCCTGCTAGACCTCTCGTCCGCAAGAGTAGCCTCACTTTCGCGGCTTTGCCCGCGCGTGAACCCTTGACAACGAAAAAAAGCATAGGGGCAAGGGCTTCTGGAACTAGCCACTTGGACCAGTCAAAGACGCGTGGTAGCTTCCTTGGGAGATTCACTGGTGGGAAATCTCTCGGCGGCTCAAGGCAGCCCGAGCCTGATCATGAAGATGAGATCAACGATGACATGGATGTTGATAAGGAGAAGCCGGCACTCAATCGCGAAGAGTCGGATGGAGAGTCTAAGATGGCTCAGCTCCACAACAAATCCTCTACACAGCGGCTCCACGATAGAATCAACATGCTCGGAAAGTCACAACCTGCTCGACCAACGAAATCAATCCCCGCAGCAGCAGCTGTGACAACTCTCAACTACCCAGAGCTACCAAACCCAGAGCCACAAACAGAGATGGTTCAGCAGACTTCGTTTCTCCCTTTGAAGACAGTGACTGCCCCAGTATCTAACGATGAAGATGACGATGACTGGATCCAGCCACCTCAGGTACAGCCAAGTGCTTTGAACCGACCCCAGCTATCCAAAAGTATTTCCGTAGATGTCATGGAGGACATCAGGGGAAAACAAACTATTGGTGGCCAAGATTTTGGTCATAGTCGAAATGATGAGCCAGCTACAAAAGCGCCGTCTCCGTTACGCCATGCTCAGGCGCAGAGAACTCGAAGTAGTGGACAATGGCTCTCGAGGGCAGCCACGGTTTCCCAATCTACACCCCTAGCGGAAGCTACTGAAGGGGCTGCTACAAAAGCTGTACGTGCAACCACAGCATCGGGATGGAATGGTTCAACGCCTACAGACCAGTCAACGACTCCGCTTGGCAGCCCATCTTCGAGACGGTATGTTGATGGACCCTTGAGCGCTTCCAAGTCGAAATTGCAATCAATCATGAAGACTGCTCGAGGCTTATTCTCAAGTAGTGCCGGTGTGTCCGCGCAAGCTAGGATGGAGACCCTTTCGCCCCTTTCGACACGCACTCACGGCGTTACACACGCGCCATCATTCAGTAATGTTTTGAGAAGCAAGTCTCCGAAAGGCTGTTTGAACAACTCAGTGAGTAACACCGATGTTCGGAAGACTCGAAGCTCCACGGAGAAGGAGGAAAGAAGGAAGGAGTCAGAAGCAAGGGAACGCCGACGAACTGAAGAAGAGCTTGAAAAAGCCAGAGAAAATGAGGGTCCAGAACTTGTGACGCAGAAGCTTGTGCAGCCGCAAGGCCCTCAGGTAGAAGCGAAGACCAAGCCAACAAGGCAGAGCCCAAGGAAAACGCAAACTCACGAAAGTCCTAAAGCCCAACCGGATGTTGTTGAGGACGACTTACCATCTCAACTAATGGGTCCACCAGCGTCGCATGCCCCAACGCAACAGTCACAGTTGCAAAAGCCCAGCAATGTGAGAAGACCCATTAAGCCTGCCAAAGAGACAGCTCCCAAGCCAAAGCCACAACCTGTGGCTATTCGTGTTGGCACGCTCTCGCAGAGGATCCCGCTTAGTAACGCCGCGCTCTCATCAAGTCTGCAGGAGTCCTTGCCCCAATCACAGCCAAAGCAGCCAGCAGTCGGGAGGATGCCTAGCAACGCTTCACTTCAGACCTCAGCTTCTAACAGTAGCCTCAAGAGCTCTGCGACATCCGCGGCACCTAAGCCCAAAGCTCTACTCGCAGCAGAGCGGAAGAAAGAACAGGTGTGTCTCCGCGAGGCCAGATGAATTATCGCATGCTAATTCTGAAGCAGGATGAGAGGGAGGCACAACGCAAGCTTGATCAGAAACGTGAAATAGAACGTAAAAGGGCTGTTCAGCAAGAGGAAGCGAGACGACAAGAGCAGCAACAACGTGAGGAAGCAGAGAGGCAGCGTGAACGAGAGCGTGCTGCGGCTGCTGAGGACCCTAAGAAAATCGCACAGAAGCAAGCAATTGAGAAGAGAAGGATGGAGCTGAACAAGAAAGAGCAACAGCAACGGGTGCCGCAGAGGCCTGCAATGGATCAGGTACGCCGACTCTGACGTTGATTTAATTTAGCAATGGCTGATTTTGAAGGCACCTATCTCACAGTACGCACATGCTACCTCGGCAAATCGTCCGGATATGGGTGGCGCCAGGCCTCCATCAAGGCTGCATAACGCGCCGCCTCATCCAAGCTTTCCTAATGCTCATCCTCAGAATCCAGCGAAACCAGCCAACAAACGAGTCTTCAACCCTGACACCGATGACGAGCCTCCTCGACAGGTTCGCCCGCAAGGTGGTCCTTCATATCAACAAAACGACGGTAAACGGCGGAGGACAGAAGACGAAGAATTGCAGGAAATCAGAGTTCGACCGACAATGGCGCCTCCCATCCGCCAATCAGGGATTCGCAAGGATGGTCATAAGGCGTCAATATTCGGCAGCAATTACACAACAGCACCACCGCCTGCGCCTCACCATCATAATGCACCATCTCTGCTCAAGACGACCACAGCAAGCCAAGCGTACCAACAGCACGCCCATCAAAACCAAATGTCACGACCAGGCCACCATCCTGACATAGCCAAATACACCAACGGCAAAATCCCCTTCGCCGAGGCCCCCAACCCCCCACAAGCAAATCACAAGACCCCACTTCCCTCCAAACTCGCTCCCCCACCAGCCAAAGCCTCCCCTCATTATCAGAATGGTGAGAACATCCATCTCGACGACATTCCCACGGAAAGCGAAGAATCAGACTCGGAGGACGAAGCCGAAAAGGCGAAGAAGGGCGCGAACCTTCCCGAGTGGGCCCAGTCACCCCAATTGCGCCAACTCCTAATGACACAAGATGAGAATATGGACGCGGATGCCGTCTTTGGGCCCGTGGCGAGTCCGCATATGGAGGAGATGTTCAAAGAGAGGCATCATCGGTTCAGGTCAAGGACGAGTAGCGCCAATTGGGCGGGCGCTGATCGGTTAACAGAGGAGGAGATCAGAAGGGATGTGGAGGCGAGGCAGAGGTTGAGGAGGGAGGGCGGGTGGACTTTTGGACTGTGACCGTGTGCTCTATACATTCACTGACTCTCCGGTGTATGCCTGTGCATTTCACCTCTGTTGCCAGCCAGAACGTCCGCATTCGATCTGTGCAGCGACAGTTTCAGGGACGGGTGCTCCGATGTCTGGAGAGGAAGGGAAGAAGCATGCCGCTCATGCCAATGAGTGTAGATGGGACCGTGGTAGCAGCGAATGGATCCGCTAGGTTCGGGGTATCGAGGCGCGTTTGGGTGCCTCGGAGAACCCTTTTTTCTTCTCTACCAACTGCGTTGGATGGCCAACGGTCCACTTGCATTGTTAATAGGCGTCATAGCAAGTTACAAGTTACAGCGGAGTATGGGAAGGTGGCTCGCAGGACGTTAATACATGATTTCAATTATCGGCGCGTCAACCGTCATGTTTCACGGACCGTGTGCTGTCGTCCGCTTCCAGGCTGGTAATCTTCAGGTGCAGGCGGGTGTCATTCTGTTGTCACGATGAGATCACATGCATGGCTCACGCAGGGAAGGAGCTCCGATACCGATGATTAATTCTCTTCGGACGGAGCAAGCGCTGTTGCTATGCTATGAAAAGCTGGACTGAAGCCATCCCAACCTCCCATACAGAACGCGCCTTTGCATGCTATATCGCTTTCATAGATCTTGTGTGTATACAGATGTGCGGCAATCCGTGCCCGTCATGACTGCTGTTGCACTGGAGGCTGTTGCATCTGTTGCTGCCCTTGTTGCAGCCCAGGTTGCACCGGTTGCCCTCCCACCTGCGGTTTCCTGACCTCCGGCTTCCAATCCGGCCACAGCTCTCGGAGCCTGGTGTATTCCTCCCTCAGCAAGTCCAATTGCCTGTCTCCCTCCTCGTTTCCAGGATTGAGCCAGAGAGGTGGTGCTTCGAGGTGGCTGGGGTACGGCAACCGGGGCTTATCCTTCGCTTGGTCAGATATGCTAACAAGGAACATGATGTTGGTTTTGATGCGGGTCATGAATTCCACGTATTTTTTGGTATTGAGGGATGGTTGCTGAGGTGCTGTTGCGGTGGTGGGTGTTGTCATTGTAGGTGTGCTGACGGTGGGATTTGTTTTGGTGACCGAGTTGTTTTGGTTTTGGGTAGTTGATGTAGGGTCGCCTGCTGAGGTAGGAGGTGCCGGAGTCGCCTGCGGTGAGGAGGTGTTTGGGGGCGCCGTCTGTTGAGGCGATTGTGGAGACGGCTTGAACCCGACTTTCTGCAGGATTGTGACTTCTTGTAGCAGGAGGTTGTTGACTTGGAGGAGGGCATCGACGCGTTGTTGGTCAAGTGACGAAAGTCCGCCGGGTTGAAGAGCGGGGTCTGCGGATTGAGAGGGTACTTCGGAGGTGGGAGTTGATTGAGTGGAGGGTGGATTGATTGGGGCAGCTGTCACGGTCATTGTGGAAGTCGGTGGATAGGAGGAGCTAGAGGTGTGGAGTCGCTGAGGAGTCGTTGAGGCTCCGGAGTAAGCCTGAGCTGGCGCGAGCTCGGATACAGCTGAAGAGGACTTTTGTCGCTGATGGTCTATGAAATTGGCGGGTGGTTGACCTGAGGAATGTAGCAAGTCATAGTGTCAGCAACAGCTCATAGATTACTCCTGCTTCATTCCAGAGTCTGACGGAGGAAGATACAAAGGGAAAGGGGCACGGACCATGGTTCATATATTGCTGCTGGGGCAGATAGGGCTTTTTAAAGTGATCATCAGGCGCAGTCATGGGAGGCTGCGTCGACAGTCCTCCGACATTGTGAATCTGATTGGGACCATACGGCAGTCTTTGGGAGTGATATGTCTGGCCTTCGGAAGGCTGTGGGAGTGTGTAGGAGGGTAGAGGAGGAGAGGAGGCATTGGATTGGTTGGAGTGAGGATATGGATTGGGATAAAACTGCGAGTGCGAGTGGGAATGTTGTTGATGTGACTGCGGGAAATGAGGTGCATTATTGGTCGGGCCGGCGTACGTCGAACGTGGGCCATAGCTGCTTTCTTGGTATGCCATGGTGCATGGATAAACACGAGTTGCAGAGAAGCCCCGCTAGAAAGACCCAAACACGGTGAGATGTGGTGGCACGACTAAAAGAAAGATGCTGGGATCCTTGCATCTTTCCATTCTCATTCGTCAGAATCATCGGCTCACGGAACGTTTATTCAAGCCCTAAGAAATGGGACGCTGCCCTGCGCACTGGGGAAATTCAAAACCCTAAAGTAATCCACTCGATTGCCAAGACTAGACTCACAGAGACCCTTTGCTACTCGTACATGAGTGAGTGAAATAACGGGACTAATGAATGTCCGTCCTTCTTCAAAATAATGGGAGACGCTGAGCTCACCTCACAGGAGTCAAGTAAAGGTGCGCACCCACGGCGAGATGTTGAAGCCAGAATGATAGGGTGTGCTCGAATTCCACTACATGCAGAGTGGAACAATAACCGCAATCAACATTTACTGTTGAACCCCTCAAGAAATCCCCATGTGAACGCCACGGAAGCGACGGCAACTCCCATTAGCGGCACATTAGCGGCATCAAACCCAGGGAAGCAGCAAATTGGCAGCCGCTTGCAATGAAGCACACTACAGCTGGATGAGGAGAAGAGAGGCCCAAGAATTTCTACATCTATTCTGCATATCAAGCAATAATATCGTTCGCGTCCTGCTCTTGAACATCCTCAGCCCCCCCAATTGATCCATTCCGGTATATATCTTGTAGCACACTTCTCATCTCCTCAAGCAGCTTATCCACCTCTTCCTCAGTCCCCACTGTGATCCTTAAACAACCGAGGCATCCCACCTCCTTTCCCCTGAATCTCACCACGACCCCTTTTGTCTCCGCCAGCCTCTCGTAAAGAGCCAAAGCAGTCTCATTGCTCGGTTGGCCCCCTCTACTCCTTGGTCTATCCAGGATCTCGGCTAGCAGGAAGTTCGATTCAGCCCCACCTAAAAAGCTTCCCACTCCAGGTATTTTCGGCAGCTCCCGCATCATTCGATCTCGCTGCTCCACAATCCTTTGCCGATTCCTCCTCATGACAGCCAGATTCTTGGGCTGCAAAGCAGCACAAGCCAATGCGCTCGTAGGACTTGAGATGTTATAGGGCGCCTTGAGATTATTGAGGAGGCTTGAAATCTCTGGAGATGTGAAAGCGGCGCCAAGGCGTATACCGGCAAGGCCAAATGCTTTGCTGAGAGTCTGCATGACGACAAGGTTGGGCCACTCCGTCACCCACTCTGCCAAGCTGGATCCTTCAGGAGAGAAGTCGATGTAAGCTTCATCTAGGACAACGACACCGTTCCATGTAGGATGCTCGAGCACCTGCTGGATATCTGATTTGGTGATCAGATTGGCGGTAGGATTGCCAGGAGAGCAGATGTACACGATTTTGATATTAGGGTCTGAAGAAAGAGCATCGTTGATGGTTTCTGGACGTAGCTTAAAATTTCTGGACGTATCTAGGGGCACTTTGACGATCTCAAGGTCGTTCACTTGGGCGCTGACAGCGTACATACTATGAGGATTTTCCAAGTCAGAAATTCTCTCTCTACGGCAAAAGGTCGAGTTTGACGACAGGCTTGGAGAGCAAAGATTTGCTTCTGGCTTTCGGGTTGTGTCTTGCGATCAACTTTCAGAACGGCACGGGGGAAAGACTGCGAGAGTACGAACCCATATGTTGGCGGAGAGACCAAGACCTTGTCTCGCCCAGGAGTACCAAAACATCGAAGAAGAGCATCAATGACTTCATCTGAGCCAACGCCCACAAAGAGGCTTTGTGGCTTCAACGATTTAGTTGTGTGATGGTGGGTATTTCGTAGGTTACAGAGCAGTTGTTTCAGTTCAGTTTGGTGACTGAAGCAAGAGATCAAGACTGCTCCATTCAAAAAGTGTATGAGACTTACGGGTCCGGATATCTGTGTAGATCGGCTGTCTTCTCATGTGTATGACCATCGACAGCACCATTGGTCATCTCCAAGCCAGGACCGTACGCATTCTCATTCGCGTCAAGAAGGATATTAGTTCCATCGTCTTTGTAATCGTCTCTGGCACATCTGTACGGCTCTAATGCTAATATATTCGGTCTCGCACACTTGGACAGATCAAATGGAGATTTCTTTGCCATTGTTCCCTTGTTGTCCTTTTCCTTCACCTGGCACGTCAAGAAGCTTCAAAGTGAGTCTTCCGGCAACAAGCGCTAGCGACGAGTACAAAAGTACAAGATTTTCTTTTTTTTAGGCACTTTGAACGCAGGTACTGGTAGTAGGGTCGAAGCCTGACAATCTTCAGGTACTTTAAGTAATAGTGGCTGGTTAGGTGTCAATGAGATCCATCGCATTGGCGATATCGGCGATTCATACTTCTTTGGGTCTAGTCTTCGGCTCTTCCCCGCGCTGCGATAGGATGCCTTTGGCTTGGCTTGTCTTGGCTTGCCAACCAAGACAACTCAGCAAGTGTGGTGCGGATTGCAAGCGCGTCTTGTCTTGAGACCAATACCAATGAATTTCTCACATCGTGACATCCTATACCAGTATCCTGCCCTCCACCGCTCTCTTTGCTTTTACTTCAGCTGGAGAAACCTACTCCTCGCTCTTTATCATACTTATCTGCCCGTCATCTTGACTCTTCACTGCACATTACTAATTTTCCGAAGGCAGCTGCTAAACCGCTCCCTACCGAAATACAATTTCTACATATGCAGGTACACCCAGCCTGCTCACAACGCTCAAAGGCCCTTCGGATGATTGCAGCTTGAATTCTTCTTCCCTCTTCCCCACAGATCCGAGAGCTGAAGCCATCTCCACAACAAAATATCCGCAATGTGTTGACCTCGCTAGCGATCCTGACTGAGACCGAGCTATTCCGCTCCACTACCTTGCTATATCTACCTTGCCATCATAATTCTCATTCACCCGAGGTTATTAAGTCTGGTCTGAATGTCGTGGAAGCTAGCGGGTGGCACAACCATATCTGGGATTTTGTGAGGCGCCGAACCTTCACCTCACCACTGCCTAGAAGTCGTCGTGGCAAGACGACGATATTCTTGGTGTCATGGGAAGGGCTGATGCAGAGCGAGATTACTATGGTGACCTGGAGCTGGAGCCAACGGCAGACCCCAATGAGATCAAAAGACAGTTCAAGAAGCTCGGTATGGTGTTCTTCCTTGATTAAAGAAATACCCTTATGCTGACAATATCCCCTTTTCAGCTCTCAAATATCACCCCGATCGGAACCCAGGCAGGGAGGTGGAATACAATTCTAAGTTCCAAGCCATACAATCTGCCAATGAGGTGCTCTCAGACCCACAACAACGGGCGAAGTATGACGCACAGCGCATGCGAGCAGGTCTGCTACATACCTATACTGGTAGCTCTTCTTCGCCTACAAGACCGAGTGTACCTACACGATCTCCTATGACCGATTTCCCTCCTCCTCCACGCCCACCCCCTTATACTGCAACGAAAAACACTTCCACGCCTCATTCTTCCGGTGCACAAAGGTACAAAGATTTCCGCTCTCGCCCAGAACCAGCTTCATGGAGAGGCGCCAGCACAGACGACCCTAAGACAAAGACCAGTGATTTCAAGGCATGGGAGTCGATGAGGATGAGGACACCAAGGCGTGGGGAAGGCCCCATTCCCTTTCAAAGACGGACGGTACCGCCAAAAGCTGCTAGACCACCCCCAGTTCCGCCAGGACGTGAAACGAACGGCAAGGCACCCAAAGACCCTTCGCCAAGACGACCTGGCTGGGATCATGTTCAAGAGCCCCACGCGGGCATGCCAAGCACGACGAGAGCCGATACCAGTCGTGGTCCCCCGCAGAAAAACGGCTTCGCTCCGAGTTCGCCTGGAGTGGGAGGAGATGAGCCACAAGCACGTTCAGCATATTTCACTGTTGGGAGAGGCGAGCGACCCGCGAATTTAAGATCGCAGACCCACATGCCCCCACCTCCACCTCCACTTCCAGGCCATGCGCCTACTTCGCAAAGAGCTGACCCGTTGGCGCCATTCAAAGACAAGGTAGGTCTCAATGAACCCTTTGGAAACAAGTCCCGCATAAGCACGCCTTATCACACAGGTGGCGGCGAGAAAATTAGTCCATACTTCGCCAGTCCAGGCCTGGAAAGATCCAAAACGTCTGCGAGCCCTAGAGACAGTAATAGTCGGACAGGATGGTTTGAAGGCAAGCCAAACAACTCGGACTCTGTTCATCATCGGGCTGCGTCTACCAGCTCGAACCACCAAAACATGAGCCCACCAGACAAGAAGGACACAAGGATGCCGGGTGTCTCGGGAGTGTACTCTTCTTCGTCCTCATCAAGTTCATCTTCCGATGAAGACGTCGACCCTGTTTCTTCAGCGAGGCCACGTGTGACCCAAATCCCAAAGACAAGGCGGACACGCGCCGATGCTGGTCAAACGTCCGTTCAGCCCCCCGGTGGTTTCAACCCTTTTGTCAAAGTCGGCGATGAGCCAATGGCGCCACAAGCAGGCCTAGGAGCTGGCAACTACGAGATTCGTCGGAGGCATTCGGCAGTGGATATTGACACTCGCAAACCGTCGGAGGGATTTTCCGAGCATCGCAAGAAGCACGAGGCCGACAGGTCGCAGCAGCATTCAACGAGCGTCCCCGACGCTTCCGACCCCCACAATGGAGCTGGGACACAACCAACCCTCCAGCGATCGCACAGCTGGCATGAGAAGAATGGGCCCCCCAAAGACAAAGACTTCCATTCTGCTGCAAATGAACAGGAGGGCAAAAATCCCATGTATGAGCCACGAGGGTATAACCCATTTTCTTCTCCTCCTTCTTCTCCGATTTCCCCTTTTCCAAACCCCCCTACTCAGGATACACCCTTTCCAGACAGATGGTCAGATCAATGGCCTTTCAATTCCCCCAAGAAGCCCAGGACTGCTTTCACTGAACCTCCCCCATACTGGGCTATACCATCCAGTCTGCCTCCCCCGAGAGAGATCGTGTCTCGCAAGCGAGCAAGCACAGACGTCCCTTTGCACGGTCATCAACAAAAAGCAGCAATGACGTACGCTAATGTTGATTCCTTCGATAGCTTTAAGATTCCCGAATACGCGAAGAATTCGTTCCCACGTACAGCATCCCTTCGCAGCCAGAACTCGGAACAAATCAATACCAAATTCTCCCCTGACAACTGGCACGGCAAATTTTTTGAACCTCCTCCGCCCAGCCGCTCAAACACACCTCGCAGCGTGTCTCCCACCAAACCCAACATATTCCAGCAGCAGCAGGAACAGGAGTCCCAACAAGGCTCCGCGAGTGGAGATCCGATGCAACGTGACTCGTCCAAAACGTCCACCTCGTCATTCCCGCCGCCTCCTCCGCCATTCGCTCGAGGCAAATTCCAGCATGAGCAATGGGCTCCGCATTTAAATAATTTGAAATTCGATATGCCGCAGTCTCCGCAGGGACGCTCACCTAGCCGAACAAGTACTCGAAAACGTCCAAGGACACGACCTCAAAGAGCTTCCAACACTCAAGCAAGTGTTGGCGATGCGGAAGACGATCCTACCGCGGGTAGCGCAACTGGCGAGAGCCTTGAGAGCAGTAAGGCGAGCAGTGATGTCGATGCCATGGATGTTGACGAGCCGACACCTCCATCTGCAAAGACCGTTCCACAACACACGAATGGTGGATACGTTCCATCAGCTCAACCTGATGTTTCCAATAATACGCCTCGCCAAGGCCCAATGCTGCCGCCCCGAAGCCCTGCAGTACCACCACGAACAAACGGTCTTGGGCAGCCAGAAAAGAGGGCGTCCCATTTAAATCTCGGAGACCTCAAGAATGTTTACCCCTTTGCACCCAGCAACGAAGGTCTTGGGAATATGAACGAGATGGGCACCACCCTTCCGCAGCCATCCCATTCATCACCCACCAAACAGCCCACCGAGTCTTCTCGGCAACAGATCAAGTTCCCCAATCCACCACTGTGTCCGTCCAACCCTCTAAACCTGACTCAGCATTCCTGGGACCACTATTGCCTGAATTTACGCCGCTATCTAGACGAGTGGACCAAGTTCAATGACCAAATGGCTGAGATACTCAAGAGCATTACTCGAGAAAGCGTCAAATGCCGTTGGTTGGACCCAGAAGGAACAGGTTATGATAAGCATATGAACATGCTCGACGAGCATCAGAGGGCAAGAGTACACCTGGAGGTTGCTTGCGAAAACAATGAGAAATGCATGAAGTCTTTGGGCGACGCAATGGATGCGAAGGTTCGAGGAAGAGGTGGTGTGGGTAGGAAACAATCGAACGCCGGCCCAATTCTTGAAGGACTGCTGTAGATGTAACGCACCTGTAGCAATTTCCAGTTGTGTTTATTTTGATGACGATGAGCAAGGCGTTTCGGCTTGGGATATACCCCTCTTGTCCTGGTCCTGGGCATATCTATTGTCCAATTTTCTACTCAAGAGCACGCATGGATATTGTCGGCAAATTTACAAAATGAGCATGGATTGTTCAGCGAGGAGTTCAACAGCTTCTAAGGGTTTATGACCAGTATGCTTTGGATGCAGGGGACAGCTCTTGATCAACGTTCAATGGTCTGTCATGTCGTGATGAGTCGCAATTGTCTGGTGATACTGCTCGTTTTCTGCTTTTGTATGATACAGTTTGCTAGAGCGGAAACGATGAATACTTCAGAACAGGGTCCTCTCCACTGACGCGACACCGCAATTGCCAGACGCACTCGAGGCTGGTCGAATACTCTTCGTCTTTCTTGGTGTCTCGCGTCCGGTAAAAGACGTTTGGTAGTTCTTGAGCTGGGCGGTCAAATTTCCTCACGTTGCTTGGCGTATGCGCCAAAGCGAGGTTTCAAAGTCGTCCATCATGCACTGCCCCATGTCAACTCGACGACCCTTATCTGTGGCCACAGGCCCTACATTTTCTCAATTGCTGGCGTTGTGCCAAATCCTACCTACCGTTGTCGCTTGATTGTCACTGCTGCACCTCAGATCTCTGCATGACACGACTAGCTTCGAGCCACCCTCCTACTACGATTGAAACACCACGAGCATCTGCTTCGCTCCGCTCTAACGTATCTTTCGATTGCCCTTTGGATCGTTCCGACGCTCCATGCCATCTGACTTCCAACCACGACCCTACCCCCCCTTCTAAGCGCTCGAGAGTCTTCTCTCGCTCCGCCCGATCCGACAGCCTTTAAGATTAACCCATCCATCACCCGCCCTTCCTTCTCCGACGAGGCATCACATCCTCAACCCACCCCCTTTCCATCTCGCCGCAGTCTCCAACGTCCCCCCACCCCCTTCTCACTCATCCACAACCAATGCCCTCTCCACCGCCCCAACCACCCTCCCCAGCAACAACAATAACAACAACAACCACCCACCTCCTCCTCCACCGCACCCTCCGCCTCACCCTCCTCTCCATCACCATCACCCTCCTCTCCGCCCTCCTCCAGCCGCCCCCCTCTCCCACCCCGGACCCACCACCCCCTTCGCCGGCCCAGGGGTCCGGTTTCGGCGCCGTGGTCTCGGTGTTGGCGCTCGGGCTGCTGCTGGCGCATAGTTTGTCGTGGTTGGTTTGGGACGCGTGGCGGTTTTGGGGGAGGGGAGGGGGGGGAGGGGGGGGGGGGAGGGGGAGAGGGAGAGGGGGGAGAGGGAGGGAGGGAGGGAGAGGGAGAGGGGAGGGAGAGGGAGAGGGAGAGGGAGAGGGAGAGGGAGAGGGAGAGGGAGAGGGAGAGGGGAGGGAGAGGGAGAGGGGAGAGGGAGAGGGAGAGGGGGAGGGAGGGAGAGGCGAGAGGATCCATCCTATCGGGCGGTCTGGGAGGGGAGTCGGCGTGGCGGGATCGATGGCGGGCTGGCGGGGTGGACTTTCTTGATGGAGGGACGGCTGGGAGGGGAGAGTCGTTAGGGGTGGGGTTGCTGGCCCAGGGGAGGTTTGATGTGGGTGGGAGGAGGGTGGGTTTGTTTGGGGATTTTTGGTTCTTGATGTGTGCCGATTTGTGTGAAGCATGGTTGAGGGGGATGGATTGTGTGGGAATGGGTCTTTGATGTCTGGTGTTTTCTTTCGCCGGGCTGAGATAAGGATGGTGCATGAGGATAAGTCTTCTTTTATTATGGTAAGGTGAGATATCGAAGTTGGGCCCTGTAGTGCCTTGGCATATATAGTATGCAAACGCTTGCTCCATTTACAACCTCCTTCCTCTGCTAACCCTCAACATCAACGTCTGCGCCTCCATTATCATCCCCTGCCGCTGTTCCCTCATCCATTATTCCCCCTGCAGCGTCCTGAACGCCTCCCTTCTCTCCCCAGCTCCTGACCCTCCAGCCATTCGGTTCCCTCGAGTCTTTCACATACTCCACGGTTGGGAAATAATGCTCGTTTTTCTTCATCGTAGCCACCCATGGTACGTTATCGAAAGTACATACCCTGAGACGGAAATATGTATTGTCTGGTATCTTGTTCACAGCATCGAGGAATTGGGTGAGTGTCGGGGTAGGGATATCGTTGACGGCGGTGATGAAATTTGTAGGCGCCAGGCCATATTGGTAGGATGGTGAGCCACGGGTGCGGGCCGAGACGTAAACTTCGCTATGGAGCTTGCTGATCTGCTGCCTTACGGCATGATGGGGCCGATGCAGTACGGCACCGCAGAAGATGACAGCTCGGTCGGTCTCGAGATCTTCGGTAGGAATGGTCGGGACCTTGAGAGTCATTTCTTGGCCGCCACGCACTATTAGTGCATCGAGATATTCGTTGTCGTACATTATGTCGAGCTCGGAGACTCGTGTTATTAATTTGCCATTCAGTGTGAGTATGATGTCGCCCTCCTGGAGAGACTGAGAGTCGTGGCCTGATGGAGGTGCACAGTCGATTTTGCGGACCATGAAGAGTTGGTGACGTGAGGAATTAGCTTCGGCAACTTTGGTAATCCAAGACTCAGAGACACCCATGATGCGGACTTGTGACATGGAGATGGTATTGGTTTCAACGTTGAGGATGCGAAGGCTCGGGGTGATGTCCTTTTGAATCTGGTCGGTGACAGGAAGGAGTGTTGGAGTGGCAAGGCCTAAGTGGTATTCGACGTCCTTGGAAGTGTGTGCGGTACGCTCGCCGAGATAGCTAAGCCAAAGAGCTTCCACTGTGCCATCTTCAGCTACGAGGACACCACTCGCGCACTGGCCGCTGAGACTAGTATCGACGGTAATGGCATCAAGATTGATCGCACGATAGCGAGGTGCAGATAGATTAGATGGTATTGCAACAGTGGTGATGTCCGTTACGGTGGTAGAAGTCATCGCCACCCGCAGATTCTGGTTCCAGCCAAAGAATATTGTGGAAGCACCCTGCTTGATAGGTTCGGTAGCAAGTTTCGCGCTCTTGACTGGAGCATCCACTAATGACGGATCGTATTGTATGATAGCGTAGTTGGCCAAAGGATGCAAAAAGCGGACTTTGGCATCCACGATGATGGAATCGGCCACTGTAAGGGACAGATCGCACAGGTCGTAGGGGACAACAGCCCTCGAGACCAAGACCAGGCCTTTCTCGGCGTTAATAACCACTCCGAAGCCGATCTTGCGTGTTCTTGGGAATCCATCGAGTTTCAGTGGCATTGTGCAGGAGACTCGGACAAAGCTTCTGATGATATCTGCCGCTGCTGGATGCCCAACGGAGTCAAGGGTAACAAAGTCTGCCTTTCGTCGCTGCGCAGGCGCTGCTGGTAGTGGTTCTCCAAGATCGCTAAAGTCCCAGATTCCAGTATTGTCGTTACGAATTGCCATCCTCATCTTGCTCGCCCAATGTCGGTCTATCAAGATGATACTAGTATTTAGGGTATGAAGATCGCTCAGATGCTTGTAGGTGACGACCACGCGTGCTCTGTCGGGAATGCCTTTCATGACATCGATAAACGCCTTTAGGTCCGGCGTTTTCTTCTGATCAATCGATTCAATGATCCAACCTGATTCTGTGCTGTCAAATCTAAAGGATCCAGCAGCTTCGCAGACGTAGACTCCTTTTACTGGAATGGCGTACAGGCGAGCTTGCTGGTAGGACAAATCGTGAAAGGAGGCTCCGGCAACGGTGACGAATCTGTCTGGTGTGATAGCATGCAAGTCTCCCACTTCTAGTTCAACCTCAACATCTTGACCACCTCTTTGGACCAGGATCTTGACCTTCTTGCCAACGCTTGAATCTAGTATGTCATCCAGTCGAACGAATTGGGTTAGGATTTCTCCATTGACCTTGATGAGTACATCACCCTCCTCAAGCTGCTTGTCCGCTGGGCCTTGGGGAAGGACGATCTCTGCAACTAGCAAACCAGTCTCTTTAGGAAACCCTTTCCTTATGGCAGCTTCATGCTCTGCTGTGAGACCTAATCTACGGCACTCATCAAAAGGCTTGATTATCCACTGAGTCTGTATCGTCCCACGCGCTATAGGTAGCCCTCTCCGTATGCACTCCAATGCTCTTGAAGGTCGATCCAGTGGCAGGAAGTAATCTGTCGAGGCACCATCAGACCTTCCTCCAGCTTGTAACGCAACAGCGTATCCATCCAAATTAACGACGGGGCTTCCAGAGCTTCCCCCGCTAGCCGCGGCAGCAGCTTGGATATAGTTGGTATTGAAGTCGCTGTATCCCTCGCCGTACTCCGGCGCATTTCTGTCCAGCCTACTGATGACACCGGACAGGATACTGAGCTTTTCGCCTGCATCATTACCGACTACTCTTATCTCCGACCCAACTTTTGCGAGGTCTGGACGTAGGACTAGCTCTGAAAGGGGCATGTATTTGATTTTGTTTGGGTCGAAGCGAAGGATACCAAAATCGTGGACAGGGTCACGGTAGACAGGGTAGACGTCGCACTGCGTTATTAGCGCAACCTCAAATATCAGCTACCAAATTTCCAACCTACCTCTTCATGATTGTCAAAAATACAATAGCCCCAAAAGGGTCCAGATCCAACCACGTGACGATTCGTCAAGATGTACCCTTTCGCAGCATCTACGACAAAGCCAGTAGCTTCACTAGCTAGCGCCGAGCTCGTGTCAAATGAGCAAGTCTGGCAGAAATGTATAGAGACAACGTTCTTGACGACCGCTTCGATGGTAGCCTGCCATTCCGCCGTATCGGCCGTCGCTGTCACAGGCTCCACTGTGCCGTCCGCGATACTGTCGCTACCATACATGTACTGACTATCGCTTGGCGATCCGTTCGTATTTAACATTTCTGAGGATTCAGGCTTGAAGAGCTTCGTAGGTCGATCGTGTATGGTGTTTGGGCTCCCTTTGCGTTTTGGTCGGACGTGACCGTTGAGCTCCATTCTTGCGGAAGCACAGAGAGATCTGGATATGATTCGCGGAAACCTCGGCAGATTCACGTGGTGGCTTCTGGAATGGGTCAAAGAGAGAGCTGGAGCGTTTTGGAAGGGGCGACGAAGGGATAGCCTCGTTCGTGCAACCCATATAGGTAAACAAGGCAACAACACGAATGCTCTATTTTTGATGCTGATTCTGCCCCCAATACGGGCGACCTCATGCATTCAGCTTGCCTCTATCAATTCTCGGACATGGGCAGCACTGCCCTAAATTCACTTCTCAATGCTACTGCAACTCCTTTGCAAGATTCGACTGCCGGCGCGCTTATCGAGTATGCATGACACGGCCCGCGCCACATGCTAAACCCATTCGGAGCTAGTGGCTCTCGGTGCTTACCAGCTGAGTCGCTGACCGACGGCTCAATTGCTGAAGCTGAAAAACATCGCTTTTCATTGCCTTGTTCAAGCTCACGCTCTCTAGATAGGGTTTCTCTTTGTCTAGTGCAAACGAAATTCTCCTATTCGATAACATTATTGTTCCTCAGTCCGTCCTCCGTGTCGATACGGGCCATTTCCTTGCATCCTCTGTTGAAGTCGAAAGGAAAGACGGGTCGTCTTCATCTTTGACTCAAAGTCCTCACAATATTACATGACTGTTAGCAGTCAGCATCGTCATTCTTGTATTCGGCGGCCACTATTCACCTTCAGCAGGTGTGTGGTCGAATAGATTTCCTAGCTGTTTTCTAGACTAAGCAGAAGGCTCTCCGCTCAAGAAACGGACGCTCATATCACAGAGAAAGACCATCAAGATGGTCGAGTCAGATGACCACCTTCCCCGCCTGCTTTGCCTTCACGGTGGCGGCACATCAGCCATGATATTCAAAATCCAAACCCGCCGTCTCCAATGGGCTCTCCGTTCTACCTTCAAATTCGTGTTTGCCGACGGCCCTTTCCCAAGCGGTGCTGGTCCTGGCGTTCTACCAGTCTTCGCAGGCTGCGAGCCCTACTTCCGCTGGTTAAACCCCGCAAGCCAGGCCCCAGAACAGGACCAGAGACGTGTGCGACAGGCGCTGAGGAAGGTGATGGACGATGACGGCGGCGAGTTCGTAGGGGTGTTGGGCTTTTCGCAGGGTGCCAGGTTGACCGCAGGGTTGCTTGCTGATCAGGACGAGCGAAATGCCGCGGACGGAATGCCAAATTGGAAGTTCGGGGTTATGCTGTGTGGGTCATTTCCCCCGTTGAGTCTATCTTTAGCCAGGACGCCTTCAACGAAACCTAGTCAGGGGGTGGACGAGCATGGCGAGACGAGGGAGCCGGAGGATGATGAGATCGTTCATGTCCCCTGCGTGCTTGTGAGAGGAACATTGGATCCGCATTCCGAGAAAGGCAGACGATTGGTGAAGTACTTTGATCCGGAGACTGCAATCTCGATGGTGTTCAAGATGGGTCATCATTTGCCTGGCGCAGCAGGAGATACGACGAGTGATAAAGGGGATTCACAGAAGATTGTGGATGCGATATTGAAGGTCTATGCGGACCACTTACCTTATGAGGTGTTGAAGGCACCAAAGGCGACGGCGATAGAATATGGGAACGGGCAGCTGAGTGCCTGAGGAGCTTGCTATCTTCAGGCCCTGCATTGGGCATAGCTCGCGACACAGGCCTTTGTCATTTAGCACCTAGCGTCGTCGATTCCGGTATGAGGTTTATAGAAGATAGAACGTCTTGTCCAATGGGTTACAAACCTTTCTCAGCAGCCTGAGCAAATTGTGATTATTTAGTTCAGCAATTCCGGATTGTCTACATTGTCTAGGGCAGCGCAAGCGTTCTTGTCATATTGTAAGACCTGCGAGACATCGAAGTCGACAGAAACATTGGAGACAAACAGTATCCATAGTAATTTCCCTATGTCTTTATTGCTCAAGGCTCGAGGGGCTTACAGGCAAGCAGGTGGGAATGAAATCAGACACACACTTTGTCGGACATTGGTAGCAGTAGACGGGAAAAAGGCTTTTTTATGCTTGCAAGACAGGCAAACTGATGCATTGTCTGCGTTATGTGAGAGGCGGTATACACATAAAGTATCTCAATCTGAATACAGTCTCTGTAACATCATAAGTTCCTGAAAGTAGAACTCCGATACCGCTCAATCGAAAACTCCTTCCCATAGTTCAATATTGGAACGATAATCCCCTCATACGCCAATCAATGCAAAAGCGCGCAAATATCTTCCAATCTGACCTACTTCAATGTATCTCCCTGCATTTCGATTCACTTGCAAAAAATTTACCTGCACAGCTAAAATCCTAGTTTCTGCTTCTTGATCCTCGGCAGCAGGCCAATCAGCGTGATAACAGCAGCTACGATGACAGCCCACAGCTTGATGTGCAGGGTCGTTTTATTGAAACCAGTCTGCGTGGCCGCGGCGACCGTTGCGAAGCTGAGTATGAGCAGCAAGTAGCCACTCATGCGGTGATATTTGTAAATGGCCTTTGCATTATCCACACTTCCATAAATGCCCGGAGTATAATACTGCGTTATTCCCACAATAGCCTGAATAGCGAAGAAGATGTATGTGATGAGTCCAAGGATGGCGTGCGGGGAGGTGAAGTGGGCGCCGGCGTGGGCGAATTTGTTGTACTCGATGATTATGAAGGCGGCAAGGAGGGATAGAACGGCGGTGCCATTTATGGCGGCGTGTATGTTGGTACCGAGGTGTTTTTGCTTAGGGGCATGTGTTGGTTGGAGAATTAGGATGGCTTGGGTGGTCAAGAGCAGACCGGCGGAGTTGAGCAGCTGTAGGGTAGCCTTTAGTGAGAACTTGGCGGCCCAATATAGAAGGGAAGACGTACGGGATGGGCGGAGAAGAGGGAGAGAGGCGCAATGAAGGCGGAGGCCCAGATGGTGGCTGTGAGCTGGACCTTGTCAGTAGGTTCGGGATTTGGGAGATGCGTGGAGGCCAACAGACGATCCAGATACCTGCTTGGGCGATTATAGCGGTGCCTGGAGCGGTGGATGTTAGCATGTGTTGTATGGCCTGGGTAAGAGGGAACAGCAGATGTACCGAGGACGAAGTTAAATTGTATGCCCTGTCCATCTTGCTGTGAGGCGTCGCCTGCTCGGCCGAGGAGGGGCTCGTCTTCTCCTCGACCCTGGGTTGCAGGGTTTTCTTCTGGACTGCCTGTTGCTGAGGCCATAGTGCGTGATGGAGCGATGGTAGATTGTAGTAGATGTAGAAGAGCAGGAGGATGGTCTCGATTATGAATACCTAGTGAAGGTTTGGCGGGGGGCGGGGGGCGGGGTTATGTGGGATGTACAGATGTACAGTATGGCGTATACACGTAAAAGAAAGCAGACTACTGCAAGATGCGATAAAGGATAAAGTATCGTTCATCAATCTTATTAGACCAATCATGTTAGAAATTTCAGTGCCTACCCGCTTCCGCAAGCTAAGGTTTAGTACCTTAGACCTTTCACACCAAGGAGCTAAGCTTCTGAGCCTCTAACCTCATTGATCCACCTGGTGATCATGTTTAACCCGAGTACTTTATCAACCCGAAAGAACAGCCCATTGAACAGCCAGGAAAGCATTCAGAATTGAGAAAAAAGGAGAAGTGGCAGTCAGGCGGGTTCATATATTCTTCACGATCGCAATGCCAGAGCGTTACAGTAGCCCAAGAAGCTCCTCGCTGATATTTTGTTGAAGTCTTGAGGCATAGTACCGTTTCGACTGCAAAATTTCTCTGGCACCTAGCCTGCAAGACTTACGGTCAATAGAAGTCGTACGCTTCGGACGAATAGACTGTCAGGAAAAGCGAGCATTTTGCACCTGTTTCTATTTCATGGCTACGTCTATTTCCGAAAATCACTGACGTGGTGTAGTTTGCTCTTCTCCCTAGGTGCGAATCCATGTTTCCTGTCACCCACCTGCAGAGACGGCATGTTGTGAGGGCACAAGTTCCGGGGAGGCACTTTCGGGAAAGGTAAATATCACTGACCCTTCCGCCAAAGTAGACGCGGTTTTTTGACCTTCATCGGCCTCAAGTCTTCCAAGACTAGACGCTCGATGAGCGGGTGGGGTGTTGTGGTGTTCATATCTGTCACTGGATTCCTACGTGGGACAAGTCGTATGTTTGTTGGGTTGCCTCCTGACCTCTTTGGAGGTATTTTACAAACGAACTGCTTCAAGCGGGCGGAGGCAAGGTCTCTATTTGACGTATGAGAAAGCTTTTCTCGTCCGTGAACTGCTCGTCTTCTGTTCGGTCTGCCAAGAAGCCAGGTAGGAACCTGAGCAGGCGTTCTCGATTTTGCGTGAGAATTCTCTTGACCGCGTCTGACTTATGCGGGTTCGCAACGAAGACCTCGAGGTTATTAGCACCATAGAAAGGGCAGAGTGATCCAGATATTGCATACCTTGAATACATGGAATCCCTCGTACTGCACCATTTTTCTGTCGTCCCGCAACAGATTCATACATAATTTCAGGTGATCTCCCCTGTCGACGTATGCGGTCATAACATTGTAGTTTGCCCTATCGAGGAGGATCTCTCCTAGCAACTTGATCGATTGCCTCTTCGTAACATAGGAGCTCGATTCAACCAAAATAGTATTGTATCGCCTGAAGAAGAGGTCAAAGTTGGTCATTAGGTACTGGGACACTTGGGGCTTGTGTTTGGTCAGAATGTCCTAGGTCATATAGTGTCAGCCACGCAGTACGCCCATGGGAAGCCACTGTGCTTACCCTGAAAGTCGTAAACGCATCCGCGCTAACTTCAAATGCTCCTCCATCGATCCAGTCGAAGAATTTCCAGAACACCCCGTCTCCTGATTGAGGTACGTCCAAATAGGCTATCTCATCGATCTTCGTATCGAGCTGGTCCTCTAGAGATTGATCGTACAATATAATACTAACGATGAGCTCGTGCTTCAGTACTTCCCTTAGCACTGCTCCACACGGCATTGCGCTCTCCTTATTGTTATAACCCCGGCATAGCTCAATGACCACCTCAGGTCTGTCGTTGATCACGTAGGACAAGGCGGGCGAGTCCTCAGCCGTGCTACCGGGGGGTCTGAAGCGCAGGACGTATGAGAATATAGCCTGGGAGTCTTTACGAGACTCGAAGGAGAGAAGATGGATGCTACAAGCGAGGACATAGAGAAAATCCTCTTGGATCATGGAGGTGATGAGCTGTAAGACTGATTCAGGGTTGCTGTCGGTTTCTGCGGCAGGGCATGAGTACGGGATTCTCGGCCAGCTTAGCAGCAATACCACTAACCTTGAGTCCCCGTCAGTACGAGCTTCATCTGGGCCAGCAGCTTGGCCACTTCTTCCTCCGACTGGGACCTTGTGTGAGCGTGAGTGCTTTTTGCGAAAGGTCATGGTTACTCACCTTCTGCAATTTTGGAGGCTGACGCAACCTGTTGAGAAGGTCTTTGGCTGGCTTTACAAGGTCCGACTTAGGCTTGTTGCGGCCCCAGAAGAATGCCATTGGCGAAGACTCGAGCATTTTGGCGGCGGTGTTTACGGTCAGTACAACTATTCTTTGTTCAGTCGCACAAGACCGAAAGGCGATTTTGTATCCCTGTAAATTTCAAAGGATGTCCTCTCATTCTTGGACCTCAGTGTAGTTGGAAATAGACTTGCTTGTGTATAGGGGAAGGAAAGGAGCTGTACCGTGGTACAAATGCATCCATAAACAAAAGCGTCTAAGAGGCGGAAAGCTCCGCTCGGACTTAAGAGCCAGTGTTACCGTATGTCCCAAAGCACTAAAGGGAAACAAACATAGATAATTTGACTGTTGCGTGCTGCATTTCACACCTTAGAAAAACCACAGTGCTTATCATCATTGGAAGAAGCAGCAGAATAAATGCGGTTCTTGGGCATATTTTTAGCTCAAGATGGTAAACATCATAGAAGCCGATCGGGAAGCGGCCCCCTCAGACAGTTCAGAGGAAGCTGATATCCTGGACCTGAAGGATGATGAAGGCTGGGAAGACCAGGAGCCAGATGTGGAGAAGATTGAGGTGTTTTGTTTAGGGTGCTCACAAACATTTCCCGACGCCCAGTCCATGCTGCCACATTGTCGAGATACCCACAGCATTGATATTGTGAAGGTTCAGAAGACACTGAGTGCGTGAGAACTCTAGGGACCGATCCCACCCAATGATCATGTACTAATGACTCTTGACATCCAGGACTCGACTATCTCGAAATGATCAAGATGATTAATTTCATCCGCGCCGAGGGCAGAGCTGTTGGTCGATGGCCACCGGATCTGTCATCAAAAGACGCCTTTCAGTCCGAGCATTGGTTGATACCACAACTTGAGGATGATGCTCTTCTGTACAGCTTGCACGATGTCATAGGGGAGGATCTTGAAGACGAATTGAGCGGTGTGACCTTTGGAGTTGGTCAAATTGAAGTTGCCCAACCACCACAACGTTCTTACAATCTATCGAGAGATCCGAGACCTGATAATCCGATATACAGAATTGCAGAGATGGAACAGAGAGTGAAAAGCGCCCAGAAAGACCTTGAACAACATAAGCAATTACTCATGGGCGACATGGAATTGCATGGTCGGCTTCACAATGGCTTGACTCGAGAGGAAGCCACATTAGAAGCTCACAATAGCCCGCAGGACGTTCAATCCCCTGACACAGAGAAGGGTTCATGTGGGAACACCTCAAAAGTGAATGGAGACACAGATTCCAGTTACTTCGCGTCATATTCCGGCCATGGTAAATACTTTTTTGGGGTTGCGAGATGCTCAGATGCTGACGTAGCTAGATATACACGAAACCATGTTGAAAGACACAGTTCGAACAGATGCTTACAGAGATTTCATATATGAAAACAAAGATCTTTTCAAGAACAAGACTGTACTAGATGTTGGATGCGGGACGGGGATATTGTCTATGTTCTGCGCGAGGGCTGGAGCAAAAAGAGTAATAGCGGTGGACAATTCGGATATAATCAACTTTGCCCGAGAGAATGTTTATAGAAATGGAATGGGGGAGACAATCACGTCAGTCAAAGAACATCCTTCTGTGCAACTGTACTAAATCACTACAGATGTCTGCGAGGAAAGATTGAGGAAGTTATACTACCCGTAAAGACTGTCGACATCATCGTCTCTGAGTGGATGGGTTACTGTCTACTCTACGAAGCAATGCTGGACTCTGTGCTTTGGGCCCGGGATCACTACCTTGCTCATTGGGGTCTTATGGTTCCCTCACACTGCACACTCCGCATAGCGCCCATGGCCGACTCAGAATACATAGGCGACCATATTCATCACTGGAAAAACGTTTATGGCTTCGACATGAGCAGTATGTGCAGGGATATCTACAAGGATGTCGTAATCAGAGAAGTTGAAGACTCTGCAGTCCCAGCAGAATCATCTCCATTCTTGCAGCTATGTTTGCGGACTACCAAAAAGGAAGAGCTCATTTTCGCGAGTAAAGCGTTCTCATGTACGCTGAAAGCAGACATGGAAGCCTTGGATGGCTTTGTCATATGGTTTGATACCTTCTTCGTCCAATCTCCCTATTTTCGAGGTCCTGCAGAAGGCAAAGCGGAAGAATACATTCGCCAGGGTGGGCAGTCAATTGCATTCACGACAGGCCCGCATGGAAAGCGAACGCACTGGCAGCAAGGCTGTCTTCTCATCGATCACAAAGGGAAGACGGAGGGGACCCTTGAGAAGGGACAGATCATTAGTGGTACTGTAGGCTATGAAAAGAGAGAAGATGACAACCGCGCGTTGGATATCAAGGTCCAATGGCAGGTGGACAATAGTCAAGGGAAAGTGAAAGGCAAGCAGTCGTGGTCGATGCGTTGATTTATGGCATGATACCCCATTCTGTATGCAATTCTTGCGGGCCCATAATCCTTCATCCTTCAATTGTCGAGTAAAAGCATTACAAGCGCCAAATACTGGTGTCAAATAAATTACGTGTAAAGTGCCTTGACAATGGCATCCGTGGAGCCGCTGATCAGATTAGTGTTTCAGGAATGGCTTGGCATCCGGTAATCGGTACGAACTCCGCGCATGACCACTGCATAGGGTCGATGGCGCCATCTTCATGCCCGCTCGACTCCGCCTTGTTGAGGCAGATGTCGAGCTTTCTAGCCGTGGAACGTCCTCTGCTGGGCAGCCCAAAAGCATGGCCCCAGATAGAGGCTCTTTGGAGCCAGGAGATCGCTCTCAAGCCGGTGACGACCAAGAGGACCAAGACATGACCGAAGACACCGCTAGCAATGACTCTGACAATGACGAGCCCGATGCCTCTCTCCTTCAACGCGATGATGCCCAAAAGTTCCTCGCCGAACAAGCCGAGCAAGGGCAGAATTTCACCATCCGTGGTGTTCTCGTCGGCCTTGCTATCGGCGTCATCATCTGTTTCTCCAACATGTACTTCGGTCTCCAGACCGGGTGGGTATCCGGGATGGCCATGCCCGCTGCACTGATCGGCTTTGGCTTCTTCAAGACAGTAGCTCGATGCATCGACTATCCATTCACCTCCGTTGAGAATGTACTGGTTCAAACGGTTGCAGGAGCGTTAGGAACCATGCCGCTGGGTTGTGGATTTGTGGGTGTGATGCCCGCGCTCAATTACCTGTTGACGCCAGAGGAGAATGGACCGCTAGTCCTGAGTACTGGAAAGTTGATAGTCTGGTCGCTCGGGATATGCTTCTTTGGTGTGGTGTTTGCGGTGCCGTTGCGGAGAGAGGTTATCATACGGGAGAAGCTGAAGTTTCCGTCAGGAACGGCTACTGCGCTGATGATTGGGGTGTTGCATGGGAATACAGATGAAGATAGCAAGAAGAAGTCCGATAGTGGGTTGGAGATATTTAGGCAAAGGAGTCAAGACATCCGACGTTCGTCGAGCATGGACGGCATCCCTGCAGGGAGCGGTAGTGGAAACGTACAAGTCGCGTCTAGAGATTACACTGAGGTTCAGTCTTCCGGGGAAGAGGATCATAGGGACGATTGGAAAGCGAAGATTAGGTTGTTGATCTATGCCTTCATCATATCTGCTATCTATGTATGGCACCTACGTCTTCCAAGTTGAGTCACATGCTGATGTTTCTAGACTCTCGCATCATACTTCATTCCTCACTTACGAGGTCTTCCAGTCTTCGGACTTCCTCTCGCAAACAATTGGTTATGGACACTGAATCCCTCGCCTGCATATATCGGTCAAGGTATCATCATGGGGCCTGCAACAACCTTGCACATGCTCCTAGGCGCCATAGTCGGTTGGGGTGTCTTTTCCCCACTCGCGAAGAGCAAAGGATGGGCGCCAGGACCTGTTGAAGACTGGAACTCTGGAAGCAAAGGCTGGATTGTCTGGGTGTCGCTAGCAATTATGTTGGCGGATTCTGTTGTCAGTCTTGGCTGGCTAATCCTTCGACCTTTGATCCTCTACGCACCATCCTACTTTGATACCCTAAGAGAACGCTACCGCCGAGGTCATCTATCCTCCCTAAAGAGAGGCGACTACAGAGCCCTCGCTCCTTCATCAACATCAGATTCCAAGACCGTGCAAAATAAAGAAGCCGCCGAGCCTGATGCTCCAGCCCACCATCTCGTCTCGAACAAAACGGTTTTCATCCTCCTCATCCTCTCCATCATATTCTGCATCTTCGCCATCCGCTACGTTTTCCCTCCTATTCCCTTTGGTGCCATTATTCTCTCCATCGTCCTCGCTCTATTACTCTCTCTCATGGGCGTACGTGCATTGGGGGAAACAGACCTCAATCCTGTCTCTGGCATTAGCAAACTTACCCAACTTTTCTTCGCGCTCGTCATTCCCGCTTCCAATCCTAATGCCATCACCATTAACCTCCTCGCTGGCGCCATTAGCGAATCAGGAGCATTGCAAGCGGGCGATATGATGCAAGATCTCAAAACCGGTCACTTGCTAGGTGCTGCACCACGAGCACAGTTCTGGGGGCAGATAATTGGAAGTTTTGCGGGTGCCATTATCAGCGCCGGAGTCTATAAACTGTATACCAGTGTCTATGAGGTGCCCGGCGGGATGTTCCAAGTGCCGACTGCATACGTTTGGATCTTTACAGCGAGGCTGGTCACCGGTAAGGGCTTGCCCTATATGGCCTGGCAATGGGCTCTGGGAGCTGGGCTCCTTTTCGTGGCGTTGACGGCAGCGAGGGTGAGAGGCCAAGGAAATTGGTGGCAAGCTTGGGTACCTGGCGGTATTGCTGTCGCAGTTGGTAGGTGACGAGCCGCTTTGCTTCTTCTGTTGTTACTGTTCAATTCACTAACACTGGTGAAGGTATGTATAATGTACCCTCATTCACCTTGGCCCGCACAATCGGCGGTCTTGTGAACTGGTACTGGCGCATTTATCGAGGGCGTGAGGATACGCCTGTGATTGTGCTAGCTAGCGGACTTATTTTAGGAGAAGGCGTTGTGAGTATTGTGAACCTGCTGCTGGCGAGCTTGCAGGTACCGCATTTGTGACGCATATCTGGCGTTTAAATCTCGACTCGTCAGTGAGCACAAGCTTTGGCTTGTTGAGATGTCAGGTCACTGTATGCCAAATACTATATTAATGTCATGTTCAATGGGACTGGGTGTCCGAATTACAACGTTACACAATTAACGGTCGTAGGTCTAAAAGCTGCCGGCGAAAATCGCTGAGCACGGAAAGGAAATGGACAATGGACTCGGACCATTTTGAAACCGGGAAGCGATAATTGATGCTCCGACGTTCACGCAGGGCAGGTTATTCCTCAGCACTTATCATCGTCCTCGTGTAATACCCAAACCAAATTGTTTTACGGCATTCTGAACATTCTTCCTCTCCAGCGTCCCAGCAAAACTTCCGACTATCACCAGTACTAAACAAGGCCTAACGATCAGACTTGTGAGGCTCCAAAAGACTTCACTGCCCTCTCAGCGGTCATGTCCCTCCCAGCCAATGACATAGTTGAGGCCGTAAGTGGTATCCTTCCCCTAAAGACCTGCCACTGCTAAACATATGATCCAGCTTGACGATGTCAACAACTCCACCGACGTCACCGGGCTCGTCAGTATCGCCCTTGCTCTTCTGTCTCCCATTGTCACAGCTGACCCACACTCCCAGCTTGAAAGCCTCACCGGTCTCGTGCAAAACGTTGTCAGTTTCCTTCCTACGCTCCTCGCCCAAAGCCAAGAGAACAACCGCGCTTTGGCGCATATATGCAGTTTTACCCAGGCTTCAACTGGCAAGAACTACTGCTCTACGGCGTCAAGTGTCATGGTGCCGTCGATGCTGGGAATGGTGGTTGCTGTGACGGTGGTGGTGTTGGTCAATATGGTCGACCACGTCCCTTAATTGGGTACCTTGGAGGATGCATAAATGTCACCTCGTTCAAGACCTTGGCATTGAGTGTGGATCAGGGAAGAGGTAACGAGCGATTGAGCATAATGTTAGAGTAAAGTGAAAGCCACGCACTAGTTGCAGGCTTTTGATGAAAAGAATGGCGGCCCTTTTTCCCCACCGTATCTGCCTACTCTGCACCTTGAAGAAACAATCTTTGAGGCTCTTTACCGTGCAACAAAAGATGCCGCAGTCCGCTTCTTCCACCTTCGAATGCGCTCTTCCGGTATGGTGCAGAGTCAGGTCATGCTCACGCACACAGCTGATAACGCTTTGGGCTTCCGGAACTGTTTGAGAGTGACGCCAATATTTCACGACATTGGAGAGACCACAGACCCGGTCCAGCATCACGAGTGAGCCTCCCTCATGCCGCGAAGTGGCAAAAGATGCGCCATCAAAAGACCTTTTCTGGAAACTGAACCAAATTCCGAGACTTGTTGTGCATCAAGACAGCTGTGGGTCAGATGTCTCAGGGATATACAAAGCAAGACGACGTGAGATAGAAGGTAATCATTCAAGGTATGTCTATCAGTTCTGCACCTGCATGCGAGATTTGTCAACTACAGTCATGTAGCCTCTTTGTCAGGTCTCAAATCCCACATGGTGGGTCCAGAGCATTGTAGACACGGCGTCCCAGCAGCACGTGTATATACATCCCAGCATCCCCTTTCCCATGTATCTCTCCATACCCTTCATTCCGCTCTTTACCCTTACCCATCTTCCAAACATCTTTCCGCTGGCCGGATCCCCTTGTTCTCAATGCGCACCGTCATCGCTCTCTGGATCGACCCCAACAACCCGCACTCCTGCATCTTTGTCTTCGCCATCTTCCTTGGTCCCCGGGCCCGTGGTTGGGCAGTCTCTCACTCCCCGGGCTGAAGAACGGATAATCCCAGCCTCGCCCGGACTGAGCGCGTCGCTGGTTACATGCTGCCGCAGCTGCTTGCAATTCGCTCCTCACCTGCATCAAGCTTGTCGTCTCAGAGGCGGCAACGTCCCGGCAGTGCTTGGAACGTGCTCTCAAGAGCCCGGGGGGCCTCTATCAGTTACGACAGAAAACCCATCCGAACGATGACAACAACGATCTCTTGACACCGGTTTAGCCAAGGCGTGCCACTCCTGTTCAGTCCGTCTATCTTCAATGTCCCAATCTCCAACCTTTCAATGCGCCATCCAAGTGAGGGTCTCGGAACGTTTTGGCGACGATGGCGTGGTAGAGAAGGACAAAAGCACCGGCTGCATAACTCCTCGACTACGGTTATCGCATTACAGCCCGCAAATCCAGGCTGCCAGTCTCCAAGGCTGCTGACAGCCGTGCGAGATTGAGATCAGTGTTCCTTTACCGCAGTCGCCATGGCGGGATATGGCTCGACTCTGCAGGCAAATACCTCGATTACCGCCCCTTTGTGATGCAATTCGTTACTGCGAGAAACCGAGTAGCGGTCTTCATAGGTGCGCATTGAGCGCCGCTGGAGTTGATGGCGTTACCGTTGGTTGGTATTTCACTGTCTACGCAGTCATTGGCCTTTCAAGGTGCCTTTGTTCCTGGTACTGAGGTGGTATGGTGAGGAATGGGGTGGGTTGGAGAACACAGGGCCTGAAAAGACCAGAGAGTGCTAATTCGAGGTGTAAGACCTGGGTCAACGGTTCTTCTGGGGCTGTAGATCAAAGATTATTTTGTTAGGGCAAATAATCACATAGATAGCTACACAGATACCGATACAGATTCCCATATGTAAGCTTGGCTGTCGGTATTCACTGGGCTGCTACCATCTCGGTAGGTAAAAATCGGAGTAACAACACTTATCGCTCACTGTCAGTGAATCCCCAGCCTCATCCGCTACCCTGCCAACAATAACTCACCAATTTTGCCCCGAAAAACGCACAACAACATCCTCCCCAGCCCACTTCAGCAAGCCAGAACAGCAAGGCTACCCGTCTACATCTTCCAGCATCCCGGACACGCACCATCCTCCAACTACGATGTCTACTTCGGCGAACTCTACCGTCCTCCTCGTACGTACCGTCGGTTCCCCCTCCGTTCAACACTGCTAACCCGCAAATTCAGTCCGAAGAACTCTACGACAATTTCCGTAAGGCAATTCACACTCCGTTACTCTTGTGGATTTTCGGTGTCTGCTCCGTTCTTTTCGCGGCGGGAATGGTGTACCTGGAGCTGAGATACCCGGTGTGGTCGCATATCTATTTCGCTCGGGACAAGGAGGACGCAGGAGAGCGGAATGGTGACGCTATTGGGGGCACCGGGGGAGGGAAAGAGGGAGGCGGCTTGGTGTGAGTGTACAGCTGCTCTGAAGATGCTTCGAGTCGCTCGGTGAAAGGGTTGCATGGGTATGCAAGCAGCAAGTCTTGAAAGTGTTGAGCGAATCAAACAACCACAGGACACTTCAATTCAACCCCGTTCTTCCTTATTTCTTAACTACACCAGAACAGTCCAACAAGACGCCCTTGCATTCCACAAGCATGTCTTCTCAACCAAAGTGCCTCGTACCCTAATCCCATTGTACCATGAAAGCCAAACCGTGAAGTCGAGGCCCTAGCTCAACAAGAAACTCCACATTCATAAATAGTGTTTTCGGCACCAGCCTGCTCCAAAAGCACTGTCTTTCGTCCCATCCACTCCCTCTTGTGCTCCATGAATACCCTTGAATGCTTATCCTAGTACTACGACATAATCATCGCTTTCCCAGACTTCCTTGATGAGTGCAACTTCCCACGGACAATTTTGAGATGGTATTCCATAGCCGCCGGTATCTTCGGGGTGCAAGCGCTGGGATCGAATATGGAGTGGCTGTATGGTCGGTGCGTCATGAATGAAGACAGTGCGGAAGGGAAAAGAGGAGTGATGAGTGACGGAAGAGGTGAAAGCTAGCTTGACAGGATCGTTCGTCTGCTGAGCGGACGGAACATTGTGCTAGTAGTTCGGGGGAGGTAGAGAGGCACAACGAACAGAAAATAATCCGTCTGCAGCATGCATTCTTGTGTACCTTGCTCAGCAAAGCCAGAGACTCTCGTAGCAAGGGGCTCCATCTCCTGTATACCAAGTGCGTTGGGACTTAATCTCGTGGAAATGCGAAGAGCTCTGAGGGCCAACCATGTTTGCAGCCAAAAGAGGGTCTTCATCGTGCCAAAAGAGCAGGTTTCGAGAGAAGCTTGGGACTTCAAACAAAAGAATGGCCTTTGGCCATACCAGACTGCGATTGTTAGATTTGGTGAGTCCGATCATCCGCTAAGATATGTATGTTCACAAGATTGACAGACAGATTGCAAGACGAATAGCCAATTGCCCAACCACGGCTCGGCTTTACAGTATATTGAAAGGACGAATATCAAGGTTAAAACCCCTAGATATTGTCAAACCCTAGCTCACCGCCTGTGTACGCTCTCTCACCGCACTTATGTTCAGGTTGTGCTTGCGGCATGATCACCAAAGCCACAACGGAGGCGGTCATAAAGGGTACAAGTACAACTCAAAACGCCGGCGCTATGCGGTGGGCTTGTCCAGCTCCTGATCCTCCAAACGCCGAAAGCAATATTAGGAAGTTTCAAAACCCAAAGCTATCCAGCAGACTATTAGTACTCGGCTCCTCAAAGACCGTAGGCGCTGGCTTCCCCATCGGCTTCATCTTCTGCTCTGTAGGTGACCTCGGGCTCGGCGTGTCATCAACCACAATGCTGCTTCTCCGTCGGAGCATGTTGCGCGGGTCAGGAAGATGAGTCCCATTCGTAGTCGTTTCTTTTGGTTGCCGGAGAAATTCCCAATTGCGCACCAAGTCCAGTGCGAGCAGATCGCAGCCCATACGATCGTAAAGCCGCGCGTTCTGAATGACGAAATCCCATTCCGCACGTGGTGAAACCTTTGATGCACCTTTGAGTGCTTGCAAAGTCTTTCCTCGGAGCTGCTTGTAAAGAACCACCAATGCTGGATCGCTTGAAAGGTAGGACTTGGACTGCAAATTGGGGGCTTCGGGGGAGTTGATTAGAGTGTAAACAGGCGAGATTAGGACACGGACAGCCATGTCGCGCCGGCCGAGCATCCAGAAGGCCCATGTCGCTAGCCATCGATTACCTTCGAAGGCGGCTTGTGGTAGCACCCTCTCTTCTAGTAACGAACGAAGTACCAAGCTGTCGTCACCATCGTAGACACGGGCAACCGCAATGGCAAGCTGTAGGTCATGGAGTTGATTAGCGCACACGTTGATGGCGTCCTGGAGATTGCCTGCGAGGAGGAAGAAGGCCGCAGCATATTCTGCTAGCGGGTCAGCCGATGTCCAAAGATGGTTCAGATCCAACATACCAAACCGGCGTTTGCCTAGAAGTGCATAAGCATTCTTCAACGCCGCAGTCTTCCACCGAGCTTCCGAGAAGTCATTGCGTAGTAGCTTCTGGGTCCCGGACTGCTCGCGGTTCCAGGCCGCCATCCTCCACAGTCCGACAAGAACGCTTTTCTTCTTGAGCGCTAAATAGTATAGGCTGCAATCAATCGGGTTCTTTTCGTCTGTCTTTGTGTATTCGTTGCGGGCTATGACTTCGAATTGGGCTCGCTACAATCTTTGCTTAGCGGAGACAGGTGTCTTCCTTCGTAACTAGGACTTACAAGTGCGGTCAGATCAGTCATCCACATGAACATTCCACTCTCCCTCGCTTGCTCCCAGAGCAACCTGCCATGAAATTGTCTGGAGACTAAATCGACCAGTATGTCTTGGCTGCCGCTGTGATATGCCCAGATGATCTCTCTCCAAGTAATGCTCACTTGAGTGGCAGGGGCTTGGCTCTTCCTAACTATATGTTGCCGGAAGAAAAGAAGGTAGCGCATGGCATTCTCATCCATCGAGCGTCGTTGTTTCTCGGCTGTGGCAACGCACTCAATGATGTCAGCTAGGTATAATTGTTCGTGGCTCGAGAGCTGTGGAATAGCTAGCTTGGCAAGATTCTCGTTCAGCGAAGCAGCTAGCTCTTCAGTGACAGTCTCTGGCTCATCGTCGTTAACAAAATCCGCGTACGACGATCGCATCTCCTTTTTCGCTGCGTAGGAAAAGCCCTGTGTTCGTTAGCTAGTCACAGGTGTAGCAACTGTATTCTGTTACCTCTTGTTCGGTATAGAAATCGCTGGGTCTCATAGTCACAAAACTGTCTAGGTCGTCACCTGTAACAAAGAATTTTAAAGCCTTGTAAAGCCCTATGATAATCCGCTGCACCTGGTCTAACTTGCCCGCAAGAATGCATTGGGCAAGAAATTGAGGATGAAAGACTGGGAGTGGCCCGTTAAGGTAAGTGACCAAGTCGAAAATGCTCAGTGATTGGTGCTGGTGTACTGGTATTGAAAGATCCATGATCTTGTCATTTGATGTGTTCACAGCTTTGTCATAAATGTATAGCTGATTCCCAGCTCCAATGATGAGATTACCGCTCCCTAGCCAGGTGCTGTCTCCAATGGGATGCGAGGTGAGATCTTTGATGTGAATTTCTCGTATGGATACCCAAGCAGGGCCTGCGTTCAGGTAGTCATAACGCATCTGAGCCAGGATCTTGACCTTGTACGGAAAGCCAACAGCAAGAATTGATTGCTCGTCAGGCGTTGACGACCAGTCAAGGTCCTGTATTGAATCAGATGACCCATATTTAGCATCGAATTCCAGCTGACCACTCCAAGAATCCCATATCGTCAGTCCGGTCTTTGCGCTATCGACAACCGCGATCTTCCTAATCGAGCTTCCGCTCGCCAGTGACGGCTTGTTGATGCCAGTTTCAGTAGTCGACGTGATGAGCCAGTTGACAGATCCCTTATCAAGATCAAGCGTAGCGGTCCAAGCACACAGTACACCACTGTCGGTATATGATATGGCTAAGTCTTTGGCGAAAGTGTCCAGAAAGTCGGATGCAGCAGAAAGAGAGCCAGCTGGATCTACTGGCAAGACAAATGCAAGGTCATCCTGCATTCCTAACTCGGAGGCGCAGAATGATTCCATGGAAGGAATCAAGTCTTCGTCAAGGTGCCGTTGAGATCTGGGTGGTAAGTTGACCTTCCAAACAATGGCTTCCATCATGGAAGTGATGGTGGCCACGTAGTGACAAAGAGACTTAGTGTCCGACTTTGGTAGCGGTATGAGACACAATGGCTTTCCTTCGGCTTGAAGAGCGCAAGAGACCGCAAGCTGAGCGACAGGAGATCTTGCGTCCCAAAGTGATATACTGTGATGGTGCAGATTGATGACGAAATCTCCCTCCCGTAGCAAGCATGATCGATGTATATGCTCTGGGCAGCTGAGAGAGCTTGTTCGAGTTAGAGCCATGCCTGATCTATCATTTCCTTGCTTCCAAATTAACCCTTCATTATCGTTGGTGCGAGATATGAGAGCTTTGCCGCTTCCACTGCGTACAATCTTCTTGACCGACCCATCATGACCTGTCCATAATGCCTTTGGCTTTAGTCGTTGCTGACGCGGAGAAGGATCAAAGAGTTTCTCGAGATTGCTTCCATACCACATGATCCTTCCATCAAAGTGATGCACAAGAAGAGTGAATGGTGAGTCGGCCTCCTGGCTACAAAAGGTAAGAAACTGAATGTTGTCTTGCTCGGGGTTCACGTCTTGTAAGAACGAAAGCTTGACGTTCTCGACATGGGCAATGTTGAATTTGTCGGTGTTTTTCCGAGCTTTACAGCCCACGTTCTCTAATCCCCATGCAGACATATTACCGCGTCGATCCACAACAATGCATAATTCAGGGCTTGTCTTAGCAACTTCTAGCAAGTGTTCCAAAGCATGGTGTTCCCGTTGACGGTCGCTAGAGGCTGCTTGTACCGCTCGTTCAGTTGCGAACCTAAAGTCTTCGCTATCAATCATGAATGCATAGCGTTCGCGAGACTGGTGAGGAGTCTCGATCTGTCGGGGCTGTATGGCCTCTTGCATATCTATCTCCGCCCAAATTTGCAAAGCCTGCAGCCCATGTGGATCTGTAGCTGCCCATACTCTGACCTTACTATCGGCACATATTGAGAAAAGTACATGGTCAAGGGTTTGTTGGCGGTCGTGAGGCCTGCGCCAGTGGATATGCGTCACTGCTGTAGGGTGAGCGAGGTAGGTGAAGTCAAAGCGTGTGTCATCTGAGCCGAAAGACTGCCTTCGCCATATTTTGATCAGCCGATCGTGATAACCGGTTGAGGCAATGAGACTGGCGTCGTAGGAGAAGCTTGCGATCTTGACAGGCCTGGGGAGACTGCGACTCCAAATCAAAGCATCCTCATCCACGGTTTGGTAAAGTTCCAGAGAAGAGGACCCAATCAATAGCTCTTCCTCCGACCCCCATGATAGTGTCAATGTACTATTACATTGGCTCGGAACCTGTAACGAGGACTGGAATGACCACTATACATTCTGTCAGAATCTCAAATGAAGGCGGTGGATGATGTATCTCTGGTCATACCTTCAAAGCACCCTCTTTCTTCCCGTATGGCTTGTAGATATGGACCTTTGCTGAGCTACATATAGCTATCTTCCCCGTAGTTTCATCGATCACCACAGCCTCCAGGGCCAGGAGCTGGTCATCGTATATCGTCTGGATAAGACTCTGAGGGCCGCCGAGGATCACTAAGGCATTGCCCGAGATATAGGCCTTGAAGAGGTAGGTTCGTTAGCATTGTGATTCTGTTCGTGAAAATGAACTATGATCTCGTACCACAAGGCGTTGGCCTTCCCATAGCGCGGTACAAACAGCTTGAAGCTTGGCCTGGGGCTTGCCAGGTAGTACTGTTCGCATGGAAGCGAGTGAAACTACACGCTTGAGGACTATCGGATCTTTGGTCTCTTCATGATAGACCAGATCGCCGGAGGATGCGGATTGCTCTATCAGAGATGAAGACGAAGAAGAACGAACCTCTCGGTAATGAGCATTAACTTCCCAAGAGTGCGATGATAAGGAACGTTGTTGGTGTCAAAAAGCAATAACAGGTGCTACCAATGGCTACGTGATTCTGCAGCAACATTACCATTTGACATTTCTAGGGCTCTTCTTGGCGTACCGAGGGTGTAGAGTTTGTAGTGTCTAATATACTTCATTCCTTGCGACTGGAGCATTGCACAAATTTACACTGCTCGAGTGAAGCTCCGAACATAAGCGAGAGCAATCGCTAATTATGATACACTGTTTACAATTCCAAGCAGCCCTTGAATGCTATCGCGCGGGCCATGACACATCCTGAATGATCGCTATCTACCATAATGATTATTCAAATGTTGACCTCCTTTACCATATCCATTCTGCGGTGTGGGCGGAGGTCCATTATAGTAACCAGGTTGTGGTGGCGGCGGTGGTCCATTGTATCGACCTTGAGCTACTGGAGGCGGTCCGCCATAGTACCCATTTTGAGGAGGTGGAGGCGGTCCGTTGAAGTAAGCTCGCGGAGGCGGAGGAGGATAGCCATTGAATTGGCCTGGAGGTGGAGCACCTCGTCCGTAACCATTTGGCGGAGGTGCAAAGCCGGGATTTAGATGCTGGGCGAATGGGTTAGGCCTATCATTGGAGTAGTTGATCTGACCGCCTCGACCACGGCCGCTACCTCGACCACCTCCCAAAGGTGCACCCCCATGAGAGCGGCCAGAGGAGTTCGCGCGTCCTTTGGTAGCCTCGATGTCGGCGCGATCAAGAGTGGGCGGTGCAGATTTGACACCTCGAAGTATCATTGATTTATGGATATGCACTGAATGAGGCATTTCATAGTGGACACTAGGTCAGGTGTTAACTTGAGCCTCTTGACTGGGAGGGTAGACGTACCTGATGCTATTATCTTCGTCCAGGTTGGGCATCACTCCTTCCTCGAGTGGGAAAATTAGAGAACTTTGAGGTATATAGTCCTCGTTCTTCTCAACTTTGCCGGCCAGTCCTTCGCTTATGCGGGGATTGATCTTGTACTTCGGTGAGCCCTGACGCTTCGAATAGAAGTTTGTCGCTATCTCTTCATACAAAGGATGTCGGTTGGACATGATCAGAACATCCTTCCCCAACGCATTCCTTGCAACGTCATCGGCAGATAGCAGCGGATACCTCGTCGCCATAGCTTCGAGCAACCTCTTTGCGTCGATGAAAGGCAGCAATGCAACGCCTTGCCAGGCAAACTTCTTTCCATTCAGATCAATCGGAAAGTCCGTTGGATAGAAATCTAGAATCTCGCTATCCTCATCACTCATTAATGATCTGAACACTTCTGGTATCGCGTGGTTCGAGGCTGCGGGCAAGACGCCCATGAGCTGCTCAAACGGCTTGAAAGGTGTGCCTTTCTCGAATTTTATATTCATCTTATCAAGCTCGACAAAGTCAGCTGCGAAGGGAGCGTAGTGATACGGGTAGTACCAGGTCCACGATGGACATCCCTGGAAGTAATAGAGAAGAACCCATGCAAGACCTTCCACGTAGGCTCTTGCAACGTTGTTGCGAAAGGCGATGTCCTTAGGATCGACGTTAAACTTCTGTTCGTAGTACCGGTCAGCGTAGCCTTCCTCCCACAAACGAACATTGTCGGGTGGCGGCTCATCCGAGTCTGCCTGTGGTTTGTTTGAGACATCAGGGCTATCGCGGCTTGGGGTCCCTGCGTCTCCATCCTCCATGAGTTCTGCTTTTCTCTTCCTCGAAGCCGATACCGGCGTGGTGGTTACGTCTGCACTTTGGGGGGTATTATTCTGCCCGCTACCGTCTGCGCCATCCCCGGCTGATGGCTCGGTCTGGTTTGCCGAAGATGGATCAATCTGACCTCCTAGTAGTTGACTTTTCAATGCAGCTGCAGCACTTTTGTTGGCCGCATTAGCTTTGTGCACCGTGCCACGATTCACGACCATATCATGAGTGACAGCTCTTTCTTCCTTGGTGAGGATACCTTTCCCCGGAACGAACAATGGCATGTCTGCAGGAGCGATTGATGGATCCTTCGCTCGGCCTATGGTACCACTCGACGGGCTGCTGTAGTCTGGAGATCCTCGACGGCCACGTTGCACAGTATTATTTTGGCTCCTGCTTCGATTCTGCTCTTCTAATTTTCGTCGCTTGGCATTAGCATCTCGTCGCTCTTCTGTCTGTCGTCGACGCCGAAAGATGGCATCTTCCTGCTTAGCCAGCCCATCCAAGATGAATTGAGCGCGTTCTAAATCAACATGCCCATCTTTTGTGACATAACCTCCCATCAACGGGATGTTGTCTCGCCAAATAGCAATGAGAGTGTCAATACCATTCTCCCTGATATCAAGACTGGGTAGATGTGGAAGAAAATCGTTCCCAACAAAAAAGCACATAAAAACCCAGTCATCCAAAGCTCTCTCTAGGTCGAAGCGAAAAGTCGCTTGCGGCACATGCAATTCGGCTTCGAGGTACTCACGAAGAACAGAGACATGGAGCCAGATGAAGGGCTTGTCAGTGAGGGCTTTGTCTTTCTCACCAAAATCTCCCTCCTTTTGCTTAGCTTCACCTTTGCATGCCTCCGCTATGTGGCCCTTTTGACCACAGATGTGGCAAGTACGCGCTTTTGACTCTTGGAAGAAGACATCCTCGCGAAGAACGCGAAAATGAGGCTCATGAGTTGCGAGACCAAGCATGATTAAATCGGCATCAAGTCCATACATTACATGGCGAGTATTAGGATCATGCTCAGGCGAAGATCGCTGTGAGCGGATGAACTCCATGATCTTATGTTCTCCTTCACCCGGCACCGTTGCGTCTGATATGATAACCTTGACCTTTTCCCATGCTGGATCAGTGTTGACTTTGTACGCACACCAGTATCGAAGACTCGCGGCAAGGATATCCATGAACGGCGTCCCTGGAGTAATGGCATTGCTATCCCAAGTCTTCTTTTGTGCCATGGCTGTGGCATCTTCATGCACCACTCCGTTGTTCTGCGACTTGAGCATTTTGAGGAATTCCTCCTTGTCTTCGTCCTTCTGTGCTGCTTCCTGGGCCGATCTGAAGCGTCGGGAGCGTTGCTGATTCATCTTTGCACGAGGAGCAACACCGTCTGCAGGAGTATTTTAGCTTGTTTCGTAGTCGATTCCAGTTGAATCGTGAAAGGAATGCACCCCCCCCCCTGATGACTTCAAGATCTCAGCGGATAAGGTAGCCAGTCTAAGGGGATAGGCAAATCTAAGATCCCAGGGCATGACAGCATTGAACGTACCAACAGCAATCAATAGCAGTTTCCTTGGCCTAACCATGTTCACCACTCGATCCGTATATTTAAATATTGCTAGCATCATCTCTTCTTCTGTAGATGGCGGTGGGCGATCTTCTGGGTGTGAACAGGGATGGACAATGCCATTCATGTCAAGATACCTTCTCACCAATTAGAACCATCAACTATACACTCCCAAAGATGCCAGAATGTAACGCACAAATTGTCGAATTCCTCTCCGTTGGGATTTGGACCCGCCGTGCTGACCGGTATCTCCTGTCCATCTACTTCTCCTGGTTTCTCTTCGATGACCTGCGAGATGATCTTAGGGTACTTCTGCGACAGCCAGCGAAAAAGCGCTGGAACACCCATATTTGCTTGTGTGTTGGGAAACTCCTAAGGTTCTCGGTGCCGTGAGGAAAGGTTATGATATAAACACGCGCACGTTGATATCCAAAAAATGGTAGCTGTAGGGCTATCCTTCGTGCTCTTTGTCATCAACGAGGAGAGCCTCCAAGCGGGTAATCAAGGACAGTATATGCTGGACCTCAATAATGATCGTAGGTCGAAAATTGCAGGTTTACTATGGGAAACCTATGGTGCATAGGAGAGATGGCAGGCCAGTGCTTCAAGAAGCTAGAGGTGCGAAGTTAAACCCTGCTGAATCCTATCACACAGTGAGCAACCTTCAATCTACCGAGATGAAAGAGCGCCTGGCGCTCGTCACTTTGTCAGATGGTAAGAAGCCTTTGCTGTGGTGCGCCTGAAGCTTTCGAAGGGTGAAATGGCGAGATGATCGTTTGACCTCAGGCTTAAGAAGGCTTGTCTGCAGGATGGACTTGCGGGTAATGGAAAAACCTTTTTCCGAGGCTAACGATCTGCAATGTCAAAATTACAGGCCGGAGAGCCCGACAAGTACCATACCCCAATGGCTGTTTTCCAGATGTGCAGCGCGCCGAGCTAAAAGCTTTGGGAAGGCGATGGCGAGTCAGTAGTCGATAATGTGGAGGCTGTCCAGGTCACGCTCACTGAAGAGAATGCAGCCACCATAGTACAATGTTCCGCATACTCGAATCGCAGGCACCGGCGAAGCAGAATGCAACGACCACAATCTCTACCTTAAGTGGGCGTCTACAAAGTGCCACACTTTTAGAGGATCGAAGAGCAGCGATATTAGGGTTGAGAAGTTTTGCAAAAGTCTATCCAGCCTCTGTGGCATCTGGGGCTCTTAGGAGCCTCATTAGCTGCCTTAACAACGATGTTGAGGATGTGGACACTACGAAGGTAATACTAGAAACATTGCTGATGCTTTTCAACCCTGATGAGTCAAGTGTGGGTAATCACCCCAGAAAACACTGTCTTTACTAAGGTACTAATAACCAGAAGCCGGAAGCTTCAGATGACATAGCTCTCTGGCTTGCAGATGAATTCACCCAAGTGAGTGACGTATAATGACCATGAGCTTGATCGCCTGCTGAGTTGACCGAGTAGCGGCAAGAAAATATTACAGCTCTCTTGGACCTTCTGGACGCATACGACTTCTTTTCACGGCTGTACTCGTTACAATTAATATCCGCCATATCGTCTGCACGCCCCGAGCGAACACAGGAATGTGTCTACACAGCTCCTCTTGGTGTGTCTAGATTGGTTGCTGTACTCGAAGATAAAAGAGAAGCTGTGCGGAGTGGTATGGTGACCCGTATGGAAAGAACTATCTAGGAATAGGGCTAATAGCGAACAATAGAGGGTTTACTCCTGCTCACTGCACTCACACCGTCCTCGCCAGATTTACAAAAGCTCGTAGCATTTGAGAATGCCTTCGATCGCATATTTGGCATCATTGATTCGGAAGGTGCACTGACACACGGAGGCATTTCGGTGCAGGACTGTTTGTCTCTACTGGCAAACCTCCTTCGCATGAACGTCTCGAACCAATCCTACTTTCGCGAAACAGGATCCGTGAAGAAGCTCGCGAGTCTCCTGAGTGAGGCTATTCGCGAACAAGATCTCCCAGATGGGGTACCAGAATGGGCCAGGCCTCAGCGGGACAAAAATGTTTGGGGCCTTCTCGCTGTCCTACGACTCTTCCTTGTCAGAGGTAGCCTAGGAACGCAAGCAAATCAAATGTCGTTCTGGCAAAGTGGGGTATTGACTCAAGTGCTGGACATAGCTTTTCGTGAATCATTCGACATCCCGATCAGAGCAGAGGTTAGTCGAATTCGCACCCACCAACGCTCGCATCGCTAATTGATCCGTGCAAAAGGCCTTGGTCACAGGTGCCGATCTCATAAGGTCAAACACCAGCTTACAGGAAGGTTTCGCACAGCGTGATGTTCTCTCGCCGAGGCAGGAGGTTCTGCAACTCAATGGTCATGCTAACGGTCAGGCTCCGCGGTCAACAGTAAACGTTATATCCGGTCTCCTTGATCTGGCCCTTGCGCCATCTTCCACTTATGCATTCGACGTCCGGCTATCCGCTTGCGAGTGTCTCAAAGCGTACTTGTGTGGCCATGCAGCAATACGCTTGCATTTTCTGCGTAGAGCCATCGAGGGCCATACATCCGATCAGGTCGAAACAGACAACATAATCACAATTCTTTTAGATGACCCCGAGTCCTCTCATGGAGTGGATCCATACAGATCTTGGATCTCTGCAGTCTTGCTATTTCATCTTCTGTATGAGGACTTTGATGCGAAGAATATTGCCATGAGTGTTGCCGAGGGCGATGCCGAAAACGGGGAGGAAGTCATCACCTGTATACAGAAGTTGTCATCGAATCTCATTTCAGGTGAACAGAAGCACGAAGACCCAAGGGTGTCTATTGGATATCTCATGATTTTGTGCGGGTGGCTATACGAGGATCATGACGCAGTCAATGACTTCCTCGGCGAAGGCAGCAGTGTACAAAGCATAGTACAGCTAATTACACGGAACAGTCCGTCTCGAATTCTTGTATCAGGACTGTGCGCTTTCCTGCTGGGCATCATCTATGAATTTTCAACCAAAGACTCTCCGATACCGCGAGCTACTCTTCATCAAATCCTCACCACCGGCTTAGGGCGTGAACAATACGTTGATAGAATTACTAAGCTACGGGAACATACCATGGTCCGTGATTTCGAAGTGCTGCACCAAGGTTTTGCCTCCAGCCTGCCCGGTGGGCTGCCTGAAGTCTACTTCGACCGGACGTTTGTGGACTTTCTGAAGGACAATTTCAGCCGTGTCACGAGAGCAGTCGATCGACCTCCAGGTATTGAAGTGGCTGTGGTTGCGAACGGAATCCAGAAAGGTGTCTCCCGCGAGTTGGTCGATTCACTGAAATCGCAAGTCGATGCTGCAGAGCAAACAATACAGAAGCTCGAGTCAGGGAAGTTGACGCTTGAGCGAAAACTCGGACAAGAGCAGGCCGACCACCGGAAAGCCAAAGACTCTGCTACTGTGGAACTGAGCAGGATCAAGAACATTAACGAAGCACTTCAGCGTAATCACGAAGAAGATATGCAAACAACCGTACAAAAGCATCAGCAGGCTCAGGTAGCGACACAGAGGACACACGAAGCGTCCATGCAGTCGCTGAAGAGCGAAATGCAGAGAAAGAGAGAAGCAGCTGATGCAGACGCTACAAGGGTCCGAACAAGGACTGACGCCGAGATAGAGGACCTGAAAGCCACGGTTCGGAGGCTAAGAGACGAGCTGGAAAAGTCTAGCAAAGAGCATGCGCAAGATCTTCATATCGCACATGAAGACTACTCCACGAAGATATCTGCATTGGAGCTCCGCCTGCAACGCGCAGAAGACAAGGCCAACGATGCTGAAACGAGAGCCAGTCGTCTGCAGAGCGAGATTGACAGCAAAGAAGAGGCCAGAAAGTCAGCGCAAACAGAACTTGATGACATGCTCATGGTGCTTGCGGATCTTGAGGAGAAGAGGTCAAGAGACAAGGTACGAAAAAATCGTTTCCAGTCGTTTGGCCAGCTTGCTAACACCAACAGAAACATCTCCGGATACTTGGAGAGGACGTCTCTGAGAGCGAGGAGGAAGAGGTTCCTGAAGGTGGGGACGCCGACGCATAAGGCCATGGGCATTGAGGCTGTCATTTGCACCGGCCGACACAGCAGCCGGGTCATTGGATGTATGAATAAATTGCTATGTACAGCAGAGCAAGACGGACTTAATCGAAAGAAGGAACTTTTGACTACAGAATAATCGGCAGGTCTTCGTGGTATGGTGTCATGCTTGTGGGGCTCAAGGATCTACGTTCCCTGAACCAGATGATTGTGACTGTTCGTCTTTCGCCCACCTCAGTTGTGAGATAGATTCCGGCGGACCGTGCTATTTTGTGGTGCATTAGTCGGTTCTCGGCCAATCTTGTCGACTGATAGGTGGATGTCTAGGTGTCTAACAACCTTTTTCGACCGTAGGCAGTGCTTGAGGCGTAGAAGAATCTGTGTTTTCTGGGGACGATTTGAGTTTACGAACGAGATGGTCAGTCTATGTTTAGAGGATAAGCCTGCTTTGTCTGCTTTCTTCGGTATCTAACCAGCGTTCCAGTGGATAGACTTCATTTATCGAGCAAGAAAGAGCACGAACGTTGGGTAGTGTGTGATGGATGAGCCTGGTCGGAAGGCAAACCTGCATTTTATACGGGCATCTAACCAGAGATATCGCCCATTTGCAGCTCTTACCAGAATCTGTTCCGCCAGCGACGAGATCCATCTGTACGTGGCGCTGGCTACGAATCTCCTATTATAGCAGGGAAGCCGAGTGATCTCATCTCCGACGCCAGCCATGCAGTGGTCGTTTACTCGAACCGTTTCGACTCTGATCAGTTTCTGATATTGGGAGAGGAGTACTGAAGGCTACGGATGAGAAGGGTTCCACACGTCAAAGTCTCGACGCGTACGAATAAGGCCGATAAGCTGCCAACTTCGGGGTTTTCCACTCAACTACTATTTAATAGAGGCTTACGTATCTACTACAGTAGGTTTCTACGATACTCGAATTAGCACTCGAGCGTATAGCGTTTGAACGCCGTGTCAGTTGTATCGACGCTATAACATAATCCGTTCTGCCGAGCCTCCAGGTAAGGTTGTTTCTTCGTTTTTTCCCTCTCGGGTAACGCAGTTTAACGAACGGTAAAAATGGCGATTTCGGTTCGAATCTATGGCGATTGTATGAATGTTCAGGGATGAGATCAATTGTGACCAGGCTAAAAACGTATAGAGAATCGGTTCGTTGCCTTGACGGGGCAGCGGAGACCGTCCAAACTTGGCACATGGCCGCAGGGTCGAGTGGGCTACGTACCTGAGTACCTAGGGTCGTTCCTGCCCAGCATAAAAATCGAGAAAGAGAGAGACAAACACTAGAATCTGTTCATAAAACGCTTCTCCAAGAAATGACCCATAACCACCGGCTTCGGCAGTAATAGAATCCACGAAAGAAGCAATCGTGACAACTTAATCATTCTATGCCTCTTCGTTGTATCTATTAGACGTAATTGTAAGGTCGCCGTAAGTGCTTGGTAAGTAGATTCTAGGTGGCTTTCGAAAAGTGGTCAGCCCTATGGAAATTTCCAAACTTTGAGTCACTGGTGACATTATTGTAATAATCTGCGACCAAAAGCCGCCAATGAGGTCCAAACCTACGACTCCATGAGCAAAAGTTGGCCTCCAGCATCATGTCTATCGATTTTCCGAAGGAAGAGGAGGCGGTGCTGAAGCGGTGGAAGCAGATCAAGGCGTTCGAAACACAGGTCGAGCTCTCCAAGGGCAAACAGCCTTATACCTTCTATGATGGGCCTCCGTTCGCGACTGGCCTGCCACATTACGGGCACTTGCTCTCGTCAACTATCAAAGACATTATTCCAAGATACTGGTCAATGAAAGGGCGTTACGTGGAGAGGCGATTCGGCTGGGATACGCATGGGCTGCCCATTGAATATGAAATAGACAAGAAGCTGGGGCTCTCAGGCAAAGATGCGGTGGAGAAGATCGGAATAGAAGCATACAATGCAGAATGCCGGGCTATCGTCATGAAATTTGCAACAGAGTGGAAGCAGACTATTGAACGTTTGGGCCGGTGGATCGACTTCGACAATGACTACAAGGTCAGCGAGCCTAGACCCTCACGTAAGTGATATTGCTTACTGACGGCAGTGATGTCAGACCATGGACCTTTCGTTCATGGAGTCGGTCTGGTGGGTTTTCTCAGAATTATACAAAAAGGATCTTGTCTACAAAGGGTACCGTGTTATGCCCTATTCAACAGCTCTCAATACACCACTCAGCAACTTCGAAGCTCAACAGAATTACAAAGACACTCAAGATCCTGCCGTTGTGGTTACATTCCCTTTACTGAGTGACCCCGATACGTGCCTCCTGGCTTGGACAACGACACCGTGGACATTACCCTCTCACACGGGACTTGCGGCCCACCCGGACTTCGAGTACGTCAAGATCTTTGATGAAGCATCCAAAAAACATTACATCCTACTTGAAGCGCTCATGAAGACATTATACAAGGACCCAAAGAAGGCAAAATATCGCATCGTCGAACGTATAAAGGGAAAGGACATGCTGGGCTGGAAGTACGAACCGTTGTTCGACTATTTCTACGAAGAGTTCAAAGACTATGGTTTCAAAGTGCTCAATGCTACCTATGTGACGGCGGACAGCGGTGTTGGAATTGTTCATCAGTCTCCCGCGTTCGGAGACGAGGACTACAAAGTAGCTCTCGAGGCCGGAGTCATCAACGATAAACGCCTGCCTCCAAATCCAGTCGATGAAAAGGGTTTGTTCACCGCAGAAGTGCCCGACTTCCAAGGTCAACATGTCAAAGCCGCCGACAAAGCTATCATCAAACATCTAAAAGGAACCGGTCGTTTGATCGTTGATACCCAATTTACTCACAGCTACCCATTCTGTTGGCGGTCAGATACACCCCTGATCTACAAGGCCGTTCCCGCGTGGTTCGTAAAGGTTCCCGACCTCATCCCCACCATGCTAAAAAACATTGAAAAGTCGCATTGGGTGCCCAGTTTCGTGAAAGAAAACCGATTTGGCAGTTGGATTGCTAATGCTCGAGATTGGAACGTGTCACGGAATCGATATTGGGGTACTCCTATGCCGGTATGGGCGAGCACCGATTTCAAAGAGATTGTCTGCGTCAGCAGCATAGAGGAGCTTAAAAAGCTAAGTGGCTTTGAGGGCGAGCTGACAGACATCCATCGGGACAAGGTAGACCACATCACCATTCCTAGCAAGCAAGGCAAAGGCGATCTACGGCGCATTGACGAAGTCTTTGATTGCTGGTTCGAATCCGGCAGCATGCCCTACGCGTCATCTCATTATCCCTTTGAGAACACAGAGGCTTTCAAGGCTTCCTTCCCTGGTGACTTCATTGCAGAAGGCCTGGATCAAACACGTGGATGGTTCTACACTTTGACTGTTTTGGGAAATCATCTGTTTGGCTGCTCACCATTCAAGAATTGCATCGTGAATGGCATCGTTCTTGCCAACGACGGAAAGAAGATGTCCAAGCGGCTAAAGAATTATCCTGATCCTTCTTTGATTATAGATCAGTACGGCTCGGATGCTCTCCGACTGTATCTCATCAATTCACCTGTCGTCCGCGCTGAGACTCTCCGCTTTGATGAAAAAGGTGTCAAAGAAGTCGTTGCAAAGGTCCTGCTTCCGCTGTGGAACTGCTATAGATTCTTTTCAGAACAGGCTTTGCTTCTCAAGAAAGTCGAAAATATTGACTTCGTGTTCGATCTCAAATCGGAGTCAGGCAACACGAACGTGATGGATAAATGGATACTGGCAAGCTGCCAGAGCTTGCTCAAATTCACCAACGAAGAGATGGCCGCATACCGGTTGTACACAGTCGTGCCGAATCTGCTGGGGCTGATTGACAATACCACTAATTGGTACATTCGATTCAACCGTCGGCGCCTAAAAGGCGAGTTTGGCATTGAAGATACCCAGCGAGCGTTGAATACCCTCTTCGGGGTTTTGTACATTCTAGTTCGAGCTCTGGCACCTTTCACCCCCTTTCTCACAGATAACATCTACCAGCGATTATTACCCCATATTCCCGAATCTGAACGAGCGAAGGATCCTCGAAGCGTGCATTTCCTCGATTTCCCCGAGGTCAGAGAAAACCTCTTTGATGAAGACGTCGAACGTCGGGTCGGCCGTATGCAAAGAGTCATTGAGCTCGGAAGAGTCTCGAGGGAACGAAGGACCATTGGCCTCAAGCAACCACTCAAGACCCTCGTCGTTATCCATCCAGACGAGACATATCTCTCCGACGTACGTTCCCTGGAGTCTTATATCTGCGAAGAACTCAATATCCACGAGCTCATCCTCTCCTCCAACGAAGACAAATACAACGTCCAGTACAGCGTCACAGCTGACTGGCCCTCCCTCGGCAAGAAGCTCAAGAAGGAGGCTCAAAAGGTTAAGAAAGCCCTTCCCGGTCTCACGAGTGACGAAGTGCGTGGGTTCGTTGAGAACAAAACCATTACAGTTGCCGGCATCGAATTAGACGAGGAAGACTTGATTGTCAAACGCGGCCTCGGCGACGACGAAGCGACCAACTTCTACGAAACCAACACCGATAACGACGTTCTCATCCTGTTAGACACAACTCTTTCTCCCTCCTTAGTTCACGAAGGCATAGCCCGCGAGGTTGTCAACCGGGTACAACAACTACGCAAGAAAGCGAAGCTGGTGCCTACAGATGACGTGAAGATGGAATATAAGGTGCTGAGTGATCCAGAGGATATCGGTATTGAGCAGGTATTCGAGGGGCACGGGAAAACGTTCGAGAAGGCTTTGAGGAGACCGCTTGATAAGCATGTGGTAACGCAGTTTGAAGGGAAGGTGCCTGGCGGAGATGTCGACGTGGTGGTAGCGGAAGAGGAGCAGGAGGTACAGAAGGCGTGCTTTTTGTTGAGGTTGGTGAAGCTCTAAAACAGGGAAACAAAGTAGACGAGGGGATGATGTTCACGATAAAGCAGCGCATGTTGCCGTCCTTGGGTCTTAACCCTGGTTCAGGACAGGAATAACAAATTCGCATGCAACAGCTCCTCAACTCGTTCTTTTAATGTTGATTGTAAATCAAGTCTCATGGTCCGTAGTCTATGCAACCATAGCTCGTCAACCCGCTGCCAGCCTCTCCTGAATGTCCGCCCATACGTCGGTTTCGGCTTGCTGGGAAGTTCGCGGCAGATTCACTGTCCTTTATGTCTGCTCATCCAACAACCTAATTGCCTCCTTTCCCACTCCCGCCGCCCGTTGTTTTCTCTCCTCCTCCTGGTGTCACCCCCTGGCTTCCTCCCCCACTCCCTGGAGCATCCTTCATCTCGCTAATGCCTTCTGGAAGTGGTGCAGCTTTGCCGGAGCGGTCAACGCCGGAGGAGACTGGTTCCTGGAAAAGCAACAGGGGATTAGCGCAAGGAGTGACAGAAGAGGACGGGCTAAACTTACGTCTGAGTCGCCTTCGGGGGCACCGGCGATCTTGTTCTCGCCGGACTCTATTGCGTTGTCGCTTGCCACCGTTGGACCATCGTCGTATTCTCCACCACGAGGCATTGTGTCTGAACTTTGGTACTGAAGATTGTGGTATGAGGATAATATTGGCAGGGAGTTGATCGAGCTCTAGTTGGATTTTCGGTGTCTGAATGGTTTCGATGGAACGTGTTCATTGATTTTCAAGCAAAGTTGTGCGCATACGTCATTATGACAGTACCCGAGTGGGAGAGGTCTTTCTCTTGTATACGTAGATCGGACACTTAACATCCACGCACAGACGTATCAAAGGACCATCCGTTCAAATCATGGAATACTATGCTGCTCATTTTCGTTTTGCAGCAGCCTTGGAGAGACATTAGCGTTGGCTTGCCTGCGAATTGACGATATCGCATACAGTGTAGCAATCCTTGAGCTTCAAAAATTCGGTGAGGCATTTGTCCTTGTAAATCCCATTAAAATCTTGCGCTATACAACGTCCAAACACGGAACTCTGGGACACTTCAGCGATAGAGACAGTAGACTTTGAATACGAGAATTGTTTACCTCGGCAGAGCATTTGGCTACGGCCTCAGCAAATTTCTCGATTGGCCTTGTTCTTCCGGGCATTTTCGATTGCGGTTCTAAATCAAGTCCAGGTGAATCAGAGCGCACCAGGTCAGTTGCAGATAAATAGAGAAGGAGAAAAGTGGTGTTGAGCTCGATCTGGGCAATACGGAGGGCACTAGTAGCCCTACAGCTGTGTCGGTATATCAAACGCGAAATAGCCGCCGCGTTATGAAAGGAATTGAGCAACATCAACATGCGTGTCGCAAACGTCCATTTGCTATGATTTACGAGCTCACGAATTGCTATGAAGCATCGCATCGCTTATTGTTATACCACAGACCCTTCAATCACCTTCATGCCTTCAGAATCCCCGCGTGGTAGGCGCCGGTACTGTCGATGCCTCCAGAGTCCCCACTGTCTGAACACAATAGCGCCGAGGACTCTTCCCCACTCACTGATCAAAGTATGTCTTTACATGTTTCTATAGTGTAGCTGCGACTGACGGCGCGCAACAGATGTCGCCATTTTGTACCAAATCGTCAAGTCCGCCGAGCAACATCCTGATGTTGGGATCCGCCCTTTCCGTGCCATGTACGCCGCGTACGAGTCAATCCTCCCTCAGAATGGACTTCATCCGGATCATGATCAGACATACTTGCCCTACTTGTATAGATTGGGAGGGAAGAGAGAAGAAGGGCAGTCTCTGTACGAGAGCTTCGAGGGTCTGCTTGCGGAGCTTGGATTCCAGATCGAGTTTATCGCGGATGGGGAAGGGGTACAAGAGATCACAAAGGACCTCGGCGCGGAATATGAAGATGAGAATGGAGCCAATGGACGAAGGGGAGACACTGGTGGATCTATGCGAAGGTCAAGACGAGCCTCTTTTAACTCTATGTACGATGCGGAGGACGAGAGCACCAGAGCGATTCGACGACGAGATGCATCGCGCGCTTCTATGTCTCGCCTTGAAACCAGTCAATCGGCAGTACTGGACACTCGACCGTCGACGCGAGCAACTACAAGGAGGACAGAAAAGACAGGCGCCAATGCTCTGTCCTCGAGACCGCCAGCCGTCCAGAACACGAGGGGTAGGCTGACAGCCGAGGAATTTGCCAAGGGTTCTCCGCACTCCCAGCACGCAGCTGGGTCTAGCCAGGGCGACCGTCAAAGAAACATTCAACCGAAATCCATCGCTTCAGGAAAGAATGACCAAGCATATGCGGCCTCCCCAGTAGAAGACCTTTCTATAAGCGCCACCGACCGTGAAAACAACACCACCCAAGCGTCGGCAACTCCTCACAACCTTCAGCCTCCATATCTACTGAGTGAAAATGAGCGTTTCTATAACCCTTCGAAGACTCAACTGCTTCGAGACGCGCACGATTTTCACTATTACCGAATTCGGTCCATTGCCCGTGATGCTATTAATAAGTGGTGCTTCGCAGCGTCTCAGGCGAGAGACGGACACGAACATATGGAACGACTTGCAGCCGCTCATGACATGGAGATCCTTCTGCGCCAGGCTTTTGAGCATTGGCGTCTTAGATTGCATGCGAAAAAACAAGCTGCTGAAACCGAGCGCTTCTTTAACCGCCTGGAACGGAGAGCCACCAAAGCTCGGGATCTATTCCTGATAGCAAAAGCATTCAGTCATTGGGCGCAGTGCACACAGGAGGAAGTCTTGCGAACATCTGATGCTCGACAGCACGTTCTTAGTACGAAATACTTTCGGGCATGGCGTGAGATCACTGTCATCAATCAACTGAAGATGCGCCGCCAAGGATTACGAAAGTTCTTTAGGATCTGGAAGCAGCGATATGTTCAAACCTTGACGGACGACATCAAAGCCGATCTAAAGCGCCAGGAAGATCTTTCGAGGAGTGCCTATTGGCACTGGTTCTGGGTCTTCTGTGAGAGACGAGCCCCGGAATGGAGGGCTGGGAGGCTCAAGCGGAAATATCTGTTCCAATGGATAGCCACCTTCAGAAGCGATGTTCGACTGAATCAGCAGGTCGTATTGAAGTCAATCAACTCGTCAAGGAAGTATATTTTCCTACCATGGCTTGAGAAAGCACGGATTATCATTTCCGCCCGGCGAGAAGCAGACGCCTTCAATGAGCAAAAGCAAGGTGCCCATACTCTGCAGGCTTGGAGAATAGCCGCGGAATATGCCCCGTTTGCTCGACAAGTATCCAACATGGTTGATTGGAGAGTGGCTGGTGAGACTTTTGCGATCTTTGTTACTAGGTACAGATTCGAAAAGCAAGCTGAGTCCGTCAATCGATTGCGTATCATGAGGACTGCTTGGACACAATGGAACGATCGCTTGCGCTGGCAAAGCTTATCTCAACGCATAGATGATCGCTATTTACTCGAATCCCTGTACAAATGGGTTATCGCAGAACGATGTACACTTTTGCAGCGGCTGTCTGAGGAGAGGCTCAAACGATTAATGTTCTACAAACTGAAGCAACACTGCACACTGCGTCAAGCAGAGCGCGAGAGTGGCCGCCAGATTGTCGAGGAGACACGAAGGAAAAGCTGCCTGCGGTCGCTCGTTCGCCATTGGTACTCGCAGCTGGGCTCTAATGGCCAGGATGAGCGCGTCGCCTTTGAGTTTCGTGCGCCCAAAGTAGCTCAAGATACTTTACAGTTGTGGAGTCGAGCCTCAGAGCATGTGCGGGATCTGAACAGCATGGCTAAACACGCCAACTTCTATTTTTTCACAAGGAAATGCTACAAGCGTTGGCAATCTGCAACCACTAATTCTAAGCGGCAAAAGCGTCGAAACGCCTATGTCCAAGTCAGACGAAGATCAAAGATGAACCTTGCTGCAGGGTTGTTGCGGCAATGGCGTAATGTCTCTGCGCTGGAACAGGATAAGCAGCAGCAAGCCGGCCTTATGGACCGAAATCGCCTGCTGCGAATGGGTACCGAGCTGTTCGATCGTTGGAGAGACCAGTCTGATCTGAGAAGGGACCAAGACCATCAGGCAAACCAATATTACGAGAGGCGACTGCAAGACCGCCAACTCTACACATGGATAGAACGACTCGAGGACCAAGCGAGGCTGGAGGAGACAGCTGCGCTTAATAATGAGATGCGTGTCAAAAACATTGCTTTCGGCTGGTTCAACAAGCTGCGTCTAAAAATCATTGAGCTCAAAGGTCGAGAAGCGAATGCAGAGAATCTAAGGGTCTGGTATGAAAAGCGGCATTTTCGCAACCTATTGAGACATTGGCGCGATCAGACAGCCGGAAAGCTCGATCGTCCACAGCAGGATACGGCCTTCTCATTCAGAATCAAGAGGGCGAAGCCTCAAGCCGAAGCAGATGACCGCGATGGCCCGACAAGACGAGCAGAAGACTGGACGGACTTTGATCTTGGTGACTGGATTCCAGCCCTCGAGGCTCAATCAAACAGCACACCATTGCCAGGATACTTGAGTACACCGTCAAAAAGGGCTGCTCGTGCGAAAGCGTTGGTCCGAGTCTCGACGACTCCTGCAGGTACGCCATTCGAGCATCGCCCTCGCTCTCAGACTGGCTCGACAACACGGACTTCTCGAAGAGGTGCTTTTGGGAAGTCTACTACAGCTTTGAAAGGTAGTACTTTTAGGACTATAGTTGAAGACTCGCCGAGGACACCATAAACAGAGGCGTAAAAGGAAAGGAAGGCGCAAGAAAAGGCATGACTAGTCCTAAGCAGCGTCGGAGTTGAGAGAGCGTCTTGGTAATTATATTTTTGATGATACCCACCGGCGACGGTTCTTGGATAGTAGGGCCTTCAGCGTTCATAGCAATGACTTTTCTTTTATAATTCGTATTACGAGACGTAAGGGAATCGAGCAAAAGTCGTGCGTAGAGGGAGAATACGCAGGCCAAAATTCCCAAAAAATCCAATTTTCACCACTATTCCTGACTCCTGTCCTGCAATCTTTCAGTTGTCGCATCCTTCTGGCAGCGCACCTCTTGAGGCTTGAAAACTGTGGGATTGCCTCTATGCATGACTTCTGCTACATACTCTTACCTTTCCGTGGACCTCGCCGTCGCCCATGGATCCCATGCTGTCGCCACAACAGTCCAGTGCTATTTGAGGCTATATCTACTTGATCTCTTTCGGCCTCTATTTGTGACCGAATTATTGCTCCCCGGGCTGTATTGTGGCCGAGTTGTTTCAGTGACGGAATAACCTCTTTTAGACGATATCAAAAAAAAAAAACTCCAGGTATGCTCTAGGCTACGCTCCAGAGCCATAAGCCCGAGAGAGTACGTTCCAGAGCCCCGGCGCAACCATTCGGGGTACGGGTAGGACCCCAGTAAGAAGCCTGTTCTGCCAAAGCCTCTACATTTGTCGCAATACCACATCCCGGAACAGTACCTCAGCAACAGCCATGCGCAGCATGGCAGGGTACCCGGGCAGCGCACCCCCGCGCAGCAATCGCCCAAACGACGATACCTCGGGGTTATAAGATTAGGGCATTGGCCCCCATAGAGCAATACTTCTAGCGAGCACGCTCGGGAGGCCATGCGCTGGAAGAACATCAGCACCCGATTTCTGAAGTTGCGGAATCCGCTCGGGCTAGCTTAAGCCCCGGGCGCCCTTAGCGTAGCCGGAAAATGGAATCTGGCGGGCCGACCTCCCGAATTGCCTATGCAAAACCAGTTTCGAATGGCGGCGGTATAGTTTTGCTTGTCTACTTAAATCGCATCAACAGAACCACTAAAATACATTTCTCCAAGGCTTGGACACTTTTCATGTTTTTTATATCCTAGATTCGTCCAACTCCTGTGATCTCCTGGCCTCGTTTCGATAACTACCAAATCTGAATGCCAAAATGGAGCCCACAATCGTCCCCATCTTAAGCAACGAAAATGCAATTACCATTGACTACAACCTCTGGGGCTCTTATATTGCCCAAGATCTGCTCAAGAATCTTCCCTCTTCGACTTACGTTCTGATTACAGATACTAACCTTTATGATCTCTATGTGCCTTCCTTTGAAAAAGCCTTCAACGATGTAGCCTCCAGTATCAAGGCGGAAAGCCGTTTATTAACATATACCATCCCGCCTGGGGAGACTTCGAAATCGAGAACAACCAAGGCCGAGGTCGAAGATTGGATGCTGTCTGAAGAGCGGGACCCGCCTTTGGATGTGAGTCCTGTTTTGTGATTGATCATCCAAAATTTCTGATGCATCAAGATTCGCTTCGAACGGGAAATGCTGACTTGTTCAAGACCAAATCAGTGCTTCTCGCTCTAGGCGGAGGGGTCATTGGTGACATGATTGGCTTCGTTGCTGCTACTTTCAAGCGTGGCATCAGATTCGTACAGATACCCACTTCGCTACTTGCTATGGTGGACTCCTCTATAGGCGGTAAAACGGCTATTGATGTACGTACATTTCCGAGTGCTTACTTCCCACTAGCGATGCGATTTGGAAGGCCGTTGGAGGGCCTCCTCATCTTCTCGCCTCCTCTTCCCTAGGCTCTGGAAGATTCATCGACTTCAGTGTTGAAAGGGGACGCTGACTCTGGAACATTACTCAGACGCCGGCTGGCAAGAACCTCATCGGTGCTTTCTGGCAGGTATTTCAATCTCTAATCCGCGCACAACGCCTTACCCTGACCCTTGAATTGCTAGCCTTCTAAAATATACATTGACCTCAATTTTCTCAATACCCTGCCCACCCGTGAGTTCATCAATGGGCTGGCCGAAGTCATAAAGGTCTGCTTCTGTCCAGAAACTGTGCATGTGTGTTTTCATTTATGCTAACAACTTCGCAGACCGCGGCCATCTCGACGACAGCGATGTCTGAGACGAATGAGTCCAAGGGTGAGTATGAAACGATGAAGTACAAATTTGAGGCGTTAGAAGCAAATGTCAACGTCCTCATGGCCGCTATCAAAACCAAGCCAGAAGCCAATGATCATAGACTTTCGAAAGTTAGGGAAAAATTGAAGGACATCGTTCTCGGATCAGTCCAAGTGAAGGCGCATGTTGTGTCAGCAGACGAAAGGGAAGGAGGGTTGAGAAACCTCCTAAATTTTGGTCATTCTATCGGTCATGGTATCGAGGGTTTACTCACGCCTGATATCTTACACGGCGAGTGTGTCGCTATTGGTATGGTGTTAGAAGCAGAACTAGCATTGCATCTGGGGGTACTTAGTCGAGAAGCTGTTGCTAGACTCAGGAACTGCCTTGCCAAATATGAACTACCCACGTCATTACAGGATGCTGTTGTTCGAGAGCGTTCTGGCCACAAACACTGCTCTATGGACCAAATACTTTCGGTGATGGCTGTTGACAAGAAGAACCAGGGAAAGAAAAAGCGCATAGTGCTTCTTCGCGGCATTGGATTTGTGCACGAGCAACAGGCAACGGTGGTGGCTGATCGAGACATAAGAAATGTGCTATCCTCTAGCGTCAGAATACTGCCATCCATACCCCATGGTGTAAAGGTATCATGTACACCACCAGGTTCTAAGAGCATATCCAACAGAGCGTTGGTCTTGGCAGCGCTTGGCAACGGCGAGTGTCGAATTCGGAATCTACTACATTCAGTCGACACAGAGGTCATGATCGAGGCCTTGAAGATAATGAAGTGTGCCTCCTTCTCGTCGGGTGAAGACAGCAAGGGCAAATATCTCCTGGTTACAGGTAATGGCGGAAATCTCCAAGCGAGCGAAAAGGACCTCTACATCGAGAACGCTGGCACAGCGGCACGCTTCTTGGCAACCGTTGCCCTTCTTGCTAAACCAAATCTACAATCATACTCCATCCTGACTGGCAACAAGAGGATGAACGAAGGCCGCCCGATCAAAGACCTGGTAGACGCGTTGCGAGCGAATGGATCCAGTATTGAATGCACAGGAAAGGATGGGCACCTACCTCTCAAGATCGAAGCAGCAGAGGGTATGGAAGGTGGTGATATCGTACTGGATGCCAGTTTCTCGTCGCAATATGTCTCATCTATATTGATGGCTGCTCCTTACGCAAAGAAGCCTGTCACTCTTCGTCTCACAGGTGGACCACCGATCTCGCAGCTATATATTGATATGACTACGGCAATGATGAGGAAGTTTGGCGTCGACGTAACAAAATCTACAATAGAAGAGCATGCCTATCACGTACCTCAGGCGACTTACCGAAACCCCCCTGACTACGAGGTCGAGAGTGATGCTAGTTCAGCAACCTATCCTCTCGCTCTGGCTGCAATCAACGGTATCACCTGTATCGTGCCAAACGTAGGTTATGGGTCTCTGCAAGGTGATGCCCAGTTCGCTGTCAAGGTCTTGAAACAAATGGGCTGTTCTGTTGATCAGACAGAGTCCTCCACAACTGTCACAGGTCCGCCGAAAGGCACCCTTAAGCCAATACCGTCTATAGACATGGAGACGATGACAGATGCCTTTCTGACGGCCTCGATCCTAGCTGCCGTTGCTCAAGGCAGCACTGGTAAGTCGACGACCAAGATTACCGGCATTAAAAATCAGCACAAAAAGGAGTGCGATCGAATAGAAGCTATGGAGAAAGAACTATCCAAGTTCGGCGTCACTTGCCGTGGATTCGAAGATGGCATTGAGATTGACGGCATAAACCATGCTGAGCTACAAGAGCCAGCTGGTGGCGTTCATTGCTACGACGATCACAGAGTGGCGATGAGCAACAGTGTCTTGGCTACAGTTGCACCCAATGGTGCGATCATCAACGAGAAGGATTGTGTAGGGAAAACCTGGCCCGGATGGTGGGATACAATGCGGCTCTCGTTCAACGTGGAAACGGAAGGTGTGGACGTGGAGAGCGAGTCGAAGGGCAAATCGCTGAATTCAGAAACTTGCCGCAAGTCAGTATACCTCATTGGCATGAGAGGAGCCGGGAAAACAACCACAGGAAAGTGGGTAGCAGATCTCCTAGATCTGTCTTTTGTTGATCTCGACTCACAGCTAGAATTAGAAGCGAAACAGACAATACCCGAAATTATTGAAGAGTCAGGTTGGGAGGGGTTCCGGGGGCAAGAAACTGCGATTCTTAAAAAAACGATGATAGAAACGCCTTTAGACAACGTCTTTGCTTGCGGAGGCGGCATCGTTGAGACTCCAGAGGCTCGGAAAGTACTCATCGATTATCATAAGTCTGGGGGCCTTGTAATCCTTGTGCAACGCAACATTGCAGATGTGATGGCGTACCTTCAGCTCGACAAATCACGACCCGCATATGTCGATGACATGAAGAGCGTCTGGGAACGTAGGAAAGATTGGTATGTGCAATGCAGTAATTACCAGCACTACAGTCAGAAGGCTCCAACAGATTCGCTAGTTCGGGCTTCGAGAGACCTAGAGCGGTTCGTTTCTACTATCACCGGCAAACGACGCTCTCTAGAAAAGATCAAGACCAAAAATCAGTCCTTCTTTGTTTCCCTCACCGTGCCTGATATCGCCGCTGCATTAGACTTCTTACCGGAGGTTGTCGTCGGTTCAGATGCTGTGGAGCTGAGGGTAGATCTCTTGGAAGATCCACAGAATCCTAACGCTCCTCCTTCCCTTGAGTATGTGGCAAACCAGCTAGCAATACTACACGGATCAACGTCTCTGCCAGTGATATTCACCATCCGCACGCAAAGTCAAGGGGGCAAATTCCCGGATAACGCTCCGCTTGAATTGGTCACTTCCATATACCAATTGGCGCTTCGGATGGGAGTAGAATATCTGGATCTCGAAATCCAGTTCCCGGACCCTTTGCTTCGCCAGATATCTCGGGCTAAAGGCCATACCAAGATCATCGCTTCACATCATGATCCCAAGAATACCCTGTCTTGGGAGAAGGGTTCGTGGATGCAGTTCTACAATAAGGCCCTCCTGTACGGCGATATTGTCAAGCTTGTTGGGATTGCGACCTCACAAGAAGACAATCTACAGCTTCTACAATTCAAGAAATCGGCTGAATCCGGAAATGAGACGCCCTTGATTGCAATCAACATGGGTCTTGATGGCCAGTTGAGCCGCATACAGAACGGCTTCTTGACGCCAGTGTCTCACCCTGCATTACCATTCAAAGCAGCACCGGGTCAGCTTTCGGCGGCAGAAATCCGGTCGGCGCTGGTGTTGCATGGGGTAATCAAGCCAATACAGTACTACCTCTTCGGATCACCCATTGCCCAATCGAAGTCTCCAGCAATGCACAACACTCTCTTCAAAGCCAGCGGTCTACCACACACCTACTCTCTCTTCGAGACCTCCGAAGCCGCAGATCTAGAAAAGATTCTGCAATCCGACTCCTTTGGCGGCGCCTCCGTCACCATTCCTCTCAAGCTCGACATTGTGCCCTACCTCGACTCCGTCTCCGATGACGCCAAGCTCATCGGCGCCGTTAATACCATCATCGCTGACCCCTCCATCCCCTCCACCAAGAACCAGGGCGGACACCACCTCACAGGCCGCAACACAGACTGGCAAGGCATGACACGCGTGCTTTTGGCCGCCGGCGCTCAGCCCAGTGCAGAGCAAAGCGGTCTCGTAATCGGTGGCGGAGGGACAGCCCGAGCGGCGATCTATGCCCTACACGCCATGGGTTACACCCCCGTTTACGTTCTCGGCCGCTCCGAGTCGAAGATCCGGGAGCTCGTGTCCAGCTTTCCCCAAGACTACAACCTCGAGATCCTCCACCCCTCCGAACAGCCGCTGAAGATGACCAGCGTCCCCACCACGGCCATCAGCACCATACCCGCCGACAAACCCATGGACCCCGACATCCGGAGATTCCTCGGCCACTGGATCTTGGGCGTGAACGACGGGGAGTTGAGGGTGAAGAGTGACGCGTCGCAGGGCGGGAGGGTGACGGTGAAGCAGGTCCTGCTGGAGATGGCTTATAAGCCAGCGGTGACGGATATGATGCAGATGGCGGGTGGAGGGGGGTGGACGACGGTTCCGGGGTTGGAGGTGTTGGCCGGACAGGGTTGGTATCAGTTTGAGGCGTGGACGGGGATCGAGCCGCTTTATGAGATGTTGAGGGAGGCTTGCGGGCTGGAGAAATTGACCTAGGGGAGGGGAGAATAAGGGCAGATTGGAACATAAGACTTGGGAACGTTCGCGGACTGCTAGCATTTTGATGCTATTCAACAATAACGGTTCGAGATAAGATTGTCAATAGCCCGCCCATATGTTCATTCAGGACAAAATGTATCTGCTGTCTAGATAATACAGGCGCAATGCCAATGGTTCCGCTCAAAGGTCACGTCCGCTGGCCATACTTATCTGCCGATCTATTAGCTGCAAAAGCAGAAACATCGGCTCATTTGAAGAGCCTGACCTGCTCGGCACTTCCTTCACTTCCCCGTCCATCTACACTAAAATGAACCCGCAATTGTGGCAGGCGGCCCTTCATTCCAACCGTCTTTCATGAAATATCCCATTGTCCCATCGTCTCCTCACACCACACTGCTCTTCCTCTCCCGCATCTTCAACGTCGCCTCTTCAATCTTGTTCCGTCTCCACGAGCACTCGTCGAAGAAATCGCAAGTGCGACACTTGTAAGCTTCCTCGACACAAACACCCTCCGCGGCCCGCTCGCCTTTCCACCATCTCATTTCACTGTCCAGGTATTTCTGCATAACCGTGTCGTCGTAGAGGAATGTTTTATTGCCCAGAATCGCTCCGTCGGTTGGGGTACGGTATTCGGCCTTCAGCACGTTACCAATACTCTTCGCACCTGCGGAGAAGGTGCGTGCGAACTCTTGCATCATGAGCGTCCAAAGTTTCCGCAGGGAGTTGTGGGCGAGGAGGATGGTCATGCTGTCTTGCGATGATGGCAGCGATGAACCTTCTGGCATGTGCAACGGACTATCCATCGCTAGGAAATCATCTTCATTGAGGCTGCCAATTTGGGCTATGAAGCCGTCACTGAATAAGTCATCTGCTTTCAGCTCGTAGCGGTCGAAGATTACGTCGGCGTTCACCTTGTTCGTAGCAAGGTCGGAGAGAATTCGGTGGTAGAGCATAAGTTGCATCAAGGTCGGGCGGAATGAGGGAGCTTTTGGTATGCTTTTTGTGCCACGGGTTTTGACATCTGTAATGTAAATCTTTGGCGTCTTTTCGGGCAGGGCGGAGTGGAGTTTGTTGAGCACACCAGTGCCATTGCCTTCCAGGGTCGACGGGCCGAGGAAGTCGGTGATAGTCCTTTGGTCAGCTGCGGGCATTTTCTTTGCAACCTCGCGGTTTTCTTCAGCTTCTTCAAGTTCGGGCTCTGGGCAGATATAAGAGAGCTCGTCAATCACGCCGTTAACAACCAGACCGTCTAATACGCCCCAGATCTCGAGCTCCCGCGTCATGCCTGTTTTCCGTAGAGTCTTCAGCCCTTGGATCACATTCCATATCCGCAGTCCCCAGACTTCTTCTTTGGACGTGATATCCACCGCCACAGTCTCATGTACCTGATCCTCCAATACCTTGTGTACTGCAGACCCTTGTTTCATAGCTGGAGTCCTTCTCTTCTTCCCATGCTTCGTGAGAGTGAACCAGTATTGCAGCTCGCACCACGATGGCGAAATGAGGTCTGTGACGCTCAGAGCCTTTTTTGGCTTCGTTCGGAAGCGTTCGAGGGGGGACCTCAGATCCGGCACTTCAGGTTTAGGGGAGAGAGGAGCTTCGATGGAAACGGAGCTTTCTCTTTTGAGTCGACTCTCACGGCTTTCGACTATGCGCTTCAGTGTCAGTCAGTACTCGTTTGGCTAGGCCAGCTGGCACGGAACGTACTATCCGCTGAGCGGTTGTTGTCGCCGTCGAGCTGTATCGTGAACCTCGTCTTGGACAATGGTAGTGGGGGATAATCTTGGGATTGCTGGCCCTGGCGACGAAGTATCCTTGCACCCCGAGGACCTTCTTCATCCTTGAGGTCTTTAAGTAGAAAATCCGGGTCTCTATTTGGACCGTCGTCTTGCTCTGGGGTCTGGTGGAGAAGCCCGTTTAAGATCTCCTCCTCGTCGGGAGTGAATTCTGAGCCATAGTCACTGAACCCATCCTGCTGGTCCGCGACGGGCATGTCCATCGCTTCGGCCTCATTGCTGTTGAGGTGGGGGTTTGGTTCGCACGTTCAATGTTGCTAGCAGCATCTTGGCCTCTATATGATACGCTGTGCGGGCCGAAGGAATTGTTTTTTAGCCCTAAGGCTAAACCGAATGGGAATGGACGTCAACGAGTAACGAATATAGCACCGAGTCACGAGGGAAAGGAGCATGTCATTCGATTCTATTCTAGGGCCTAGTCCCCTTCAAAATGACGAGCCAATGGTGCCTGCCATAGAAAGCACTTCGATCTGGGCAAAAAGTCCCTCCCAAACTCCACATCCTGAGGTGCAAGCCACGAATTTCAGGCATTCCACGTGGCATGCTCCCTTTGTTCTCATAGCACGTTTTCCTCGAATAGCGGCGCCTTGCTCTTTCCTACGGAGACAGATCGGTGGCTTTTCTCCTGCGATTCGATTTGAAGACTCGTTTCTTCGCGGATGATGCTTCCACTGGTGGGAAGAGGCGCATCAAGCGCAGTATTTTGAAAGCCTCTCAGCTCTCATTCACATGCAACTCTTTCCCTCCTCTTCTCTTCATTCGCGGCTCTTTGGTTGAGCCACGACAGATAACTTTGCCAGCCCACGGCCACGATCCCTGCGAACAGGGCTCTGTATTGTGGTAAAATATATGTAAAGTTGAAAGCCGTGACCGCTGGCCAAAGCTTCCAGCTGTTGACGTAACTGGTTGGCACTGTCCTCTTGATCCTCTCCCATGCGTCGGAAAAACCATCGCCGGAGAGCAGGGATTGCATGCCGAAGAAGTAGCTGTTGAAAACGGGAGTGAATACAATTTGGTTGACGACGACTTTGGTGGCGAGGGAGACGAGTTTGGAGGGATAGTTAAATATAGTGCCTAGATACACAAACCTATATAGCAGCGGTCAGCTTTGCGTAATTCCATGTTAACATTGTTTGAGGTTGGTGAAAAACTACCATAGATAGGAGGGGATCGAACTGATGCCTCCAATGGTCAAATGTCGCAACGTCCTGAACGGATTGTATTGCTCTCCATCAATGTACTGTGCTGTCAAGTCCCCACATAGGTACACCACAAGTGAGGTTCCGAACTGAGTAGTCCAAGGTCTTTGCCTTTGGGCCCGAGCATATCCAGCGAAAACTTCTGACAAGGGGCCAAGTCGTTCCCATAAAGGCCGTGGCGATATTTCTGCCGGTGTGGCTATAGATGACCCTTCTCTTTTGCTGACAGTGGAAGACTTCTCAGCTGGCTTGTCTGCAGCTGTGGTTTTCTGCCGTTTTGTAGGGGAGAAAATCTGCTGGTGTCGCTGAGCTGACCGCCGAAGGACGAGGCGCACTGAGCCGTGGAGGAGTATAGCCATTTTATTGACGCAGTTTTCTGGTTGTGATGAGCTAGAAAACGTCGTATCCTGGATGCTGGAAGAGATCAAGCTTGAATTTCGGATTCCTTTGTCCGAGACATTTTCATCCACCAGCCTTTGTCATCTTTGTCATCCTGCTCGGCTTGCGACCGTGTTCAGTGTCACCGGTCAAGGTCAGGATACCCATGTGGGAACGATTGGAATGGGAATGCTCATGACTTTGCTCAGATTGCGGAGGTTGTGCGCATGTAAGAGGTCATTTACGAGCGTCACCGTCACCCGCATTTACTACCTCAGGCGCTAATACCAACCAAATATCTCGGATTCTGGGTACGCAACCACTATCTACTACCTCCTAGAATGGGTATCTCCCATTCTCATCATCCTCTGTCGTGATTCCTTCCTCAAGCTGCCGCTTGTGCTCTCCATCGAGATATTCCAGCAGGACATCCTGATACCTCTCCTTCCCCTTGTACTTCGAGACGTCGTCTCCCCAGCTTCTTACAGCACTCGCCAATCTCCCAGGAACACCAGGCTCCTTGGCAATCGCAGTGACAGGCTCGAAATAGGTTCTAATGGTAAACACAACGCCTCCACTACGCGGCAAACGTCGCAGAGACTGCCTCTCGCTTCTAAAATGGTGATGTTCGATCGTTTTATCTTTTGCCGCAGTACTCCATCCTGCAGCTTGTAGACCATCCCCATCCTCGGGGCCTATGCTATGGCTCCAGGCCAAGTCATCATCAACCTGCATGAAGTAGTTGTTCCGTAATACAGGATTATCGCATTTAATTCTTCGAAAGAAATTAGTCATGCCCTTTTCGAGCTTGGTCTTGAAGCCAGGAACGTCGCCGCTCGTGTGAATCTCGGACAGAGGCATGCCGAATTTGTCGCTGAGGCGCCTAGATCATACATTAGCAGAAATCTTGTCACGGGCCGGCCCAGTCAGGCCACGAACCAAAACCCAGCAAGCAGGATAGCTCCTGCCAGAAGATAGTATTGCCCGTCCGGCTTCTCGAACATTATAGCTAGATCATCTTGTACGAGTCGGGCACAGATTGCCATAGGGTCCTCTGGGAGGGGGCGTTGGAGAATGTTGAACGTTTCACCCGTGGCGAGGTTGTCCAGACCCACGACAGTCTTGCGATAGAGGGTGGGGTATCGCTGAGAGAGGTAATCGCAGCTATGGAAGCAAGGTCAGTTACCAGGCCCATGATACAGGGATTTTGATGCACTTACAGTTCTTCAAGGAGCTCCACAGCACCATCATATGCCTCAGGCGCTGTACGACAGCATTTCTCGCCTCTTTCTTCTATCCTCCGTGCTTTGTCGGCATGGAATTTCAGGTAATGATTATCCAGCTCGATCCAGTCATCCCATTGCATCGTCCGCAGACCCATAGTGATGTGGTACGGGCCATGCCTGAATGGTCTATATGGCAGCGGGTCTGTCTTGTGTACGTCCCAGGCCGGGTAGGGAATTGCTTCCGGTCGTTTAAATTCAACAGGTGTCCATACTCCAGGAGCCTTAGATATATTTCCTTTCCTGGGAATGGGTTTCTCGAGATCCGGTGACTTTTCCCTCCGTACAATTGACTTGTTGCGCTTGATCCACTTGGTGGCCAGAAGCCAAGCGAATAAGACGGCAACAATTCCAGCATACAAGAATTGTCTTGCATTCGTAGCGATCAACGTGGTGAATCCGTCAGCAGGCCTTTCCGCAGTCCAGAGAAGAAATTCCGATGCCATTGGAGCACAAGACCAACGCGGAATGCTAATGGATCGTACCGGAGGGTGCTGTCTTGATATCCAAAGGGATCAGCGGAATTTCCAACTTCTCGAACAGAATGAAGAGAATCATTCTAATTGAATAGAACCATTAGTTGTCAAACTTGAGATTACGGGCAAACATTGGAATGATTCAAACGTGGGGTAGACAGACGAGCTAAGGGTGAGAGCAAAACGCGTGGAAAGATTAGGCGGACAGATATCTTGCAGCTGGAAATCCGCACCGTTTTTGGTTAGTAGCTATTGATTCGTGTCCCAAAGATCAATTATCCACAGTCAAACTTGATTGCTCTTCGCTCGGGGACCTCTTTGCCCAAATGGTGATAAGAGACAAATAGTATTGCGCAACGTAGTTGAGCGATCGGGCCAGGGACTCAAGCAGTGGCCGACTTTCGCCGTAACAGACAATACCTGCCCCATTTTCTTCGAAACTTCGCTGGAATGAGTTCCCAGTCAGGTAACCAGAGGATGCGACCCAATGGATGGGTTTGCGAGGAGTCGAGAAACTTATGGCACAGTATTTGCTCCCAGTTCTTCCCATCGACGATATAATTCGGCTCCAGCATCGAATACTCGGATCCAGGGAAGGTCGAATCCACCATGAACGAGCAATGACCAACATCGACCTACAGAAGTTAGCAGGCGAGGCAAAATTGAAACGAGATGGGAGGCATACGTGCTTGCCCGGATCTTCAATATTCTGATTGTTCATACCAGGAGGTATAAGCCATGTAGGAAGGATTCCAGAGACGGTCCCTCCTTCGCTGAATTCGCCAGGAAGCAAGCCATCAAAGGCGCTCTTGACGAACTTGGGTCGCATGTTCTTTGGCAGAAAGTAAGATGAAGGAAACCGATACCATTCTTTTCCCAGGCAGACGTTGCCTTGCATGTCGGCGTATTCTGGGCTCTGCAATGGTTTGTATATTTCGAGAGGGGCGCTATACGCGCTCACGGTTCCCAAGGTCCTCAAAATTCCAACGGTAGCAATGGCAAGCACAAAACCGCTAACGAGGGCCAATTTTACCTTTGCTGAACATTTGCCAATAACGCTTTTTGGGCTCAGATGTCCCAAGTAATTGAGCACAGTGTGCAAGGCTATGGCAGCGTTTAGGCAAAGAAAAGGATACGCGGGATACATGAATCTCTCCTCTTTGTGAGATTGGGCAGAGAAAATGGTAAGCCACATATAGAATGGAGTACTGATCATCATGCTTCTCAAGGTTGTCCATCTTGTCGAGGACAGACGAGTAAATAGAAGCTGCAGCCCAAGAAGCGGTCCGGCACACATACCAAGCAGAAACCATGCATTAAAATTCAAAAGTAGATTGCGGATATAGAAGTGCCAGGGTTCAGTTCCAAAGATATCGGGCCCGCGTGATGAGCCACTGAGGATGTTGTAGGATACAATGCGCCAAGGGACAAACACAAGCTTGCCGTAGAATAACAGATCGACAGCCAACTGAAGAGACTACACAGGTCAGCACGTGTTGCTGCCGACAGAGCTCGGAGGGGAGGAACCCACCACTATGGCCAAGGTCCTCAACACACCACCGAGGACCCTGGATGCTACCCCGTTTATATCGGAAGTCCGCTTTAGACATGCCAATTCGTCAGGAACGAACGGCAGAATGAGAGCTGCGGAGAATGGCCACCCGACAGTTGCTCCAATGCCAAACCACATGATTCCCTCGGTGGTTTTCAATCCATTTTTGACGTACATGAACGCTGCTGCGCCCATCATTGCGGTATACATCGCAAAACTTGAAGGCAGGTACGCCACTGATGCATGGAACATCCCAGAACTTGATACCATAGCGAGCAAGAAGATCACAGCAATCCTCGGATTCATTGTCTGTGAAATGGTAGAGAATAGGCGCGTCTCACAGCCTGCGCAGATCGATCCGAGCACCCCACGAACAAAGTAGAACTCGAAGACCTTCTTCGAAACGAAGACAGCCGCAACTTTGCTAGGTATTGCATGGATCAAGGCGTATAGCCAGCTTCGAATGGCATACTCGGGCGAGTACTCCCAAGTCTGTAGGCCGAACCCATGGACAATGTAGTGCGTTGGTTCCCAGTAATTGAACACTTCGTCACAGTCCTGTATAGGGGCGTATGTAGAGGCTAGCAGATTGACGGCTAGAAATACGCAGAAGGCGGCGCCTGAGGATAGATCGAAAGTGTGGCTCATTTCAGAATTTGACGAAGGCGAGGATCGCATCAATGTTTTGCCGTTTGGTATAGCCCCGATATTCTTCTTCTGACCGAAGACAGGTGCGACACCCTCCATGACGTCCACTGTCGTCCTTTATAGTAGGAAGGAGCAAATGAAGTACTTGTTCTGAGAATAAGAGCGCCGAGAGCAGGGGTCCAGTCTAGCGCGCCAAGATATCTGCTTTCTTCCGTCCTTTTTGCTATGTAAGTCGAAAGACAAAGACCTGGCGCTTTCACTCCAACAGGACATCGAAGCCTTATATCATTGTTTATAATAATGACGTCTTCATAAAACGATGATATACTACGATTTCTTCTACCACTATGTTGTACGTGACCCAATATTGAGCTACCTCCGTACTTCTTCAGACAACATGTCTTCTATAAGCCTCTATACTCTTCATCGTTTGCTCAAACCCATTGAGAGATCCTCGAGAACAGCTCTTGGCTCATGTAGATCTACCGGAGCGAGTTGGCGAACGAGCAGCTCCTAGTCCCACTCCTGCTCAAGTGGATTGGATGCTTCTTTGTGTGCAACGGCATCTGGCTCGAGGTCCCATAGCCATGATAGATAACCCTGCGCGAGTGCTTCGTGCCAAGCCGTGGGAGAACTATGAGCCGTGCACTCTAGAGATAAAATCCTGATCCAAGGAAGCTCGGAGATCTCTGACGAAGAAGATTTGAATTCTGCCGCAGGTAGCGTTTGCAGTTGCGAGAGAATTAATTTTTCATGTCTGGAATATCTTCAGGGTCTGCTTGAAAGTGCTGAAAGCCGTCATTTATATCATTACTATCAAGTCAAGGCGCGCCTTGAGATCACTGCCAGGCTGCCATACCAGTTCCTGGAAACGCCAGTTATCACCATAGGCCTGCGCGTTGTAGATGTTACAAATCGGCCCAAAAAAAATTCTCGCTGGCTTTGCCGAGAAGACTTTTCAAAACTTGCCATAGATGCTGCATCGAATCTTCTACGCTCCTGTGAGATGCAGCTTCTTGGGTAGCCATAGCTCTCTTAGCGAGGGACACAAGTTTTGTGTGGCTTGGAATGTACAATGGCCTCGGCGATGGTACGACTGAGCCAGACTTATCGCATGCAGTGATAGCTTCTTCGTTCTCCAAGACCTCAACACGCGGGCCTCCTTTGTTCCTCGCCGGAAGCTCGCGGATTTCGGTATTCGGAGACTCGGTGCTCGAGTGCAATAGCACTGTCCGTGAAAGCCAGCTGTGGTCAAGGTGATTCCAACTGTCAGCGAAGGCTCGATTGGACCGTCACAGATGGCGCAGTAGAATGTATACTCGTTGATGAATGTCATAGCTGCAACGAATCTGTCGACGCAAGTTCGTCTAATTCTCAGGGTTCGATCTTACTATCTCTTTTCGATTTTGGAGAAAAGCTTCAATTTGCTTGTGACTGAGTGATAGGAAAGTTGTACAAGTGCAGAAAGGGTTTTATTCAGCCACGTAGTGCACCTTGCTTACAGTCCGTGCAGAAGCGCTGGGTGAATGCGGCGAGATTCCACGGCGGCAACGCAAATGTTTTGAAGATCATGCATAATGGCACGAGGAACTTGCTGGTGTTCCTGATTTTGGAAAGTGGCCTTTGGGTAAATTTACATTTGATGGAAGGGGAACAGGGTAGAGTAAACATACACTATTGAAACACAAGGCATTCTCAGCTCATTTGCTGATGTGGCCCAGCCCAATGCAGAGGGAAGGGATGAGGCAAGTGGCAACTGGCGAGTCCCGAATCAGCAGTATTTCTCCCACTCACTTTACAACATCATGTAGGCTGGCTTCGAGTTCAGGGATTTGAAACTGTCAGGATGAAGAGGGAAATTCCACGGTACCAGTATCTTGCAGTGCGCTTCGGCCTGTTGTACGTTATAAGACCATGGACCATGCTATCATGAGTGATGCCATATTCCATCATGTAAGCTCCTCCCTTGGTTGAGATTTGTTCTATGGATTGCGAATAACCTGCGTGCATCTGCTAGGTCTACTGTAGAGTTTGGAGGCGTACTTGTCATGCTGGTGAGATTAATATGGCTATTGTGGAAGAAGCTCCAACGTGGTTGAGCTCGAAGCAATGAGGACTGTACCTTGATTTCAGGTACCGATTCTGCCTTGACCTCCCAGTATAATGATACCAGTGCGGTAGAAAGGCTAGTGAGTAGGGCTGTGTAAGCTCATGTAAAGAGGTAGAGGCAAATGCAAAACAAGATCAATGCAGCAATGAAATCAAAGTGATTGTAAGTCTTGCTTCGACTTTTTTTGCCTCAAATTTTAAAACTTGTTCGATTTCTTTTCTCGAACATATTAGGCATTAATCGAAATCGGGTCGTAATCTCGATTGTGTTCGCATAATTCTTTGATTTCTAAACAACGGATTTTAATCAACAATGTTTTCCTGCAGTCAGATGTTCGTGCCGATGCTAATTTAGATGATACACTGTACTTCCTACCAGTGGAATCAATGTCTTCCAAATTGGCCGCCATTGCGTCTTTAGTTGCGCACTTAGAAGGTTTGTCGATGATCCTTATGAGGTCCTACTCTCTTTTTTTCTTGGTAAAACCTCCCGCATGCGTTTCACGGATTCGAGTTACGGTTGCGCTAAAGCGCTTCGGTATATCTGCCTTGGTAGCCTGATACTGGCCTGACACTGTCTAAGTGCTCGCAACTTGCCCGCCGTTTGAGTATTGAGTCAATCATCAAGTGAATGAACGGACTTCGGAGGGTGGGAGAAAAAACCAGCCTCAGAGAACATGCTGTACTCGAGACAGGAGACATTTATCCTCCTCCTTGGAAATGAATAATTACCAGTTTAATGAAACGCTCGGTGAGGGGAACTTTCTAGGTCAGACCACCTACGGGACTGGTCTTTTCTATGATTGTATCACAAGTCGCCACGAAGGCCTATATAAGTCTACATGAGGCCCTACAACAATCTTGCTCATCATTCATCGTCCATCCACTATCATCATATCGCAGCGGTATCGTCACACGTTCTATATCGCAAGTCACACCTCGCATCCTTCACTATCTATGTCACCGCACTCGCCGTCCTCCTCCCAACCCTACTGCTCCACAGCTACTATGCCCGTGCCGACACACTCCCTGACGGCACAATCTATTGGATAACCAGCTCCACCTCACCTGATGCTCCCGTTCAGAGCCAGCATGTCACGGCTTGCCAAAACAACACGGTCACCGCCACTCCTCTAAATCAAACGTATATCGACGGCATGTAAAGTGGTCTTAAGGTCTACAGCCACAGCCAGAAGGCAGCTGGGCCGGCCTCGAGTGCTCGGGTTTCGGTGAAGGGTACTTCCGAGGGGCGAGCAACAGTAGCGCAGATTGCTCGGCGGCTTGCTATGAATGCTTACAGACCAGTCTTGAGATACGCAATGGTGCTTGGGGACATGACGCGCAGGGTTACTCGTTGAGTGGTGGGCCGGGTAGGTTTACAAGTAAGTATGCGCCACGGGTGTGCTGGACCAAGTTTCATGCGAGTCAATTAATATCGAGTTAGAAATGATCATTATGGTGGAGACTTCATTATCGTCTTGTAAAGATCTGGGAAGACTGTGATGTTGTATCTTCATTGAATAAGAACCGTTGAACCAAAAACTAGTAGCTTAAAAACATCTACTTTACTGCATTGGATTCAGGCATGGAGCATTTGATCGTTCAAGTTGTACAGATCTTATATGGGTATTTATACCGTTGACTGGCGCCTTTTACTCATAGATGTCTTGGCACCTAGGGCTTAACCCTACTTTAAAGAGCGGCAGCCAAGATGTCTATCAACTTTTTTTTTGAAGTTTCTACGTCTGTCAGCGCAATGTGCGCTTTAGCTGATTCGAGTCCAAAGAAGCTCAAGCGGTGAGACTGTCAGGCGGTCTACTACTCGCTCCTATTCGGTAGTGCTTATATCCTATCGAAATGGACCGATCTGCAGACTTCGAGATGCCATCGCCAAAGAGATTTCGACTAGAAGCTCCAGAACGTGATCGGGCCGCTGATCCAGCTACGCCGGTTGACGATATGGATGACATGTACGGTACGCTGCCAGTGCAGCCTCACAGTCCTACCAGTAGCTCCGGTGTTCTTGCACCAGCCTTCGGCAAAATCGCGTCTCCAATAGATCAAAAGCTATTCCAGCTCCCTGGTCTGGGAATGTTCAATGAGGATCCCGCCTATTCGCTCGAGGTTCCCCAACAGCAGTCGCAATCCTACTCATCCTTCTCAGAGGCAGATCAGGGCTCTTCAACAGGGAATGTGAAGGATATGGAGCCAGGAGATGAGGAAAAGCTTCATGTCAATGGCTGGCCTGACGTGGCCGTAGACGACGAGCGCATTGTCGATATCCAGACCATCGAAGCTGAAAATACCTCCTCTAACGCTAGCGAGATCCTTGTGGACGGGAATGCTACAGGAACTGCGAAATCTGAAGTACGGGTACCGGAAGCAAAGGCGCCAGTTTGTCAGGAAGTGACACGCTCAGGATCAGAGCTAGCACAAGCTGCACTTTACTGGCATTCTTCAGGAACTCTCGTTGACAACGGAGTTTGGCACGGAAAACTTTCGATCGAGAACGCACCGTTAATGACCCTAGACCCCAATACTACCAGAGGAGGAACCCATGCAGAAGTCTTACAAAACAAGGATGTTGGCCGAAATGGTGAGAATATTCAGGGAGAGTTGTTCTCGGGAGCGAGGCCTGTCTTTGAACAGAGCGAGAAGAAGATATCTATAGAACAAACCTCCGAAGGACTGGCCGAGGCCAAGGACGAAAACGAAGAAGCGGAATTTGAATTAGATTCTTCTCCGCTTGAATCTGATTCATCCTCGGATGACTCTACAGATGCTTCTTCGTCGGATGACAGCGATGCTGACGACTACGAGATGCTGAGTCCAGCAGAGCAAGCTCGCAGGCTAATGGCAGAAGACGGGGGATCGGGCGATGATGGCAAAGGACAAGGACGGAAAGCTGTTGCAGAAGTACCACGGACGCTAAATGAGAAGCCAGACGAGTTGGTGCCAAAGCCGAGTGTCATGGTCACGCAGGACATGAAGATCGAGGAACTAGGTCTCGTTGAGAATACCGTCGAGAACTTGGCTGTGATTAAAGCGAACACTTCTGGAGAATATCAGGTTCTAGAATCTGGATCCTTGCTCTGTCTCCAGGATAGGTCTGTGATAGGAGTCGTGTCAGAGACTCTGGGCCGAGTTCAGCAACCCTATTACTCCGTACGCTTTACCAATGCGACAGCTATTGCCGAAGCAGGAATCGGCAAGAACACAAAGATCTTCTACGTTGCACAGCACTCTACGACCGTTTTCACACAGCCATTGAAAGCTTTCAAAGGCTCGGACGCCTCCAATTTGCACGATGAAGAGGTCGGGGACGATGAGCTTGAGTTCTCAGACGATGAAGCTGAAGCCGAGCATAGGCGGCACGTGAAACAACAGCGAATGGCGAAGCGCAATGCTCGAGACGGCCAGCCAGACGGGTTCACTCGTGGACCACAGCAGCAACCTGGCGGGCCTGGCCCTCGTCTCAACGGTGGCTTACATCCGGTTCAAGAACATCCTCCGAACTCTGCAGAGGCTGCTCTGAACTATGACGATGCTGATGGCATGAACGTTGACGATAACGTGGATGAAGATGGCCTATACACGCCTCTAACAAGACCTTCTAACCTTCACGAAATACTCTCCGGCAAAGCACCGCCGATGGACCCTCACACCAGGCGTGGAAACACCAACAGAGGTCGTGGCGGGGCCAGAGGCGGCAACAGAGGCAGAGGAGATAATCGAGGCAGAGGAGACAATCGAGGCAGAGGCGGCAACCGTGGGATGCGAGACTCAGAGCGAGGGAAACAAACCCGAAAAGACCACGGGAACCGTGATGGGAAAGGTCAAACCCATGGGCATCCCAGCCCCCCAACGCCTCAAACAATCGGCTTTAGCCATCCTCAAACCAATGGCCTCCCACCACGTCCTCGCCCTGAGACCATTGGCTACCAACGGTCTACTCATCAAGGAAACGGCTTCCCTCACCCTCCGCCGCCGCAGTCGCCAATTCCTTCGCCAGCCTATCAAACCCAACAGCAACCCCAGTCCCACACTCACCCAGGCTACCCATCGCAATATCCAAACGCCTACAACCAATCCTATTTCCAACCACCACCACACCAGCCCTACCCTTCCCACTACCCCCAACAGAACCACTCCCAGTACCACCAGCCCCAGCAATCTATATCACGCCAAGGCTACATGCAACAATTCGCACCCCAACCCGATGTGTCATTTCCCCCTCGACCGCAGTACCCGCCCGCTATCCTTCCAGGCGCGCACATCAACCCGAACTTTTTCAAGCAGCAGGGGCAATCTTCGTCGTCTCAGGGTTGGCAGCAGGGATATCATCAGCAGCAGCAACAGCACGCGTCTCCCGCCGATAATATCACGGGTCCAGCAGGAGCAGTGTCCGACGCGGCGAGATTGCAGGACTTGCTGAGAGGTTTGGGCCGAAACGGTGGCTAGTCATGATAGAATAGTTCGTATAGAGGTAATCAACACTTGGCTACGAGCAGAGTGCAGTGCACGCGAGTGTAGAAAGAGCAATCAGTCTCTAAGGCGTACATTATGTGATTATACTATTTACTATTTGGTCGTACAAAACATCAGGCATGCTCGAACCCATAGATGGAAGGGTGAGTGAAGCGCAAGGTTGAAAGATAAACAAATCCGTGGTATCGTGCATGCATGAGTCCTTTTTTTGCAATGCTGCTCAAAAGAAAAGGAAAAACACCGAGATGTCAGGAGCCCCGACAGAAGAAATGAAGATGTGCATACAAAGTTCCTTCCAACAGCCATTACGTCTCTCCCTTCTTGTATCCTTTCGACCAAAGTGTAAAGTCTTGCAAGCTTTTCCCGTAAACGCCTCGCTTGCTATCCTTGCATTAAAGCGTGATGCATGCATGATAATGTCGGTCCAGCCAATGAAAAACAGTAATGGAAAAGTCTGCATGATATTGCCGGATCATCGTCCTCCGCGTCCTGTCTCGATCCTCTGCCTCACAACATCCACGCCCTCATTTCGCCCTCTCCGTGACTTTCCTAGAAATTCCACATCTGGGTGCACGACGCGCATGTGTCTTGTCAAGGCATCGTTCCTACTGAACGTCTTCTCTTCCGTGCACAAATGGCAGCGTACCTTGTGCTTGCGGTTGTTGTGGATCGTTTCTTCGTGTCGCGTAAGATCGTAGCTGCGGCTGAAGTTTGTGTTGCAAGGCTTGCCGGTTTGAGGATTGACCTTCTCGCATTTGTGTGGCCCAGGTTGGTTGTTGCGGGAGACATTGTTGGCCGCAGCTTGTGCATTGTGCGTGGCAGACGTAGGAGTCGTCGGTGTAGATGCATATTGGGATGAAGCACGGTGGGCTTCGCGACGATGCTTTTGAAGTTTTGTGGCGGTATCGAAGCGCGCGTGGCAGTCCGGAGTGGTGCATGTGTAGGTGCCTGAAGAGGCGGCCGTGTTAGCCGGGCGGGATATGGGTGCCTCTTGTGAGGATGGTGGTGAGCGGAGGCTTTGGTCAGCTTCTGGTATAATTCTGACATTTTCGGCCTGGCCAGTCTCGCTCTTGGTAGACTCCATTGAGGTCAAGGATGCTGGGAACTCTGGCACCTGGTCTGAGCCGCCGCGCATGCTACTGCTCTGGCGGCGTGACTCCGAAATAAATGGATACTGTTGTGGTATTGGGGGCGCTGATGGAGGCATGAAGCCTGGACCGGACGGGTGAGGTGCAGAAGATGAGGAGCTATCGGGTCTGCTTGGTTCCATTGAAGGGTAGTTTTGTTCGTTGTTGCTACTCTCGTCGGTGTCACCACGATGTAATCCTCTGTTAGAGTTTTGCGAAGAAAACTGAGGTTCGCGTTTTACTGATGGAACGAGGGGAACCTTGACATCTTCTTCTGTATTATCGTAGTCCAGAAGCGCCTCCTTTGGCGAAATGGTTTTTGGGGGGTTCAGATACCCCTGGCGAGATGGTGGGTGGTGTTGCGCATATGCGTGAGCATCTGCTTCCACTTTTTGCTGCAGTCTCAATTGGGCGGCCGAGGTTAAGCGAGTGGCGCCAGCGGGACTGCTCGGATTTGAATGGCCCCCATCCACCGCGAACTGTGAGCTCTCACGAAATGGCGACCGCTGCCGAGAGACGTTGACGGCTGGTGAAGCTGACCTCGCGGTCAGGTGGCCGGTATTCGCAACTTGCAGTAGATCTGAAAAGGCACTTCTGTGCGGTGACACAGTATTCCCTTGTGCTTGTTGCTGGCGAGGCTGCGATGACGGAGCTGATTGCGCCATTGCCGGATTGTACAGCTCATCTTGATACACATCTGACATGGTTCTGTCCAGCTGCGGCGTGTTGCTGCGCATGTCTGTTGACGAATCAACCCCTCCAGCGAATGTTCTCCGCGATGTATTCTGTGCTCCATTCATGTTTGATGCACGTTGCTGATTCATAGCTTGACTCATTGCTGTCTGAGTGGCCATCATCGCGACGGCATCGTTGGATACTGGATTGAAGTATTGAAAGGCCTGGTTGTAGAATAGATCGCTGTTGGAAGATGGCGTGTAAGCCGGCTTTGGATACTGGCTGACGGTCGGATACGAGTGATCCCAACTTTCCAGGTGCGCAGAATGTATCGATTGCACGTCTGGGTCAACTATTCGGGGATATGTTGCGGATTGAGTGTAGGGAGAATCCGGTCCCACGGACGCAACGGATGAGTCTGACGGAAGTCTTTTATGGGTCCTGTAGCTCGCGGGAGGATTGTATTGCTGTTGTGGAGAAGGTGCCAGGTATGAGTTGTCTGGGTATGTGTTGTTCCACGACTGCTGGGAGAAATCCTCGATCATGGGCGGAGGAGTGGTCGCTGAAGGCAGTCCGTTGGTCGCCGACTGCGGAACGCGGACTTGTGGGTATTGCGACGAACTGTTCTGCATATATTGTGTATCCGCGACACCGAAGTTGAAGCGGTCTGACGGTGTTGACTGTCTCGAGTCGATGTAGTAAGGGTCGTTGGATGAAGAAAACGAGTAGTTGAGGTCCAGTGCCAGTGGTGGGTGAGCTGGAGCGTCGACGAATTTGTTGAACAGAGGGATTTTGTTGTTGTTACTGTTGTCGTTGTCGTTGTAGTAGAAGTAGGAAGTTGGTAGGTCTGGTGAATTTGATGGTGAAGAAGATTCGGAAGAGGAAAGGGGTTGTACGTCTTGACGTCGTTGACGAAGATGAGCTAATGGCATATTCCAATATATGCACAAGCCAAGAAGAAGGGCAAAGCAAAAAGTTCGATGGACGGAAGATCGGAGTTTATGGGAAAAAGGTGGCGGGCGATCTTTATAGTTATGTGACGGATGACGGATCGAAAAAGCGAGGATAATTCTGTTGTGTTAAAATAGGGATATTACTCATCAGCTTCGTATTTCGAAAAGCAATTGGATAATGGACGAGTTTTGAGAAAAGTCGTAATTAATTGTCCGCTCTTTGCTTTGATGCCGCCTTTGCTTTGCTCGGATTTCTTTGTGGGCGTAGGCAAGAGAGATAGATATAGATAGATATATGGATGTGCATTAATATTGGATTATGATCTATTCCTTCTTCTTCCTTATTTTTCTGCTAAGCTAATCTTCGACGTCACACACTAATGCTCCTCTGCTTTCCTTTCACCGGCGACAGATCCAGCCCGATGATTTTGATTCTGCCGCCTAAAATCCGATCTTGGACCCGACACTAGTCCAAGATTGGATAGATTGCGCAGCAAGGAGCTGAAGCGACGCGCTGATTCGGCCCCTCCTCTCCCCATCAGACCCTGATCGACGGGCTGGACTTTCTATTTTGAGTATAATCGTCTCAGATCTTCTCTCGTGCCAAATCGTCCTCGGCTCTTCACTGTCCAGTCTTGGCTTCCTGCATACTTCCCATCGGGACCAGATGAGGCGCAGTTGATGATGTGGCTGAGAAGCCTTTTGTGTTATCCCATCTCTGAAGACCTTACCATGGAACACCCGAAGATACCGTGCAACTATACCCAATCGCCTCCTCCTTCTACATCAAGGCTGCAACATGTGGAGGGGTCAAGAGCCGCAGTGATGGGTACAGAGAGTATCCGGTTTATACGCTTCAGCTGGTATGATACGGGTCGCAAGCGAACAGTTGGCAGGGGACGCGCAATCCACTTCGGCGAAAGATCATGTGAGCCGGCATCTGCTGACTCCCATGAACACTTTCGCATTAGTCATCACATAATGATGCTTCTCATTGGTCAAGGTTACAGCAGTCGGTCATTCCAGTCACGAGTACGAGAACAAAGACCCCATCAAATGGCGGGCATTTTAGCTGTGGCTTGACTCATCGCGGATAAAGACAATACAGAACTGCGGTTCAAAGAGAATGGGCAACAATTGGCATTTCGCGCGGAGGGGGCCGATGGTGTGGCTGAAGTACTCGATGTGGCTGACGCACTCGGATGGGGGGTTAACGCTTGGCATCATGCGGGGAGACGGAGATGGATGGAGGTTCAAGAGCCTCAACGATAAAGTAATGTACCTAATGGACCTTCCCTACTGGCTACTGCTGCAGGTACACCCCTATTATGTCATTAAATCATCATGGCCCGTGCAAAGCTGAAGGATTTGAAGCAAGACGTGGGGAAAAAAGAAGTTTCCTGTCAGAACTTTCGCCTTCTAGTTCCCTTCCATGCAGCATTAGTCTGTCTCTATCTATATAAGAGGCTAGAGCTTCTTGGCACTCTGTGGCTGAGTCGACGCACTCGACTTCTTATCATCCCGATGAGGGCATGCGAACCTTATACGTGACGGATCGACCTTCCCGATGCTAGCCGGTCGGTAAACTCCACTGCCGGGATGGGCAAAGACTGGGCTGAAAATTTCGACTCAAATTTCTTGCTCTCGTGCACTCCGATGTTCGAGATGCTTCTCATGCACCTCATTCAAATCAACTAACCCATTCTTTATGGCTGAGTTCACTTCTGGTCTTCTTCAGCGTCCTCCTTGGTAGACAGCGACGACTTTCTGAACCCTTTGGTAAGGTCGCATTGGTATCGTACCAGCTGACGGCCGCTTCGCCCTGCCTCCTTGAGTCGGACCGGGCGAGGGTGGTCCACATCTCATTTCAGCATTCTTCAATCTTCATTCGTCACGCAGTGGATGGAAAAAAACCGAGTTCGCAAGTTATCGTACGGAAAAGGCAAAGCTAGCTGCGTAGAGGCGCAGAGTTGCGTCGACTCCCGCGCTGCTGTGCTTTGTAATTGTGATTTCGCTTTGCCTTTGCGCCGGGTCCGAGGTGACGATGTTCACAACACCGACTGCGAGTGTTTGCCGTCCGTGTGCAGGATCTGAAGATCGCGAAGAGCGTATGGCTTTGGTGTCTGAGGAGAGCCTGCTGAGCCCGCATGGATTGTAGAGCTGATCAGCTTCGTACTTTCGCGGGGTCCGAGCTCGTGTCCGCATCTCCAACAACGGTGGAACGGGTGTGATTCATCATCATTACATATCACGACTGTATGGCTGCATGCAGCTTGCCAAGCTTCCCTTGATTCTCGTCCTGCTCGCGATGGCGTCTTCCCAAGGCAAAGACGAGGGCGAGAAGCTGTCATTCTAGGCTAGGCATGCACCATTTACACGTGGTGAGAGCGGTGCTCGTCGAAGCCATGTCGCCAGCAAAACATGAGAATCTGCGAGCTGAACTTTGATCTGCACGGCACCTGATGTTTATTTTACTGATTACACATAGGGAGGTACAATAATCAGACGCTGTCGTCTTTGGGTGCCTAAGCACACTGCAGAACGCGTCATCTGTCCGATTTCTGCTGTGTGTTCTCGATTTAGGATGACTGGTCCAGATTTGTTGGTCGACTCGCAACGCATCTGCGTGGTTCTAGACTATGATACCCGATGCTGCTTGGGCCTGTTGAAGGGGTAGACGACGAGTATTTCGCTGCGGGTGGTGGCTAAAGCTGGAGGCCCAAATAATCTATTGCCTTTGCTGCAGGCTGACTAGACACATGTACGGTTCGACAATCTAGGCTGGTTCTTCTTTGTAATCTTCTGGGGCAGGCGAACGATTGTGCCCTCCAGGCGCTTAAGGACATTCGCCAGCCTGGAAGAGGAGCGCCAAATCGTGCTCCCCAGACGTTGCCAGATGTTTTCTATCCTTGTATCCCACTCTCAATCCTCTTCTCTTCTCAGCTAAACCATGCCGCAACTCTGAAATTTTCGCCGCTACTTTGATCTCAACCATTCTGCAAATGCATACTTTTCTCAGTGGAGATGCTGCCTTCATCGGTCTTCGACAGCCATCGCCGTGAGATCCGTGACGAAGCATTCCCAAACCACTAGCAACGTCTTGCCACACACACGTCCTTCTCCATCGAGATATCTTGCCGATTTTCAGTGATATCGATATTTTTAGCGCAGCAGGACCTCCAATGACTGTTACCTCGATCGTTGAAAGACCGGAATTCCATCGTGCATGGCTGGCGAAATTGGAGAGGAAGGGGCCATCCGAGCTGCTGATGGTCCTCGATACCCATATCGCCTGAGCTCAGGGCATAAGAAAAGATCTAGCCAAATACACGACAAATCAGTTGATTCAATCCCTGATTCGACCGCAGGAAGGGCAACCGGATGATGAAATGCGCTCTCCCTTGTTGGCGTGCAAAACTCACGGCACCCAAAAGTCTAAAGGCGAATGCTTCCTTTAGCAAGACATAACATGGAGCATGGAGAGTTAGACCTAATTGTCATTATAGGGGACCTTTCAGTCATGGGACAGGCTGTTCGCAGAATACAACAGACCATGTTGAGAAGAAGCAAGTTGTAGCGGTTGTGGCGGGCAGGTTCTGCCGTGGAGCACAATTGACGGTTTTTGATATTGCGTCCTGTAGCTACCATAACGGTCCAAAAGGCAGACTTTAAGCATTCAAAAGACTCCCTGAAGCATACCAAGCAGGATGGTGTAAATCTGACGCGGAGAATCGTAATGATATGGGCATTCGTATCATTTCGATAGCATTTGACAGTTTTGCAATAATTCAACCAACAAATGTACGTAACTCGTTCAGATTCTCGTGAAATCACAATGGCAACCTCAAGCTTCCATTTTTCCCCTGGGAAGGATCACTTTAGACGTACTAGCAATCTATAAAGGCTTTGACTATCGCAAAAGGCCATGAGACTAGTTGTATAGGTCATTGAATGCACAAATGAAAATCAATAATTCATTTCAAAAATCCTACGTTCAGGGTTAGGGTTAGCAAAATTTCCTGTTGCCCACTGGCTATTCTACGCCATTGTGGAATACCGTCTTCAGAATGCCTCCAATCACATGGCACCGCACCAGCGCTCCCACGATACCATGCCTCAGTTCTCCCGCATCGCCGCCGTGACGGGTGCGAACAAAGGCATCGGTCTTGCCATCGTCCGCAATCTAGCGCTGCAGTATCCGTCCTCAGCTTTCAACAACGGGCCTCTGCTCATCTACTTGTGCGCGAGGGACAAGGGAAGGGGAGAAGATGCTGTCAAGACGCTTGAAGATGATGCGCAGTTGAAGAAAGCGAAGGCGTTGGTGCAGCATGGGGGCTTGACGACGGTCAAGTACCATGGGCTTGATATCAGCAAGACGAAGAGTATACTGGACTTTGCGGGATTCTTGGAGAAGGAACATCCTGAGGGGATTGATATGGTGGTCAATAATGCCGGGATTGCTATGAATGGCTTTGGTATGCTATGCTCCCAGCGGCTGCCTTGCTCTCCTTCCGCCTCCACCAGGGTTCAAAATCTCCACTGACACTCCTGCGCGCAGACATCAATGTCGTCAAGGAGACCCTCCAATGCAACTACTACGGCACCCTAACAGCCACGCGCTCCCTCCTCCCTCTGATCCGTCCCGGCGGCCGTCTGGTGAATCTATCCAGCATGGTAGGTCATCTAAACTCCAAATACTCGGAGGAAATCCGCACCGCGTTCGCCGAGTCCAAGACCGTCGACGACGTCACCAAGCTCATGGAATCCTTCACCGAAGCTGTTGACCAAGGCAAGGAGCAAGAGCAAGGCTGGCCCAGTGCAGCCTATGCCGTGAGCAAGAGCGGCATTACGGGTATGACGAGGGCTATTGCGTTGGAGGTGGAGGAGAGGCGGAAGGAGAGTGGGGTATTGGTTAATAGCTGTTGTCCGGGTTATGTGAATACGGATATGACGAAGCATAGGGGTTCCAAGTCGGTGGATGAGGGGGCGCAGACGCCGGTGCTGTTGGCGTGTGGGGATATTGGGACGACGAGTGGGGAGTTCGTAAGCTACTTCCCACGTCCTTTTATTCGCTAATCCATAACCTGATTTGAGTCGCGAGACACGTTGCGGGAGTATATTGACTTCAGCAATTGTCTTGCGACTCAAATCATGGTTTTGCAAAGGAAGTTACTGACTGAAGGAATTGCAGTGGCAGCATGAGGAGGTTATTGATTGGTAGTAGCGTCTTCACAGCAGATGTCAGTGGATTGGATTGGCAAAGCTGCAGTCAGGTGTATGGTACTTTCCCTCCAAGACCTGGCCCTCTTATGGAACTGATTGCTGCGCAAGACGAGCGAGCAGCCAAGGAGAAGTGCTTCGCTGTCACGTGGACATGGATAGCAGTGCAGCACCCGTGTTCTAACCTTGTAATCAATGACCAAGCCGGCGCGTTTAAAATGCTTTTTCTAGACTGAAGGCAACAAGAACGGGAACACTAAATGAACAATCAGAGATGAGTCACTGGAGTCACGAGGCACAATGCAAAGCGAACGAGTGCTTGAAGATTGATGGAATTATCTGGTATCATTCCATAGTTGACCTGCCACTTGACTCCCCGGCTCCCTGTGAGCTCTTATGATACACAAAGCAAGAACCCCGTAGAGAAACCATTTGCAGCCACCATGAGCCATCGCTCCACCACTGATCCACCTGATCCAAGCGCGTGTTGTATGTGATTGTGGCGAGCCATGAAGAAAGTCGTGAATGTGAGAGTAAGGAACCTAACCACCGAAACCGTACAGGGTGCGGCCTTGTCGCTTGAGAGCGTAGACGACATCGAGGGAGGTGACGGTCTTTCGCTTGGCGTGCTCGGTGTAAGTGACGGCGTCTCGGATGACACCCTCGAGGAAGGTCTTCAGGACACCGCGAGTCTCCTCGTAGATCACTGTTGGGGATGGATCAGCGACCATTTGCGACACGTGGGATGAAAGGGTTCCGAGCAGAGAGAAGAGCGGATAGACTTACTGGCCGAGATACGCTTGACACCGCCACGACGCGCGAGACGACGGATCGCAGGCTTGGTTATGCCTTGGATGTTGTCACGGAGAATCTTTCGGTGGCGCTTGGCCCCGCCTTTGCCGAGACCCTTTCCACCTTTTCCGCCTGTGTGGACGCGTCAGTGTGCTGCTGCGGCTTCGAGGCAGACGCTGCCATGGAACGGCGGCGATGAGGCTGGGAGGTACTCACGTCCAGTCATGTTGATGGGGGTGAAGTGATAAGGTGAGCGTTAGAAGTTGTGTGTGGAATGTGGATGAAGGATGACTTCGTTGGTAGTGGATGGATCGAATTGATAGCGGTGGATGGAGGTTGTAAGAGGTCTTACCGTTGGAGATATTTCAAGCAGACCCGCTGCCAAGTGGTGATTGAGTTGCGCAGCACGCTAAACCGTTTCTGACCGTTCCAGTTCGCGAGGGTTCATATCACTAGCTTCGATTTTAATTAAGCGTGCAGGAACGCAGAAGGCGATGATAATTTGTGCGATAGACACCACCTACTACAATTGACTCACGATTTGACATGTGGATGGGCATTGAGTCACAATAAATTCTACATCGCTGAAGGACAAAGCATTCTGGCGGTCGCTTAATCCTGGCGGATTCTGATTGGTCCAAAATAGTTTTTTTTTTGATGTTCGTCCCTAACAAAAATCAGCCCTACCAATTCGCAAAATCAAATGCTCAATTCCAGCACATCAAACAAGTGAATTACACTAGCGCGTAATCCGCCCGCCCCTGCCTGATCATCACTTTCTTCGATAAACTACTTATTCCCACTTTCTTCCATCTTCCACTCTCCCCCATCCAACCACCATCGTCATCAACAATATCGACAACTTCATCCACCACAACTCCATACACAACTCCATCTTCATTCTCATCATCATATCAATCACTCGCAATGGCTCGTACCAAGCAGACAGCTCGTAAGTCACATCGACCTCACTGTCGCAATACTTGCTTCCTACCTCGCTGCCGCCTCACCTTCCACCTTGCACTATTCCAACACGACCCTCACTACTTCACCAAAGCAACATCACTGACGCGTCATCATAGGCAAATCCACCGGAGGAAAGGCTCCCCGTAAGCAGCTCGCCTCCAAGGCCGCTCGTAAAGCCGCGCCATCAACTGGTGGTGTCAAGAAGCCCCATCGCTACAAGCCAGGTAAGCTCACCCAACACTGCCTCACTCATTCATCATGCTAACCACGCGTCTCAGGAACCGTCGCTCTCCGTGAGATCCGTCGCTACCAGAAGTCGACTGAGCTCCTCATCCGCAAGCTCCCCTTCCAGCGTCTCGTCCGTGAAATCGCCCAGGACTTTAAGTCAGACCTCCGCTTCCAGTCATCCGCCATCGGTGCTCTCCAGGAGTCCGTCGAGGCATACCTCGTCAGCTTGTTCGAAGACACCAACCTGTGCGCCATCCACGCCAAGCGGTAAGCGTCCCCGTCCTCCCAAGTCTTGCGTTCTTACACTTTACTAACGCGTCTCCAGTGTCACCATCCAGTCCAAGGATATCCAGCTCGCCCGTCGTCTCCGTGGCGAGCGCTCTTAGATGCCTCCTTCTCAATCGGCATATCTAGCATCATTCCCTCTCGACATACCCGCTCGAACATGACGGCTACTTCGGTGGACAAACATGGAGGAAAAGCACTTGTGCTTTGAGCGAGATCTTTTGTAGCTAGCTGGTCGTCAGGCATTTCTTTGGTTCGTCTTCATATGCGCATAGGTCGAGGTCTCCGGTGGCTCTCATGGTGTTTGCTCAGGGGAGAGCACGGGCTTGCTTTTGTATCATAATTCAGCGACGATGGCGGGAGGTCGCTGAAACTCAATGACAACCTGACGAACGATGATGAATCTTCGTCTTCTCTGAACTACTACTGCTACTACCACTTTCATTCCACATGTTTCGTGACTCGTGCCTCTGCCTCATTTTGATCTGCCTCACTTGAAGCATGCGTGTCTAACACGTGCCAGACCTGCCACTGCATGACGCGTTTCTCTCCACTTGCCAGCACTACGAATCCCAGCCCATACGCGTGCGTTCCTTCTCACCCGCGAAGACCGTCCATTGCCGTCTCTCGAGACAAGTGGCAGCTGCCAGATCTACTTGCATCCATCTCGTGGTCAGAGACGGGCATGCAAATGCGACCTGTAAGAAACCCATGCTGCGATACGCGAGCGCTACCTGGTTCACGAGTGGACAAGTTCGGAAGCCATCACTACTGTAGAGTCAGGTAATTTATTTCTTTGCGTCTACGTGCTGTAGTTCCCTGTACGGGCGCCACGCTTCATGCCTGCCACGCAGCTCCTTCTGAGTGAACCTTACTACCCGATCCGGCCATTGAGTGACCAATGGTGGTAGGTATTTCGAGAGAGCCTCGTCGTTGCTGTAGTCTAGAGCTGCGATTTAAGACTGGTTCAACTTCACGGCGAGGAACCTCTCCCACTCACGTTTTGCATGGGGAGCTTCCGTGAGGAAGAGGCGTCTCGGACGCCGGGCGACCTTTTGCGGTCCCAGTCACTTGGAACACACATCTTCCGAGGCGAAGGCGGGCCTCAAAACCTAGCCGGGTCGGTCAGCGAACCACTGTCCAATCGCTTTTCGCTCTCACTGTCGACTTGTAGGTCCGTCCGAGAAGAAGACGTGGTTCAGAGCCTGTCCCAGTTGCGCAGTCAGCACGGTCTTTTCCAACACACTTCTCGCGTCAAGGGAGAGCGCTTACCTCCAGCGCGTTTAGTCTTGAGGTACTCTGGTACATGACTAGCCCTGTGACCAGATCCCGGGCTTCTTCAGAGGCCAGCGGAAGTATGTCTTTCCATGACTTGGGCGGGAAGGCATGGAAGGACATTTTGTTCCAGTCTGGGAAGGTTCTGGCTTCCTGGAGTCACGGCAAGCATTAGCTGCATGTTTGTATTTAGGAGATGATTTCATAGAGGGTCGAGAAGCTACTCACCGGCCAAGTCTCATCAGTCGGCGTTCCCAGTGTCTCGAAGATTGATTTGACTAATGTTAATTCACTTCCCAATTCCCCAGCATCGAAAAGCGTCCATTGGGCCTCCCCGCTTTTCACACCCGGCTTTTCAAATCCATCAAGACCACGCCTCACGCACTCCGCCACTACGCAACCCGCAGCCCACAAGTCTAACTCCGGTCCATAGGCCTTATGCCCAAAGAGTACCTCCGGAGGGCGATAGCACGTGGTCCCTACGTCGGTGATTTTCTGGTCAGACGGCTCAGATGCCGGGTCGTCTGGGGACCATGCGATTCCAAAGTCTGCAAGCAAGGCGGGTCCCGAGGAGGTGCTGAGTAGGATGTTGGCGGGTTTAATGTCGCGGTGAATGATTCCTTTTGAATGTATATGAGCGAGGGCGCAGAACAAACCTTCGAGTATATGACGTGCTGCCGTCGCTTTGAGGGGGAAGCCTTTTCTTAGCACTGTGTCCAGATCGAGTGGTTTGAAGGGGAAAACGAGCAGGAATTGTGAGGACAGGGTATGCGTGGTGAGAAGAGAGATGATGTACGGGTGGGCAGCAGCGGCGAGGATGCGTGCTTCGCGCTTGGGGTTGTGGGGTGGGTGAGTTTGAAAGGGAATGGTGACCTTAATTGCTAAGCTTTTGAGGTGATCGGTATTTATTTGCTTGTAGACGGTGGAGAAGAGGCCGGTGGCGTGATGGGTGCAGTTGGTGAAGGGTCCAATGGTTTGGCCTGTTTGCTGTGAGGAGTCCTCGAGTGTAGAAGTTGGCGGCGATGGAACGTCGTCGGCTGGCATTCTCAAATAACGGTCTCCGTCGATCCACCCGTTGCAACGTTGGTAATAGTCCTCCTATGTGGTGTTTTAGAGTCAGGGTTAAGGTTGCGAAATAATCGAACGAACTTTTGACTGTGCATCTTTATATATGACTTTCTCAAGAAGCCTGCCCTCTGCTTGCATTTGAGTTGTGTCCTTATCTGGGAATACAGAAGACAAGGTATTTGTGCTGACATTAGGTCAATGTTTGCAGGCTTTACGTGACACAGAGTACATAAACACAAACTTGCATTTTCAGAGTATGGCTTACGCGTTCAGAGAAGCTGACTTGAGATTGCCATGATACGGTAGAAGCCATCCTGTTATTTTCCATTTCGACACGCGTAGGAAAGAGCGAAAGGGGATAATGGGATAGAACACAGCTCTTTGCGAATCTACTTTTGAAATATCGAAAGGAGGACAAATTGAGAAATCGTGGGAGAAGCTGCTCTCATGCTGCTCTTTCCAGATAAAGAGATACAGAGAATGCTGAGATAAAGGACATCGGGTTTCAATGGAAGCCTTTTCGAAATGACCACATCTAGAGAAGCACTATGGTCAACATGGAAATGTTTGGCAGTTTGATAGTCCGTACAGAGTAGTGACTGTCATATTGATATGTCGTATCCGTAATATGGAACTAAAAACTTTGAGGCTGTCATCATGCATTCCCAGATATCTGGTGCCATGCTTGCCACGCAGATTCACAGATGACACATAACGGTTTCAATTTGCTTGGTTTGCGATTGAAGAACCATGGAGCTGTCACGCCAAGAGTATCCAGCGTTATTGGTGAGCGATAGCAGCACTCGCAGGGAACATGTGGATATCCGTGCTGACTATTTGTCCAGCGCTCGCTTTCGCCAAATCAAGCAGTGTCTCTCTTGGATGAGCGGGTCAAATTGATTGGGAAAGTCAACACAGATATTGCTGACTGGCTTGCCGTAGGTGGTCAAGATCCCTATGTCATCGGCATCTACTCATCTACTCAACAGGAGCGACGGCGCGTTGAAGAGACCTATGTGCAAGGTTTAAGAAAATTGGCAAGTAGACGTCCACATGATGCTGCTGCCGAGCTCGGGTGGGCACTGTCTCTGTATTGGAATCCTAGAGCGTATATTGACTTTAGCCAGTGTCTTCCGGACGCCATGGCAGAGCATTGTCAGCTCGATGCAGTCTCTCGCGGAATCACATAATATTCTCGCTGCGAAGATGGAATCAGACGTGGAGCGCCCGTTGAAAGATTTTCAGTCCAAAAACAGAGAAATGCAGGGCATCAGCACAATACAAGGCAATTTGGCAGCCGTGGCCAAGGACCTCGATGGGGCACAGAAGAGAGCGCAGAAGCTCGCAGGGGGCAAATCAAACGCCAACAAAGTTGCCAATGCCACCTCCGATGTTGATGCCGCGAATCAATCATGGGAATCTCAGGCACCCTACGTTTTTGAGCAGCTACAGGCTTTGGATGAGAGCAGGGTCAACCATCTACGTGACGTTCTCACTCAATTTGAGACACATGAGGTTGATCTGGTCGAAAGAAATCGCATTACTGCAGAGAGCTGCCTGAACGCCTTGTTGAATGTGAATACCGCCGACGAGATTTCGACTTTCGTTGCGCAGAACGCTGGGGGCGATCAGAATGTAACACGAAGACTTGCAAGCCGAAGCGCAACAACTGGTAGCTCAATAGCGGATCCGCCCCCAGCATCAATTCCAGCCGCTACTTCTCCTCCAACTCTTACGCCGTCTCGAGAGCGAGTTCGTCAGGATGACGAGAGGCCAAGTCCCTTCTCGACGGCTTCCAGAGCCGGTACTGGTACGTGCTCCTGAATGCGATCCAAGCATAGGACTGACACTGTGACAGCTCCGAACCCGCCACCGAAGAGCAGCTTCGGCGGTCTAAGGCGCTTGGGCACTGTCTTGGGTGGCCGTTCGAACAAAGGCGCAAAGGGCATGGACCGGGGCCCTTCCCCCGAGAAGAGATCACGACCGATAAGAAATCCGTTGCGCAGGGGACCAAGCTCGCATCAAAACATGGAAACGATACCTTCTCCGCCTTCATCATCGTCAAACCTACCACAGTTCTCTCCTCGGCACGAAGCGCCATTGATACAAACCGCTTCGTCACAGTCTACAGAGAGACCTCGGTCACAAGAGCGGCGGCTCTTAAATGACCAAGTCAATGGCAATACGATTCAGCCAGCGCCTGCCAGAGTGTCTAGTCTGCCCGGCATGACGAATGGAGTATCAAGCTCAGCAAATCGTGACCTAGCTACAGTGCAGGAAACCCAGGCTGCCCCTCCGCCAGGTCCACCACCAGGCAAAATGGCTGAGGTGAGTGCTAGCTATTACAGCGGTGTCGTTCGTCACTAATACTTGCAAACTCAGCGTGATTCCGAAGGCTACAGCGTTCCATCATCAACTGTAGATGATATTACTCGTGCTCAACAAGAAGCAGCAGCAGCTGGGTGAGGACGATATCCAAGTTCCTCGACATAGCTAACAGGTTTAGTGAAACCGGACAATCCCAGTTCAAGCTAGACATACGACCCGAACCTATTAAAGAAGATCCAGACGCACAATCTGCTTTTTCAAGCGTTGCGAATACTTTACGGGCAGTAAGTTGTATGCCAGTAGAGTCCTATGAATTCTGCTCATCTTTCTTCAGCAAGCATCTCAAGTCGCCACCCCTAGAAAGCCTGGCACAGTACGAGGGCGCCGAGATGTCAGAAACACAGTGTTCGTACCTTCCGGGCAGTCACTCGAGAGTGCCGGCCTTGGTGGCCCCCAAGTGCCATCCGCGCCACTCTTTAGTTTAGGAGGTGTACCACCCTTACCTCCTGACGCTCAAAGAGGGTCCGATGCGCAGTCTATCCGATCTGCACATTCCATGAGCAGTCTGGCATCTACAGCTGTTACGCATCCTCAAATGCGTCAACCAGGACTCAACGCATCGATTGCCGAGACCGTGAGTGCGACTTTCGAGAAGAGCGAACTCGTCAAGGCAGTCGTCATTGGAGAGCTCGCCTTGCAACACAATCCCAGTGAAACAACGTCTTCATCTGGATCGGAGAATATAAGACTGGAGAACTTTCCTGTTCTGGAGAAGGTAGCACCAAACCCTAGTTTCATCTCCCAAGTCCCATCCAGATCCGGCGAATATTCGGTGAACGTCTCCCAGGTTTCTCGCCCGTCGGTAGCTTTCAAGTACCAGGTCCATCTTGAAGACTCGTCTCTGGCTACACACGCGCCTGTCTCGATCACACCAAGCTGGAAGATTGAACCAACGCAAGCTTCTGTTATACTTACCTATGCATTTAACCCTGCCTTTTCCTCGCCTGCTAAGAGGAGCGTGTCGCTCAAAAACGTCGTGGTCTTCATCAACGTGGAGAATGCCAAGGCACTCAGCTGCCAGTCAAAGCCTCAGGGCATCTTCTCAAAAGAGAGGTCACTTATCTATTGGAAGCTAGGAGACATGACTCTTGATGGCTATGCGGAAGCGCCGCAGAAGCTTCTCGCGCGTTTCAGCACTGAGGGTGAAGCAAAGCCTGGGAACGTCGAGATGCGATGGGAGATCAGTGGTGACGCAGCAGTGGGACTGGGCAGTGGATTAAGCCTTAGCCAGATGGGCTCCAAAGAAGAGGGAGGTAGTGATCCTTTCGCGGACGAAAGTACTTCGTCGAGTGGTGCAGGAACGTGGAAGGAGGTGCCGGTACATAGGAAGTTGATGAGTGGGAAGTATATGGCTAATTGAAGCGGACGGATGGGGTGTACGTGTACGGGATGCTACTAATATCGATACCGTGCGTTCCTCGCATTATTCTTTTCTATAATAGCTCGAGGTCGAAGTTGATATCAGAATGATATTTATTTTTTCATCAGTCGAACTGTTACTCGCAAGCAGAATAGCAAAGGGGAGTTTCAGCGACGGATTCCGAATTTCTGATTACCGTAGTGACACCAACCCCCGTAGTGCCAAGGCACGAGCCAAGCCAACTGTCAGATAGTAGTACCTAGTACTCGTAAGTCGTAAACTCGTACACCAAAACCACTGTTTAAGCCAAAAGTTACCGTTCTTCGTGGCACGTGAACCAAGTTTTTGATGTTCTTCGATCTAGGTATTGTGGTGGAATTCTTTGCGGTACCTACTTTAGAGAGAAGCAAAGCTTCGAACTTCTGTGGTTGAGCGCGTAATAAGCATATGAGCGTGAACCCCTGAAGATAAAGTACTGTACCTTAGATTATGCGAGACGTGTACCTGACTAGCAGAGCTTTAGCAGCGTAAGATCGACACTCGACCCGAAATTGACCCTCATTCTCATTGGTCAATCTAGCTTTAGCCTTGGCAGTGCGCAACAGCCAATTTTAATTCCGCCGCCATTATACGAGTAGCTCTCCCATTTCTCACTCTCTATCTCATACTCATATCCCTTTCATTGTTTTTTGTTGTTCTTCCTCCCTCTCTTCACAAGAATCCCCAACCCATCAACTACGGCCTTCGCTCCTCGTCGCCCTTCTTTTATCGACGTTCAGCTGGCTCATTCACTCCTTCAGCCCTCACCAATATCCTTTCTGTTTTATATTCTTCGCAAAGGTGAAACGCGGATCAAACTCACCACTTTTCGTGCCATTACGAACGAACCACTCCTGTGCGACCTCAACCGCTCACAAGCCAGCAGACATACGTCAATCCTATCCTAGTACATCCAACTTAATACAAGGGCACTGCGCGAGCAGACCGCTCCATCATAATGCATCAACATCATCAGCACCAGCACCATGAGATGAAGCGACAAGACGGTCAGGGATCAACGGTGGTGGAGTATGTCTACCAGACTGCTGCTAAGACGTTTGATGGGCCTGTCGGCGGCTACATCACGGCTGCAGCTACGCCTGACGATTCCTCGAGCTCTGATAACTCCAATTCGAATAACAACAAAAACAACAACGACAATAATGCGGCTGTGGTATCTCCTACTACAACTATACCTACGCCGACTCCTTCCCCGACTCCTACGCCGACTCCTACCCCGACTCCTACCCCGGTCCAGGTACACGATACAGATACGGATACCAGCACAAGCTCGACCACGAGCACAACATCCACTTCCAATTCTTCGACCTCCTCGACCTCTACCACCAGCAGTACTATCAAGAAGGAAGTCGTGCAGCCAACCTCCTCCTCCACGGCATCCTCTTCAGCCTCTTCACTGTCAACGTCGTCTAGCTCCTCTTTCATCGAAGCTACCTCAAGCTCAGCCAAACCAACCTCCACCGCTGGATCCGACTCATCCAATGGAGGTGGCATGTCGAGCGGCGCAAAGGCTGGCTTGGCAATTGGCATCCTCCTAGCAGTCGCGCTTCTGTTGGGACTATTATTCTTCTGCTTTCGCCGCAGGAGAAAGCATGCCAATAGCGACTACACAAAGGCCGACGATGAGAAAGCGGCCTACATGGAAGGATTGAAACGTTCGCAAAGCGTAGCGTCTACGAGGACTACTGCTACTGCACCACGGTTGAGCCTGAGACCAATAACGCAGTTCATGCCTGACATGGCAGCCCGTGGAAAGGCCATGAACGGTGCTACCCCAGCTGCGGCTTTGGGTGCAGTCGGAGGTGCAGGTGTGGGGGCAGCAGCCTCGAGAAGTCACAACGACCCGGAGAATCCATTTGGAAATCATGCGGAGATTCCGCGGAAGTCTCAAGGTTCATCTGAGAAGGAAGTGGGACTGCCAATTCAGAACAACGCAGCTGAGAACCCTTTTGGCAACAATGCGGAAGTCCTACCACAAACCGACTTCGGTACGCGCTCGATGCCCAATGACGCTATTCCAGCTCCTCTTCGAATCCGAACCCCGACTCCTGAGGCAGGTGCTGTTGCAGGAGGAGCCGTCGCTGGTGCTGCCGGAGGTCTCGCTGCTGCCCAAATTGCCGAGCGTCACAATGCTCCAAAGCCTCTCAACCTCACTCCCAAACGTTCAGTCTCTCCCGCAGCGTCAAGCCCTGCTGCCTCCGAGTTCAGTCAAACATCAGTGCCAGCAGCAGCTATGGTCAATGGCCCTGCTCCAAGCAATGTTCACCGCATCCAACTTGACTTCAAGCCTTCCATGGACGACGAATTGGGTCTTCGTGCTGGTCAGCTTGTTAGACTTTTGCACGAGTATGATGACGGCTGGGTAAGCGCTCCCATATTGTACATAGCAGTTTGTTAAAAAGTCGTTGCTAACCACTATTTCGTAGGCTCTCTGCATTCGTCTGGACCGCTCTCAACAAGGCGTCGCTCCTCGCACTTGTCTCTCGGCTCGTCCTGTTAAGCCTCGCCCCCCACCAGGTTCACGTGGAGCAGGCCCGCGAGGGCCTCCACCAGGAATGATTGGTCCTGGCCAGCAACGTCCCCAGTCGCCAGCCAGTGGCCGTGGCTCGCCAAACCCTCACAGCCAAGGCCGAGCCCCCAGACCCTACAATGCCGGCAGCCAACAGCGCTCAATGTCGCCTGGACCTTACGGTGGGGGCCCTCAGCGCCCTGCCAAAATCCCGACCCCCGGTAGCAAGCGACGGAGTAATTCTGTCAGTGAGGTCAGCAGCCGAAGGAATAGCCCGCCGGGTCCAAGCGGTTTGAACCCTAATGTGCAAAGGGTGCCAATGCAGCTGCAAACCCTGACTTCGGCCGACCAAGCTTTGACCCAGTCACCACCGCAGAGCATGATGGCTCGGAAACCAGTCCCAGGGCAAGCAATGTGAATGATACACACGCTAGGCGTTGTAAATGCGGAAAGGACGGATGGATGGCAAATCCCACGGGAAAATTAGACGGGTATGCTTTTACACATCCGAGTCGGCCATATTTCCCTTCTAGACTTGCCTCCTTTCTAATGGCGCTTTGATGATTTCTTCATGTTGTGCTTGCTCTACTTAATTTCTAAATCATGTCACAGATGCCCTTGGTGGCTCTGGGTATCTTGTTCGCTTCTTGAAAACCCCATTTACTCTTGCTCCTGATGGTGGCTTCAGCTAGATGCTTCAGCTTATGAGCGCGTTGGTTGTCGAGGCGCGCTGGGGTGTGAAGGATGAAGGAGAAGCAAGGTGTCGATGTATTGATGTATTGATGTGTACAATATCAAACAATGCGAGAAACGGCACTGGTGCCTAGATAACCTGCTGCTGCTCTGCTCCTTTTTGCGAATCCCAAATGATGCATGTCACAAGGATAGAGATTCCCTTCCATGGACCATGTTGATGCAATACCGCTTCCGCTACCTCGAGCTGGACGGACAGACACAACGCCAACCCAGCCAACCATTCCCCGTCTCTCTGTGCTGGCATACGCCACGCCGGGATCGCTCCATCACCGCCAGTCCCCCCCCTCCCCGGTCATGACCTGCTCTCCCACTCGATGTTCGGCAAGAATAATCAACCGGTTCTCTCATCACAGACGGACGGAGCAGATGATGCCGCATCGGATAAGCTTCCGCCCGGTTCTCCGCTTCGACACTATCCGGGTTACTCGTTCCTGGGTGATGGGTTTGCCGGCTGTATATGCTGCTTTTTTTTTATGGAGAAGAGAGGCTCATACTTTGTTTTGTGATACTGTCTTTGGGACTCAGGGATCTGGATGGGGTTTCTTGGGACTCATGGATCTGGATGGGATTTTTTCTTCTGGGTGATTTTGGAAAACCGGAAGAGCTTTTGGGTACGGGACGGGATTCTCACGAGCCCGTACTTCCACGCTCGAGGAGTGAGCTTTTTAGAGAATCTATCGTTAATGCTATCGTTCAGGGCTGAGAGTGCTTCATGAACGGCGTTGAACAACGGAAGTGATCATCATCGCTATCTGATTCACAATCTTTCGAGTGCCCCTTTTTCCAGCCTCCTCTCGTCCGGCTCCCAAATCCGTGTCGATGCCCTTCGAAGCCTACCGTTGAGACACAAGGGCCATCAACTCCTCAAACGCCTCACGAACCACCGCCCGTTCAGACTGCCAGATCCCCTCGTCCCCGCGCAGCGGCAACTCCTCCCCCTTGCTCGCCTGGAGCACGAACCGCTCGGACGGGAACGCAAGCGCAGGCATCGTCTCCGCGACATGCATCCGCACGCCCTGGAGCACCTGCCGCAGTTGGCCCGCGGCCTTGCCGCCCCCGTGTCCGCCGTACGACACGATCATCGCGGGCTTCCCGCGCCACTCGTGGAAGAGGTAGTCGATGGCGTTCTTGACCACGGCCGGGTATCCCCAGTTGTACTGCGGCAGGACGAAGACGAACGCGGCGTGCTTCCGGACCTGGTCCAGAGTTTAGACCCTACTCACAGATCAGCTGCTATTCTATTCGGGCATCTCTGTGATCGAGTTGAAGGCTATGGAAGTCAGCGCAAAGGAATGGTGGCTCTCGAACTGCACTGGCCAGGGGAGTTGCTTCATGTTTGATGAAGGCCGAGCTTTGGTTTGCCAACGAAATGGCAACGACAGCATTCGGGTCTATGCGGCCGTTCGCCAGCCTGAGACCTGGGTCAAGGAGTGTGGCATAGACTGGGACCAACCGGATCTCGCCCAAAAGATCTTCACCGAACGTTGTTTCGGCGATTGTCACGACGATATGAAGCGTATCATTGCGGTTGAGGATTTGAGACGGGCTTATTCCGAGACCACTATGGATGCTGCCTGTTGGTTCGAAATGGTCACCACGCCCTGGTGTAACTCTCCTTGGGGATGCTGCACGTCTCATGACCCCATTCGCGGGTGTCGGAGTGAACGCAGCACTGGCCGACGCCCTGGAGCTGTCAACAGCGCTGCTGAAGCGAAAGGTCAACTTCGAAGCTGACCTACCCGACAATCTGGCCGACGCTCTACAAGAATACGAAGGACCTATGTTTGAGCGCGCGAGAGAAAATATGGACAAGGCGTGGGGCGGGCTGCAACACAATTTCAGTGCAAATGGGGTTGACGATCGCGTCAGACGGCTTCAGGGTAGAGCGAAGCAGAGAGAAGCGGCAAAGCTGGGAGAAGAAGCAGAGTTGAGGGAAAAAGCAAAGCGGTGGGAACAAGGCACGCTTCCGAGCCTCTCGCTCCAGCAGCGCGTTTGATACCGCATGCACGGCATTCGAGAGGAAACGGTGGGTTGGCACTCTGGGTTTCTGCTTCTGTTATAAGTAGAATTTGGAGCGTCTGATTGGGAAGAATTATACTTACCATGTAGCCTACCATGCAATAAGGAGATTTCGCAACTATTTCGATTTACAGTATTCAACTATCATTGCGCAAACTTTCGAAGCAGCATACAGAGTGCGTTGTTCGAGCGTCTCGCTTCTCGGGTAGGGACGAGTCTCATCGACCAGGTCTTGACCAAGTCATGATAATTACCAGACCGGTATAAGGTACTCCGTGATCATCCGCCCTTCGCCATCTTGCTCCCGTCTCGTCTCGTCCATCACCCTCGCACTCCGAAACCCACCCACGCGTAGCTCGCCCAAAACCTCCACGACCCCTCCTCCGTCTTCAGAATCCCCTGCTGTGGTCCAGATGCATCTGCGTCTCCCGCATCGTCATCTGCAGTTCGCGCTCCCTCGTCCTCAGGCCCTCGACTTCTTTCCTCAGGGCCGCGTTTTGGGCCTCGAGTTGCGCTTCGCGGGCCTCCAATCTTCGCTGTGGGGTACGCGGTCTCAGTCGAGTGTGGATGCGTGGATGTATGTAGCAGAGGGGAATCATGTTGGGAGGGAGGTTGGGGGGGGGGGGGGCAGTGCTTACGATGGTCTGCTGGAGATCGAATATGTTGGCGTTCTGGGGCCCGCTGGCCTGATCGGCTGTTGTTGGCGTGGATTCTTCTTGCGGTTGGTCTGGCTGGGTTGAAGCTTTTTCGTTGAAGTCGGGAGGAGACGGCATGGTATTTGAGTGCTTGAGTTGTTGGAGGGTTTCTTGCGTGGTCTGGAAATCCTTGAGGAGAGTTGGGAGATGGAGGGATGGAGGCTTTTTGAATGCCCCGAGCGAACACTGTTTGACTCTCGTGCTGGTTCCTCTGGCTAGATTGTGGTGACGTGGTGCAGTATATCTGACAAACTTCGTGATGCGCTGGCTGACGTCCCGATCTCGTTGACAGCGAAGACATGTGAGTACCTGATCCCGGCAGCCGACGGTGACTGTGCCCTTGAAAGGATCAAAGCTTGCAACGTGGTCTATCGATCTGCGATACCGACTGTGAGTGTTTTCGCTCGGTCATGGGTTCCGTATCATGTCGCAGCGGTGCACATCTGCGTGGTTGGCTTTGGAACCTTGAGCCTAAGGTCAACCAAAGCTCCATTATCGTAGCCAGGTCTCTTTAAGAAATCCGGAAGAGCGACTCGTGATGTCGTCAACTTTCATCTCGGCAGGGATCAAGTTCGCCCAAAGTAGAGTACATCAGTCAGGGGCCCGTGCGGTTCTATAGCTCCCACTGCACGCCGTGGCTGGGGAATCTCCGATTTCTCATCTGCATCCTTGGCATTTACAGCCTTCCCAGCCTTCGCATGACCGTCGTTCCTCTCCTTATCCGTCATCCGCATCACCATCATCTTGCCACTTGCCGAAGGACCCACCTTCTCGTCCACCATTGATGTTATAAACAGAACCTCTCAGCCAGTGACACAGTTTGCTCCTCAGAGCGCGTCGCGGGGCTCCAGTGCCATGCTCGGTTACCCAGAGGTCTACCCGGTGTTCTTTATGCTGATCACGAAAACGAGGTTTCTCCACGCTTAGCATTTCGGAGTCATCGCGGAAGATGGCATCGTCCACAGGTATAATCCAAGCAGATGCGAGTCTTGGCTCGCTGTGAGAGGGGCTGCTAACAATAATATTTGATGTTCTCCCTACAGTCAATTGTGTAAGGTTGGAGAGGGAGAGCTGGAAAGCTCCTTCGACGGTGAATATTTCGGACATTGCGTAGGTGAGACTGTCGTCACGACTGAAGTTGCACGCTTTTGGGCGTTGAATAAGGAGACAATGCTCCGATGGTGTTTTCTGCGCGGAAATGTTGAAGATTTGCGCCGCTTCGACTGACACCTTGTTTAGGCACCTCACAGCGGTACAAATATTGGATATTTCTGCAAGATCAGCACCAAGGAGGAGTTATCAGACGTCTTTGGCGCCCAGGAATTAGTCAAACCGTGCAAGGTTTATGACCACCTCATACATCGACATAGAGTCTCCAAATAGTCAATGACTTCCACCGAGTCCAAAATCAACCTATCCCTCTGGTTCGTCGTCTAGAACGTCAATCGACCCACTAAAACCACTAGAATGGCTTTGTCGCAAGCCGAAATCAAGGGGTTTAGCAGCTAACTCAGATTCTCCCTGAACAAACTCAAAGGCTGTCCTTGCACGCTGACGCTGTTGTTCGATGGTCTCCTGACTGTCGAGAAGCGGACTAGTTTCCAGCCGACGTTGCTCGCTCGGTCGTAGTCTTGCATGGCACAGAAAGCGCAATATGTTGCCAATAGTGAGGAGATCTGTGTTTGCGACACAGTCCAAAACACCGGATACAACATCTGGATACTCTATGTACCCTTGGAAGACTCGCTGTGATGAGGCATTGGATAAGAACAGGGGCTCGGCTTCGGCGGTAATCCATTTCTTCACAACATCAGACATTTTAGATGCTTGATGCAGCAGCGAGTCTAATCGACCATCCCATCGCATCTGATGTATCTGATCCTTAGAAATCCTCGAACAATGTACGACCAAGCTTGGCAAGTCGACTAAAATAGTAAGGGGCCGAGACCGTAAGCCCAAAACTTGTGACTGTAAGTTCTGAAAAGGCCAGACTGGACTTTGTAATATGAGAGCTTGCCATCCTGGGGAGCGTAGGAAACAATGTTCTTTGGACTTCAAGGACTGACTACACTATACCAGAAAGAATAGACGTCAGCAGACTTTGTACGCACCTTAAAACGATAGGGCTAGTATATGTGGTACATACTATAACACTCAGCTGAGATTCTAGCATTGAGTGGTCGAAAGCACATGTATATCCGTGCACACGACGAAAGAGGGAAAAGCGGTCGTTCCATGTGCAAGCTGACTCCATTGTCCTCTATCGACATTAACAACGAGCTCAAAAAGATCAGTTACATTCAGCCGTATTCCTGGTCCATGGACGTTGCGTGGACAAACCTCACCTCACACATCTATAGCATAATTGATGCACATAAAGTCTCTGACTCCATCCGGAGAGACGTATCGCTAAGACAGCCGCGCAAAGAGGACAAAGCTCTGACGTAATTCTGGTAAATACCAGTATGAGAGTTACATGGAGAGCAATAGATGCCACAAAGACACGATACCGCGTTGTCGAGGGCCGCATTGCGACCCATGCGAGCCGGGACAAATTGAAAGAATGACCCAACAAGCCACAAAGGAACCAACGTTCCCTTCACCTTGCTCTCCAAGCAGTACACCAGCGATAACCCAAGGGGATTACTCTCAAGATATCGAGGTACCTCAGGCGTGCGTAGCGCACTCTTTGTCATGCGGAGAAGTGGAAGTCTTCCACACGATTACTGCGCCATCAAATCTCACACTATCCTCCTGCAGGTTCTGATCAATGTCATCGTAAATGTATTGTTCTTCTAGCATTGTGTTCCGCCAATCGAGGAGCTTCGTCCACGAACTTCCACGAAGTCTTATACCCTGGGCAGATCCATCCTGCCCGAACACATTCTCAGGACGACGGCTTCTGTTCGCCGCACTAGATTGGCTGTTCTTTCAGCAAATTTCGTCTTGAACAACTAAAAAAGTCAATCTTCGACTGGACAAGACCTCTAGAGATGAAAGGAGACATGCCTTCTTTTTCCGTCTTCGACAATTAACGCAGCGATTGCTCGTGCGGGCACCAACCATATCAGAGCATCTTGGTAAGACGAAAGATACGGGCAGAATTATCAGAGACGAAAGAAATAAGGATGGCACTGAGTAGGAGTGAACAAGGGCCTGACACAGATTAGCGACAATGTTTTGCCTTACTTAAGGTAGGTAAGGATCCCATATTGGGACGCATTCGGCTTAGCGCGATGCCCTATCCATACGCTAAAACCGCGCCGAACCCATCTCGAATCAGGCGAAAGTAGGGAGTATCCGTTTCGTATTCAAGTGAGCACCTCCAAAGCGCGTCAAAACCGGCGCTGAACTCTAGAGATGAGCTCTCCACCCTTGCGCCAAGCTCGGCGCAGTAGTAATCAAGCATTTGAACAATCAGGATCGCGCTCAAGGAGACCGAGCGCTGGGGGCGGCCAAATAGGCATTCCTATGGCGAACTCGAGGGTAAGTTGCTCGTTGACCCTCTTAGTCGCAGCGCGAACGCAGGGGCATGATGCTAACGAAGGTTCTTAGATCGCCCAAAGTCGTATCGCTAATACCCAACCGACTTACGACTTTCTCGCGGGCAACTCTGTAGTTGCGCCCTCAGTGTCTGGGCAGCGGGAGCCATTGGGGCAGAGCTTCAGACAGTCCCAAGCCGCCAAGCCAGATATCGGCAACGAGGATCTAAGAGCGCAGGTCAAGACGCTGCAGTATGAGTTAGAGTCGTTCAAGCAGGAGAGGGAGCTCTCGAAATTGAGACATGATAAGGAGCTGAGAGATGTACAACTCAAGGCTGAGGAGGTGTTCAGAAAGGCACAGGTACGTTAGGTTCCTGCGAGATGAGTGCAGTCTACGATTGCTAAGAAGGGGGGTTGTCATGTAGGCAGAGGAAAGCAGTAGACACGTGCCCAACTACAAATACGACGCCCTGAAGCGCGAGCTGAAGGACTTCCAAGACCAAGCCATCAATCAGCAGAACGCGCTCGAGAAGAGGCTGCGGACGGCGCAGGAAGAGGGTCGGGCAGCGAAAGAAGAATCTGAGGAGGTGCAGACAGAGTTCGAAGGTCTGAGTCGCCAGCATAAGCATCAATTGCAGGAAATCGAGTCGAAGCATTCCACGTTGCAGAAGACATTGAGCGCTCTACGGGATGACTTGGCGAATAAAGACTCGGCTCTACATACGACACAAGAGAGGCTCTCCCAGCGAGAGACTGAGACTGGACAGCTCGAGAGCGAGATCCTGAGGCTCAAAGCGCAGACTGGTGATGCGGATACTTTGGCTGTTATCAAAAGGGAGCTTTCCGAGCAGGTAATGCATATCAGGAAGTTGGAATCTACGAATCGAGAGCAAAATGCTGAGTTGAAGCATTTCCGCCGTGTCCACAAAGCCGTTGAAGTTGTGGAGGAAGAGAAGAGAGCGTTGGAGAACAGAGTCAGTCTGATGAGCGACATTGAGAAGAAGCTCAGGGAAGCACAGCTCCAGCGGCAGATACTCGAGGATGAACGACGCTCATGGACGTCGTATCTTGAGAACGAAGGTGGGACTGGCAAAGTCGAAATTGACTCACCTGAAGACATGGCTAGAGCTCTTGTAAAGGAGCGACTGGAGAATGCGTCGCTTTTGCAAAGGATAGGAGCCGTACAGCCAGAGCTTTTGGAGAAGGATGAGATTATCAAGAGCCTAGAGGAAGAACGCAGCAAGATCCATTCTGAAATGGAGAAGCTACGCAGTAGCGGTGCAAGTGGTAATGACAGTCGAGCAAAGACGCGTCTTGAGCGGCAGCGGGCCCTCGCAGTCAAGGAGGTTGATCTACTCCGAGAGCAACTACGCACGTTCGACAGCGAAGAGCAGACCTATCATTCCGAGAATCAGTTCGATACCATCAAATCTCAACGTATCGCGGACCTCGAAGCTCTTGTCGACCAACACCGCACCGAACTCCAAACCCTCAACACTGAGCTCTCGACTCTCGAAAAGCGCGCACCTGCTGTACCGCAAAGCCCACTCAAGCGCCCAAGAGAGGAAGATGCAGACGATCACCAATTAGGCCAACTCTCACGCAAAAATCGCAAATTGCAAGACGCTCTTTCGAGTGCGCAATCCACCTATGCCCTCCTCCAAAGCGAACATGCCGCCCTGCAAACACAACTGTCCTCTCTCCAACGATCCGCCAAAACGCGCATCTTATCCCTCAGCTCAAACCCAACCGATTCCTTCGGAACCACAAAATTAAGCACCCTCAAAACCCTACGACAAGAAAACAAAGACCTCCTCGCCCAACTCGAGTCCCGCTATGACGCCGCTGGCACCAAAGTCGTTCCCCATAGTACTCTGGAAAGCCTGCGCCTAGAGATGCAGGAGTTGGAACAGCAAGTCAAAGACAAGGAAAAGCGCATGCTCCGCCTCAAAGAGATCTTTGGTAAGAAATCGCTCGAGTTCCGAGAAGCGGTGCTCAGCTTGCTGGGGTGGAAGACGGATTTTAAACCTAACGGGAAGGTCGCGTTGTCTCTGAATATGGGCAATGATAGTGATGAGGTCGAGGAGTGTATTATTTTCGATGGGGAGAATGGGACCATGAAGATTGCCGGTGGTCCGGACAGCGCTTTTGCGTTGCAGATCAGGCCGCTGATTAGGCAGTGGGTGGAGGGGAGGCGCTATATTCCTGGACTGATGGCGGGTATTATACTTAGCAAGGTTGAGGATGGGACACTTGCTATGTGAGGGTTGGTGGGTTGAGCGTACTCTTGAGCTTTAGAAGATATCAAATCACAAATTCTCCCTCACTTAAGTGGTCTGTCCCAACAGACGATTACTAAGATTGATATACGAGTGCGACCACTAATTTGAAAATCTAGGCGGTCTGATTGAAGTCTCTTTGATGTGTGCTAATGGTTTGTAGTTTTTGTGTAGTCATTTCCACCCTCGATTGCCTTCATATGGACGGAACGTCTCTTCTAATCTCTGTCCTCGTCCAGAATTCTTCGGCTTAATACAATCTCACGCTCGATTGCTCAAGACATCCCCAGGCGCTCTGCACTCTTTTCCTGTCTTCTTCGCTCATATCCTGCACTCATGGCACACTCTTCGCTTGAGTCCAAAAGTTCTCCATCTTCGCCCTTGCCAGCACATCCATCGCCTCCTTGTCTGTCTCAACGCTCTTGCTTCCCCATTTGCGGAACGCGCGGTCCTTTTGCTGCCCTTCAAAGAGGAGGGTAGTTTTATTAGAACTCAAATCCTTCAAGTTGCCTTCAGCGTCTAGGGACTCAAGCCAAGCGGCGCGAGCCTTTTGGTTTCCTTCTCTGACTGCTGGAATTGAGTTTTCGGTCCAATCTATACGATTGAGCATGAGCTTCTTGTAGGCTTTCACGCTATGTTCCCCCGATTCAAATAGTACAAGGCTGAAGGCGGGGGACGAAAGGCATAGACCTGTTCCACTCATCTGTTCCGCATTTTTACAGATTTTGAAAAGAAGCCTGCCGTTTGCCAGAGAGTCAATCTTGTAGACCGTCAGATAAACGCCCTTTGCGGCATCTTGGGCTTTCTTTTGTTCTAGCTTCTCATGCTTCTCTTCTTTTGTGAGCTTGCGGTCTTCGTTCATCTGATTGTGCTTGTGAGCGCGCTCGGCAATCTCACGGTTGACTTTGGCTTCGACAGCGGTTGGGTCCTTGACGGCGTCCTCTCCAAGCACGCGCATCATGTTCTTGAGCTTTACCTCTGCGAGAAATCCTCGGGTTAGCATGTGTCCTTTGGAAGGTAGGAAGCGAGACTGTGAGGGGACACTTACTTGGTGGGTCCGGAGGCAATAACCCAAGTCTAACCTTTGTCTGGTGCTCTTTGAGATTCTCCATCCTCTTTTGTCTTCGAAGCTTCGCCTGCTCTTTGGGAGTCAAGAACATTGGACGGGGGGCTGGCATCTGACTAGCGGAAGGGGGTTCTAAGAGCACCGGATGTTGGACGTAGAGGGTAATGATAGTGTCAGGAGAATCCAAGTCAAAGCCACGCCCATCGTCGCCGACAGAACCGTAATCTTTCCCTTTGACGATGTTCTCATCCCACCATTCAACATCTGGAGGCGGCAGAATGACGAAGTTTTTCTCCGAAGGATCTCCCTTTTCCAGGGCTTTCTTGGAGGTGGCTGCGATTCTCAATTTCATCTGCAAAAAGTTTCCAGCGATCAGCATCCCTTCGTTAAGACGCAACTGTGGTACGGCTTTGGAAAACACTAAGAGGAAAACACCCACTTCTTCAAGAGCTCGCTGCCTCCGTAGAGCCGCGCCCTGCTGGATATATTTGCCTTTTACATTGAAAGCTAAATCCCTCCGATTCCTCGCCTTCAGCGTCGCCGTATGTGAGCCTAGGCTGGCATCAAAATAGGGGTTAGTGCGAGTCTCGGTGGGGTCCGGAAGGGATAGGTCCAATTGCTTCTTCGCCTTTCCCGATTTCGAGGTCTGATCTGCTTTAGGCTGCACTGCTTGCTTGCTTTTTGAAGGTCTGAACTCCTGTTTCGCGTTCTCCATAAGCGCAGGATGTAGTTGTGTTCCTAAGCCGCCTTTCGCTTGAAGACTCCCATCGTCGAATTGAAAAACCGGAGAAGCCGTTCGCTGCTCTGAGACTCCACTGGTTTTCGCCATCGTAGCGGCTACTCGGGCCTTTATCTGTTCTAGCTTTGACATAGCTGAGGTTGCTGGTCCAGGCGATGATGTCTGCGGAGCAAGGGTCACGCCGTTTGTTCCTGCTTTGAGCCGCGCCGCCGCGGCAGCAGCTCTTGCCCTTGCGTCTGCGAGGATCTTGCTGACATCTGGCTTATTGGCTGCATTTGCACCAGGCACAGGCGCCGGAGAGCCATTATTGGATCGAATCTTCTTCTGAGCACCTTTGTCGTTGTGGAGGTCATCGTGAGGTCTCTTTAGGCTGTTTGAGGAGGTGTCTGCCATGTTGTATATCTAGCGGTGAGATATAAATCAACATGAAGAGCAACTCACGTTTTAAGTCTGCTGCAACCAGTCAGGAGTCGTCAGAATGATGTGAAGGTGCAATGCTAGAAAGACAGGATGCTTTAGTCGAATCCACTTGGATGAATGCCAAGCCATGCTTATGACCTGGCCCTACACTAGACCCTACTAGTATTAGGCGCTGCGGTCTGATTATTGATCCGGATACCCATAAAATTCTGTGTCAAGCTCGCCGTAACGGCTCCGTCATTGTATGTCCGAACAGATGATATGGAAGACATAAACCACCATGAATATCTCACAGCCGATTGCTTCCTGCATTGGAAGCGTAGACTTCGGCTTCCTCTCCTCCGAGGACATCAGAGCCCTTTCTGTAAAGAAAGTCCAAAACCCTACGACATTCGATACCCTACTGCACCCCGTACCTGGAGGATTATATGATGCTGCCTTAGGCGCATGGAGTGACAATCCGTAAGGAGTTCAAAATTTCCCCAGATCTGGGCAGGGTTTCGTTGCTAACAGCATTCTAAAGGTGCTCCACATGCCACTTGAATACCTATTCTTGCCCCGGCCATGTCGGTCATATCGAATTACCCGCCCCGGTATATCATGTCACTTTCATGGATCAGGTGTTGCGCTTAATGAGAGCGCGATGTGTTTACTGCGGACACCTAAAGCTACCTCGGACAGAGGTTGATCGATTTACATGCAAGCTGAGGCTCATAGAGCATGGCTTGGTACAGGAAGTCGAAGAGCTGGAAAACATTCACCTCAGATCAACAGCATCGAAGATCAGAGGAATGGAGGCAGACGGGGACAGTCAAGACTCCGAGGAAGAGGACGAGGAGACCCTCAAGCAGCGGAGGAACGAGTTTGTCACACGCGCAATCAAGAAGAAAGGTGGCAGTAAAAGCAGAGTCGCGGCTGCGTCAGAAAAAATTGAGGCTGTTGCTGAAGTCCGGCGAGCTATAATCAAGGAATTCCTTGCCGCTATCACAAAACCAAAGACATGCGGGAATTGTAAAGGTGTATCGCCTGGCTGGCGCAAAGACAGATACAGCAAGATCTTCCGGAAGCCTCTGGCTAAGAGAGACAAAGCAAAGATGGCGCAGGGTGGGTTCAAGGTAGTCAATCCGCTCATCAGGGCTGCAAAGGAGCGTAAAGAAGCACGAAAACAAAAACGCGAGGAGAGAGATATTGATGAAGGGATCGTCATAGACTCCGACGAGATTACTTCAGAAGAAGAGGGCGAGGACATCGATATGCTGGAAGTTGAGACAGAGACAGCGCCTACTGCAGTTCTGGAGGAGTCCGCAGCCTTGAAACCGAGCAAGATCAAAGTGAAGGACGTTGGATCCGATCAGTATGTTAGCGCTATGGAGATACAAGCTTCTGTCTCGGAGCTCTTCCATAAGGAAAGGGAACTCATGGAGCTTGTGTACAACCATAAAGCGGCAAAAAGTACTGATCCGATCTCTGCGGATATGTTCTTTATAAAAACCGTCCTCGTGCCACCGAACAAATACCGGCCCGAGGCGAAGACAGGCGATGGCGAGATTGCTGAAGCTCAGGAGAATCAGCTGTATAAAAACATTCTTACATCCTGCGAGCTCCTAAGTCAGATCAGCAAGGAGATAGATGATCTTTCTGCGCGAGACCCTAGGTACAAAGAACGTGACATGGTAGACCTTCAGAACGCATGGGTGCGGGTGCAGGAAGCTGTCAATTCCCTGATTGATAGTGATCGAAATCCCATTCAAGGTGCTGCTGCAAAGCAGAATGCCGATGGTATCAAACAGAAGCTCGAGAAGAAGGAAGGTTTATTCAGGAAGAACATGATGGGGAAGAGAGTCAATTTCGCTGCCAGAAGTGTCATCTCTCCAGACCCTAATATCGAAACCAACGAGATCGGAGTCCCTCCTGTGTTCGCGAAGAAGTTGACTTATCCGGAACCAGTAACGAATCACAATTTTTATGAGCTCAAAGAGGCCGTCCTCAACGGCGTTGACAAGTGGCCGGGTGCTGCTGCTATTGAGAACGAAAACGGTCAGGTCATCAATCTTCGGACCAAGAACTTCGAAGAACGGCAAGCTTTGGCAAATCAGCTCCTGGCTCCGTCAAATGCAAGTGTCACTGGCGCAAGAAACAAGAAAGTCCACAGGCATCTGAACAATGGAGATATCGTCTTGATGAATCGGCAACCTACCCTGCACAAACCTTCCATCATGGCTCATCGTGCTCGTGTTCTACCGGGGGAGAAGACTATCCGCATGCATTACGCTAATTGCAACACCTATAATGCTGATTTCGATGGTGATGAGATGAACATGCATTTTCCGCAGAACGAAATTGCAAGAGCAGAAGCCCTACAGATAGCGGACACAGATCATCAATACCTCGCTGCAACGGCAGGCAAACCGCTAAGAGGTCTTATCCAGGATCACATCTCCATGGGCCTATGGCTGACCAATCGAGACACTTTCTTTGATCGTGAAGACTACTATCAACTTCTTTACGGCTGTTTGAGACCAGAGGATAGCCAAATGGCGTCAGACAGAATCCAAACCGTCTCTCCAGCAATTGTGAAGCCCCGAGCTCTGTGGACGGGAAAGCAGATCATCACCACCGTCTTGAAGAACGTTACGCCCATCACTCATCCTGGTTTAACACTTCTCGGAAAGTCAAAAACTGAGGAGGACCGATGGGGAGAAGGGTCGGAAGAGGACAAAGTTATTATCAAGAGCGGAGAACTGTTGTGCGGCATTTTAGATAAGGCTCATCTTGGGCCCACTGGAGGGGGTTTCATTCACGCAGTATACGAAGCGTACGGACACACGATCGCTGGAAAGCTCCTCAGCATTCTCGGAAGGCTTCTGACCCGGTTACTGAATATGCGAGCATTCTCGTGCGGCATAGAGGATCTGTTGCTGACCGAAAACGGCGAGAAGACACGTCGCAAGCAGCTGCAAGCGGCGAACACGATCGGCCTGGAAGTTGCTGCCAAATACGTGACTCTCGACGGAAGCACAAAAGCCAATGACAATGAGCTAAGACTCCGTCTTGAGGATGTGATGCGTGATGAGGAGAAGCAGACAGGTCTAGATCAAGTCTGTAACTCACAGACTGCGAAGTTGTCCAGTGCCATCACAGCGGCTTGTTTGCCAAGTGGACTGCAGAAACCATTTCCTCGAAACCAAATGCAAGCGATGACAGTATCGGGGGCAAAAGGTACTTCGGTCAATGCAAATCTCATTTCTTGCAATCTGGGGCAGCAGGTACTGGAAGGCAAAAGGGTTCCCGTCATGGTTAGTGGTAAAACCTTGCCATCCTTCAAGCCCTTCGAGACAAATGTGCGAGCAGGTGGGTACATCACCGACCGTTTCCTCACAGGGGTCAAACCGCAGGAGTACTTCTTCCATGCTATGGCTGGCCGCGAAGGATTGATCGACACTGCTGTTAAAACCTCAAGGTCAGGCTACCTCCAGCGCTGTCTGATCAAAGGAATGGAAGGCCTCAAGTCGGAATATGATAGCTCAGTCAGGGATTCTGACGGCAGCATGATTCAATTTTTGTACGGAGAAGATGGACTCGATGTAACCAAGCAGAACCACCTCACAGACTTTAAGTTTCTAGCTGAGAATTACCTCTCGCTCGTCGCGCAGCTCAACATAAAAGAAGAATATGCTAAGCTTCCGGACAAGGGAGCAGCCGAGTATCACAAGACTGCCATGAAGAAGGTCAAGAAAAGCGGCAGAATCAATGTTGTGGACCCTTGTCTTGCGCTCTTCGACCCGGGAAGCTCTCTCGGTAGTACATCAGAGAGCTTTGCAACGGCTTTGAAGAAGTATTGCGACGCGAATCCAGAGAATCTGCTCAAAGACAAGAAGAAAGCTCCCGAAGCACCAATATCGAAGAAGACATTTGCTGCATTAGTCGATATCAAGTACCTGAAGTCCGTCATCGAGCCTGGTGAAGCAGTGGGCGTTGTTGCTGGACAATCAATTGGCGAACCTTCGACCCAAATGACGCTCAACACTTTTCATTTGGCTGGACATTCTGCGAAGAACGTTACATTAGGTATTCCACGGCTCCGCGAAATTGTCATGACTGCCAGCAGATCGATCTCTACACCGCGTATGACTCTGCATTTGATCCCAGAAATTGATGAAGATGCTGGTCACAGATTTGCGAAAGGGATCTCGAAGCTTACGATGGCAGAAGTCATCGACGAAGTCAGCGTCAACGAGTCTATTGGAGAAGGTATAGGGTTTGCAAGGGCGAAGATCTACAATGTCCGACTCGATTTCTTTCCCGCCAAAGAGTATTGCGAAACCTATGCCATCTCCCCCGTCGATGTTTTGCGCACGATCGAGATCAAATTCATACCCCTGCTGTCCAAGCTGATTAAGAAGGAGCTCACCCGGAAAGGCGATGCCAAGCTGCTCAAGCACAGCGCTGCTCAACCCGAAGTTGGCAAGTCCTCAGGCGTCGTGGAGGAGGCTCCCGCAAGAGCAGAAGCAGACCTTGAGGGTGGTGAGGATGATGAAGATGACGACGGGGATGATGATGCAACCAACAACAAGCAGAAGCAAAATCGCACCGAGGCCATCTCTTATGAGGCGCCAGATGAAGGCGAAGAAGCAATCGGAAGAGAAGCACAACGAAGAGCAACACCAGAAATGCCAGACGAGATGGAGGACGAAGGCTTTGTTGGAAGCCCGCGCGAATCGCAAGCTGAAGTCAGGAGCCAGGCAGATGAAGATGACAGCGAAGACGAAGGGAAGAGAAGGGACATGGCTAAAGCACGACTGTCAAGGATCCAGGAGAAGAGCTCGGACGTGACGCAGTTCAGCTTCGATGATCACGCAGCCCAGTGGTGCGAAATTCAATTCGAATATGATGTCTCAACCGCTAAATTGCTCCTCCTCCCTTTGGTCGAAAACGCCTGCCATAACGCTGTCATCCAAGCCATTCCCGGTCTGGGAACCTGCACCTACACACATGACGAGGGCAGAGACCCGGCGACGGGCGAGAAAATCAAGGTCCCCATCGTCATAACCGATGGCGTCAACCTTCCCGCCATGCACGAATACCAATCCATCCTCGACCCGCACCGCATTTTCACCAACGACATCGCGGCCATGCTCGACCATTATGGCGTCGAAGCCTGCCGTGCAACCATCATCCGGGAAATGGACGGCATTTTCAAAGGCCACGGTATCAGCGTCGACATGCGGCATTTGAACCTGATCGCAGATGTCATGACAAGGGGTGGCGGTTTTACGCCGTTTAATCGCACGGGATTGAAGAGTAGTGTTAGTCCATTCATGAAGATGAGCTTCGAGACTACTTTGGGGTTTTTGAAGGATGCCGTGCTCGAGAATGATTGGGATGATCTGAAGAATCCGAGTGCGAGGATTGTGATGGGGAAGGTGGGAAGGGTGGGGACGGGGGCATTTGATGTGTTGATGCCTGTCGAGCAGTAAGATGCCAAAAAGTGATGTATTGGCATCGATTTAAAGGTTGATTCTATCAAGTGATTTTAGAGCTCAACGCATGCTGCTGCATATAGGGCTTTAAACCTCAAATGTGCTAGCTTTGAAAGAGCTGCAATTTAAGATGCTCGATTTCAGCCAGGAGACTTGGACCTGTAAATGCACGGAATCTCTGAGCTCGCAGACACTGTCACTCAGCATCAGCATCCCGCATGAGTGCATCCATATCCTCATCCTCAAAGTCATCCCCATCAACTCCATTCTGCACATTGAAACGCCCATCCACACCATCCACCTCCATCTTTTCCCCTCCGTTCCTCAACTCCCGAATCTTCTCCTCCTCCATTTTCTCCTTATGCCTCTCTAAATCCCTCAGATCCCACGTACTGACCCCCGCCTGATCTCTCTCACTAAAAGGCTGCGCCATCGTCCGCAGGAATTTCTTCGCGCTCGCGGTCGCCATATCCGTGCTTAGGCTCGTGTCACTATCAAGTAGTGCTTGGTTTATCCATTTTGGAAGCTGGGTGCGTTTCTTCTGGAAACGGCGGTCAGCGAGTACCATGATACCGTAGTCGTCTTTGCCACGGAGCACGCGACCGAGACACTGCGCGGCGTGCCGCATGGCATCGAAGGAAAGAAAGTCATTCTCGCGGATGCGATAGGTCTCGCGCAGGAATTCCAGGCGGGCTTTTAAGATGCGGGATTCGGTGTATTGGAAGGGCACGCCGATGCAGAGCACCGTCCTACCATAATGGTGATCGAAATCTATACCTTCTGAAACCTTGCCTCGAGCGACGCAAAGTAAGATTGCGCCCCGGCCGTTGCAGCAGGCTGTGCGGTAGGTTTCGAGCGCTAGAGAGGTTTCTTGCGAGTCGGGCGTTTCGACGAGGATGAGTTTGTATTTCCAGATCTCATCGAGCGTGCCCATGCCTTGCCACATGCTGATTATGCTCTCCATGTATAGATATGAGGGGAAGAAAACGACAATGCCATCGGGGGTTAGTTTGCTGAACTCCAGTAAGAGAGTGCCGTAGTTGCGGACGACGCCGGGTTCATTGCGGATTTGGAAGCCGGATGATATGGCAGACTGGTCGGAGCCTCGCGTTACGATCATGGGTAGAAAGGAGCGTCGGGCTAGGGTCATGGAGTAGGATTCTTGCACGACGGTCGTAAAGCCGAGCATCTTTGGGTACATTTCCAGAGGAGAGATTGTGCCGGAGGTGATGATAACTGAGGAGAAGCGGTCAAACACGGGCTTGATAGCGATAGCAGCGTCGAGGCACGTGAAGTGGAGAATGGGGTTGGGAACGGTGGCGGTGTCCGATTCGTAGGGTTCGAGGATCAGGAGGAAACCTTTGTCGTAGGTTGCGGCGAGAGTGGCGAAGGTAGCTACTTCTTGCAAGGGTTGGTAGTCTTCTATGTTTGTGAGTTCCAGAGTGCGGACGAGGGAGGTTAGTCGTTCGGCGCAGAAGCGGAGAGGCTTTTTTTCAATGAAGGTTAGGTCTTTTAAATGTTGGAGGAATGAGGGCGGTGTTTCTGAGATGACATGCAAGACTTTCATTCGGGTCTTCAGGTATTCCACAAAACGTTTGAGGAAGGCGACAAAGTGCTCTGCTCGACGTATGTTACCGGGGACGGCTTCTTGAAGAAGATCATCTGGGAGTGCTGGGTTTGCCATGAATGCATCTTCTTCTCTAGCTTCATCTGCGTCTCGGAGACCCTCTACCAGCTTGGCATACTCATTCTGGAGTTTCTCGGCGTCAGAAGACCGCATTTCTGTGATCTTGCGCTCGAGATTGTTGGCCCCTCGTGTTGCTTTCCGTAAAGAATCCTCCGTCAAATCGATGCTCAACGACTCGATGCAAACGTTGTCGATATTGTGAGCTTCGTCGAAAACCACGATGCAGTCCTTGGACAGCTCTTTAGATACCCGTTCTGCAATCTTAGGATCGAGCAAATAGTGATATGAGTAAATAATGACATTGCAGAAGGGCATCATCCTTCGCGCAGTGAAATAGGGACATTGCTTATGCTTCTCCCCGTACTTGAGTATGCCATCGAATGTGAAGACGCCATTAGGTACGAGATTGTGAGGTTCGAGGAGATCTAGGTTGTCATGATACACGCAGACGTCAACATCCTCACCCCTCTCCTTCTTTTCTTTCACAAAACCAGCAGTCAAGCTTCTGCATCGGGCGTCAACTATTGCACCGCTTTTCTCTTTCTTGACAGAAGGATGAAGACACAAATTCTTGCGACTGGTCAGTCCAAGCCCACGGAACTCTTCTTCCTCGCCGAGCTGGTCTGCTCGGTACTTCATCAGAGCCTTCAATTCTGCCAGGGCTTTCTCGATCTCTGACATGGTACGAGAGCAGTAGATTAGCTTTCGGTGTTCAGGATAGTACTGTTGATAGGCTACGATCAGGGAGAGAAGTGACACTGTCTTCCCTGTCCCAGAAGGCATCTCCAGAACACAATGACCTCCTGCATCAAGGGTGCGTTTGAGGTCGCACATATAGGCATACTGTTCTGGATATATCCTAGGATATGGGAAAAGAACAGGGAGATCTTCGATATTAAACTTCATCTTGACCCCTCGGAGGCCACAACGGGCCACGACAGATGAAGACAAAGTTACCAGAGATGACCTCGCCGTCTGCCAAATATTGCCACCTGCGACGGCCTTAAATACCATTACTTTCCCAGCGCGTTCGACGCAAAGGCGCTAAGATAAGATTAGTTACCGCTGCGACACGCTCACACGGAAAATCTTTTGTCCTCCAACGTCACTGTTTTACGCTGAAGTCTTGAACTTTCTCGCTTGGAAACCCATTCACACGGTGTCTACTCAAGTGCCATGGGAATTTGCAAACTTTTGTTCCTTTCCTTACTACTCAACGCTCCTCCTATCCCACGAATCTAAGCCACGGGCTCACATTACCGAAGCCATGAGTAAGAAGGCATTCAAATCGCAGGCTTCCAGCAGCCGGGTTGTCTCTGGAGCCTTTGGAGGAGATGGCGCAGTCTTTGGTAACAGTGCAGGCACTTCAGTCTTTGGAGCCGTCCCATCGTCACCATTGTCATACGTCTACGAGCCACCAGACTTGAGTGGATTTTCGGACCCAAACGTCGGAGTCGCCTTCAAAAATCTCCAGAAGAAAGATGGGACGACGAAAGCCAAGGCGCTGGAGGACTTACAAGCCTATGTCGCATCGCTTGGAGCGAAGCCGGGTGGAGTGGAGGAAGCTGTGCTAATGGCATGGGTGGGTCCCCCTCGAAGGGAATGCGCTTCAGATTTACAATATTTTGACGTTGCATAGGCTAAGATATATCCTCGCTCATCTATCGATTCCTCTCGTCGCGTACGCCAGCTTGCTCATACTTTGCAAGGGCAATTGGCAATCTCCTGCGGCAAACGAATGGCGAGACATATGCCTAAAGTCGCTTCTTCATGGGCAGCAGGTCAATTTGACAATGATAAATCCGTCAGCCGAGCTGCAAACGAATCTTTCAAACAAGTGTTCAGCTCGGAAGAAAAGATGAAAAATGTGTGGCGACTGTATCAGGTCTCGATACTAGAGTACGCAAGGGACGTAGTCGTGAAGGAGACTGCGAATACGTTGAGCGACGAGCGGACGACTAGCCCTGATGATTCTTCTGCCAAATACTCGAGAGTAGTTGGTGCATCTTTAATGATGGTGACGAATCTTATGGAGAGCATTTCCGAAGCTGACATTGAAAAAGGTCGAGCCCTTCTCAATGAGTTTTTGAATGAAGATAAACTTTGGCAATTCGCATGTCACGGTGATGCGTTTGTTCGTCGTGCCTTGTATCGGTTGCTGGGTACGGTTTTGGTAAGGTACAAGGACATCCTGAACCCGTCGACCATCTCTGCTAGTGTGCTCGTGTCAGGTCTCAATACTACTCAGTCTGGTTCAGCGTTTGACTATGCCAAAGTCCTTGCACTACTTTCTGTTGAAATACCAGATGTCTGGACGACATACTACCCGGGTTCAGGAAAGAAGTCAGCAGCAAATCGCTTATGCCATTTTCTCAGGAAAGGTTCACAAGGGGGACCTCCTGGTTTCTGGTCTCAAATTGCAGCGTTGCTTTTGAATCTCCCACTATCGATACTCTTAAGATCTGCGGATCCGGAGTCTAACCCAAAGGTTGTTGGCGAGAAGGACTCACCCACGCCGATTCTGAACGCTTTGCACGAAGGTCTCAATAGCAAAGACGAATCGCGTGCGAACAGATTCGCTGCTTGGAATGCATATCTGACTGCTTCTGACGTTGCTCTCTCTTCCTTTTCCGATGCAGCCACTCGGCGCCGGATCGTAACATCCTCGGTCCTGCCTATACCGGCTCAATATGTCAGACCATCATCTGACGATTCTCGATGGGCAGTCACAGGTGCACTAGGGCAAGAAGTGTGCGTCCGAGCCTGCAATCAGGCCATATTGCGAGACGCAGGTTCTTTTGAAGAAGAATGGAATGCGTTGTCCAGTAACATCGTTGAGGATTTCAAAACCTCTCTTCCAGAGCAGGCTAAAGATTATGTAAAGTCTCAAGATTCGGTCTCCGCTGAGGTAGACAGGTGGTATTCTCTGCAAGCCGCTTTATTAAAGGGAAAGGGGCAAGACATCACGGGTATAATTTTTAAACAGACAGTAGCATCAGAGATCATTTCCGCCGTTTCTGTCCTGCAAGCGAGGAATGGAAAGCCATACGGAGCGGCAGCCGCTTTGGAAAAATTGATACAGAAACTCCCCGAGATCGTGCTCAGCGATGAGGGGTGCAAGGCTGAGATTGTCACATTCGTAAACGACACCCTTCCAAATCTACTCCTTTCACCCTCTGCCAAGTACCTTGTCAGGATTTTGAACCATTTAGATGGTTCTTGTGATCTCAGTCGAAGCTATGATAAGTGTATGCAGATGCTAGCTGAAGCACCTGAATCGGCATCAAAGTCAATCGCTCTAGAGAGCTTTATCTCAAGCCCACGTCTTGCTACCATCGAATCCCTGTTCGGGATGGTAATTGCTAATTTAAGTCAAGCAATTAGAGACGATAATTCAATGAGTTGGAATATCGTAATGGCTGCGATAAGCAATCCAGTCGCTCCCAAATCACTTACAGACGAGATTCTCGCAAACATGACTGAGGGTCTGTTGGTCGGCCCGAAGAGTGTTACGAGTCTTCATGGCTTGGAGATGACAATCCAGCACATTTCGGGCAAACTGACAGAATTCGCACGGTCGCCCAAAGGCTCAAACCTCCTTTCCAAACTGCTTCTCCTGGCCGACTCGCCTGATGACGGGATTGCCCAGCGTGCTAGGTATACGAGCTCCACGATAGAAAAGGCATTGGCGACTCAAGGCGGCGCCGGTCAAGCCGCGAAGTCCTTGATCGAGATTGTCAACAAGGGTCTTGATACTGCTGAAGCAAGTTCTATATCGTATGTTGACCATTCTCGGAAAAACGTAATGGAGGCCCTAACAGAACAATAGGACCGATGCCCTTGTTGCTCAAGCACGGAAGGTGCTGGGGAGTGCTCCTTCCAGCGACATGCCAGCAATGGTCCAAGAGTTGTTGCCCAACGTCACGCAATGGAATGCTGCACTGGCGCCGTTCATCTCGCGCGTTCCAGATCCATCCCTAGCAATCACGAACGCATTCGGTGGCTCACTGTCCATGATCTCGCCCACTCCATCCGATTCAATCAAGCGAACGCTATCTCGAGATGGAGAAGGAAACTCTGCCGCGCTGCGTATGGCTCAATACACGACCCAAATCATCAAGAGTACGGGCATTTTTAACAGCGCTACACATGAGCAAAAGATCACTGTCTGCAAATACATGGCTCTTTTCCTACAATTTGCGAGCGATAACATCAGCGTACCCGGGTCAATGCCCCTTTGGGAGTCCGTCGACATAGACACTGAGCCCGAGATAGTCGACTTCGTCGCTGAAGCTCAGAGCTTGTTTGGAGGCTGGTTGCACAGCAAGGATTCGTCGACGTCAGAACTCATTGCCGAAGTGCAAAAGCAGCTCCTTCATGACTCTTGCGGCTTTATGACTTCGTCTTATTACAGCGGCAGAGCATATTCTGCTCTGACTGCAGAAGTCGCTGAGTTGCATAGTCTCTCGGCACACACCAATGATGCTGATTTGCTGAAAGGGTTTCGGAGATCGAATGATGCCTTCGTTGCAGCTGCGTATTTGACATCTGCTTCGGAATCGGAAGAGCTTTTCAGACTCTGCAATTACCTTCTGACTGATTTGACAGAGTACGATTTTCGTAAGAACCTAGCAGAAGGTATGTCAACCATCGTCAGGCCGCTGGGTGCTTATGGCTCACAGTAACAGGAATGCGCAAATTGTGCTTAGTTGGTTGCATTCTCTCGAGAGCGCAAGACTATGTCAACGACATACCACAACAACGTTTGGTCTTCTTTGTCCAACACTTGATTGGACAGCTCGAGACTAGCGTCTCATCGTTCACTGTTGCTGGAGGGCAAATAATGGTTGTTCTGTCGTTCATTCTTCCCGCGGTGAAGGAAATATATGGCCCTTTTTGGTCAGTAATTCTTGACGAGATACAAAAGGCTGGCATGGAAGCCGATCTTTACGCGCTTCACGCAAGCCTGAGACTTCTGAATTTATTACGACGACCGTATATGCTCGAGTCAAATGATGACTTACTTGACGCTTGGAGCGAGAAAAAGACGGCCATCGCACGATGCTTAGTGGATTTATTGTGGCAGCTCCAAGGTAAGTGTCCTGCCTTCTTTGTGTGAGTTAAAGCATCCTGCGCCTGCGATGGCTACAATTCTGCCGTTCGCAATGATCTGGATATCAATTCTGTGTAACTTTCACCGTTGCTGACCGTATGATCTCGCGGCAGGTTACCCAGATGACTCACATCAACCACGACGAATAGTCAACGAATTACTGAAAAGACTGCTGGTCGATTTGGCTCAAGACGTGAAAGTCGAGGTACAGGACCTTTGTCCTGTGATCGCTTCAGAGTCTGCAGCCCTTCAAGAGGCTGCATACGAGCTTTTGCATTCGAAAATACCTGCGAACCAGGAGCAAGTATCCGTGGACAAAGCCTTGTCGAATGATTTTGTCGCAAAATTACCAGAGGAGGTTGTGTCCTTGATCCTTGCACCGCCATCAATAGCGTCCATGGCCAAGCACAATTTCGAACGAAACATACCACCGTCGCTACGCAGCTACATTCTCAGCTGGCAGATTACCTTCGACCACTGGGAAAAGGCAAGCTACAAAGTACAAGCGGACTATGTTGCCGCACTCAAGGAAGGCACATACACGCAAGACTTGTTGGGCTTTATCTTTAACGTTCTCGTAAATGGGAGGCAAAAGCCTGTTGATGCCTCTAGATATGACTTTCAAACCTCCGGTCTGGGAGCCGACCAGACCCCAGAACAAGAGACCCACGGGGCCCTTATCCACCTCTACTATCTCTGTTTGCGGAGGCTACCCTCAATAACCAAAGACTGGTGGCGGGATAGTACCTCCCGCCAGCTCAGTATAGCCGTCGAGTCCTGGACGCAAAAATACATCTCCCCCCTCGTCATTGCCCAAGAACTCTCAGTCATCAGCGACTGGGCCCCCTCACAATCCACAGCCGACCAACCAATGACTGTCAAAGTCTCTCCCTCCGCTCGCGAAATTACCGCCTCAATCCCCATTGACGAACAAACCATGACCATTGCCATCCGCCTTCCCCCGGCCTACCCGCTCGCCCGCGCAGAAGTTGAGTCAGTCCATCGCGTCGGTGTCGCGGAGAAGAAATGGCGCTTCTGGATCATCAATGCCCAAGGTGTTATCAACTTCTCTTCTGGCGGCGCTGGCGAGGGGAATTCGATCATCGACGGCTTGATGGCGTGGAAAAAGAATGTGACGGCTGCTATGAAGGGGCAGACGGAGTGTGCCATTTGCTATAGTGTTGTTAGTGCGGATCGGCAGTTGCCGAGTAAAAAGTGCTCGACATGCAAGAACACATTCCATAGCAGCTGTCTGTTCAGGTGGTTCAAGAGCAGCAATTCGAGCAGCTGTCCGTTGTGTAGGAATAACTTCAATTATAGCTAGGAAATCTGTCTTTGCCATTGGTGGAGTATGGAACCTTCGAGCTGGCGAGAGTAGAAAAGCGTTCGGGGCTTTACGATTAAGAAGGCAAGACCCTCGTGGTCACAGACGTTGGTTTATGAAGCGTGCTAGTAGTCAATAGACAAGATTTGGTTACTAGCCTCTGACGACGCCCAGGAGCTAGACGCACTTCCCTGAGGTCTTTTTGAGGTATTTTCCCGTAGTCCATAATCATTCTTCTGTGCCATGACCGAGCTTGGTCACTGAAAGGGTATATTACTATTGTACAGAGCTGTCATAAACCTTTTTCCCCGTGATCCTGAACCTTCCCAGAGTCCGAAATGCCTGATTCCTGAGCGCCTCGCTTTTGCCCTTCCCTGTACTTCCCCCATTTCTCCATCGAGTACCTCCATGCGTTCCGAAAGCCCGAAGTAACAATTCCTTTGGTGCTCTGACTCCAGCTTGGCCATTTGATAATCTTTGTGATCGCCGCACTGACTTCTTTATTGAGCGTTACTTGTTCATCACCAGCTATCCTTTGCTCGAAAGGACCGCCTTGCTTCCGCTTGATCCTCGAAGGATCCTCGTCGTTGGCTTGATCCATCATCTTGTTGAACTCAAGCCGCGGAATCTGGTATTTGGACTGATACTGGAAATAGAGCTTCTCTCGGAAATTCTTAGGTAGGCGGCGAACCATATTTCCTCTTTTTGTAGGATCCATGTCCTGTACCAGCGTGGCGTCAGTGTCAGGATCATCGACCCATGCGGGCGAGCTGCAGCGCGAGTCTTGGAACGAGACATTAGGAAGGTTTTCGATCAGAGGAGCGTATAAGCGACGGAAGTTGGGCAGCTGGTGTTTGACAATATTCGAGACTTTGTTCAAGTTCTCCCCCCCTAAAGACATTCGAGGGTCACCGAGGTATGAGATCCCAGCGATCGTTTTGTAGAGGTCTAGTTCGGTGAATTTTGGCGGTAGGAGAAGAAGCGCAGTGCGAACGGCGGATATAAGATTGACCTGATTAGCCAGTCGGACACGTGGATCGTCACGGAGGATCTTGACAGGCTTTTGCAGGCGTCCTGCTAGGTAAAGAGTGTCCCATGTAGAGAGGTCGCGGCACAGCGTATCGAGATTGACGACACCGTATTTGATTAGGGTTCCATTGACGGTCACATAAGGATTGTAATAGACACCGGCCCCCCAATTATCTTGTACCCGGGAGACGAAAGCAGACCCCAGAGAGCCGACCGCTGAATAATGATCGCGATGTTCTTGCAGATTCATAGAATGCCAATGTTGAGTGTATGAAACGCCAAAGATAAAGTCTATCATCTTGCCGTTGCCTTTCTGCACCGTGGATATGGCTGGGCTCGGGTTTGGATGCGGCTTTGTAGGCCTCGACGAGCTCGAGGCAGTCTGAGGGAATACGCCAGAGCCGTAAGCAAAGGCATACCGAATTGGTGCTCGGAATTTCCACAAGATCTGCCGCAACGCTTCTTTGAATTCATCGTTGATCACGATATGTTGATTGACGCCAAAGTTATCGGACGGAAGGTCTTTGAAGGCCTGTACATTATAGTCGAGGTTCTCGTCCCAGTCTGGTGGCATGTCAATTGGTCGCGCTGACGATGTCTGTGAAGGGTTTGGGGTCGGTCCTGAGGAGGCTGGGGAGGTGCTGCTGCCTGAAGTTGGGGGTCTTTCGGACTTTGATGTAGACGTATCACTGCCTGTGCTGCCAGAAGCAGTAGAGGCGAGTCGTTGGTATTGATGCTGTGTACTCCGGGGCGTCCGATACTGCCATCCTACTCTTACCAGCCCGAGGCTGGAATTTGTCTGTCGCCTAAACCCATGGCACTGCTAAACAGTCATCGTTAGCATAGGCTCGGAGTCAGGAGAGTCGGGTAAGCGGGAAGAACGAGGACCTCACTGGTACTAAGGTTCTCTGCATTGTAAACAAGGACGAAAGTTCAAGTGCCAAAATGCTCTATTAGTGCTATCGCGGATGGCCAGAGATCTCTAATAACCTGGGGATGCTCGAGCACTCCATATGCGACGATACGGAGCACGGGTGAAGGATCCTTGACTGCTAGGAGCGTTCTGAATATTTAATGCCTGTTGAGCTGGCCTTGACATTAAAAGCTCGCTCGCTCGGCCTTTCTGCGGCTTTAGCAAGATCAGGTACTAGCGTAATTCAAGGCACGCTAATCAGACCGCGCGAGCCTCAACCGGCAAAACCAAAACAAACAACTTCACCACCAAACGTCGCAGCTTCTCCTTGGATCCTGAACTCCGTTTCGGTTGTGACAAAGAATCCCGCCAGCCGAGGAGTATAGAGCGACTTCGCGCTATGACAGTTGGAAGCACAATGGAGAGCTACGCGGCGCGACTAGCCTCCTTCAACACAGCACATCCGGCTACAAAAAAAAGAGCCTCAAATGCTAGTAGTGGAAAGACTCTGAAGTGGCCTCACAAGAATCCATCCCCTCCACAGGTGCGTTCTCGTTTCTAGAAACCGTCCATAGCTCAATGCTGACGGAAATCCAGCTTGCGCGCGCGGGCTTCTACTACCAGCCAACGTCCTCGTGTCCGGACAATACTACGTGCTACCTATGTAAAAGCAACCTAGACGGCTGGGAAGAGAACGACAATGCTGTTAATGAGCACCTGAAGCATTCCCCGAACTGCGGATGGGCGATTACGATCGCCACTGAACTCGAAATTGAAGATGGCGGCCAAAGCCAGGAGGATCCGATGTCTGAGATGATGCTGGACGCAAGGAGAATGACATTTGGCTCCAAATGGCCTCACGAAAATAAGAGAGGTTGGACATGTAAGACCCAGAAGGTATGTCCCGGACGCTATCACCACGGATTGTCTTCGCTCATTGAATATGCAGATGATTGAGGCCGGATGGTACTATTGCCCCACGTTGGAGAGCGAAGACTTCGTCAAGTGTTCGTATTGTAGTTTGAGCTTGGACGGATGGGAGCCGAAAGACAATCCCTAGTAAGACAGATCGTCTACTTTCGATTGTTGTACTCGTACTCATGTCAAATAGTGATGAACATCAGCGGCGGTCACCAGACTGCGTGTTCTTTGCTCCTTCGACTACAGCAAAACCCAAAGCCGGACGTTCCAAAAAAGGACGTGCTTCGAAAGCCTCCCGCATGTCTACACAGTCGAACTTCACCACTGTTTCTGAAGGTGTCTCAGTCGCAGATACCGATGCCCACGGTAATGATAGTATCATGTCTGTGGTCGAGCCAGCCAAGGCCGCGAAATCAGGGAAAGGGGCAAAGAAGGGGGCCAAAGCTAAAAAGCTAGCAGCCAAGTCAAAGAGACAAGCCAGTAAAGCAGTGGACGAAAATACACAGGTCGCTAGTAGTTTTCTGGAGCCAGAGGATGATAATTTCGAGGTAAAAGTCGAGATCGGTCCTACGCAGGGTAACCGGAACAAGAAAAGAAAAAGCGACGAGATAAGCACAACGAATGACGTGTCGAACCAGGCAGAGGCTAATACCCGGGAGGAGGATTCTCAAGACCAACCAAAAAAGCGGCGTGCAACAAGAACACGAGGAAGTATGGCGCAGACGCGCAGTGCACCTAGTCCTCCTCCACAGGAAGAGCACGACCATGATGCACAAATGACAGATGCTGAGGCTATTCCTCCACCAGTGCCACCTCGGGGTCAGAAGAAAGGGAAAAGCGGCGGCAAAAGAGGCTCCTCCAACGTACGCAAAGCCTCAACTGTATCGGCTGCGTCTAAGGCTTCTCTTCGAGCCACCATGCCTCCCGACGAGGAAATCGATGCAGCGTTGGAAGCAGAGCTAGACCGCCCCTTGACAGATGAAGAGGGCGACATTGAGCCACCTGCCATGGCAGCACCCAAGGGTCGGCGGCTGACAAGGACAAAACCTGGATCGAGGAAGGCGACCGCATCTGTTGCGTCAACCCGAAGAACGACTAGAGCAAGTACAGTCACAATGGATGACTCGACGATGCAAGGCATACATCCATCCTTGCCGGATCCTGTCGAAGAGGCTCGTGTGCCGACTACCGAGAAGAACGAACATGCGGGCTTAGCGCATGACAATTCAGAACATTCATTATCAGAAGACCATCAGAGGAAAGTAAGAACACGCAAATCGGAGCAACAAAACGGATACAACAAGGAGCCGAAGAAGTCGGAGGAGTCAATCGCCGCTGCTGGGGATAAGATGGACGAAGAAACGCCCGTAACAGAGCCTCAGCAGCCAAGAAGCAGACAAGCATCCAGAAAATTGTCAGCACGGAACACCCGAGTATCAGACATGCCTAGTCCTTTCGAAGCTATAGATCCGGGTTCCGATATCAACAGCTCCACTCTAGGCACGCAGACCGCTCAGGATGACTCGGGGCATGAGACTGATGCTAGCGTTGTGAAGCAAGCTTGCACCAAACGTGGTAGTAAGAAGCCTCCTGCGAAGAAGGTGAAAGGAGGTAAGAAGACTGCGTTGATGAGCCGAAATATCGAAGACCTCGTGCAGCCTATTGTAGTGAATGTATCGCCTGTAGAGCAAGGTACACACACAGGTCCGGTCGATCATGATACTGGCAGCGTGGGATCCGTCCCCGTGGATGTTGAGGAAGCAAAGAAGCAACGGAAACCATCGAGAGCGATCGCGAAATCGGGCAAGACCAAGAAGACTCTGCTGGAGCCTGAGGCCTTCGCGCCAGAAGGATCAGCAGCTCTGCTGATTGACCAGCCAAGTACAATGGCGGAGACCGAAGTCGCTCGCCCTTCACCGCAATCACTAGCAGAACATTCGACCCCAAGGCCAGCTCCCTCTCCTCAATCGTCCGATGCTGAAAATCAACCGCCGTCGTCTCGCTCATCCAAACTCCGCCCTCCACTTCTTATGCAATCTCCTTCAAAATCACAAATAAATCGTGTCCCACTAGCAGTCACCACGCCCGTCAACTCCCCCTCGAGAAACAACATCTCAATGCTACAGACCATTATCCCATGGACTGCGATTGAGATGGAACACATCTTCGAGGGTACGCCGACTACAGACAAGGAGAACAGCCCTTTTGCCTTTAAGGAAGCAGGCAAGAGAGTGAAAAGTCCATTCACAAGCCCGGAGAAGAAGTTGACAGTCGAGGAATGGATTCAATCTAATGCGCAGAGAGGAGAGGAAAAACTGCGTAACGAATGTGAGCGGCTAGTGGGGAAGTTTGAGGACCAGGGTATGCGAGCATTGAGAGTACTAGAGGGCATTGTGTGCGCTGAAAGACCGTGATGATCAATATCTTGACTAGTCTTTGTAAGGATGTTGGGTATATTGGGTGTATGTAATGCCAGCGTTTACAACCAGGGTCAGAGCTTCAATCGGGGTTCCTGTCGAATGGCATTTCCCCCGTCCTTTCGCCTCTCCAATCCTCGCACACTTATGAGCACCAAAAAGTCTCTTTGGGAACACGAGGTATGAACGGCAGTACCTCGCAAATATGGAATCAAACAAATTCGCACCACTTGAATTACAAAAGGGCAGCGGTCGACCACTTCGATTTCGATGCCACAGTTGGGATTGGAAAGTCTCGAAATCAACGGAAAATTGCGACAGTTCGGTGAGATTTCTCGGCTCTTCAACAGCAGAGGACATAATCATGCCGCCACTATGTGAATGGGGCTATCAAGTTACTTCTACTTATGAAATAAGTCCTTATTTACCCTCAGCCCTATATCAGCCCTATGATAAGTAGAAAAAAACGACTTCTGAGTTGCTCCTCTGGAGGAGCAACAACACTCCATAAGCTACTTATTTGTATTTATTACACGCTCTAGAGTAGCCTTCTCACATATAACACGCTATCATAGCCAAGCCTAATCCTATAGGGGTCATCTGAAATCTAAAAGTTCCTGCAAAATTTGAAATTGCTGATCGCGCGTTTGTCGCGGAAATCACAAATCCGCCGGATCAGCAAATCTGATTAGAATCCGCCCAAATTCTGCCGGTTCAACAAATCTAATTAGAATCCGCCCAATTCCGCCGGTTCAGCAACTGTCCCAACCTTTTCCGCCAGTTCTGCCAATTTAATAGCAATACGCACAAAAAAGAAAAGTTCTAATAATCGACGTTACGACGGTAAGATTCTACGACAACGAGTATCAACGCCAACTCAAATTTGACTACGGAATTAGACGATTCAATAAAATTAGTCGCGTGGGTGATACTCTGATATGGCGACAATGATGCGTATATTAATGATGATATATATTGATGCTATATATATATAGAATAGTACTTAGAGTGTATTAGGTACATTACGCAAAATTTTTGAAGTTGCTAAAAATTTTTGAAGTTGCTAAACTGATAGAACTGGCGGAAAGGATTAGGATAGTTGTTGAACCGGCGGAAAGGGTTGGATATAGGCAAAGTCTGCTAAATAGGCTAATTAGGGCCCCTTCGATAACCACATATTTTCAAAATATGACATTTGACTATTCGTTAGTAATTACCAGCCCTACATCTTCAATACGTGCATAGAAATATTATGAGCTTGGCGCCAGATAAATTTGACAATTGAGTTTCAGCCCTAAGGGTCAAATTTTGAAAATATTCAAATTATGAATCAACCCATAATTTAAGTCTAGAAAGGCGAGATCTAAATAAATAATCTAAAAATTAGAAATCTTAACGTAAGGGATGTGATACACATACACCCCTTTTATAATATAACCCCTTTTGATACATATACCCCCCCAAATCCGATTAGCTTCCGCGCGGCCGCTAGCCGCATAAGATATAAACCTCGCACATAGCTTCCTAGGGAATATTGCCGAGACTCTTAGTGATAGCAAGGCAAGCCTTCCCAGACCTCTCCTGATAAAGTCTAAAGATCAGACGGTTTCAAATCGTCGGATGGTGAGGTCTTTGGTTGTCCTTCTATGGCGACAGCTGATTGACTGGCTACCCTCTCTCGTTGCTACTAGAGATACGCCTATCGTACTCGAATATCCACTATCTATTGGCCACCTGGCCTTCCTACAGCTGAAAGGTACCAAATATGATCTCGTTACCCTGCATGTAGGCTGGCGTACCACATCCATCTCGCTGCCGCTCCTCCTGTCCGTCTCGTGTCCTACTTCGGCTTTGGGGTTTTACTTTTGCGGCTAGCGGCCGCGCGGAGCTAATCGTTTGGGGGTTTTGAAGGGGTTCTTCCTAACGTAATGCGTTTAATTTTACGCTTTTCGTCTAGTGAATAAGGATTATTTCTATTAATTTACTCTTTCGAATAGTATTAATCGATGGTTTTACTGTCTATTTGGGGTTCCGGTCCTTAAGAGATCAGTGTTACGGCGTTCGGGGTGTAATCTATATTCTCTTAGCTAATATCTTCCCCTATTTGAAAACCAAAGTTGAAATATGTGGGCATTTTTAAAATATATAGTTACCGAGGGGCCCTAAATCGTGCTTATAGTGCGGACCCGGCGGAAATCGTCGGAAGGACTTTTCGATTTGCAGATGGTCTACCAGAAGGCCTAAACGCGCCCTGCGACGCCTGCTCGCTTTTCTAACTTCCCCTCCCTCCTATAGAGGTCTTCGCTGGGTAAAGATGAAAGTCTAATAACTGCGCTGGGTATTGTCTTGCAATAACTTTGGAGGTTTTTTTGGCTGGTGTTGCACTCGCTAAAAGCTTGTCGGGGGTGTCTGCGCTTGACGGCCAGACCCCCTTTTAGATCTAAATACCTCCGCGGCCCCCGTGGGCCGTGGGCCGTGGCCTTCGCGGGCCCCGTGGGGCTGTCTTGCCCTGTTGGGCGTTCTGGCCTTTCTTCCGCTAGGCCCTTTCGATATAGTTAACACGGTATTCTACTACGAGACTATTTAAGAAGAAGAAGAAATGTTATTTTAGTCGATGTGGTGCTTTAAGAACTGTGCTTATTGTTTCTACTTATCTAATTAACTATGTGAATATTTCTCTAGAGCATCCCTCCAACAAGCAAACGCTGTGAGCGATCAGCTGCGCCATGGAGCTGAGAGTGAGAAGTGCGCCAAGACGCTTGTTCCTACTCAAACGATCTTTCGTGACAGTGGAAAAAGCCAATTTCGGCTCATATCGACGGCGAGCACTACCGGCGGTGTATACTCTGTACTTTACACCGGCGCGCTTGAAGAGCAGATAATGTTAGACTACTACTTGTTACTTGTCTGCTCTACAAGATCGGAGATAAAGGCAGAGCTTCTCTTGATTTTGAATTTTGTAACAAAGGCGTGTTTGCTGTGGAGTATGTATCTTAACAACTTTTGGCCATCAGGTTCGAATAAATTGCCACTTGATTCTATCTTGTTCAAGACCATAGATTTCCAAAATTCTTCCGCTTCATGGCGAGAGCCGACAACTTAGAAGTAAAGTACTATAAATCACGAGATCTGGCGTTAAGCGCGTCTAGAGGAACGTGGTCGTGAATGCAGGGAAGCGGCAGTGAAGCCTGAAGGAATTACTTAGAACAATTGAGGGCCTCTTCTGAAGCCAGCCACTGAGGCCCGAAACATGGTCAAATCCCCAGGATCAAAGGGTAGGCCTGCGTACTATCGCCGTTCCGCTAAGAATAACCCTCCAGTGTTCTTTCCGAATCTTCCTACCCTCACGAGCTGGCGGGACGGCGGGAAATGCCCCGAGACCATCACGACAGCAACAGAGTATGACGCTCGCGTTCAGAAAAAGCCCGCCGAGGTTGCCGAGGTCGGGGAGAAAATTGCTCAGGGACTCTATCAAAACGAAGACAGGACCACCACAAGGAAACCAGTCCCTGCTTCCACGCGTGATGTCCATGCACGGGATACGGCAGCTTCTAGCAGCAAAAGAAAGCTAGATAGGACCAGTCCAGAGTCTTCACCTATGGCGAAGAGGATACACAGCACCAGTGGTGCCGGGAAAGAAGGCCAGGAGAAGAGATCTCAACTGGAAAGTGCAGACGGATATAAGTATCTGAAGCAAAGTCAATTGCGAGAAGAGTGCCTGTCTCGTTCTCTACCAGCCGGGGGGGGCAATCAAGACCTTTCGAAACGCCTAAGGCTACACGATGCTGCTCGGGCGCAGATCTCTACTTCTCAGGAATCCGTGAACGAGCATGTTACTTCTTACACATCGTCCAGAGGGGAACCGTCAGACAGGTACACAGATATGTTGCAGAAAGATTTACGGAAAGCGTGCGTGAAACGCTCCCTCCCAGTCGGTTTGACGAAAAGGGACCTCAGACGCTGTCTCAGGGTGTATGACGCTGCGCGAGCGCTGGGACTTACTCCCGAAGAGTCTCTAGAGGCGCAGAGGGCTACTTTTCAAGAGCACGCTCGGAGCGTCAGTCCTGAAGGGTCTATAGAAGAGAACGCATTTGGCGCTGCTCCTAAAAAGGCTGTTGAAGTGCAACCGCTGGGCAAGACTTCTCGAGAGTCCATCGTGGATAACGGGCAGGGGCCCACGTCTCTGGAATTTTCAGAAGGTGATGCTTCCCCTCTTACAAATTCTCAGATGTCTTTAGGGGAAGATATTGCTTCCTCTTCTGCTACTACGAAGGACTCTACTCAGGACTCTACCCAAAACCGCGGCACTTTTGATATATGTCCTGGACCGGCAGCGACACTTAACTACGCCGCCATGGGCCAAACTGAATTAAGATCACTGTGTAGATCTCGCTCCCTTAGGCAGCGTGGTTTCAGTGCACCGCAGCTCCGCAAGGCCCTCAAAACTTACGACAGGAAATTGCCCGAACAGGCAAACAATGCAGAAGTCGATGTCGACGCTGAACATAAAACTGCGAAGCATGGGGACGCACCCCCTGCCTCTTCACCGCCTGCTGCGTTCATCGATCTTGACTCAAGCTCGCAGGATGGCGACATCTGTGAGCAGCAAACGCGGTCGGTGGTCACCAGCGCCAGAATCGCGCGTGAAGAGCCAGTGTCAGGCTTTCTGTGGACGGTCGACAAAGGTCGGCGCCCGCCGGTATCCACTGACGCTCAAGTAGAGGTTCGGCAAGGAGGGTCAGTGGAGCGGGCAAGCGCTGGGATACATTCCGAGAAGGATCCCTACAGTACTCCCTATTCGCCACGACTAGTCCAGAAATCCCCGAAAAGAATCGGCAATAAGTCAAGCCCCCAGGGGACGCTGTATACTAAATACCCGATGTCGCTACAACAGCCTCTTGTCTCGCTGGTCAACCTCACCATCAGGGATACCAAGAGTAGTGCCAGCGAAAGTGCTCATCAAGAGACTCAGATGAAGACAAAGCCACCATCGGAGCTTGCTCTCAAAATGGCAGAGAAAGAAGAATTCAACGCCAGATACGCCACTGAGCGCCCTTCTTGGATTTGCTGTTGTGAGACCCCTGGCTATGAAGCTAGACCAAAACAGCTCGCAGATTTCTCGGGCAATTGCTTTTACCACGTCTCCCAACTTGCCCAATGGGGGACTTTCACCATGAAAGAATATCAGGAATACCAAACTACTCAGCAAGCGCTGGATCGAATAGCATCGTGTCTCTGTCAAAAGCCTGCAGTTGATCATCCAGAACACCATGTGACCATGACCCAGGGAGGGTTCATTCTAGCCCAAATATGGCGAGAGCAGTTGACAAGACGCCAGTCGGTGACTACTTTTAGGCCTGATATGGCGGCGTACCGAAGAAAAGGAATATTAGAAGTGATGCACAACGTTCTTCAAGATTTCATGATCGAGCTCTCAAGTCGACAGCCAAAACGGCCCCTTGTATTGTGGGCTCGGGTGGAAGCTATGGCCTGGTTCATCAATACTCTTCCTACGAGTAACGAGTGGCATTATTTCCAAGACTGGAAAAGGCCTTGTCATTATATCATGTTATTTGGTATAGCGCTACTAACGACGATTGATGTGCTGCTACGACAAAACATCTTCAAGGACAAGGAGCCGAAAGTCCCTAACCTTGGCCTGGTACTCGCCTTGTTCATCCAATGTACCTGGACATCACCATCGTATACCATGAACTCATTTCACAATACAGATACGTATAAGTCACCTTTTAACAACAATATATGCGTAAACAACGAGAATGGATGGGCAGCCGAGGTTGTTAGTCTGGCGGACCAACATGGGGTTGGGATAAATGGAGTAAAGAACATTAATGACATCGTGGATCGATGGCGTCTGAGAAGGAAGGCCGTCGAGTTTGTTGAAGATCAGACTAGGAAGGGACAGTACGCCGTCCTGCACAGTGGGAAAACAATACCGCCCATCCAGGCAGCATTGGCGTCCATAGCAGACAAAGCAGCTGAGACTCCGGCCAAGAGGGGAACGGGACAGCGAACAACGGTACGTAAAGTTCGGATCTCAACCTGAGTCATGAGGGATGTAGTTGGAGGGGGCAGAGCATTGTCACCCTGTTATGCTCTTTGGACTTGCAGTGCGACTCAGCTTTGTTTCATGAAAGGAGCTTCGTCCCCCCTGTTTTAGCCGTGTCAACTTGTCTTACGACTTGAGTCGCACCGTCAATAGAATTCTCTTACCCGCTTAAAGTTCCTAGACCTGTCTTACACCCAATGCGTGTGTTAGAAAAGGTCCTTGTCTGGCTGTGTTTCCTAGACTTCCTTACGACCCGAATCAGTCTAATACAAATGGCATGCTAACTTTGATTTACTCAACAGTGGAGGCCCGAAGACGATTACGATGACAATGGCAGAAGGCTATGGAAGAATTGGTTCTATCTACGCGAATCTGAGATATACACAAAAGAATACGAGCTAAGTAATGAGTCAAGCTATCGAGCTCGCGGGTAAAGAGAACATGAACGCAATCGCAATGGTACTACCTAGAAGCCGGTTAGTCCACTTTGGTTAAGGACAGAGGTGTTGTGCTGCCCCTCTTTGTTCGCTTTGTCAGAGAGTGCATAGCATTTGTCCCATTGTCCCATTGTCCCCTCTATTCCATGTTCTTGTTATTGTCGATCTGTCCGGCCTCCTTCACATGCTATCTCTATCAAAATTCTCGTCCTTACTTCTTCTCATAGTCGCCCTCTTACAGGAGCTCTCGCCCAACTATGGATCCACAAATAACAACCTTCTTGCTCCTGCAGCTTCTAAAGACTTGGCATCCGGATGTCATAGCTCTTGCTGGGCTTACCCCAACTGATTTGTCAAAGACGCCAAAGCTGCAGACTCCACCGTTAATTGCGATTCTCGCGTGCTGGGCAGATGCCCCGGCCACAGCAAATGAGCCAGAGGGCAAGGAGCTTCCGTGCGGGCACAGAGTCGACGTATGCTGGATTTTGACTCGCTCTAATTTATTTGGCGACCTGGTTCGGGGACGAAGGCCCCGGTCTTTGGAATGTCCGCACTGTGATATTCAGTACACACTTCCAATGATCCCGGATCCTTCGGTGGTAGACGGTCTTCAGGCTCGGATAGACCTTATACAGTGGGTTTGGGCCCGCGGCAAGGATGCACCAAATAACGCCGACGTGAAAATGGTCAGGATACTTCGATATATTTTAGTCCACATCGGACACCTACCCCGGAACTTAGAGATGACCTCGAGCTTTTTACGGGTTGGGCCAAGCCAGCGGCGACTAAGGCAGACCCTTCGGCTCTTTGATCAAGTGGGTGTGGCCGGGGCGGTAGGAAAGATCTACGCAGGCCCAGGGCTGTTACGAGGCACAGAGCCTTTCTGCAAGTTTCACCCTTCAAAGGCACGGCTACCGGGTTATGCGCAACTCAAGTATCCTCCTCCTTCTCCAGGTCGATACTGCGACTGCAAGGAGCCACATTGGGCACGAGAACCCAGGGCATGGGCATCCACACCTGCGGAGGACGAAGAGGAGTGGGGGTTTGCAGTACCTCGGATCGAGAAGTTCGGAAAGATTGGAAAGTCCAGACAGAAAAAGATGGTGAGATTTGCGGCCCCTGTCATCACACACATTCAATACTTCGAGCCTTGGTGGTGCGATGAATATCGGGACAGCAACCGTTATTATTCGTCAGGATCGTGCAGGACATCCGTTGATCGTTCCACTAAACTGGATGATGACCGCGAGATTGCCAGGTTGAATGCTGAGGCATTTGCGGCTGAGCGACTCAAGATCAAACGACGTTTATGACGACAATGGAAGAAGGCGATGGAAAATATGGTTCGTTCTACAATAACTTGACAATGTAAGACTGCAAGGCGACTGGTCGTCCTAGCTTGCTGTTGACCTTGGGGTAACAAGACAATGAAGTCGATCAGGATGACTTTACCAGTAGACAAGGCAGTTCATTGTATTTAGGCATAAAGGGGTTGTATTACCATTGTCATCTTTGTCTCCTTTCCCAAAGAAAGTAACTACATTGTTTTATGACCGACTCTACTTCAACATGTCCTTCCTCTTAATATTTTCCTTCTTTACATCCCTCTAACAGCTTCTACTGTGACTACACTATCTTCGAAACGAAATGACTATGTCGATGAACGAATGGCGATGTTCTGGAGTCACATGCATGCTACTCCTACCTCAACTCGTGAAGATTTGGCTACCGGATTATAGTGAAACTGATCGGAGTCCTCTGAGCGAGCAGGCTCCAAGGTTGGGAGTCCCACCATTGATATCTTTCCTGGAGGGCTTGTCCGATGTTCTCACAACCAATGAAGTCAGGGGTAAAAGATTCCCATGTGGTCATGTCGTCAGCGTGCGTTCGATACTCTCGTGTTGTAACTTTTTTGGGGACGCAATTTGGACACCGGGGCCACATTTCTTGGGCTGCGCGTGGCCGGGTTGCGACGATACTCTGGAATTTCCGAAAATCCCAGATCCGCGAGTCCTAGACGGCCTCCAGACGCGATTGGATCTGATCCAGTGGTCTTGGAACAAAGACACCCCGACAGAGGTCGATATGAATACGGTGAGCCTACTTCGAGATATACTATCCAGAATAGGACACTTGAGTCAAGATCCAGAACCAGAGATGGACGCCAACCTATCGCGGAGTGATCCGAGCGAGCCCTCGCTAACGCGAACACTCGTCCACATGGAATTAGAGGCCTATGGCTTGATGATCCAAAATCGGGAAAAGAGCACAGAAATTGACTTACGGGGTAGTCAAGATTATTGCCGTTATCGAGCTGCTGTAGTGCCTACGGCGGGGCACTCTCTACTCCGGTACCCTATGTCGTCGCCAGGACAGTCCTGTGTGTGCGACACGCCTCACGAGTACGAACGAGAGGCCAGCAGCTGGGCTCGCACACCCGCGGAGACGGGATCGGATCTCAACGAGCCCAGGGACAGAAAGCTCAAGCAGCTTAAAACGGTACGCTTCGTTGCTCCAATTGTCACCGAGGTGCAGTATTTTGAGCCGTGGTGGTGCGACGAGTATCGAGACAGCGGCAGGTATTGGTCGACAGGTCCGCACAGGAAGTCGATCGATTATTCCACTCCCGGCGACGATGACTGGGAGGTTGAGAGACTGGAGCATCCTGACGGCTTGGCGGCTCAGATATCAAGTGAACTGGAACACGAGGAAAGCGCCTGCGGTACGAGTGTCGACGACGACGGGGTCCTGGACGACGGTATCTTGGATGAGATGGAGGGGGCAAACGAATCATGGGACGACGAGACCCTGGATGGGTTGGAGAGGGCAAACGAATCATGGGAGGACGACACCCTGGGCGACTTGGAGAAGCTTCACGAATCGTGGGAAGATCGATTCTGATTGTTTGTGCATGTAGGAGTATCCAGCGTTGCTAGTATCAAAAGCTATTATTATTGTAACAAGATAAGATGACGCAGCGCAATGCTCAATGCAGATCACCGAGTGAGATACAACCTGATCGCAAAAGACAGATTGGCAACGAAACTCATGACCAGTAGCCCAATCACCCCCATCGCCAATGACGCCTCGAACCTTCCTACCCTCTTCCTCCACAACCTCGCAACCGCCCTTCCCTTCCCCACACCCCTCCCACCCCGGCAAGTCGCTCCAATGACAACCTCACACCCTCCCTCTCCCGCACGACATTCCCCATGCGCGCGCCTGGTCTCCATGATCCTCCTCACCTGCCCACCGCCAGTGCTGCAAAACGCGGCGTCGGTCCTCATGACGCACTTTTCCTGCGGCCCTTCCAGATGCCGCGTCTTGCGCTCGAGCAGCCAGGCGACTTTGAGGCGGACGTTGGTGTCGACTAGATTGTAGAAGTGCGTGTGTGTGTGTTTGAGGGCGAGGGCGTCGGGGTAGGGGAGGTGGGGGAGGATGAGGAGTTGCAGCTCGAGGGGTAGGGTGAGGAGGGGTGGTTTTGCGGTAGCGGAGGCGCATTTGGAGCAGTGGGTGGTGGACATTTTTGGCAACTGTGTTTTGAGGCAATTGCATGGTTGTTTATGAGAGCTTAGATGGAAAGAGATGTGGAAGGAACGTCAATTGAATATTTCCGTGAAGCAAACGGATATACATGCCGTTTGGTTGCTGCCTGTACTAGTAGCGCTTAAACAAAAATGACACGTTGATGCGAAACGGCAAAATGAGGTCTTGATCTTTCATCCCACCAGGCACCAGACAAATGAAATTGGATTGACAGCATTCTAAAGGCTGGTAGTAGAGTATGTGCTGATGGTTCAGAGCCTTTAATACCTTACATTTGGAGACGCTCAAGAATCAAGGTCACGTTGGCATTATGTTGTCCAACCAGCGAGATATGTCAGATGCTGAATCGTGGGTCAATTAGATTGAGGTAGCGCGCTGATGCCAGCTAAGCTAACGCTCTCTGTGTGAGTTTTCATTCGTAGTTGCTGCTGCTTCTGCCAATGGTCAGTCCCGGCTTTCACGTGTATTGTAAATATCTCGAAAACAGTGAGTGGCCAGAGCGTCAAGCACCTCCCTCTCCTGCCTTCCTTGTCATAGTTGAACTGGATTCTCTCTTATCTAGGGTTGCGTCCCAGAACCTCTAGCTCAACATTGAGCCTTCAGTAATCATCATGTTTCGAACCCCATAAACTCACCAATTTCGAAACCGCCGATCGAACCGATACGTATCAACAGACAAGGAACTCTGACGGGCGGGAATACATGATCCATGCCGGTTTTGAGGAAATCGGGTTCGAAAGATTTAATATACTATAACCTATGTAAGGAGCACCTAATTGTCGAGGGCGACATCGAAGGCCACGGAGACACACCAGCGATAGCCCTGATTCCCTATGCGGAAGACGATTGCTGATATAAATAGCACTGAAAGCTGATTTGACAGGCATACAATGATGGGATCAGCCTTAACATGTGAAAGATGGATGAGATGCTCTGCACAAGCTTGTTCGTTCGACTTTTTGGATGTTAACGTTGGGTAGAAAGAAAGCCAACTCACAATTGGCGTAGTATGAGACTCTAGAGTACTTGTAGAGATGCGATGTTTTTCGCCTTGTATCCTGGCTCACCTGGTCATGTACAGTTGCCTTGAGTTAGAGACCACTCACGTGACTTATCTTGGCACCGTCGATCAAACTCCGCCCCGCAATCAGTCAAACATTCACCCCATTGGACCATCTAACTCAAGCCCGGAGCATATTGATATTTGCGGAGGGACTTTGCATGTGCATGAGGTTGACCATAGTAAGCAAGCTCATTTGATGGCATTTAATGTAGTGCTCTCTCCACCTAGCATAGAGTCAATTGAAGCAGAAAAACTCTTCCCTCCGCTGCCGTCACATCATCACTGCACTCTCCGCTCTGTTTGGCTCTCACCTTCAATCTCGAGCCCCGACAGTGCTAGGCTCGGTTCTCAGCTGCTAGACTGGCATTGTGAATGTACTAAAGCCAGGGTCAAGCATACCTGAGGATGTGGACCTATGGCCCGAAGCCCGAAAGCTCCAACGATCGGAGGGTAAGGCAGGGAACAAAGTTAAAGAAGCTGCTTCTGAGACTGCTGGAAGCGATTCACGGGATGACTTTGATTGCCATCAATGATCGAAGGGTTCCCTGTGGCTAGACGTGCTGGCACCAGGTCTAGTACCGTACGCGCAAGCCAATAGTGCAGTGCCGTCAGAAGGACTGCACTACGAAAGCCATAGATTTGCTCTTCGGTGATTTTCATTGTGTTGCCTGCTCTGCCACCCTATGCCGCAATCCGTTATTAGAAGATGAGGCACGTTCGATATAGAAGAGCATTCCGCGATGCGGGATCAAGAGCAGGCCAAGCCTTCGAGACTAAGACTCGTGGAAGTGAAATATTATCAAATCTTTGAAGCCGTGGATCCGGAGAGCTTTGTTCAGTGTTAGACTGTTACCCAAGGCCTAGTCCTGACCCTTTGAGCTGCTACTGCGCGAAAAGTATCAGTGGAACACATCGGTTTTTCTTTGGGTTTGTCTGTCGTTCACCTGCTTGGCATCAAGGGCGGGAGACACCGGGATCAGCAGACCTTGAGATGTGAAGCTGAGGCTTGGGTGACAGTCGACTCAAGGCCCATGGCCCCTATTCCTGAATACCAATCCTCCATTTGGACTGCTTGGGAAATATATTGGTAGGTGGTCCCTCCTCTACAGTAGCTGGAGTCACTGATTGCACCTTCTCTTGGGCGGAGACGTTAGCTAGCAGGCTAGCTGCCAGAAAAAGCGGCAGTTTTCAATGACTGCTCTTTAAATCTAACACGGTATATGCGGTTTCAGTCCAATGCTTCTGTTTTTATCACACGAAAGAAGCCCTTTCTTTTTATCACATGGAAAAAGCTCAGAAAGAAGTTCAAGCGAACAGAAAATCTGCGCCTCTCCTGCGGTAGTCTCACATATTTTGGGACTCGTACAGCTACAACTGCAACTTTTTTATTGACAGTAGGCCTGCTTACCTGTAGCGAACCCTGGGCTCAGGCTTAGGGATGTATCCAATGCATCTAACGAAGCTCGGCGCTGTGAGGCTTTGGTACTCTTGTCCTCACTCTTCTGGTTGGAACACCCTCATATGAAAGTAGGACTTGGGCAGGCTTCCAAAAGCCAGTCGCGCCATCCTTCCTCAAAAGTCCTCGATAGCTTATGTCGAATGGCAGCGAACTTCGTTCAAACTTGGTTCTGACTTGGAGATACGCAGTCTTCACCCCTTGGTCTTCCGTTTCCGCATGAGCAGTTTAGATATCCCAGCAGCAGAGAGATCAGCTGTGCCAACTCAACATTTGTCTCTGAGGATTAACATGTCCCTATTAATTGTATGATCGGCGCATAGGAGACTTCTTACTCAACAGGGCAGAACGAGCCTGTCTTGCTTGGCAGCCACCATATCACAGCTTCAAAACGCCTATAAGGAAGAGTCTACCTTTCACAGTGTAAACGGCGATACATTAAGCATCGGCAGTCTGAAGGGCGCTCCCAGCTTCAATTTCCTCCCGGAAGGTCTCTGGAATTACTTGAAACGCACGGTATGAAGGAAGTTTGGGGACTGTTCAGCTGCGTTTTGCTCGTGTATGTAAGCAATACCAATCATCAACTCTCTCTTCCCCTGGTGTAGGTAATAGTCGCATTCATTTTTGTATAGCTCTTCAGTATCAAAGGCTCTAGGCCTTTTGGTTGACATTAATTCATCTCCGCCATCCTGGATATTGATGAACTGGCTCATTGCTTGTACCCTGCAGTCGAACATTTACTGACCGCAGTGGAGCCCACACGCTCGCCTGCAGCAGACTCACCGGTCGAGATAGAATCGTTCTCCCGGCACTGGAAAGGGCATCTCTTGAGCTTGGAGCCCGGAGTCCTACACGATGGACAGTTCCCAAGATAGCAGCCAGAGATCTATTAGACCTCTAACACCATCGAGGCTATGACTCAGACTCTCGACGCAAGGATTGTCAGCGCCTGGACTCACAAAGGAGGAGATCAGAGCGGCAGCTTGCAGGAGGCCGAGAAAGAAACTGTAAGCATAAGAAACAACCTGTTGGCGCGACAAGCGCCGACTGCTCTTAACCGAGAGGCGGTAATGATCTCCGCCCACTCTTTCTCTTGCTGGATCAAGAAGATTCTGCACCATACTAGGCTTTTCTCCTCTCGTTGTGTTACATTTATGAAAGTCTAATACACCAAACACTTCAAATTCTATTTAACCACCCACTTCACCTTCTTCTTCACACAAGCAACTCTGACTCCAGCAACAAAGCATGGATTCGCTTGCAGACCTCTGGGCTCGCTCTGGCAAGAAGAATCAGCGTCTCTACCAAGGCGGTACAGGAGACATTGTCAAGGAGCTGGAGGCATGGGTTGGGCGTCGCAAGGCCCACAACAACGTGTACATGGACGTAACATGGAAGATGTTCGATGTCATGGATTCGCTTCAACAGCTTTCCAACCAGCCTAGTGGGGTTCAGGAAGAACATGTTCTCGGGATGGTGGCTACACAGATGGGCAACCTTGACCGCAGCCGGGTAAGTCATGTACCAATCGTTTGAAGCCTCGACCTCTAATTTAGACCCAGAACCTTGAGCAAGAAAAGGAGAGAGAGACGCTTCTAGCCGACTTCTTCCTCGCCTCTCTCCGAAATCGTGGTATCCGCTGGCCACAGATGCCTCGCACCGAAAAAACTCAAGCCGATGCGGACGTCTGTGCATTTCTGGGGACTGTGGATCAAGGTTTCAATCCTCAAATGGAGCTGGAGATCTTGGAGGACAGCACACGTATTACCCAGTGGCAAGCCGAGCTCAGAGAAAGAGACGCCATACGTGCACAGGAGATTGCCAACGATCCTATACCTGGAGTGAACACCCACCCCATTGGACTGGTCGGAGCTCGGTTCAGGCAAGAAGTTGGCAGAGACCCTACGATATCTACGAGACAAGCTCTTACCAATGCTGCGCATGGTATCATGATTCCAGACGCTGTGGACTTTGCTATGGGTGGCAGTTCTACGAACACAACCAGCACTCCTAGCGCCACCCGCGAAGCAACTCGCGCTACGGGCGAGAATGCCCCTACGACAGACTATGCGGCTGTCTACATTGCCGACATGCTTGGCAATATCAACATAGCTACGGATCCTTCATCCATTACCGTGGCCAATTTACCTGACAGTATGAATACTGCTGCGGCTTCTTCATCGAGCAATGCTCCTGCCGCCCCTGACATCACATATGTTGCTCTGGAGGCTTCGTCCAGCACTCCCGCCAACACCTCTGTCAATACAAACATCACTGCGGTTACCGAAACTGGTACCAACGATCAGACCCTGCCTGGAACGGATGGCCAAGACGAAGTCAGCAAGACAACAAAGGCTAAGAAGAAGAGAGAGGGTAGGAAGAGAGCCAAGGCTCGAGCAAAGGAGGCGGCAACGGAAGCAGGAGATTCCGTTGGCAATGATGATGATGACGACGGGGATGTTCCGGACCTCATGGATGATTGAGAGGGTACCGCGATTGTATATCATCCTCGTGGCCGTCCGGCAATGGCATCACCACCAGAAATGTTGCATGGTTGAGGAGGAAACTCGCTCTTAATAGCAAGAATTGCAGAGTCTATCCTAGGATATGTAGAGCCTGACGGTGTATCTTTGAATATGAAAAACCATGCACCTCACAAAGCTTACAAGATGTCGAACGCAGCAGTGATAGCGTACGATCACCGAACTTCACAACCATATCCCTAACCTTGATTTCAAATCTCTCTCCATCTGCTTAGTGACCTTAGACTTTTGTATTTAACTCGACAAGAAAAGTATTCTGTCTTGACGCCAGATATGGGTAGAGGATCTGTGCGACTACACTGGCATTACGCCGACAGAGGACATCAGGATCCTCCTACATGCTCGTTCATGGTGTATTCTTGGGGTTTAAGTTCTAAACGTGAATTGACTGGGGCCTTTTCCTATTTGGGAATGGCAACTCGTTACGAGCTGCTATTTACAAGGAGTGAGCCATGATGACGATGTTTTGGGGGCTCTAGTTCTGTCTCGAAACATCTTGAAGCCAATTCGACGTCTTTCATTGAAACAAGGTAAGCAGCCCATTGTCTAATCGTCTTACTGCCTCCCATCCCTCAACTTTCAGGAAATGCGAGTCCTCGGCTCTCTCTCAAAGACAATCATCATCACCCCACCTTCAACGTCATCATCCTTTCGTGCTTTCTCGCTGCTTACAAAACCATCATCCAGACTCTACCATCCCACAACAGACTTACAATCCAGCCATCAGATTCGAAGACTTTCATCCACACCGCTCTCCAATATGTCTTTCAGTAACGCCAAGGTGCCTGACGACAAGCCAGCCGATCCTTACAAGGCCACAAACCTCACAGATCCCGACCTCAAAGAGAAGGTCCAGGACCTCGTCAGCTTCATGGAGTCGTGCAAGTTCGGGATGATGACCACGCGGATTGAGAGCAGTGGTCTCCTCACATCCAGATGTATGGCATTGGCAGCCAAGGTAGGCCCATCACCTCCGGACCGTCTACAATGGCTACTCCGCTACCAACAACCTAAGCTAATCAGGTGCTCTCTCACAGGAAGGTGGCGGCGTCGACCTCCTCTTCCATACCAACACCGAGTCCGGCAAAACCGATGATCTCAAGTCCGAACCCAAGATCAACATCGCCTTTCTCAATCCCACTGGTGAATGGGCCTCTGTCTCCGGCGAAGCCGATATCGTCACTGACCGTGAAACGATACGCAAATACTACTCTCCTGCCTTGAAAGCGTGGCTAGGCGACTTGGAGGATGGCAAGCACGATGGAGGACCAGAAGACCCGAGGATTGGTGTCATCAAGGTGAAGGCTCTGACAGCAACCTATGCAATTGCTACCGGCACTTCGTTGGGGAGAGGTGCAGATATTGTCAAGGGGGCCATCACCGGTGCAGCGCCGAAGGTCAACAAGTTGAGGGAGATTAGTGAGGAGGAGTTGCAGCAATGTGAGTGATGCCCCAGCGTCTCATTCTGTTACCGCTACTTGCAGATTCCTTCCTCAGGGACCTTTTCTCTCGCTGCGGACCAGTCAGAATTTGCAGTCCAGCAAATCATACCATGCTAACCAACTGTGCGTAAGACAGGGCGCCGAGAGAACAGCTAGATAGCAAACTATGATCTTAATCTTGAACAACGTCTGATGAGCAGCATAAGAGGCAGAAAACAAGTAATCAAAACTCCGGTCGCTACATAGATAGTGTCCAATCGCAAACCGAGCTTGCCCGAAATGCCTTCAATTCCCATGAACCGCTATCTCATGTTGTGAGACAATGTTTCCGGTCAGATCTGCTGATTCGTTGCACGTGCATGGGGTTGGAATTCAGCACCTCAGCCCTATTGTGCTTATATACTACGCACACAAACTCCATAGAAAAACAACAAGGCGTTATTAACTTCAACACATGGCATCCTAGACACCAGTCGACCGTCTCAAACCTGTCCAGACGCTTCTATTAGCCTGTGGATAGGTAAAGAGTCAGAACAAATTGGGAAACGTATGCCACTCATTCACTTCTAGAATTTGCTAGTAGCTGCAGCTGCACTAGCGGTCTCTGAGTCCGAGACCTCACTTCCAGCCTACTTTAAGACTCAACAATAACCGCCATCACCCATCCTCATCATCCGATAAAAGATGCCTCTCCCTCATCTCCCCGTAAGAATGACCAACTACGTCAACTCCCTTACGCTCAGTGCCAGAGGCAATGGTCTCGTCGCCGGCGGCTCGCTACCGGCGCAAGCTTTGACCAAGCTCATGAGCCACGGCAAACGACTGATCGGATACCTCAAGCAGCCGCGTGAATCTGAGACCGAGTGATTGAATACGCACCGGCTGATGACTTGCCAGGCGTCCAGAAGCTGATCCTAGCTTACATCGCCAGCTTCTCCGTCGTCTTCGCGTTCCTAATGCTCCTTGGGTTTGGCCCTCTTGGAGTCGGAGCAGGTTCGTCTTTTCCCCTTTGCCTGGGTTTACAAATGCCGTTTGCGAGATGGATTCTGTCCTCTACGCCTCCTCACTGCAGACCCTCGCTAATGCATCCAAGGCTCTCTCGCTGCGGCCTTCCAGTCTGCGGTCTACGGAGGCTTTGTGCCGGCCGGAGGACTTTTCGCAACCTTGACGTCGATGGGGATGCTGGGGACTCTGGCGCCTCTGTTCCTGGGTGTTGCTGCCTTGTTTACCACGGCGGTTACGGTGATGGTGTGGGGGTTCCGCGTCAGGCGTTGGCGGAATATGAACAAGCAGCATAGGTAGCTCGTCGGCGAGCACGCTAATGGGCCACGATTTCCTACCGAGCACCCAACGTGTCTCAACCAAAGCATTTATTAACCAGACCAGTCTGAGGATCCTGAATGGATCTGGCCAGATCTTGTTGGCATCTTTAATCGGAAAGATCCCACGTCATGCGATCGAGGCGCGGAACATTCTCTCCACGCAAATAGCCCGGCTGTGCCTGTTTCAACCACGTTTCTGGCAATAGGCGACATTAGTTGCGCCCATGTGTTTATCTCTTCTTTTCACTGGATCCTTGCGTCAATTTTCCTGAACGTTACAGAGCTTGCCGCGTGCCTTCTGTCCTCTTACTCTCTACTGAAGAAGCAGTGAATTTCTTTATCTCACCCGTCCTCCTCCGTACCTGAAGACCAATCCTTCTTCATGTCTGAATTCTTTGTCCACTGCTTGAACCGTGGGATATCTCTAGGTAGCCAGCATGCCTCCCTTCTTCAAACTGTTCCACCAGCTCCCCATGCTGCTCGCCATTCTCAATCTACGATTTCTCCTAATCCACGCAACGCCGACATCCCACGCCTCACAACTCTCTTCTTTGTCCAATGACCTCTCTCCAAGGACTCAGCCACTCTACAGCGCAGCCCTCACCAGTCATCCCAAACGCGCCCAAGTCACCAAAGGTACCTTCTACCGCGGTCTGTGGTCCCTCGCCCTCACCACAGCCACCTTCCTCGCCCAAGGTCCATCCTCCTCCGTAGCCCCCGCAAGCGACGTTGAACTTTTCGCCCAGCAGATTCTAGACAAAGTCGCGACAAGTATCGCTACGGGTGCTACCGAGAAGACCGCTTTCGGTTGGGGCCTTGAAGGCATCTCGATTGCCTTTGCAAGCTGGATCGACCCCGTGACTAACGTTGCGCCTGGTGTGCCGGTACGTTATACTTTCCACGGCAATTCTTCCCCCTTCATGCTCTGTTATGAGTCATCAGGCATGTCTCAAGAGTTCTCTGCTCCGAAGACATGTCTCGCGACCCAGAATTCCACCCGAAAGAGCAATGCTGACTCCGAAATCATCAAGTGGGAGGTTGTTCAAGAATTCGTGACGAGGTTCGTCTTGTGGAGAGCGCAGCGGGGCACCGTATTGGCCTTCTCTGGCAACATCTGGGGGCCTGGTACGTACATTTCTGAGTGGTTCCTTCCCTTTCAGTACTAAAATCTGAGTTACGAGACATGTCTCCGGGGCACAACGCTCTTTCTAATGACCACTGCCCAGCCCTTTTTTGCGAGTCTGAGTTTTGCCTTTGAACAACAACGCTGACTCCGAAATGTGCGCAGGTGGGCAGTGCATCAAAATTGTGTTGGAGGTTGCGGGGACCACTGGGTTTGCGGAGGTTGCAAGCAACATTTTGGATAGCGCGAGTGAGATTCATGGGGGTGGTTGAGGAGGTGCCGTTGCCGTGAGAATTGCTAGTAAAGATCGCTAGCAGTGCTATCTTTTTCACTGCTGATGTTGCCAGTGCTGGTGTAAATCTTTCGCAGCATCGGTTGCCAAATTGCCTGCATTGTGGTCAAGTTGTTCAACAGTATGTTGAACGACTACTTCCATGATGTGTTGAACGATGTGGTGAATGCTATGTTGATCATGCTTTGAATGATGTGTTGAATGATGCTTTCAACAATGAATAAGATACTGGATGAGCACTCGTACATCCGTCACCCGCTGTATCTGCAGCGGTACAGTCCCTAGCGAAGGGCCAACATGAACAGAAAGCAACGTTTCTACTGTAACGTGTTTATTGTACATCAACAGACCGATTGTATGAGTCGATGCTCAGGACTAGAAAGGAAGGGAAAAGCTGGCTGTTTACCCGTAGGGATGCCATTAGGGGAAATTCCAGTTTGGGACGGCAACTGTTGTATCTGTTGTGCCGAACTAAAATATCATATCCAGGAAACTTACCGTTCATGGCCCAACGTCTCCTGTTTGTTATTGAACAGCGAGATGAAACTTTGCTGGTGCTGTGCCGACCCTTTGCCTGCTGGATAAAGTGCCAAGACACTTGGTCCTACCCACAAAGTCCTCCTTTTAAGGTGTCTGGATGGACGGCTCGCTCTCTCCCTATGCATCTTGAAGGATGGCAGCGCCACATATACCAAACCTCAACACACTACGTAATGCGCGAGGAACAAGTCGTGGCCGAGGCCGTGGTCAAGGATCGGGAGGCCCATCTATTACAAGCTATGAGGAGGACAAAATCGCCAAAGACAAGATCGTGCAGCAGACTGATCAGGACGCCAGTGTCTCCAGACTGAGCGCCGTTGAGGCTGGATACCTGGATGATCCATTTGCCAAGTACTTTGTGTCGGGAGAAGGGCAAAGGAGACTCCCAATCATCAACAGGGGTACCTACGTTCGTACTAAAGCCATCGACAACTTGGTGGACGAGTTCCTCTCCAAGAATCCGGCTCAAAGGAAGCAAATCATATCCCTTGGTGCTGGATCTGATACACGTTTCTTCCGCTTGATGAGTCGAAGACCTGTTCCCCACGGCAGAGGCATTCAAGAATGTCCAAATGTCATATACCATGAAATCGACTTCCAAGCGAATACAATTCAAAAGCTTCATCCCATCAGAAAGCTTAGTGAGCTTTGCAGTCATGTTGGGGCCCCTATGACCATTTCTCACAGCACGAACCCCTCAGAGGTTTACAATGACGATACTCTTCACGCAGACCAGTATCACGTTCATCCTGTTGATCTTCGAAACCTCGGCCCTTCTCGCCCCGCTCCCCGTTCTTTTGACTTCATTGATATTGCTCTACCCACTCTCATCATTTCAGAATGCTGTCTTTGCTACCTTCCTCCAGCTGCGGCAGATACTGTCGCGCTGTACTTCACACGGCATCTGTTTCCTGACAGCACGCCTGTTGGATTGATACTCTACGAGCCGATACACCCAAACGATCCCTTCGGTAAAACCATGGTCTCAAATCTAGCCGCGCGCGGCATCGTCTTACAGACGCTGAAAAGATATGGATCCTTGGAAGCGCAAGCAGCCAGAATGAAGTCATATGGACTGGAGGGTACTGGAGGGGCGAGCGTTAAGAACCTTTGGGACAAGGGCGTGGAAGGAAACGAGAAGGAGCGAGTGGCAGGCTTGGAGATGGTGGACGAGGTTGAGGAATGGGAGCTGCTGGCCGGACACTACTGCGTTGCTTGGGGCTGGAGGGGGGGCCCAGAGGATGGCGTATGGGATGGCTGGCAGAGTATGGCGGAACAATTGGGTGGGAATTGAAAGTTGGATCATGGAAGGGAAGGCCTGCAAAAGTTCTGGAATTGACTTGAACGAAATGATGAGATATGAGGAACGAATCCCTCTTGACTTAAGGCACAGAGGTCACGAGTCATGAATTTTGGTGCCACAAAAGGGTACCATGCCAGACTTTTGGTTTTTGGCTCAACACAAGCTAGACTCAATGCTTACGTAGGGTCTGAGCCCATGATTCGAAGTTTTTGCTCTATGTTGGGCGTTTCCTCCATGCTGGGTATCACACATGTTTCCTTTCGCACTTCGGAAAGCCAGACCGGCAGGCGGCAAACATGCAAACACTCAATCATCTCAACCCAGTCCTCACTTTCTCCCACGTAGACCATCCCACATTTCCTCGGCGTGACTGCATCTCTCCCACTTTCAGTTTCTCATCTCATCACTCCAGCTTGTCCAAATGTTCCAACCTCGTCAGCACAACCTGCTTGCTCGTCTCCTCAATCTCACCAGCCAGGAACACTTCATCTAGTATCGCGTAGACCTATCACACAATCCGTGTCAGCCATAGGCTCATCCCGCATCCGACCACCAAAAGAACCACGCCTACCTTGTAGAAGTTGAAGACCAAATCCAGCTCACACACGTTGCCAAAGAAACTATCCAGCACCTCGACGAAGAAATGTATTGCTTCCAGATACGCCAGCTCGTTGTCGTTGGCGTCCACGCAGACGCAGAAGAAGAGACCGGCGTAGCGCCGGTAGACTATCTTCAGAGAGCGGAATTCGACGAAGTTGGACTGATGCTTTTGGTCCCGAGGAGCGATGAGGCGGTGGACCTGTTGGTGTAGGGCGTGAGTAGAAGGGTGGATTGGGGTGGATGGTGGGCTGGACCGGGAGGGGGGATGGCATGGGAGGCACGTACCTCGCCCTTGAGCTTGATTTTCTCTTCATCCTGGGTCTTTGTTAGATATGACCGCGGGATTGGGGAGGAGGAGGAGGAGGATGAGGAGGAGGGACTCACGCTGTATGGAGCGTACCATTTCGCTAGACGGGTCTTGCCTCTGGTGGAAGTCAGCCCATACAACATCGCTACGAAGGCATTGGGTATAGAGCGTTAGGCGGTGGGACGCACTGCCGATTCTGGATCAGGATGAAAGACAGCACCATTTGTGCGATTGTAGGACTCTCACAGCTCGTACCATTTGAGGTCGTACGTGAGTTGATTTGGATGCCAAATATGGGCCGGATATAGCCGGAGGTAAGCCAAACTACTCTAGTAAATTTATGAATTGCAAATTAAATAAGAATGCTTGGCAAAACTGATTCAGCTCCGCCTCCGACTTTTTGTTAGCGTCATTTATAGAAAATTATAGAGAACGTACTTGCTACTTTTATACCAGTCACTATCGTCTACTACTTTAGTTAAATATTCGTAATACCGAAGCTAGTAGATATATAAGACGAGGTAATACTATTAATATTCTATCTATACATATTACTACTAACTACTTATCTTATATCGAAATTAAAAAAGACTATTATAGTAAGAAAGATATTAGAGGCTATTAAAGTTACTTCTACTATTATAAATAGTAATTATTTAATTCTATTTACTACCCGTTAGCTTTACGAATAATAGATAGTAAATAATTTTAAAGTAGTAAGTTCGAATCTACTACTTCACTTAATAGTTACTATTAAGTCTTATAAAATACGCTCTAAAGTAGTACTCTAAAGTAGTATTATATATATATATCGCGCTATCGTTAAGTTCTTTCTTCTATTAAGTTCTTTCTCTCTATCGCTATAGCTAGAAAGAGCTTTCTTATAAGATATCTTTAAAATAGATATAATAACGATAATGAGAAATAGCGATAATAATAATAGCTATAAGAAGAGATAGTAGCTTATAGTATATAGATATAGATATACGTATATATTAGTAGCAGCCCTTATGAAGGCTCTGCGACGTTCTTACGAAGACTCTATAGAGCTCTATTTAGATTTAAATAGAGATATCTAGCTATTAAATAGATATTCTCGAGATTAAGCTTTTTTAGCTAAGTTGCTAATAGTATAACATTTATACGAAGAAGATTTCTTCGTTATTAAGGCCCTATAAGATCCTATATATTAAAACGATTAATAGATATTTATAATTACGAATTAGATTTAAATAGTTACTATTTAATAGTAAGATACTATTAAGAAACTAGTAACTATTTATAAGATTAAAAGTAACTTTAATAGCTCTTAATATTCTTAACTAGCTAATTAATTACTATTTCTTTATAATAAGTATCTTAAAAAGCGTAATATTATTATTCTAAATAACGTTAATATTTACGTCGATTCTTATATTATTAAAGCTATATAGATTAAAGACTATCTCGTTAAGTATCTTCCTTTATACTTATCTAACTATAATTCTATTAAATTAATATTTAGCGTTCTTAAGGCGTAAATACGACGTTATTTTAAGACCTTTCGATACGTCTTTTAGAACGATTTTAAAGAATTTCTAAAGTATATAATCGATGTTAGTAACTGTAATAGATTTACGATAAAGTATTTTAAGTAGAGTACTATAGATTATATATTTAACGACGAAATTAAGATATTTAAATGAGATTTAAATTATTATTAGAAATAGCCTCTACGAAGACTCTACGATAGTTCTATAAAGCTCTATAGAGATTCTATAGATAGATATTTAGATTTAAATAGAGATATCTAGCTATTAAGCGTAGATACTCTCGAAATTAGCTTTTTTAGCTAAGTTGCTAATAATAGTATCTACGCTTTATTTTCGAGTTGATTATAGCCTATAGAATTTAGCTAATAACTATCTCGAAGCGATACTAGCTATAATCGAGGGTGATACGCTTAATTAATAAAATTTAAGAGTCGAGGGTTTAAGAACGCTTAAATCCCCTATTAAAAATTAGAATCTTTGTTTTTTAGAGGGTCGCTCGGGTAATAGTCACGCCGAAGGCGGGCTCTGAAGCCGAATATTTTCGGGCAGGACGCCCTATTTCAATGAGGACATTTCGGGTAGGACGCTTTATATAAATGAGATTTTCGGGCAGAACAGCTCTATTTCAATGAGGATATTTTCGGGTAGAACGCCTTAGGGCAAAAAGCCTAAGCAGACGCCCGGGAAAGAAACCCCGAGGCCGGCCAAAATAGGCCTGAAATTGTATGCGCTAAGGCGGGGTTACAGGCTCGGAATATAGCCCTATTTCCACATTGTACCGGTGCGAAGGCGGGCTAAAGGTCTTTCACTTGGTAGCCCCGTAGGTAGAAACCCCAGTGGCAATTTCAAGTCCCGCAAATGAGCGGGTATTTAGACGTCTTCGGGGGAGTAAACCCCGGAGTATAGGGTATGTTGTCCTTAAGATCGTGGATCTTTCGGGGAGTGATTCCCCGGAACGTCGCGATTTTTGTATCATCTTCGGAGCTCGAGGACGAGCTTTCTAGAGGGGGAGGCATTGTTAGGAATAGTCTCTACGGAGGCCCTGCGACAGCCTTACGGGGCCCTATAGAGGCTCTATAGGTAGGTATTTAGGTCTAAATAGAGATATCTAACTGTTAAGCGCAGACACCCTCGAAACTAGCTTTTTTAGCTGAGTTGCTAATAAGTATTTAATTATAGAGATAATAGAGTAGTTATAATAAAATACTACGTAATATTAATTAAAATCCTTTATCTTCTCTATAATCTTCTTCCACAGTCCCCGTCAAAAGTCATTATCCCCCGAGGTTTACCCGGCTACTGCTGGCTTCCCACGATTATTATATACATTTCTATGGAGAATTTACCACAAATCCGACTTAATTAATTTAGAAGAGTTACCCTCTCGTAGTATTCGATATCGTTATAGTATCTCCGCAATTCTAGCCTTAATTTCCTCGAGAGTAATACGATTCCACTTCTCCGCTCCTGGACCACCGTGCGAAGCTCCTATTGTGTGTACTAGTGTCCACTATCGCGGATATCGACGGCTTCGAAGAACTTGGCTTTCTTACGCGTAGTAGCTTTATAACGATATAAACTGCGTGTAGAGGTGTAAGAGAGTATACTATACTTCATTAGTCACTATTTAGAAGTATCTATAGTAGTATTTTGGTGGGAAGCCAGCAGTGGCCGGGTAAACCTCGGGGGATGATGACTTTTGACGGGGACTTGTTCTTAATCTAATTGTTTTAGAGTATAAGCATGTTGGTAAGTTGAAGTAGGCTGATATAAGAGTGGTAAGTACGTTCTCTATAATTTTCTATGAATGGCGCTAATAAAAAGTCGGAGGCGGAGCTGAATCAGCTTTGTCAAGCATTCTTATTTAATTTGCAATTCATAAATACTTTGGGAGGACCATCTCAGCCAGTACTTCCAATAATCCACCGCTTAAGGACAGGAACATTGTGTGTACACGCTGTCGCTGTTGGCGTCCAACCCTTGACTTCGATGTAGGGGATAACAAGATACTTCATGAGGTAGTTGAAATGGTACAAATTCTCGAAACTATGACGAGAGCTGCGTCAACGAGGAGGTAACTTTGCGATGTCTAATGATCTTGCCGGAGTGGTCCTGATCAGCTTCCTGGTTCCACGAGAAGGATCCCGCATACCTTGCAAAGAAGACACAAATTCCACGGTATCAAGCTTCCAGCTTTTCCGGGCGTCGATCTATCTTTCCGTTTGCTATAATCTCGCCAGCCATCATCCACAACTTAGGCTTCAGATTTTGGTCTATGAGACGTCTGTGATAGAGACTCCTTGCGTGAGCAAGGGTCGCAACCCTTTCTAGGAAGATTCTGACGGCTTTATTTTGCTCGAGGGTCCTCTGTTTCCGCAAGATGTCGAAGCCGAGTGGGACCATGATCTTGATATGATGTCGAAGCCGACTCTAATGGTCCCTACCTAGATCCAAACACTCAGATAACATTGTTGACCGCTCTGCTGCCAATTGTGTTCGTCCAGATCTACCTCTTGTTCAGTACAGCAGATTAGACGGAGACAAATTAGTGCAGCAGTTAACAACCGGAAAACCCTTTGAGCCTTTCCGGGGATTCGTGCAATGTCTCGAAATCTGTCGCATTAAGGACAGTCTTCGGGCACCTTCGCTATTGGGTGAGTCAGCAGGTGTCGATGGAGCATTTGAATGGCTGGAAAGCCTGATACGGACCTCAGGCGATAGCCAAACCGAAATTGACCTGGTAGATCGAAGTTGGGACCGTGCGAAGATAAAGATGGTAAAGATTGTTTAGATACGGACAGGAGAGCCAGAATTTGGATCGTGTCTTGGACTGCGTCCGCCGTGAAAGACAACCTGTTGACAATGGACCGTACTCCACTTCGTAAAATCGAATGGCGTTGTTTCCCACAATACTATCACACCAAGGCTGCCCACCACGGCCCCGGTCACCCCCCTTTCTTTCCCTCTCTTGCCTTCTCCTCCAGCTCATGTCTCTCCCAACAAAATCCCTCCACCCTCCTCGCGTCCCTCCTCAGCTCCCACCCTGGCACACCAACCAGCGCCACCACCAACACCGACCCTAACATCAACATCGCCATCAACCACGCAGCCATTATTCCATAGGCCAGTTCAAGTCTCCACTCCCCAAACGTGTACGGCGGCAAGCTGTTGCATGATGCAGGCACGACGTACATGCCCCACAGGTAGGGCACATCCCACATTAACACAACTCCGGAGAGCAGATACGTGAGTTGACCACACGATTGGAAAGGGGGGGGGGGGGGGGGTGGGTGAAACGCTCCCTGTCATTCATCTCGAAGGCCACATGCTTCAGATCTTGCCGTAAATCCGGCTTGTAATAAAGAGTCAGACCTTCCAACCAGTCTGCGGCATCGGATTGAGGCATCGGCCCGATGACGCTTTGCTGGAGGTACGGGAAGATAGCAGCCCGTTCTTCAGGTGTGGCTGCCATGATTCTCAATACTATCCTTCAGATTGGTCTGAACGCCAGAGTGTTCAAATTGCGGAGAATACGCAGTTTTTCTCGCCTTGCTCATCGGGATGGGAGTACACGTAATATACGGAATGTGTCCTGGGGTCATTGCCAATGTAAAGCGGCGGATAGACTGGGTCGGCACTAACCTCCACTCTTATCTCACCCCACATCTCACCGTAAGAGATGAAAAGGAAGGTCGAGAGTGAGATGAGATCATCAGAGGCTGCGGTCTCGATAACGCTGAAGCCTCTTCGTTGTAAGAATTTGATGTCAAGGGCGTTGAAGACTGGGTCTTGCAGGTAGATGTTTTCGACGGTGGGTTTGGTTTCCAGCCATTGATTCGTACCTTGCCAAGGGATTTTGACGGCTATGTCTGGACGCACTCAGCAGTTCGACCCAGCTCTCAAAAGTAACGGGCTGAGATGAAGAGTCGTTGTGGGTTTTGTAGCATGGAGATGTTGCGTCCGCAGAGAAACTACCAAGATACAGACACATGCAGGAGTTGATCTTGAGACTCTCTTGCTTCAACAATGCATGGGTGAAGAGTACAGAATAGTTCTTGGTAGGCAGCCGATGCTGTCCAAGTTTTCGTGAACAGTTCATGTTTCGTCAATAGAGTCTGACTGGTAATGCCTGATCTTGGAGGACATTTCGAGCGTGCCGGCCGTTTCGGCATTGCTAAGCCCAAAAATCGCTCTGCGGCAATAGAAGTGGACGGCTTATGCGGTCAAGTCACTGCTAGAACTGTGTGCTAACGGGTTGTTCGTATGGGTATGTGGTCCGAAGAGAGTGGGGTCGATGTTGACGGCTTGTGTCACCGCGAGGTAGGAAATCTGAAGAAGGAACCCTCAATTTCCTGGTTTTATGAGAGCGCGATGGTGGATTTCCAGTTTCACTATCATGTCTTTCGATTTCGGCAGACCTAGTTCAAGTTCGCAAGGGACTGTAGGTTAAGGGTTCTTCAACTCCACTTTGTCATAAATAAATACATCATTTCGAGCACCGACACCAGCGACGAGTTTAGCACCCTTTTCTCAATCCTACATGTCATATGTACCTCGTAAGCTCCACATAGCAGCAGTATGTATCCACGCCAGCAAAAAAAATCGGCTGCTAATATGGAACAGGCGTCAGGTATTGTTGCATGTCCGGAGAGCCTGGTGACATTATACTGCCCAAGGAGACCTCAAACCCACCATCATTCTCCTACGAGGGGCACCAATGCCGCACGGCTTTGACCATTTCACGCCATGGAAATCATTTTCAGCGGATGGAATCCTCAATGGCGAGCCCAATTTCGTGCCATCCAAGCCGATCTCGGCGGCGGTCTCAAAAAGAACCGAGTCTCATATCTCACGATTGAGCACGTGGGGAGCACGTCAATAGCCCATCTTGTCGCGAAGCCGATGCTTGATATTCTTATCGTTGTCGCCGACGCAGACTTCAATGACAGTCATCGAGAGAGGCTCAAGGAAGTGTTGTGTTTCAGCTGGGATTTGCATCACGGAGGCTATTCGTACAAAGGCGAATCTAGCATCAAAGGCCGATGGAACTTCATGCTTCAAGGCGTGATACCCGAGCGGAAAATCGCAGTCGTGGCGGAGAACAGCATCTATCGGAGGAGCTGCTTGGCAGTCAGAGATACGTTGAAGACACACTAGGAATTGCGTGAGCAATATGGTCAGGTCAAGCAGCTCCTAGCGCGGACATAGAATCAGCGCATCATGCAATATTCTATGGCTAAGAATGAAATCGTAAGGAAGGTCCTGAAAAAGGCCGGATGGACTCACGCAGAGGTTGATGAGAAAGAAGGCAGGGAGAAGAAAGGGTATCCTGAGATTTAAAGGCCCCAGACGGGAGGAAGCATGCGTTCGACTCGGCAGAGGAAAGGGGGAAGACAGCGACAGCGAGCTTCTAAGGTCTACTATATCAGGGTCATGATATTCAACAGAAATTCCACCCTTATTTTTCCCTTCGGAACGTCTTCGGGGTGCATAGTCGAGCGCAACTCAGCTTGACGTATCAAGCAAGGAATCGAACTCAGGCCTTAAGTTCAGGGTCATAATCATGTTGTGTCAGACGACCTGGAAATGAATCAACATAAGCTTCCATCTCGGGAATTGGGAAACAGTGAAAGTCTGCTGTCCCGGAAACACATTCTCGGACAATTTCAAATTTGCCTAGTCTATTCGAGCCTCAGTGTTGGAGGTTCGACAGGCAGAAACGCGTCCAAGTGTGTATGATCTCCCTTGATAAGCACCAGCCTGGCATGAAGCTTCTCTTTGATCCATATCAACCTTGGCGGCGGACATCGCGTTCGTCATTCTTCAATACATCTCTCGTCAACCAGAAAACCAGGTCGAGATTCTCAACCGGTCAGTGCTGAACACCGCCATCCTTGAACTATGTATTTTCCTTTCGACCGATCTTCTCGTATACAGTGCATCAAATGAAGTGTTAAGCATCGTAATTCTGTTTAACACAGTCCTCTTCGCACGTTGGGACAGATCAAGGTTCTTCAACATCGCAAATTTTGAGAGTCGTGTTAACACTTACTTCAGATTCACGGTCAAATCGTTTCTTCAACACAGATAGATCCCAAACACAAATCAAGATGGAGGTTCCGAGCTCTACAGAGCCTAGACTCCGTGTTCTTCTTCAACAGTCTTCCCCGGGTTGAAGGCAACCAGCGGGAGACTGCAAGATTTGGTCGTGACTTTGACCTTTCTTCAACACATTTCCCCTCAACATCCTCGAAATGCTAATCCGAATCGAGGCTCTTGACGGGATGTCCAGAACCGCTGGACGAGGACCAGAAAGCCATTGAACAATCAGGAGCATTCAAACATTGAGAGGCAGGCAAGCTGTCGAAAATAGCGGCGGTCTGGGGCGTTACACCCCTCATTCTTGCAACAATTTCCTAGAAATAGCGTTGTCCTCAGAAACATCTTCGATGATGCTGTTTTAGTCGCATTTCTGTGGGTTTGTACCTCTTTCAACCGTCAGCCCCTTCCGATATAACGTCATCCCACAACCCCCTCCGCAAAGGCAAAGTCCGGATTTATGCCCTAAACCCCGAGTCCTCGCAACCTCAATTGGCGGGCCTCAGAATCTTGACTTACCTATTGTTTACCATTCCCGTGAATCGATCATGCCATACCTGACCATTCCCCACGGCCGAATCTTCTACACCGACTTCCAACCCCACGACCTCCCTCCCCGCGCGACGCTCATCTTCCACCACGGCCTCGGTTCCACCCATGCCTTCTACCGGTCTATCACCCCCGCCCTCACCTCCCCCCCGCACAATTTCCGCTGCATAACCTACGATACCATCTCGAGCGGGCTCTCCGATCTTGCTTCCGAGCCTCAATCAATGCAAGGGTTGGCACAGGATGCGATCGAAGTCCTGGATGAGCTGGGCGTGAAAGAGAAGGCGATCTTTGTGGGACATAGCATGGGTGGTGTCGTGGCGTCGGAGATAGCTGCTACCAAAGGGGATAGGATAAAAGGGTCGGTCATGTTGGGGCCTCCGTTGCCCAGTCCCACTGTTGAAAAGACGTTTGAGGGACGGGTAAAGGCGGTAGAAGAAGGTGGGTTACACTTTGCGGAAGTGCGTTCGTGGATCTGAAACAGGGCATGTGAAACTGAATTGGCAATGGACAGGGGGAATGGAAGCAATGGCAGACACCATCCCTACTGGTGCCACTGGCTCCAAATCAACGCCTCTGCAGCACGCTTTCATCCGAACGCTGCTACTGAGCCAGAGACCGGAAGGGTATTGCTCGATGTGCAAGGCTCTAGGAGGCGCGTCGCCGCCCGACTATGCTGCCATTAAGATGCCGACGTTGATGGTCGCGGGGGAGGAGGATAAGAGCGCTCCTTTGGCTGGGTGTGAGGAGATATTTAAGAGGACTGGAGGTGAGAAGAGCATGGAGGTTGTCAAAGGGATGGGTCATTGGTTTTGCATTGAGGACCCCGAGTCGATTGCGAAGCTGATTGGAGCATTTGTTGAGAAAGTGATACAGGGAAATTGAGCCAGTAGCAGTCATATAGGACGAGATTAAATTGGATTGCAGGAACGCTTTATGGTATCCATGAAGGTTCTGGAATCATGCCTAAGCGTGGGCAAATTGGCTGCTGTACCTCCCACCCGGACCTACCTCCCACCCTGTCCTGTTGTCAACAATCACTGGTCTATGGCGGTGATGGTGAGATCGATGCCCACTGCGGTCAGGGCTGCGGCTTCGGCGTCGATGGGAATGAGGTGAGGAGTCATCTTTGCTCCCGTGATGACGCCGTGTGGGCTCGTCCGGTTTCGCACCATCATCAAGTCTAAATCCCTCTACATCATCGGCTTCTCGTCTCCTCCTTCTTCTCTCCCGCCGTCTTTCTGCCTCCTCAAGCTCCCTAATCTCGCGACCCTTTTCCTCTGTCCATTTCTTCCTCTCGCGCTCTACTTCCCGCACTCCGGCTACCCCTTTCTGAATCGCAGACAAAGGATCGTCAGCTACAGTCCTAATCTTCTCCCTTTCTTTCCTTCTGGGATCTTCATTGCCCCATACATCTTTTGAAGGCGCTTCTACTTCTCCACGTTCATCCCCAACCGCGTTGATTTTATGGTACCAAGGCTTTTGACCTATAGCCTGCTTAAAGCCAGCCGCATTTGAGAACCGCATAGTGTATTGATCCTCAAACTCCTTCTGCTTCTTCGCCTTCTCGGCCTCAACTTCTGCATTCTTGGGTGCGTTGTGCCTTGTTCCATCCACAGGAAACAGGTTGATGTGACCTTTCACGTCCGTAATTGGGGCATCACTGCTCTTTTTGGTTTTCATTTGCATCTCGGCCTTCGCTGGTACGAGAGCGTTATTCTCCTGAGCGAATCGTATGTCTCGGTCGGTGTCATCTTCCCCAGCAATTCTTTTTCTTTTCCTCTCCCGATCGGGCCTATTCTCTCTACTTCGCTCATTTCGTTCTTCTTCAATTGGAGCTCTGGGTGCTTCGAAGGGTAGACCGCGGAGTATCTGTATGCGTCGTTCGGCATCGACTTCCTGCATACGCTGTTCCTCGCCCTCCTCCCGGGCAGCAGCTGCAGCCTCGTCGCGCTTGACCTTGGCAATGTTGTCGGCATTGTAGACGTTCCATGACTTCTTTCCAAGCAGGTGTCTAAAGTGATGTAAGCATTGATTTCAGGGCCGGAAGAAGAGACAGAGACTTACAGAGGCATGGTAGGCTTTATGGAAAGCGAAAAGCAAGTCCAATATTCGAAAGACGAGTAAGGGTCTACCTTAGTTAGTGTTGAAGGTTTTGGTACCAAGGTCGTTATTAATGGTATTGAGTAAGGTAGCTATGAGTGCGTTATTTACGTAGCGGGGTACTAAGACCGGTAACGTGCCTTGGAAATTGATAGTCATTCAGGGAAGGTGGGCCGGTAAAGCTAATCCAATTACCTTAGCGAAATGTAATACTGGACTCGAAAAAGACCAAATTCCTATCTTCATTCCTTTCACATGGTCTTTTCCATGTATTCATGAACTTTCACTCTTGGAGTCTATTTTCCTTTCCGGAGGCAGCTTGAGGAACGCTTGCCAATTACCGAAGCCGCAGCTGGCCTGCTGAAATCGTATCCTGATTGCTTGCTTGAGTTTGATGCCTGAACAAGGAGGCTCCTTTCACAAGCTTGTGTGCTGAAAAGCCTTGATTTGTGTCTTGCGTTTGAATACTCTATGCTGATTGGGGTTGAGTAGTCGCTAGAATGGCTGAAAAGTCAGGGGCGAAGTACCGGCAGGAAATTCAACAGGTAGGGCTATATCCTTTGCCCTTTAGATGAATGAGACATTTCTTTGCCTACAAGAACACATCTGATGCATCCTGATTCGGTGGAGTGCGGCCATTGAAAAAAGCTGCATACAAGTAAAATCCTACCAGGAAGAAGTCTATGTCTCGTGTGATTTGAACGGCAAAGACGTTGTCCCAATGCCGTAGATTTGTTACGAATGCGTGAGGTTACGGTCAGTGTACTTGCTGTCAGAGAGACAGTAACCATTATGTCGAAGAAGCGGCTCTGTTTACAGTCGGACCTGTGTTGTCACTTTTGCCTCAACACTTCCATCCTTCTTAGCAGCCAGGTCTGATTTCACCCGGAATTACCAGCCATCAGGCACTATGTCTCTATTGAATAAAACATTTGTTCCACTTCCAGGGGAAGAGATAGCTGAAGGCTACAAGCGCATTGTGCTGATACCTGCTCTCGAACAGATGATGTTCGTGGCCGGCGAAACGGGAGAGCCATCAAGCGAGACAACAACACTCATCGAACAGATCGTCCACGAACAAGTCATAGAAATGGTCAGCCTCTCGATCAGTGTGTGCTTGCGAAGCTAATGTCAAAGTAGCTCAAAAGATCCACAGCTCTTGCTACTCGACGAGGCTCCCGCGCAATCACCACCGCTGATCTCTTTTTCCTGATCCGCCACGACAAAGCAAAGACTTCTCGTCTGAAGACATTTCTTTCCTGGAAAGATGTTCGAAAGAGTGCCAGAGAGTCTGACGACAAAGGAGGCGATGCCGCGGATGCTGCAGTAGGGGATGATGCTCTCGGCGGCGTTGATGTCGCTGGTGGACCCTCGGTGCCTGTCAGCGAACTATCCAAAAGAAGCAAGAAGAAGGTTAAGCTTCCGTGGGACATCTCAAGCTTCTTCACCGAACAGCTGCCGGAGGGTGAAGACGAGGATGACGAGGAAGAGGAAGAAGCAAATGCTGCTACCATTGTCCGCCTGCAAGCAGCCGACAGACGTACCAAAGGCATGACAAGGGATGAATATGTTCATTACAGTGAATGCCGCCAAGCTTCTTTTACCTACAAGAAAGCCAAGCGATTCCGCGAGTGGGCTGGGTTTGGCATCGTGACTGACAGCAAGCCCAACGATGACATCGTGGACATTCTGGGGTTCCTGCTGTACGACATCGTACAGACCTTGACGGAGGAAGCGTTGAAGGTGAAGCAAGAAGAAGATCTTAACAAGTCTCGCAACGGCGACTCGGATGCTCAGAGCAAGAAACGCAAGAGAGAGACTGGACTGTTTGACCCGCCTGAGGAGGGTACGACGCCCGTGACTCCGAAACATGTCAGAGAGGCTTTCCGAAGATTGCAGGAGAAGCCCATCCCAGGCAGAGTGAGGGTTTGGATGGGTGGTCCCAGGGCTTTGCAAAGGACTGAGTTGAAGTTGGTACGTTGTTTTGCCCTACTACATGAATTAGAAGTAGCTTCGCTTATGCCATACTAGATCTGATACATTGAGGCTGGCTTTCTAGCATTTGACACGGCGTGATAGCTAGGGAGCTAACATTTGATGCGGTATGATACCCTTAATGTTGACTCTGGATAAGGTATGATACCCATGCAGTCATTGACAGAGGCGTTGCCAGTTGGTGCGTGGTGGCGTCGGAGCTCGCAAAAAGGAAATCCCCCTCTCATCTATTTTCGGAGCTTCGGTATTTAGTGGTCTCATAGGCCATAACGTCAACTTGTGTAGAGTTGCTTTCATACGCCTTACGCCACGCTTCTGCCGGACAGAAAACGCCGAACTTTGGTTGTTGGTCGTTGGAGAATGGGGTGTTGCCCTGGGTATATGCCATCTCGCGTGCTCACTCAACATATTATGCCACCCCCGACCCCCTCATCCTCCTCAGCTTTGATTCCAACACCCCCGTCCGTCTTTCTTCTCTTCTCATTTCTCTTTCTCCTCTTCTCTTCCCTCTCCCGCTCATCTAATTCCTTCCTAACCTCCAACCTCTTCCCCAAATCGACCACATCCCCCACCCCCTCTTTCTCCTCTCTCCTCTTCTGAGCTAACCACTCTAATCTTTCCCTTACCTCCTCCAGCGTCGCCCTCTTCACCTCCCCAGTCTGCCCGATAGCCACCAGATGCTGCCGCGAATTCAGATGCTCAAGGAACTGTAGATTGTCCTTGAATGTCAAATCACAGTCCGCACAGTAGAACCCCGCCCCTCGCCCTCTCTTCCCCGTAGCCGCGCCAGCTGGTACGAGGGAAGTCTTGCCGACATTGTTGGAGACATCGAGACGGGCAGTGCGTGATTCGGTTTCTTTGGCGTCTGGAGGTGTGGACGCGCGGGGGAAATATTTGCGCCCGGCAGCCTTTGCTTCGGCACGAGCTGCGCCCTCAGCTTTGTACTTTGTTTCGCGATCAGCTGCTTTGGCTGCGTATTCGTTTCTGTCCCAAGTTTTGCGGAACGAGGTGTCGGATGCGGTGGATTTTGATGGGCCGGAGCCAGACATGGCTTGATGTTAACAATGGCGTGGCCAAGGTACCGGAAACATAGAATGAAAAGTATCTGGGTTTTTGGTCTGGCAAGCGTAGAGAGAAGGCATGGGAGTACCTTAAGTGAGCTCATGAATGGCTTGGCAATATGTTCTAATCGTATTGAAGTGTAAGCGAGTTAGGCGCCGCGGCAAATGACCCCGTGGCGATCTATCTTTCTCTGGCAGGTCCACGCGTGACATTCCTTTGGGTCACGCGAAGCTGTTCTGATATCCACTGGTCGGACTCAAACCTGACTATGTCTCCTCGTATATGGAAAAACGCGTACAACAATGACCGAAAAAGGATCGGCGCTCCAAAGAGGCCGCCGCTATGGGGAAAAGCGGGCGGCGGAGATATGGGAGAACCTAGGGAAGAATAACCTGTGGAAGAGGATTTTGAAAAACGTGACCGCTACTACTCTCCTCGTCAGCATATGTCTTATCCCAGGTTCCCGGACTGTTATTGGCAAGGCTGCCTATTTGGGCGCTATCACTACGGTATTTGGTCACCCAGGTCGACGCTTTGGCCAAATGGCTGAAGCCCTTATCCTTGTTCTTTCCGGAACGGTACTAGGAGTGGCTTGGTCAGTTCTAGGGGTTTATCTCGGCTCTCTCGTTATCAAAGAGCACCCACCAGCGGCCTACGCGATTCGAGCAATTTTTCTAGCAGTCGTAGTACTGTTCCACGGCTATCTACGATCGAAGACGCCTCGGTTGTTCATTTTTGTCTTGCTCTTGGTCATTGTATCGGTGGTGTCTTTGACATCAACTGCGAAAGTGGTGACACCTCTTTCTGCGACAAATATACTCTATCCAATCTTGATTGCCGCTGGATGCATTACACTGGTCAATATATGTATATTTCCTGAATTTAGCTCTAGATATCTTGGTCAGATGACTCTTGATACACTAAATGACACAGTCAAAGCCCTTGGAGATGCTGGTATTTACTTTGTCGAATCGAAAAGGGCGGTTGATCAGAACGGAGTCAAGACAGGCGAGAAAAGAGCTGATGCTTCTATGACTGGGCCAGCTTGGAACGCTACTGACGAAGAACGTGGGCTTCCACAGAAGAAAGTTACTAATTTAACAAACGCCCCTATGCACATCAAGGCCAAAGACATACTTCAAAGGTTATTCGCCAGCAAGTCTCAAGGGACTGACCACAGTGACCCCAAAAAGCTTTCAAAGACGAGTCTGGCTGACTTGACAAGCAATAAAGCGAAGATACGGAAGAAACTCTCAGATTGCAAAGCAGCTCAACAGGAGTGCAACTTTGAGCTTGCTGTATCCGTGTTGCCTCCTCGCAACATGAAACCCATCAGTGTGCAAGCAATGAAAAAGCTAGTGGCCAACACGATTGCAGTCATCAGCGCCTGTGAATCTAAATTCGCCCTCCTTGGTAGCAATGATGTTGGGCAAGCTTCCAATTCAAAGAAAACAAAGCCCGGTCCTGAGCTTGTAGATGAGAGTAAGACTCCGGCCATCTCAGCCCTGGTTGGAGCTACTTCCAACCTGCTTACTCCAGAGTTACCGTTGCCACACGAGAACTCGAAGCAGGGAAAACTGAACACCATCATCGAACAAGACAAAGCAGAGCTTGAGATGATTAAGCCGAAGCGCGAAATTGAATTTGGCGACGCTCGTCTGCTTCGGTATCTATTGGCTAGGGTGGCAAAGCCATACGAGGATCTGCACTTCGTCGTCGCTCGAACAGTTGAGGTAGTGAGTGCGTGTGTCGCTTACGCATATGATGTTCCCACCTTACCTTCTGGTGCAAGGGTTCCCAAAGGTATCTTGCTCGAGGAATTGGATATGCAAATGGACAGCCTCCAGAAAGCTCTTCTCCAATTTGACGCAGACGCGGCATCTGCTCTAGAAGGGGCTGCAACTATGCAAGAATTAGAAGGCAAGGAGCTCGACATCATGCCGAGAGAAGAAGTCTTTCTGATGTCATCGTTCATGCTCAACGTACGGCAAGCAGCCTCGCATATCGAGAGTATGCTCAAATACTCTCGAGAATTAGTTGGACGTCGTCAACAACGGAATGGACGTCGCCGTATTTATGCACCACATATCAAATGGTCGAACTGGCTGTATACAGGTGGCGAAGAGGATGAAGCACTGCCTAACAGTGGGCGCAAAGGCAACAGGCAAGGTGCTTCGGATGAGCGTGAGGACGATGAAGACGACGCAGAGTCACTGAATAGCAAGAAAGGCTTATTGGCTCACCCAGGAGATCTGGAGAAAAACGCTCTCACTCCGGGGGTCAAGGAAGACGCCAAGCAACGAGAAAGAGAGTCGAGAGCAAGAGATTTCGAGCGCCAAGAAATACCTTACTCACTTCGTCTCCGTGGTCAAGCTGCCGACGCATTGGAATGGATCCAGCATTCGGAAGACTTGTTGTATGCCATGAAGCTCGGCGTCGCCGTTTTCCTAGTACTTTGGCCTGCATTCGTGGCTTCTTGGAATACCTGGTACTCTCTAGACCGGGGTCTCTGGGCTGCTTTACAGCTCGTTCTGATCACTGAAGTCTCCATCGGTACTTCTGTTTGGACATTTGTTCTTCGGGGTGTCGGCACTACAATCGGCTGTATTTGGGGCTGGGCCGCTGTTGAAGCTCGCGGAGGCAATCCGGTTGTTTGCGCTGCGTTGATCTTCGTAGCACTGTTCCCTTGCGCCTATGTGCAACTTGGAACCAAATATCCGAAGGCTGGTATGGTATGCATTGTCAGCATATGCGTTGTAGCTCTCTCATCGGAGTTAAATACCGTCCCTGGTAGGTTCGATGAGCAATATGTCTGCTTTACAAGCTGACCGAGATTTTAGGGACACCAACTGACAATTTTCTGAAGCGATGGATTGCTTTCATGATAGGTGGGACAGTGGCTCTGATCGTAGAATTGGTACTACTTCCAGTCAAAGCTCGCACGCGCCTCGTTGAATCTCTCGCTGCAGCTCTCGAACAAATCAACGAGATGGAGAAATGTATTGCCGCCGGCATTGAGCAAGGCGTCAAGATTGACGTTTACGCCGCCGCAAACATTGTACGCTTCGAAAACGCGAACGGAAAGGCTAACACCGCACTTGTCGCTGCAGAGACCTTCCTTCCCTTCTGCAGCAATGAGCCAAGGATCAAAGGCTCCTTCGAAGGCCTCGCTCTGATATACACCGAGGTTCTCTTCGTGCTTCACCAGATTGTCGACAGAATGGACAATATGCTGCAGCTACGGACGGCCTATGGTTCTGGCCCATTAGAGGAGCTCAATGCTGAAATCTACCCCTACCGTCGAAACGTCGCTGGTTCCATCACCCTGACACTCTTCGCAATTCATGGTGCCCTCACAACCAAGCTTCCACTCCCCCAATACATTCCTTCCGCCCGGCTCGCCCACCTGCGCATGATCAACCGAGTGCGAGAAGTTGTTCTCGAGCAAGTGGCCGGGGAAGGTCATGACTCCCACGAGATCACCGCCAAGCTTGCACGCCAGCGGGCCGTGCGGAGAAAATACATGTCCTGGAATGCTGCGTCAGCGGCTCAAGCGGAGATCATTGAGTTTCTCGAAGAGCTCATCGATTTGACGAAGCTGCTCGTTGGGGCTAACGAGTTCAGGAGTGGGCTGTTGACGAGGCCTACATATCATGACTACGTTCAGCAATCTCAGAAGCAAGGCGCGGGGGATGATGGCGATGAAGTGGTAGCAGCTGAAGCCAGGGATGAGTTCGGAGAGACTCCCCTTGATACGGCAGGAGCGACTACACGAACGCGAGGGACAACGCTTGCTTCGGTGGACGCAGGGGCAGGGCTCACTAGACGCCGGCAAGGCACAACTCTGAGTTCTACGAGCGATGGTGAGGATGTGCCCGCCAGCTTACGCAGGATACAGAGCCGGAAGCTCGAGGCTGGGGTGCTGCGTCAGAGGACGAACGAGAGTTGGAAGTCATCGCATCAAGGCACATGAAGCAGCGAGAAAAGCATGTCGCATTGTCTGATAATCACGTCAACTATATGAGCGAGGGTACAGACTTTCGAATCCCTGAACCAATTCCATTCACGTGGTGAAGTGACCACCAAGCTTGTACCATTCGCATGATCGATCCTCTCGTCGAAATGGACAATGCGAAAGATTCCTCCTGTCCAAGCAATGATCATCCGCCATCCACCTATGCCATGACACGTTGGAAGATGAGCAGCCTCTTAAGCAGATGCACCATCCTCCTGGTCCTCAGTCTCTCCATTCATACCTTCTTCTTCCTCGTCCTCCTCTTTAGCCTCGACCTTGACCTTCTTGCTCGGACGGTCCTCCTCCTCATCGCTCTCATTGGGGCTGGGAGCAGCAGCGCGAGCGACGTTCTTGGGCTTGCGAACACGCTTTTTCTTCTCAGTAGGGGTCGTAGATCCATCACCACCGTTCTTGCGTCCACGCTTCTTGCTTGGAAGGATGTCAGCGCCTCCAGTCATGGTGATGGCAGCGGAGGCTTTCATCATCTCGCTGTACATCTTAGCTGAGGATTGGGCGGTGCGACCAGCAGGAACGGAGACATCGGCCCATTTAACTTTGCTGCCGAAGGTTTTGATAACGGAGACGAGGAGTGCGATCTTGGGGGTGTTAGTGGAGAGTGGAGAGGAGGGAGGAAAAGGGAGGTTAAGAGGGGGGAGGAGATACCTTTTCTGTGTCGGCCCATTTGGATGCGGGGATGGGGTTGGCGATTTCAGATCCCATTTTGGCTGCTGCAGAGTACTGAGCTTGCTGATGTTGCGATTGGCATGGAGATGATAAGATGAGAGACTTACAGTTTGTTTGCGTTGAGTGGTTGGTATCTGTTGAGATGATTTGAAAGTTGGAGGGTGAAAGAAGCGTGGTGATCTGCGTGATGTGAGCTCAGGATGTGTTGATTCTAAAAATGTAGAAACTCACTTTAGAATCTGAAAGTTCGAAACTTCCCGAGTCTTTGGGAACGTTGATGAAGCTGCGATTATGATTTAGCCTTCGGTATTGGCATAGACACTCTCCCTTGGGCCGGTATTGTGGGACAAGTACCTACTAGAAAGTGTGGTGATGTGGATAATGGAAGTTGATGGTTGAAGTTTGAAGGTTGAGAAAAGATACTGAGCAAGGATAGGGTCAAGTGAAATTGCATTCACTTTCCAAACCCGGTATTGGTGCGGTACAGCACTAAGAATGATGACAGCCATGTGCTTCCTTGGGAATTGCATTTCGTGGGATCCACGACATGTCGTAAGGAGGAGGGATGTGGTATAAGGCAGAACACCTTGGAATGTCTGAGATCTACAATCACCCCTATCGTAGCATGTTACTTCCAGAGGCCCAAAACGAAATCATTGATGTCCCATCTTATCCTTTTCTCATTTCCAGCGATGATACTCTTCATGGACTCAACCAGTCAAAATCATAGGACTGAGCCACGAGTTGATATCATTAGATTCAGAGCATGCCTGGCTTCATCTCTTTAATGCGGCAAATCGCTTTGTTAATTCGTCGACGTCTGGTATCTTGCCCCCAACTATGTCTTTCTTTGCTCCGGACTCTCTGCTTGTCGCAGTGCTTTGCGCATCTGTGTCAGATGTCTGTTTCTTCAAGCCGCTCATCTTCGCCCCAGGCTTCAGTTCTGGTGGACCTGGTAGTCTTACTCGCGGATTGAGATTGTCTGTGCTTGGACTTGGAGGTGCTACGCTGATCGGCGACCTCGGACCAAGATCTCGTGGGGGTGTAGCTTTGCTCAACTCATCTGTTGTCAAGGGCTCTTCCAGGTTCTTCAATGCCTGACCGCCCGAGGGTTTGTCATCGTCCCCATCGTCCTGGGCATCCAGGGACTCTTCCTTCCTCGGCCAATTCACACCGTAAGTTCTAGCAATCTCCTTCAAGTACAATGTCACCAGCTCTGGTTCTGGAGGCTCGACTCTTAGCTTTTTGAGCACTCTTTCCGCGACCTTGCCATCTGAGTTCTCCACAGCCTCCAGCGCAAAGTCCTTTCCATATTTCTCCACCAATAGTGCCCTTGCCTGCTGAAGCTCTTTGACATCTGTTCGTGGTGCAGCGTAGATGATGGATTTGATCGCCTCTTCTAGCCCGGGATCACATTCTTTAGCTTCTAACAACCCTGTCCTTGCCAAAAGAAGCTCGCAGTATAACTCAAGGACTTCTAGTAGTTCGGTAGTGATATCAGACCGAATGATGTTCTCGACACGGATGCGTGCTGATTCCTCTTTGCCTTGCTGGTTCGCCCCACGCATTAGCCTGACGCCAATCAACACGGCAGATCGATATGTACTTCAAGCAATACAGCCATTGCCCGTCTTTGTTGCTTCGCTATAGCTGTGTCCTTCTGCTGCACCATGCGTAGCCTACTAATGGATAGCTTGAGCTGGACCTTGATCTTTCCCTTGGAAGAGTCAGCACGGACTGTGCTAAGCAGCAGACGCGAAGGCTTACGACAATCGCCGAAGAAGGAGCCATCTTGGGGTTTTCGAAGCGCTGGACGTTACGGCATTAAGGCGCATATTAAGTCGGAGCAAGGACGCTGTAGCCTGCACTTTGTGCTTGTACTTTAGGTGGGACTAAGCGAGGCAAGCGCCAGCCGCGGTGTTTCCTTTGCGGACAGTGCGTCACTCTAATAACTGATCACTAATCAGTATCTCTGGAAAGCAACATGGAGTTACATGGCAACATTATCAAAGATGAGCTGGCATGGGACATGTTGATATCTATGCAAGTTAACAATCTATAATGACGTATTTTCGGTGGACTCTTGCCAAGTGAGGGCGGACTGATCTAAATCACGGCTGGTGACGGGTAGTGTTTTGTCCAAATAGACGGTTCATCCGTAAGCATTCATTCCAGCTCACGTGCAGCATTGACACCCCCGGATGGTGATGAGCGTAAAGTAAGCCTGAGGTATTTATGGATCCTTCCATCCGCCTGACGGGCATTCTGAGTGGCAAGAGCCTTTGCAGCAGCTCCTTCCTGTACAACGGTAAGTACCCTCCACGAAAACACCAACCTTCTTTCCTTACTTCCTCCATCATCATTTCGCTCTAAGACGAATGTCCGTTCATTCTATGTGAACTCTACCTAGCCTCAACATCCAACAGAGACAATTTTCCCAATACCTATTCCGTCAGTCGCTTCCAAGTTGGAGGGCAAAGTCGTTGCATCCACTGCACTGGCTTTGCACCAAGCCCCAAGCTAATCCCAAAATAAGATGTGTACTCAGAACCATAACAGGCACTACTCAGGCGACGGGCCCCAGTGCCTCCCGTTTCCTCCGGAGATCCTTGTGCAAGTCATTGGTCTTCTTAACAAAGCTTGCGATAGAAGGAGTGCCAGACTGGTGTGCAAAGGCTTTGCACAAGCTGGCCTACCGTCGCTTACGCATACGGTCAACCTCTCTGTCCCCAGCGGTCTTCTAGACAGGACTCGAGCGATCGCGGAGCATCCGGTTGTCGGCAAGTACATAATCCAGATGGTCTGCAGTGGCACGCAGCTACTTAGCGACGAGGTGAATTATGGCAACATCCAGATTTTGCATGGGCCGACGACGCGTCAGACCGAGCTTTCAGTGCCATTGCCGGTCGTATATGAACAGTTGTTGTCAAGAGATGAGAAAGGGAAGAGAATCACTCATTGTCAAAGGGCGCAGGCCATTTTCCTTCTTGCTCTCCAACGGTTCGTGAATCTCAAGCGCATTACATTCACGGAGGTTCCACTCGCCGAAGAGAATCAAGATCTGGTCCGTCCGCAGTGGCCACGCGTTGCAAATGGTGGAGACCGGTGGGAGCCCGCCTCGCCGTATCAAATGTTTGCCGTGGGCATCCGATTGTTGTATACACAAGGCACCAATCTAGAACAACTCAGGATTGTAGGCTCAAGCTATGCCCTACGGGACAGGATATTCTCCGATGCTTCCCAGACATATTACGGTCACATGCTCAACGTCTTTCGCAAGCTTCACTGTTTCGAATTATCCGTGATTGTACCGGATGTCACTGTGGAGTATGACCCACAAGCTCTGACTTACGGCGGTCTCGGAGGCCTTTTGACACAAGCGACATCTATAGAGACATTGAAGATGGCAAGCTCCTATTGGCCAGGGCCACCGGACGAGGATGACTGCCCACCATCGTTAGACGTTCCAATGGTTTTCCAAAGCTACACCTGGTCACACCTCAGGCATCTAGGCCTGCGTGGCTTCTTGATGATAGGCCATGAAGACCTCATGGGCTTCTTCGATCGTCACGGAGCAACACTCGAGAGCGTCGAGCTGATGGTCATGAGGATCCTGCATCACCCCGACCCTCAGGATACCATATGCGAAGCTTGGAAGCATCTGTTCAATGGACTGCGATGCCGTGGGATCAGTCTCCAGACACTCAGATTGTCCCTTCTGCAAGACTGCTACGACTTGAAAGGTCACTTCTCTGAGCCTGACGATCCTGCCTATCATGGCAAGAAGATGCTCAAGTACCTCCTCCAAGGGGGCATAAATCCATTGGAACCTGTCTTTCCTGTCACTGACTTGATGGCTTGAGACCTTCTTTTGCAGGTAAGCTGCAGACGCATCCAAGGCGTCGTGGCAATCGTGGACGGGAAATGATGTGTGAGAAGGCTGTCGAAAACGATTGGCACTTGTGGTGCTCGAAGTAGAACTGACTTTCTGTATCACATATACTTGATCAGATTTGTTATTGAAAATCAGTAGATCAGTAGCCTTCATAGACTTATTATCATCAAATTACCTTGATTACCCAATCAAAGTTCTTGGGATCGGACCTCGTGAATTTCAGTCTGTTTGCAGCGTCAAGAATACAACAGTAAAGATATTCCATGAACCTTTATCCCCATCCAACCTTCCGACCATCCGCCCCAATAACACCGGACACGGCGAATAAACCGGGATCCACCCACTCTTATTCTCCCTATCGCGCACGGCCATCCTGCTCTCCCCCTCCAATCTTCTCCCCTCGATCAGAATGACCGCCAACGTGCGCGAGCCCCAACCCGTCCCCTCACGCTCCCCTTCCCCACCGGAGGACATAGCCGCAGCAATGGGCTTCTCCTCCTTCGGCGCGAAACCCAAACCCCCGAAGAAGAAACGCAGACTAGCCGATCCGAACAGCGAGGGAAGCGGAAGCAACAACACGCCCCTGGGCGTGAGGACACGAACGCCGGCCGGGCAGCAGGCGAAGGAAGACGTCGAGCGAAATCGGGGCCAATCGACCGAGATGGGCGTGGGTGGGGCGCAGAGTCAGGAACGGAGGCCAACTCAGGAGGAATGGACCGGCCTGCCGAACCCGGACCCCCTCGCCGCCGCGGCCCTCGATGAAACGGCCGCCATGCTGCTCGAAACGGGCCGCTTGCCGCGGTATCTCGACTGGGATGAGGGTCGTGTCGAGGGCGGGCGGCGTGATGATGGAATGTGGCGGGTTGGAGGGGATGCGGGGGAGGGGATGAGGAGGCAGGGGAAGAGAGGGGACGGGGAGTGGGATTGGCAGGCGTTGAGGAAGGGGGTGGTGGTGGATGAGAGGGGGGATGTGGCGTTTTACGATGGGAGTTTTGTGGAGGATCCTTGGAGGGGTTTGGGTGGTGGGATGGGGGAGGGGAGGTGAAGGGCTGGGAGAAGGCTGGGGGGGGGGGGCGGTTGGGGCTACGTTGTGGGCATGGTTTCGGTGGGTGAGAAGGGGGGTGGGTCGGCCAGATACGAAAAGGACTGCAAAGGGAGAAGGCGGATGGGCAGGTCTAAGACTAGGAGTGTGGGCGAAAGTTCTATTGGACGGCGTTATGGTAGATACCCTAGCGATATGACGCCTAGCTGATTGCTTATTTAGGACATATGTAAGACTTGTAGGGCGTAGCGGCACTCTGTGTGGAGATGCTCGGGTCTCAGAAAAGCGAGGAGATATTCTCCTCTAAGCGTAGCTCCTCAAACTCTGAAAACAAATACGTCTCGAAGAGCACAAGCGTCAACCAAAAAGACTGCATTAGTCTATGGACAGGACCTCACTATCGCCGAGACGTTGCACCCCCACTGCCGCTGCTCCCCCTCCCCGGATTTTCCAGACCACGGGGAGAACCGAAGTGGGTTCCCTGCAGAATACATGCGTTCGAAGCCAGCAAATCACAGTTCCAGCTGTTCCCAACGAGAAAACTAACAGCCGCGCGTCAGGGGTGCCTGTAAAACGTTGCAAGAACGTTGAAAAAGCGGCAAGAGACCAAGGGTGCTGCGGCAGGGCAAAATACTAGCGAGCATATTTCAACGACATGTCACCCCCTTTTCATATATACAGTCGCAAATCACCCATGAAAGAAGAAATAAAACGATGTCGATGGATTAAATGGAAGACATGTTGTTTAGTGCTCCGGTGATGGATATCGCTTGCTGGCTCGGGCGTATTGTTTGGGATATTTTCGCTCAGTCTTGGTCTTGAGTGTACTAGGACGGCGTCAGTTTCCCATTGGCAGGGTAGTAGAAATCCATGATGATGAAGATTTGCGAAGAGAAGTCTTTGCTCACTTTACGCGTTTCTGAGTCCAGTCAAGGTCCTTCTTCACCTCTTTTGCGGCCTTCATGCCGTCTGTGAAATTGGCACGAGAGTTTTTCAGCCGGTGCTGAGCAAGTTCTTGCAACTCGAGAAGCTCGCGATTCTTAGCATTCAGTTCGCCGGACCTGTGGAGTGTCAGCAAATGTACGTGAAGAGCTCCGCTCTCGTCCTTTGCAATAAGACACAAAGCAAACATTGACCGCAGAATTACTTACGTCTGCGCCTGTCGTGCCAAACTTCTATCCAGCGGCATAGGGCTCACAGTCGTGCTTAGTTTGTCATTGAGTAATTCAACGAGATCGATGCCAGAAGATGCGCCGTCGCCGTATTCGCTGCTGTTGCTACCGGAGTCGGATGTCAAGGATGGCACAGCTGAGGTGTTGGCGCTGGAGCCACGTTGTGGTGGCGAAATGGCAACACGACCGTATGGCGCTGGGTAGGCGACTGGAAGCTTGGAGGCCGGCTTTCCAGGCATGGCGACAGGTCGAGAGTAAGTTGGAGCTTGGTAGCGGGTTTGAGTAACAGGCATGTCGGCGAGAGTAAGGTAGATATATACGTAAGGTTGGGTTTGGAAGATAAAGTTAAACAACGATGACGTGTTGGGGTATAGTGATGAGGTGAAGTGCTTGTGTGGAAAGGGGTCAAGCCTTAGAGGTAAGCAAGGACAGGTGCAGGAGGCGAGGTCAAGCCGGCTTTCTGCTATAGGTTTAGATTGAAATGGGAGAGAAGGAGATGAGGGAAATATGATGAAGAAGAAGAAAGGAACATAGGAAAACGGGGCCATGCCCTCCCTTTTGTACCCACCTCGACTCTCTCTTCATCGGCCAATGCGAGAGGCAAGCTGATAGCCACCATGACCCATAAGACTCTGACCCCGCTTCGATAGAGTGCAAGAGACATTTTTCGAGTCTGACTAGCCCGTAAACCTTCTCCACGGATCCTGGCTCTGGCCTGTAAGATGTTTCGGAGACCCTCCAAGGCGAGCAAATTCCGGAACCGGATCCCTTGCTGCTTGAAAAGTTTGAAAGGTCTGGCTTCTTCTAGGCGCGGCAATTGGTGCGATTGCCCCAAAAGCACGTTCCTTTAGTTGGATTTTGCACTGGTGTGGGTTACGTATTGATAACGTTGCAGGTCTTGATTGATGAAGGATGCTACGACCGCACTGCGTGGCAGGCGATCTGTGCACCTTTCTGAAATCGCTTGGAAAAGTCCGAGACGCTACTATGTAGCTTTACGCAAGAAAGAGGCATATAAGCCGAGTGTCTGGAATGTCCAATGAGCGTCATGTCTGAGATGCGTTGTCCCTTCGGGCTCTGCCTATGACATTGGGTATCCGTACATCCTCCGGTGAGGCCTTGTCTCTGGTCATTGCGGCAGGTGGACACGAAAAATGCCTTGTACCTGCCGAGTACTTAGACAGCTGCCGCGTGACATTGTCATGCAAGGTATGTAACCGCAGGCTGTGTCCAACAATGCCATAACGTTGCTGCCTTCTGGTAGGCTATGGACTGTCGTTGGCGCGGACCCTGCAGTTGCCCGGACGGACATTCCATAGGGCTGAACGCAATGCACACATCATTTATCTTGACCGCTCACTCGATTTCTTACAACATTTGTGAATTGAGACTTGTCATGGAGATTGCATCTATTGGTTGTCTATGAATAATCCATCTGAGCTTTAGCTCTGGCCATTGTCTGGGCAAAACGCCCTTCTCTGTCCCGATCTTGCTTTGCCGTCTCAATGCCAAGCAAAATCTTCTTGATACCAACGCCCACAGATTCGCTCCGTGTTATCTCGCGAAGCTCTTGGATCGCACGATCTGGGTTCCCGAACACGCCTGACTGCTTCATGATGAAGGAGAGTTCAGCGTGGCCCATGACGTTCGGCACAGCGATGTCTGAATCGAAGGACGTGAACACGTCTAATTGTTGTAGAACGGACCTTTCTCCTGTTGTTGCAAGAACTAGAAGTCTCCTACCCTTTGGTGGTTCCTTCTTGAGGAGGACCATAAGCGCTTGGAGTACGCCGTTACTAAATCGTGGACCAATCGGCACCCACTCGACAATCCGCTCAATATTGTCTATCAGGACCACACTCAGGGGACTCTTGTAGGCATCATCAAAAATGCGACGCATATGCTCAATCTTCATCGACTCGTTAAATCCGACCATATTGTCTGGACTGCACATCTTGATAAGAGGATAGCCACTGTCTAGCGCGATCTTCGCCGCGAGTGCGGTCTTACCCGATCCTGGCGGGCCATACAGGATAGTTGAGAATAACGGAGTACTCTCTGGCTCTTGTACTTGCTTGACGATGAGACTCGCCTCGTTCAAGATACCATCAATAGCCTCCGAGAAGCGGATGATACCACCACGAAGGCACCGCTGCATTTCGTCTTCTGAGACACCAAAAGCAGGCTTGACATCGTCAAACGCGTGCTTAAAATCGTCGCGGTTAACAGTCATCTTGTCAACGTCGTCGGAGACGCCAGCAAGAGTGCCAACCTTAACATGCCGGTTCAGAGCAAAAGAGGTCGCACTTCGGACCAGACCACTAATCTCGGCACCACTGAAGTTCTTAGTCAAATGAGCAAGCTCCTCTAGATTGACATCAGGATCTAGATTACCACTTTCCCTCATCTTAGAGGTGTGGATCTTCAAAATTTGAACTCGACCATACTCATCTGGCAAGGAGATTTCCATATGCACCTCCAACCGGCCAGGTCGAAGCAGGGCATCATCTATCATATCCATTCGATTGGTCATTCCGATAAGTAGGATATTGTTGAGTTGGTCGACACCGTCAAGTTTCGAGAGCAGCTGATTGACAACACTGTCCCCAACGCCTGTACCTCCACCTGCACCACTACCTCTCTGCTTGCAAACCGCATCAAGCTCATCAAATATGATGATGTGCAAACCACTCTCATCTCCTTTCTCCTTGTACTCCTTTTCGGCGTCTGCGAAGAGCTTTCGAATGTTCTCCTCGGATTGGCCCACGTATTTGTTCAGGACTTCCGGTCCATTGATGACTTTCGGCTCTCGAGCGTTTAGCATTTTGCCTATCCTCCGAGCAATTAACGTTTTCCCCGTCCCTGGAGGACCAAATAGCAATATGCCTTTGACATGCTGGATGCCCATTGACTCAATCAGCCCGGGTGGGAAGATGCGGGAGGCAAACGCTCTTCGGAAGATAGCACTGAATTCTTTATCTAACCCACCGATTCCCATGTCTTCGAACTTGAAGTCGGGGGTAAAGATGGCATTAGCAGCAGGTCTTCGTTTGGAGGCCTTCAAATTCAACCTGGATTTGGCATCTTTGAAGAAATTCATTTGACTCTGGCGTGTAAGAATTCCACGGCTGCGGGCATCGGACATACTAGGCTCAGATCCAGCTGAAGGCTTTTCCACGGAGAGGTCGACGAGTTGAATGGCCTTGACGACAACAAGTAGTTTAAGACTCTTGTAGTCCATGAGGACTCGTTGACCGGGCGCAAGGACTTGGTTTTCGTACTTCTACACATCGTTAGCCAAATTAATCTTTCATCCTGTCCCATTTTCATACCCTAGTAAAGTATTGTTGTAATTCATCCTGATCATAAGGGTCCTCTGTCTCCCTTTTAGTCGCAAAGCTGATTTCCGCATCTAAAGACCCAAGATAGCGAGGGCCACCCTCTTGAAACGGGTCATACTTCTTGACGTGTACTGTATCCTGGAGGCTGATCTGCGCCCAGGTTCTCTGAATGTCCGAGAGACTGATATGTCCTTGGGCGAAGCCATCAGACGTTCTTGCGGTGCAGACATAGAGGTCATTGAGGATGACATAGAAATCTGAGCTGACTTGAGATGGAGGAAAATCGAAAGGCGAAACAGCGACTAGGTTCCCGTATGTGTAACTCTCTTCTGGGGACTTTGTCGGTTGTAGCTGCCATGTCTGGCCTCCTGACCCTTGTCTCGACTGTCCTCGAGAGTATTCGTGCTTGTCTGGTGGTGCGCCATCGTAGTAGGGTCTCTGGCTGTTCGCTGGTGGACGGCCGTGGGGACCGCCATATCGATCAGAGCTGCCCGGGGGTATTCGACTGTAAGGGCCCGAAGGCTGCTGTTGGGAGGGGGGTTGACTGGGAGGAGTTGGTCGAGGGTTACGGCCGAACATGTTGGCTTATTCTTCCGGACCAAATCTGGATAGGTTCATTATGAGGGAATTATCCCAAGCTAAGTCTCATATGGCTGCCTGGTCTGTGATGAAAACCTCACGGAAGGTGTCTTCTCGAGAATGACAACAACGGCCAAATGCTCAGCTGCGGCCTTGGCGCCGAGAAGCGCCAAGGTTCAATTTTCTGTCGCACTCAGAATTCGCTGTACCATTTCATCACAGGCGCAAACATCCAAATCATCAGGGGCACCACCACCACCATGCTGTACTTGATCGGACTTGGATTGGCTGATGAGACCGATGTCACAGTCAAAGGCCTTGAGCTGATCAAAAAGGCAGAGAGAGTGTATCTCGAAGCATACACAAGTATCCTGTTGGTAGACATAGCGAACCTGGTAAATCCCCTTTTCAACACATACAGCCTTATAGACCTGACGCTGAATTTTTTCGCAGTAGGAAGCATACTATGGCCGTCCAATTATCGTGGCAGACCGCGAGATGGTCGAATCTGCAAGTGACGAGATACTAGCAGGAGCCGATACCTCAGATGTCGCTTTCTTGGTAGTCGGAGACCCTTTTGGGTACGAGGGTCACGCCATGATCCCAGGATCGTAATTTCGCGAGGCTAATCAATGACTACATAGAGCCACCACCCACACCGACCTCGTCCTCCGAGCTAGGGAACTCCAGATCCCGGTACAAAGCGTCCATAATGCCTCTATAATGTCCGCGATCGGAGCTACAGGACTTCAACTCTACAATTTTGGCCAGACTGTCAGCATGGTCTTCTTCACAGACACCTGGAAGCCTTCTTCATTCTACGATCGACTGAAAGAGAACCAGCAAATAGGCCTGCATAGTCTTTTACTCCTCGATATCAAGGTCAAAGAGCAATCGCTAGCAAATCTTGCCAGAGGCCGAAAGATCTACGAGCCGCCTCGGTTCATGACCGTCGCCGAATGCGCAAGTCAGATGCTCGAGACAGAGGAAGAGCGGGGGGAAGGCGTATGTGGGCCTCAGAATTTGGCTGTTGGTGTGGCTAGGGTTGGCGCTTGGAATCAGAAGATGGCTGCTGGGACGCTGAAGCAATTGAGTGGCATAGACCTTGGGGCTCCTCTGCATAGCTTGGTATTATTGGGAAAGAAAACACACTATCTGGAAAGGGACTTCGTTCGAGACTTTGCGGTCAAGCAGGACGTGTTTGATACTGTATGGAGCGAGCTATACGAAGGGAAGCAGTGACCAAGGCAATCGGTCGGCGCGGGTGGAGTCTTCGTTGGGTTGCTGGAGGCGGCGTCAGAGGATTTCAGGCAGTTGAAGGATCCAGGTCGTCTGTAGAATCATATTGAATGCCTCAATTGTTACTTAACCAGAGCTTTTGTAGAGGCGATTGCCGCCATTGAGGGGTTGCTTCTGACAACATGCAGGAACCCCTCGGAAACTGTAGGCCGCTGATCCCGAAGTAGCTTCACTAGGTATAAATGTAGCTGCACTGCAGATTTCCTTTTCACCCTGCTTCACCATTTCTTTTTTCGCAACCCCTCTTCCTTTACCATCCCTACCTCACTCCATATCATCCATTCGCAAATCCTGATATTCATGCATGTTACTGCCACAGCTTCCGGCAAGGCACAGATTTAGATACCTCTCCTTCCATTGCAATGTATTTAGCAAATGGAGCTTGCTGCATGGGATTGCTCCAATTGGCAAGATCCCGCGTCTAAAGGCCGACATGTCTTCATTCCATTTTTAAATTTGTAGCAGTTCACTAGTATTCTCCGAAAGAATCAGCATTTATATCACACCTGTGTTTTACGTCAGTCACTGTTTGCTTTGTCCCAGTATATTGCACCGGCGGCCACTTTGTGTTTACATGTGTGTGTGTGTGAGCCAGTAATCGACTTCTAATAGCGTCCGGAAGCACTGGTTTTTGGTGGTTCTTCAAAACTAGGACACTGCATTGGAAGGTCCAGCTCTGATCCAGAGATCATACTGGGTGAATATCTACGGTTAGTTCGAGTCGTGATTCAGCGTTTGAAATTGTGAACAGCTATAGGTACACGACGGTTAATGGCTTTGAACATTCACGTGGTACATAGATACAAAAAAATCTTGCCCATGGTCTTTGTATAGCGGACACACTTCCACACATCACAGCGTCTTGGTGAATACAATCTCACGTCTTTCATTAGGCATCCACAAACACCACAACCCATAGTCTACTTGACGATCATCCATCCTACTTCTGACATCTCGAAACCTACATCACGACTGTTAGCGCACAGGACCCTTCCAAATGCCTATCTACCTTATTCACGGATTTCGTTGGCAGCGCAACCAAGGTCATCATGGCATCGGTCCCTACATCATTATGAACAATGTCCTCGATGCTGCCGTCAACTACACAATGACTGAGAGCAGCTCTGCTGCTCTTATCGAGAGCCTCCGCGCTCAACATCCAGACATCATGGCCCAGCTGCCAAATATCCGCTTGGTCGAACAAGGCAGCCTCGAAAACGGCACCCAACCATACGCCTACCTGTGCGACACGGTTGTTGAGCACGATCTCAGTATTGACCTTACCGGCCGGCTGCAGCCGAGCGCAGGATCACAGTGGAATGCAATGTCCGACTTGATCGACGTTTTGGCACCTGGGGCGAGACTTGGGTGGTATGTGGTGCACAACGATGATCCGTTCCGCGGTGGGAATCCTCCAGTGGCCTACAAAGATACAGAGCAGGTTCGTGATTGCTACCCAATTGCTTGGATCACATGCTGATTGAACGCCAGGCGCGTGCTGGAAGCGGCGAGAGGGGTGGGAAGAAGGGTGGACTCAAGGGATTCTTCGGCGGAAAGAAAGGGGTAAAGACCTGAGCATAGGCGGATCACACAGTCCATAATAGGTACGGCTTCACGGGTTCATTACCAGTGCAACAGGGTACAATGTGCTCTACTGACCATGTGCAAGTCGCCTGTATGTGGGGAACAGGCCGGTGATGACTGAGATGCTTATGGAGGCTTTGAGCAGTATTGGTGGGGATATCATAACGCTGTGATTATCAAAGTGATACCATAGCCCCTGACAGAATATCAAACCGCCCAAAAACCTGGAGACGCTTTCTCATTAAACTGACGGTCTATATAAATATGGGCGAAGGGTCTTGAAATGTGGCGGTTTCCCCCTTTCTCAAGCTTGTTGCTTGTGGCAATGACCGAACACATGCACTTTTAACATGCTGTTCCACGGCCGTTGAGATGTCGATTGGAGCGCTCCAAGACATTCCATTGGCAAGTGACATAATCGACGTACGAGTAGGTAGGTACCTGCCAAGCTAACAGTCTGTAGCCCCCATCCACGTCTGCAGCCCCACTTTCGTTTCCCCGCCTTTTGCCTTTTCTCCGCATATCGTCACTCTGCACAAATACTTAGTACACAATTCGATTCTAGAGTTTGGAAGAGTTTGTGCTCCACCCTAATGCATGACCGAGAAGTGACGACGAATAATTTCACGATCGACAAAGCATTGGAAGCCACGAGCAAATTTGAGCTGCCGAACCACCAAATGGATGCAGCTAGAGGTTTACCACCTCCCGAGCCCCGTGCGATAGAGTATAAAAATATGGAGTGCCCCTCAGCAGCTCAGTCAGATCTTTCCGTTGAGCTTTTCAATGTCATTGGGATCCAACCATGCGTGCAGCTACTCTTATCGCGGCTTCGGCCAGCCTCGCGTTTGGTCAACTCGACGTAACAGCTAAGGACTCCAATGGGTGAGCGACGTTTGAAATGAGCTGTACCTTCAACGCTGATCAGACTTTAGAAATACTCTTCCAGTCTACTCTCCCTCACGCCCTCCAGCTATTCCTCTTGCCGTCCGTTCTCCATATACCAGCGCATGGAGTTCTACTTCGAATAATGGCACATTGAATACCAATGGTGTGATATTCTGGTACGTGAAAACACTGAATGCGCTTGGAGTGGCATAAAGAGACTGACCACGGTAGGCCAGGTACTCCTCTCGGCTGGGAAGGGGTGAGTAACTAGAGTACGCTGGTGTTTGAGATCAAGAGCTTAGTATCTCATAGATTGTTACTGTCGATGGGACTTCCTACGAATACCTTGGGACTGGCTCATCGACCCTTCCTACACTGCCAAATCTGAAGCCCGCTATCCCCTTGACTGTCAGCTATGACTCACAATACTCCAACTTCACGTTTGGTGCTGGTCCCATGGAGATCACGGCCAGTTTCCTATCGTCTGTTTTACCAAAAGATCTCTGCCGGACAAGCATTCCACTAAGCTATTTGACAACTTCTGTAAGGTCTACAGACAATGACAGTCACAGTGTGCAATTCTACAGCGATGTCAATGCGGCCTGGGTGGCCTACGAGAACAATGTCACTACGCAGTGGACTTTCTATGAAGGGTCTACCCCGGCGAATGGAAGCATCAATGCCACGAATCCATCTTCGATATACAGTTGGTACGTATCACCGACTGGAAACTCTTGACCCACACTAACGAGATTCAGGTTTGTCTCTTTAGAGAACGCGTATGAGTTCGCTGAGGAGTATGGTACGTCTTTTCGGAGTCCATGTTTCCGCTTTCGGACAATTTCGAGTCTTGACTCTCGAATCATGTTCCAAGCCTCGATAGAACCTCCCGAACAGGCAATGCTAACTGCGAAATTATAATTCAGACAAACCTCTATGTATGTGTACCTCTTGCTTTGAAGCCTAAAGATTCTTACGACCAAAATTTCAGGGGGCAACTTGAGCTACTCTACGTCGTCCAATTTCTCAGGATCAACCAATTTCAGCTACCAGAGTGGATATTCGAGCAATCTCCAATACCAGTATGTCATGAAGCATTCATTGCAAGACTTCGTTGATCCCGGCTATCGGCCTTTTGGCACGCGAGATCCTGCTTTTGCCTTTGCGCATGATTTTGGAACCGTTTCTTCGGCTTCCGTGATGTACACAATTGGAGAGGTTCAACAACCTGCGATCCGATATCTCACTTCCCAAGGTGTCGAGTCATTGCAACCGTGGTGGACACAATGCTATGGCGATATCTTCCAGATGATCAATTTCCATTTTAACGATTTTTCTACGACCCAGCAATTGGCTTCCAGATTTGAAGTCCAGCTCAAGGCAGACGTGGATTCGTACTATAGAGCGAACATGGCTATGGTTTACAGCAATAGCACCATCGGTCCACTTCCCTTTTACTCTAACGGGTCTCAAACCTACACCAATAGCACCGACCAGTACGGAGATCGATACATCTTTGACCCAAACAACATGTACGGTTTCTTGAATCCTTACAACTTCAGCGGAGTCCCCATTCCGGATATTGAAGAAGCCCAGGCATATTACTCTATTGTTGCCCTGTCAACTCGGCAAATCATGGGAGCCTACGTTTTGACCGTACCCCCTTCTGGTGGCTGCTCGAACGGTGGTGTGAACGTGTCAGAGCCACTGTTCTTCCAGAAAGAGATATCTTCAGACGGAAACGTCAACACTGTCGACGTCCTTTACCCAGCTATGCCATTTTTCCTATATGCGAATCCAGAGCTACTTCGATACAGTCTCGAGCCTTTGTTCCAGAATCAGGAGAGTGGGTTCTATCCTAACGGCTACAGTATGCATGACTTGGGCACGAACTTCCCCAACGCGTGAGTGCACCTTTCCGAGCATTTCCCTCCAATCGATGCCATAGTTTAGTCCTAAGACATGTCTCGAGAGCAAATGTTCACAACGCTTCCCAATCTCGTTTTGTAACTCAATTTTCTGCCTCAAAGAAGTCATACTGACTCCGAAATGTGCAGGACTGGACATGTGGAGGGCAATGATGAGTACATGCCAGTCGAAGAAAGTGGGAACATGATCCTCATGACCTATGCCTACTACAAGTTCTCTGGAAACTCGGCATTCGTCCAGCAACATTATGCGAAACTCCAACAATTCGCTTCATACTTGATTGAATACTCGCTACTTCCGGGCCTTCAGGTCAGCACTGACGACTTCGCCGGCGCGCTGGTCAACCAAACCAACCTAGCAATCAAAGGCATTGTCGGCATTCAAGCTATGTCTTTCATATCCACCTTAGCTAATGACTCGTTCGGTTCCCAAAACTATAGCACAACGGCCAGAAGCTTCTATAGCCAATGGGAAGGTTTTGCCATCGATCCTTCAGAGAAGCATACCATGCTCGCCTACCAATGGCGCTCAACCTACAGTCTTCTCTATAACACCTACCCAGACGTGCTCCTCGATCTGAATCTAATTCCGAACTCGCTCTACGACATGCAATCAACCTATTACCCTACTGTCAGTCAAGTATTCGGCATCCCCCTCGACAGCCGCCACAGCTACACCAAGAGCGACGAGTCCATGTGGACAGCTGCAACTTGCACGCCTGAGACCAGGAGATTGTTCGTTAACGCTCTGGGCTATTGGCTCAACGAGACCACGACGCAATACGCATTTACCGATCTGTACGATACAATTGATATGGGCGCGTATCCTGTGAGTCCGAATCCGGTGACTTTCATCGCGAGACCCGTTGCCGGTGGGCATTTCTCGTTGCTGGCGCTGGAGAGAAAGGGGCAGCTGGGGGTCTTGGGAACGGGATTTGGAACTAGCGAGAATTCCACGACATTGCCTTGATAAAAGCCTGAAAAGTCTACCTTCACGTAGTGTCACCCGAAACATGTAAGGAATTAATAATGCTGAGTCCACTCATTTGGAAAAGTCGACAAAAATTCTGACCGTTCACAAACTTTGGCTTCATTAGATGTGACTGTCTAATCAGATGCATACTGGAGCGTTTATCATGGCGCTTTCTTCAGCGCACACGGTATGATGCCTTCGAAGGAGGGCTTTGGCCAGGTATGGGTCCACTTTCTCTAGCCTAAATAACCAAGATGTTTCAGGTATTTAGGGATTTGACACCAGGCTCGGGCTGCGTATCTGTAGCTTCGATCCGGAGCTCATCCCTATCTTTATCTGGACCCATAATCACGGCGACATGGATGTGCTGTGTGCGCTGGTGTGGTTGATTTGCTTCAGTTACCCAGTTCTATCTCTACTCCTGGTCCTTTTTCCTCGAGGAGGTCCAACGGGAACTGGTCATCTGCAAACATTGTTGCGATCAGTGTCTGGGCGCCTTGTCCGGCGGAATTTGTGAATCTCAAATGAAGTAAGCGGTTCCCTCTGCTCTGCGCCAACCGGGCTAGTGTTGTGGGTGCAGATGATATTGTCAAAGGGAACGCAATGTGAACTGGCGCCCTCTCTGACTGTTGCGCCGAAATTGAATGCCTGTTCGGGTAGCCCTTGATCTGCTGATGCTGATATAAGTCTGTTTGAATATCAAGCGTATTCGGCCATGGGAATATCTTTTAAAGATGATCAGTTCCTCCAGCAATGAGAGTTTGGAGGGTTGATCACCACTTCTGGAGGAAATACTGGAACACTGAATGGACTGCGAGCTACTAGGTGGTGGAATGAGTAGACCGCAGACTCCCCATGGAGTACTCGCTCTCACGGGCGGACGAAAGTCTTTGAGCGTACCTGCGACGTGCATGAATCTGCTCGCATCTTCCTCCCATCAAATCTCACGGATCCAACTTAGGAAGTCACTTTCGGGCAAGATCGAAGCGTCTTGCCGCCGCAATGCTCCGTTGTTAGGGTTGCCTAGTGCCCACCCAATTGCTGGTAGGAATATCGGATGCTACGAATCGCACCATGTCTTGAGATTTTTCTGTCCATGACCATTGACTGGCCATCGATGCTCCCTGCTGCGCCCTACAACTTCGAAGTGCGATAATCTGAGATTGACTTACCTAGAGTTCAGGGCAAGACAAAATGACGATATTTATACGCCGCACAAGCCTCGAATAAAACCCAACCCCAAAGTTTCATGAAATCCTTCAACAAGCTTGAAACAACAGTAGCCGACTCGAAAAGCGATATTCTGTAACAGGCATATTATCCAGTCTCCGATGTTCACATCTTAAGGAGAGCGAATATATGAAAGAGCTGCAGGAAGTCCAACCTGAGGCTGAACATTGGTATTTGCTGACTACTGAAAACTTTCGCCATCCTCCTTTGATTTCCAAGTATCAAAGGCCACGGACGACATCCTACCGACGTCATATCATGCAGGAACAGGACCCCATGGCTCCGTAGGATCAGTTGAGTGTTTCACATGCATACGAGCCTCCTCTTGTCCACGCATCGAGCACGGCCATTTTGGGGGTCCGGCAATGAACGAGATGCATATCCAGCTACTGCGTCTCACCATGCGATGGGAAAGGTACCAACCTGACCTATCACTGTAGGTGACTACAATCTGATAGAATAGAAGATCGAACCAACCAACTACGACTCTGCGTTGAATGGCTGTACTGCCTGAGAGAGCCAACGTAGAAGTTTCGGGGCTCTGACTGCAACATGTAACGCTTTATGTCTGAGCAAGGCCTTGGAGGTGCGTGCTTTGCCTTGTCTTCTATCGATATCTGCTATGATCTGCTCTTTGACTACAAGTGTGTTCCAAGTACCGCATCCCCAAGTCAGCCTCGTGTTGCTGTAGCGTGTTGTTTCATCACATGTTATACTTCCAATTGCTGTTCCCCAGTCTCCAAGGACCCGTATACCACTGGGGCTATGGCCGGTCGGTGACGAGGTGAATATGACTTAGCGATTCCGACACGGTCCAGCGATTTTTGATCGAGTATAAGACAGACATTCTGGACGCGTAAGTCAGACATTATTCCACCATACCTATCGACTTGGACTCCTGTATTCCAACCAAGACACACAGCGATCCTCTCTCGCTCGAGCTATTCCCCAAAAACCATTCCAAATAGAACCATCCATTCACAATGCTCCCAAACTTCATCATCCCCCTTGCCTTCGCGGGTGTAGCATTCGCTAGTGTCCTGCCCATTGGCTACTGCCCTCAGCCAATAACCACCTACACCGCTAGTGCCGCCCCTTTCTACTATGGTCCTCCTGTCCTCGACACAGATGTCGCTTCGTGCAACTCGACCGATACCACAACATGCGCTCTTGGAGTCAGCGCATCTACCAGCGCTGGCTACACCATTACTATAGGTGGTGGACTGACACTCAATCTGTGAGTTTCATAATTCGAAAGTGATGTGTGAGCGAGGCCAGCACTGACAACGAACAGGCCTGAAATCGGCTCAATAGCTTTCAACCCTTCAGTGAGCTACTCTTACACAACGACAAAGGGGACCAGTGACGGGTACGATTTCCTTTCCCTCATCCCAGACCTTGATTGGTGAATACTGGCTCATAATTCTCAGTGTGAATTGTCCCGAGGGAGGCTATACCTGTGGCATGACCTCCGTTACACCATGGCAAACTATCACGGGTAACCAGCATAGCTGTGATGGCGGCGGATGGCCGGCTTGCAAGCCTTGTGGTGACAATGCTTATTCCATTAGAGTCCCGGCGCAAACAGCTGAGATCAGCTGGGCGGCTTGCATCGCTAGTGATTCGCTGAATCAGAAGACCGGCCCGAATTTGGAGAAATGTCCGTAAAGGCAAGAAGAGCTGTGTTGGATGTGGCGATGCGTTTGAGTGCATGAGTGCACGAGTGCGATGTTGTGGTGCATGATATGTACTCGTACTTGAAGACTGTTTACTCGTTCATGTGATCTCGTTCATCTTCTGATCTAAAGACTTGCATGATGCTGGCTTGGTCCCAAATTTCCATGAAGTCATTCGAAAACGTTGGAATGCCAGCCAACGGTGTTTTTAAGGTAGAAGCACGCTGAACATCTCTGGTAGCTCTATACTGAGTCCAGGCCGCCTTGACCGTCTGTCAATTGAGCCATTCGACAGTCTGCAGGTCTCTCAAGACGGAGGCATTTCATCCAAATGGGGCCTTTGCGCTGCTCGACAAGCCGGCTGACATTGATCGGAGGTGTATTGAATGGCAATTGGAATGCAAGTATGAAGTATTTGGGGTTCAGAACTTGTGAGCTAGGAGTTTCACGTGCTGGACTGCATAATAAAGTCCAGTATGCAGACTTGATGCAGCATTAGTAAGCCAAGAGATGTCATAGCGGGTCCACTCAAGCAAAGGTGGCAGTCTTGGGTAAAAGCCACTTCATCTGCCGCCAAGCACAGGGTATCAAGGCGCAAGTATTTGCTGTTGTAATTGTGGAAAAGGTTCATACAGGGCAATTAGTAAATCAATCGCCTGTAGTGTGTATGTTCTGACGACTCAGACCGGTAAAGTACATTTAAGACGAGGGGGATGTTTGCAACTGCAACTGCAACTGCAACTGCCTCTTTCGAGACTTGATACGAGTAGCTGCGGAAACCTTGATCTGCGAACGCATCAATACTTTACCCGGACCTGAATGAACTCTGACCATTACACGAGGCCATGGAACTCACCTGCGGAATCTATTCATCCCTCCAAGCACTTGATGTCGCTCGAGAAAGATGAGCCTCCCAATGCGCCGCAATGAAGCACGCGCCTCCCTCCCCGAGGCCGCCCAGCCGAGAAAGTCTGAAAGCTATTTCCTACAACGATACCATTGCTGCTAAACCTCCCATACCCATTACTGTCGCTACACCTCCCTCAAGATCATCTCATACCGCATTCAATAGCCTCCGACGGCCCAAGACCTCCAATCAGCGCCTTTCCCCTCAAGCTGCGCGGTTGAGACTACAGGATGATGCCAGGAGAGACTCGGGTCTGGCGCCCTCGAGTTCTACCACAAGAGATAGTCGAACGACATTGGGAACAGATATTGAGTCGACGACCAGCATGAAACGTTCGCCAAGCATTCCAAGTTTCTCGGCGAATGAAGCGGCCCCTTCTCCCACACCAAATACTACAGGAGATGAGGAATCAAGATCAAAGGAGCAGACCGAGCGTCCTGCAATACCGCAGTTACCGTTCATGAGCATACTGACGGAGATACCGTCTGGGAATTTCGAGGACTTGACGTTACCTGGGCAGGTGGAGTTCTCAAAGAGAGGGAGCATGCTGATAGGAGGCAAGAAGGCGAACAAGGGGCATGGCCGCGTTGTCAGTAATGGACGGGTGATTGGCAGTCGGAGGACGTTGAGCAAAGATTTACTGTCCCCACCGCCATGTCTACCTACGAGGGTGCTATCCGCAAATGACGAAACCCTCTCCTACAAGGTCCGGTCAATGTACGAGGGCGGAGCGGAAGAGGACTTTAGTTGCGCGGCTGGAGTGCACGACAAGATGGGCCACGGGCCAATCGAAGTGCAGAAATCAAGTATACGGCAGGTGTCAAACTTGTCTCTGGGTCCGGCAAATACGCCACAGATCACTATGAACGGTGAATCGGCCCGCAGAGTACTTTCTCAGGCAACGACGAACACGAGCAAGAGGAGTAGTGCGATCATCCGAGAAGCCAACGAATTAGCGGGTGGGATTGAGGATTGGGAGGATCTGAATGGTGGAGACGTTGATCGTTACGGATTCATCGTTCCACGCAAACCATCTTCGCAAGCCTCATCCCTGAACTCCAGCCAAGCGAGATCGCCAGAACCCCCCCGTATACAGCGTATGTGTACGCTCCTGCAAGTTGCTTCAGACGCCCCGAGAAGACAACGCAGTACGATCAGGGGCAAGAAGACACCATCGGCTCAAAGCCCAGCGCGCTCTGCGGCAATGCCTTCGTCGTCGAGACCTGTGTCCAGGATTGTCCGTCCAAAGTCTTCACAGAGCTCATATCGGACCACAACCGGCAACCAGTCCAGAACTCGCTCTGCTGCAAACAGGCTTCCTTACAACAAGGACAGGAGATGCGTGGACGAAGCAGGCGACATGCTCACACTTCCTCCTGGGCTGGCAGACATTGCAGAGGATGAAGAAGACAGCAAAATGGCAGACGATCTGAAGCGACGCGAATGGGAGAGAGAGGAGAAATGGAGGAAGATGGCTAAGATTGCCAGGAACAAGAATGGTGGTGGCATGGTCTTCGAATTCGACACTAAGAGTCCCAAGGTCATCGAAAGGACGTGGAAAGGTATACCAGACCGATGGCGCGCAACGGCATGGCGTGCATTCCTGACCGCCAGTGCTAAGAAGCGGCGAGGTAGCCCAAGCGACGACGAGCTCATCGCTGTCTTCAATAAGTTACTGACTCAAAGTTCTCCGGATGATGTACAAATCGACATCGATGTTCCCCGGACAATCAATGGCCACATCATGTTCAGACGGCGCTATCGAGGAGGGCAACGCTTGCTCTTCAGAGTCTTACACTGCCTCTCCATCTACTTCCCAGATACAGGCTACGTACAAGGCATGGCTGCCCTAGCAGCTACTCTTCTCTGCTATTTCGACGAGGAAATCACATTTGTCATGCTCGTGCGCCTGTGGCAGCTTCGAGGTCTGGAGCGTCTATACCAGTCCGGCTTCGAAGGTTTAATGCAAGCGCTTGAAGAGTTTGAGAGAGATTGGCTCGGAAAGGGGGAGGTGGCAGCGAAGTTGGTGAGTCTGCGCCATCTACCAAACGCGAAAGAGTGATCTTTGAATGGGTTTGACTAATGGGCTCGCAATAGGACGAATACAACATCTCCCCTACCGCCTACGGCACCCGCTGGTACCTCACCCTCTTCAACTACTCCATACCTTTCCCCGCCCAACTCCGCGTCTGGGATGTCTTCATGCTTCTCGGCGACCCTGACCCATCTGCCTCTCTCTCACCCTCCCCGTCATCCTTCAACGGCGGCCTCGACGTCCTCCATGCCGTCTCAGCCGCACTAATCGACGGCACGCGGGAAATACTATTAGAGTCTGATTTCGAAAACGCAATGAAAGTGCTTACAAGCTGGATACCGGTGAAAGACGAAGAAATGTTGATGCGGGTTGCGAGGGTGGAGTGGAAGACCAAGAGGAGGAAGAAGCCGTGAACACCTTCCACGGCCTCTGCTAATGCCATGGTAAGAGGAGGAAAACGCGATGAATGTCTTTTGGGCTGCTGTTTGCTTGCGACCGGTGCTGCGGACGCTTTGGAACCTACCTCGCTTGGCTTGGGAAACGTTGCTTGGTTGCAAATTAGTATGATACCCCACATATCGCATATTTTCTTCGGTTGCTTTGGGAAATTCTTCTATCGCTTTGGGAATTGGGGACGTACATAGCGGTATGATAATGGGGAATATCTCTAGCAGGATGAGTGGGAGGAAGATGGATAGAATGTCTGGAATGTCTATCAGTTTAGACAGCTTTATAGTCAATAATGCCTAATTAAACAGTTTGCTTCAGGCTTTGACATCATCCGTTGTCGTGGCTTACTGTGAACCTGGCAGAGATGCTGAAAGCCCTCGGTCAGTGGGTACAGGACAAGAAAAAGGGTAGATCTGAAGTCGTTAAAAGCTCTCATTAAATTAAGCCTGCCGCTATACTGATATGTCATCCACTATCCCAAGGCTATACAACGAAGGAACGTAGCCAATGCTCCAAGAGCCTTCAATCCTCCTCCCATATGCCAAACCCACGTTCTCAGCCTCAAGCTGCCCATATGATAAATCAATAATGCCAAAATTCATGTCAGCGTCGTAGTCGTGATAGTCGTACCCCAAGCCATACCCATGCTCCGTCGTAAATTATATCGAGAGATATACGCCGTGTTCTTTTGCCCATGCTCCATCCCAGCTATGCTCTGAAATCCGTAATCCGGAAGGTTGATAAAACGTCTCAAGGCTCAATGTCCCTACTCTTGATCCTAATCATGTCATCACTCAAACTTGCCATCCACAGACACCTCTCCAACGCCCCTTCAACGGGACGAAAATCGTACTTTGCGCTCGCGTCAATGAGTCTTAAGAGACTCTTGACGATAGTAGCTGCAGTGCGGAAGCGTTCAAAGTTGATCAAAGGCTCACTGTCGCGCGTGCTAGCAACGACGGATGGTTTTTGTGCGTTATAGGTAAGGTCGTGGATGTAGAGTGCTACATAGACAATTAGACAAAGCAAGGGTGGAAGGCCAACTATAGATCACTTACGGACGAAAGGAATGCAGCCTTCATCAAGGTTAGCCGTCTCCATATCCTGTCTCAGATTGTGGAAGTTCTTGATTGGTGTAGCCAGCATCTCCATCTCCTTCAGCATGGCCTTCTCCGACGCAGGCACCAAATCCCACGTCCTCGTAAGACGCGCACAGTCGACAGATGTCAAAGCAATGGTAATCTGCAGGACAGTAGCGTAGTTGTGGTATTTCCTAGCATGCTGTGCAATATGTATGTATTTGATGATTGCTAATGCGCGCTCCTCAATATTTTGCGTCAGTACAATCTCAGACAGAGTCCACTTGACGATGATATTGAAGCGAGCAGTGACGAGCTCGATGCCCGTAGGATCTTGGTAGCGAAGATATTCCACCCAGTTCAAGGTCTGAGTAGAAGAGTGCTGCCAGCGCATATCGATTAGATCTTGCCAATTGATTTCATTGAGGCCATCTCTTTCAATGATAGTCAGCTGCTGTGCAAGTATCGCCGCATCATAGGCTAGGATGAAAGGTATATGTCGCCTTGGAGGGAATTGATGAACGGTATTCGCAAAAGGCTGCAAGACGGATCCGTCGACCTCTCCCGGTGAACGACTCTTTCCTGGCTCTGTAATCCTGCTGACAGGTGAGGGTTCTGGCGTAGGAGGCTTTCTCTGCTCTTGAATGCGGTTGGTCTCTGAGGTGATAGCCATCGCATTCTCCGTGGTCATTGGAGGCGAAGGCAGGTAGCCCTGCGCATATCCGACATTAGGTGGCAGCATACCACCATGCATAAAGCGCGCCGAGGATCCATAAGCCTCCTCTAATGCTTCATTGGGCGCCTCAAATTCATCAGAAAGCTCCGATGACAGATCGCTCAAAGACTCATCATCGTCAAGTAGGAAAGAATCAGTTGTACAACTTGGCATCGATGATCGATACCTGCCTCTTCTGAAGGCTTCATAGCTCCCTACGTCATCGTTGTCAGCCGCAAGAGATAACTCCTCAGCTTGATCGTTTCTGGGGAATCCGCCATTGGGCTGACTTGGGCTGAACAGAGGTCGAGGAACAGTGACATTGGACTGGTCAGAACCTGTCTGCGCAGTCTGTCTTGCCTTCTTGTTGAGGCCCCTTTCAAGAAGGGGGATGGAGTTGTAAGATTCTTCGGATTCTGCATAGAGGCTTCGAGCCATAGTATCCCTGTGATCATTTCTTGTACCTGCTGTGCGAGGTTGGCCACTAGGTCCTGCGCTCGTAGCTGTTCCGGGCGGAGTGAGCATCGCGTCTACCCAGGGCAGTTCATGCTCTTTATTTTGGGGCTTGGGGCTTCGAGACTGTTGAGCGTATTGCTCCTTTGCTCCCATGTTTACCATAGTGGCTGTACCGGTATTGGAGGGTTTTCCAGAAGACCCCACAGGGCTTTTTCTAAACTTCCCTTCCAGTTTTGCAAGAGTAGCCTCAAGGTCGCCTCCCTCATCGTCAGGTATACGAGCAAACTCGGCAACTGCAGCTTCGAATGATGGCCGTAGATCTGGCTGAGAAGGTCGACTACTCATGAGCGATATAGCTTTTTCTGCAACGACTGGGGCACTTTGCGCTGGGGCAGGCAATGACTGTTGCGGATTTTTTGCTGTTCTCTTCAAATATGCCCCAGAGCTATGCATCGAGTCTGTGAAAGTAGTGATTGAACCTGTCGATTTAGGCCTAGGTATTGGCTCCATCTCATGCACGTTATGATTAGCGCGAAGATCCCCACCAGGTCGCCTTCGAAGCATTCTTCCTGCGGGCTGATCGAAGTGTTCCTTTGAGGATGTCGGAGGCGAGTCTGAAGCGGTGGTAGCTTCCACGCTGCGATCTGGCCCACTTGTTCTCATGCCGCTTTGATATGACGCATACTTTCTCAGCGATTTGGGTCCAGAACGGCTGGACCTATATGATACGTAGGATTTGCCCGTGGCCATCGACGGTCTGGGTTGGTCTGAAGGCCCAACGCGGCTGATACATTCCGAGATACGCGAGCTCCGATGTTCTGTTGGAGAGCTTGGTAACGCAGGAATAGTGAAAGGAGGGAGCAAGACAGAAGATGCGGTATGATCGTCATTCTGAATTTCACGTTCGGGAGGCTGCGTAGTGACAAGAGGCTCAAAAGCGGCAGGCAAAGGTGGCGTATTGAGATCGGTCATCGAGAAAGGTGGACGCGAGAACTCGCGTGAGGGTTCGCCGCTTGGCATGTTCCGGAACTCTTCAGGCAGACTCGGTACTGGGGGTTCCATGGCCGTATCATCCACGATGACGATAGACTGGCTACCATTAGTCATCTCACTGTGACCCCTTTGGAGAGCTTCTCTCTCAGGTGTGCCTGATAGCTGACGAGGGTCGGGTGACGGCTGCTCGCGCTCGTTGCCAGAAGCAACACCAATGCTGCTGAGAGGTCGCGTCATCTGCCTCGGTTCCTGCGTCATTGCACGCTCAAACATATCTGTGATGTCAGCGCATAGCAGATCTATGCGTGAATTATTCTTGAGTGCCTCAAGTTGATGGTGTTGATCACCGAAACCCTCAATCTTGTACGCAATATGCATAGGTAACGTCGAATCTTTCATCTCGACCATGAATGGTGCGGTTGATAATAGAGTTGGGGTCGGTGTGCTCGAGTTCTGTTTGCTGCCTATAGCTCGACGAATAGTCCCCAGCAGGTTTTTGACTCCTGGACTCATTGGTCGTACTGTCACCTTGCTACCATCGAGCCCATCAACGTAGTTAGCATGCTTTGGCAGGCTAGAGGTTGATTTTTGGTGCGCTAGGTTGTCGATGAAAGGTGAAGCGGGCGGAAGGACGTTACCGCGGATGAGGCTACCAGAGAATGGAAATGCCATTACAGCTTGTTCAGTCGAGTGCTCCGGCTGCAAGGGTAAGGATGTACGTTTGTCCCTGAGAGCGTCTGAGAAACTTCCGCTTCGCTCATGGCCTTGCTTCAAATGAGGAGGTTTTTCGTTCGCTTGTGCTGACGGAGCTGCGGGGCCAACTCGACGAATTGCTGGTGGAACGGTGGTAGGTATGGGATGCGGACCGACGTTACGCTGCGATTGAGTCGCAAACGCCTTCATTGTCTTTCCTGGTATAGAACAAGACATTGCTTGTATGCTTTGCTCACTCAACGGAGTAGACATTGGAAGACTGCGTGAGGTTGTCACAGATACCCCACGGTCCGACTTCGCTTTCCCCTGATCTTCAGCTTCAATAACACTGTCGACCCAGTTGTGGAGTGCGGCCACAGATTTCGCTTGGTCCACTTGCTGGGATGAAGACTCTGCGATCCTTGCCCAGAGCTCGCTCGGATGAGTGAGTCGACTGTCGCGGCTGCCCACGATACCGCCGGGACTGATATCAATGTCATTGCGACCGTCGACGTCTCCAAGCGGGTTGTCCCAATATAGGGCGCAGCGGCCGTTCCAACATTTCTTCAGGTCGATGATGAGCTTCAAGTCACTCGGCTCATTAGATGACCGCAGTCGAACCTGATGCGTCAGCGTGTTGAGGTGCTGGCAGAACTTAACACGAAGGTCGCGGTCGACAACGAAATCGTAGGGAAAGTAGTTGAGGACCCAGTGACGAATGGCAGCAAAGGCTCGTACACGAATGACTCGACCATCGTCATCGAATCGATTGACTGCCCACTCGAATCTCGTCAGTAGGTAGTCCAGCAGGTCGTGGGTTGACAGGTAAGCCCGAACGGTAAGAAAGAAGTCTGAAAGTAGCTCGTAGTCCAGAAAGTTCTTTGATGTAATCTGGGCTATAAGCCGAGCTGGGGACGCGGCCGATATTTCCCGAGTGCTCATAGCGTAACGAACAATGGCCGGATCGTCCGGGTTGGCAGCGATCGAGTCGTATATGGCTGGTATGATGGGTTCTCTCGCTCGATGGTATACTGGCGAGGCAGTTGTTATCGGAATCCGGGCCGCTGCAGGTGTCATTTGACCGTTATGCTGTTGCGGAGCATTCTGAGAATGTCTGCGAGATAGCGACGAGTGAGTCTCAACGCCAGGTGGCACCGGGAAAAAGGTATCGTATTCTGGTCCCGAAATAATAGATGACTCATGGCCATCAACAGTTGAAGCTCTGGAGTAGACTTGACTGTGTAGAAAGGCCGTCCCCCGAGTACTGAATCTGGGCGTCCCAAGCCTGTAATGGGGTATCGGCACTTCCAGTGAAGGCATTATTTTTTCTCCAGGATATCTAGGTGCTGGGTCTGTTTGGTTGATCACAATGTTGACCTGGACGTTTTCTAAGTTATTGCCAGCACCAATCGTTGACACCGAGCCGCTGCGAGAAAGTTTGACAGATCGGACGGACATGGAATTGGAGCGCTGCGTTCCACGATCAATGGAATTTGTGCGGCGGGGGCGTGTTGGTGTTCGAGACGCTTGTGTATCTGACCAGTGTTTCTTCCCTGTTGAACTCTCGACATCTGTATCATGTTCGTAACCCTTCGGAGGCCTTGCAACTGGATAAGCAGAGGATGGCATGGGAGACTCAAGGTGAGTCCGTGTGATGGGTCTGGCAAGGAATCATGTTCAGTACATTAACACTAACAGTTCATCAAGGAGAGAGGAGAGCTTTAAAACAGTACAAATCTTACCTCAAGTAAATCTTGCCATTGTTTCCAACGTTTGCCACGGTGAATTGCCTTCCTTCTCTTGTGGCTGGATTGGAGTCCACTACACCGCCTTTGCCATCTCTTTTCAATGAGCGTTGCCGTAAAACGTCTGTGCTGTTCTTCGTCCGTTTCAGGGAGTTTTGTCGGCCTCGGGTCCGCGTATCATCTGACGATTTCCTTTCGGAGTCCATGCCTTGTTCGAGGTTGTGGCGTGCTGTCGAGGCATTCTCCTGACCACGTCCAACCAGTATAGAGGGTATTTCAGGCCGCTCTTCGGTCCATCCTCGTCTGGGTGGGCTTGCCGGACGGCCTGCTCCGACGGATGGGGGTTGAAGCATTGCTGCGGGCGCCATGGCGGCTGTGAGTGTACTGTCGTGCGATTCACAAGCATCCAGAGCTTGACCTTAGGAGTATTTATGCCAGAGCTAGCCTCGCTTGAGCGGTTTTGGTCGCTCAAATGTCGAGTGGGGTGGTGACCATGGAGTTGCGGTCAAGTCAGCAGCGATTAACTGCTGCAAGCGCCGATAGGCTGTGTCGCAGAGGAGAGGCTTGAAGCAGTCATCGCGATACCGGAACCATCGACGATGCAGCCAAATTGAGTATGCAAGGAGTGGCGAGTGTAGACAGTACGGGAAAGGTAGAGTTGAATAGGAGATGCAAATTTCTTTGAAGGTGAGATCGAGGTTGTCCGACGAAGGGCAAGGCCTATTTCCAAGCAAATTGGTTTTTGGAAGGAGGGGACCTCCCCTTAGCAGGAGGCAGGGCACCAGCACCAGCCAGTACTCGACCAAAGCCACCGAATTCCGAGGTTTTACCGTAAAAAGTCACCCTTATTGGCAACAATTCGGCAAATAGATCTTTGCCAAGGCCCATTCAAAAGTACGGTACTCTACGGTACTCTACGGTACTCGTAATCTCTAGAATTTAAGAGTAGGTATGCTCCTCCAACGTGCGCTGACAGGGAATTAAATACTACTTTTATGTATACCTACTCTAGAGGCTACATGGTAAAGTAAGGCATGAGGGTGCTCGGTAGAAGAAGCTTGACAAACACCAAAGAGACCGGTCGTTTGAAAGCCGAAAACTCCTCCCTCGTCTCTTTTGTATCTTTCAACATTTTCTTGAACTGCCGGTTGCAGAAGGAGAAGCGAGACCAAGGCCCGAAGATATATGTACCGTACTGTTAATTCCTGCGGGGATGCTGTACGATGTCGCCACCATTATTAATATTGTTATTGTTATTATGATTAGGTATCGTTACGGCGCTGGCACTTACCGCTTGGAGATGGGTCCCTGTGGTCCGAGGTGGCCGCTTCTTTATCGTGACTTCGTGACAGTGACAGCCCATGAGTGACGAATCACGGATCGTGGCAAAGCACGCTACCAGGTTAGGCGCGGGTGGAAAAGTGAAGGTTGTGCCGACGCGCGAAAGTAAAAGTATCTTACTTTACTCTAGGTACTTCATTTTCTTGCTACCGATAGACTGGACTTCTTATTTGAATCAAGATGCAGCCCAGTCTCTCCGTGCTGATAATGCAGGTTATTGCTCTCTGTTCGACAATGATTCACTCCACGAAGCGACTGGGTCCGTTGCACCATACAACACAGCTCATAGTTGTCCCAGTTTCATCACCAGAAGTGGGCTGTCAGATGTAAAAGAGGAGAAATTCCTCCATCTTCCGAAAAACCCTAGTCAACTCCTTGCTTCTGCAATCACCGATGATGCTTCCCTCCACACTCTACCCAGGGAGGGCTACACGAGCAGATCCCCCTACTGTAGATGAATAGATTCTAGAGTACTGGCCTCCTGCAAACATTTGGAAGCCACACCTTCCTGGAGAACGTCCGCTTTGAAAAGTTGAGCATACGTCGAATAGTTAGTCTCGTCCCTGGTGTATATGAAGGAGGTATAGACTCCGACAAAGAACTGTCTAAAGTCTTCAATGTGCCTTTGCCTCGGTCCAGACCTATGAGGAAGGCTTGCACGTGGGCAGTGGGCCGCAAAGGACCCGAAGATCTTGGAGACGCAGCTATGACCTATGAGCAGAGATCGGAATCCATGTTCTGAGGCTCAAGCTATACCACATGGTACGCCAGCAAATGTCCAACAAGGGAGCGATGCCACTTGCAATCACTCGCACAATGTGCCCAAGACCGACCGGCAAGGCTTGAGGGTAGGGCCATGACACATACACTCAACGGCTGGATCTGGCGAAGCAGATCAATAGAAGCCCGGCAATAGAGCCAAGGGGTAGGAGCTACGAGATGTGTATGTTCGGGTGCCCACTTGCCGCAGAGTCTTTGAACACATGAGGGCGCTGCGGTAAAGATGCAATAAAAATCGATGGGAAGCGCCGAGATAGCTGCGCCTTAGCCGTCGATGAGAACCGAAAGATCCTCTGTGAAAGCTGTGAATGTGATGCATATGGATCCGTGACACCATCTCTGCGCATTGCATGACTTCTCTTCAACTGTGAGCAAGTCGCACGTAGACGGAAGGCCACTACTCTCTATGACTGACGCTCTATGGGGACTTATCCTGGGATTTTGTCGTAGGTTAGAGTTCGATCTCGCATTCCCGGTCTTGTGTCATCCTCAATACGAAATGATGATGTATTTGCTTGATTCTCTTTCCAGCCCATATTCTACACTGTGCTAATTGCAATAAATACTGGGACTGAAATTTTTAAGGAGGCCGGTAAGCATGCGAAAATTTGTACATCACCTCTAGCGAACGCTCTGAGGACTTCTCACCATAACTCGCAAGTGGGCTCTTTGACTGGACACTGCAAGTTCTCCAGTCAGTAAATTTCTTTCCAAAATGAAGAATATGGTACATGTTAGAAACTAGAGGGCTGGAAGAGATGCATACCTCAAAGCTCTTCCTGAAATCTGGCGAATTCGCCATCGTACCAAGAATGCGAGCCCTAGTCGGCACATGTGGAACTCGATTGACAAGATTCGCAGCTGCTTCTGGTCTCACCTTCCCACACCACCAAGTCGCGTAGGAGATAAAGAACATCTGCTCCTTGGTGAAATTCTGAAGACCTGGTAGAAGCTGTCCAGGCTCAGTGCCTTCGGCGTCCTTCCAAGCCGCGAATGCAGCCTTGACCCCTCCTGCATCTGCAATATGTTCGCTCACGTGCAATGGCTCGCCGTTAGGATTAGGTACTGTAAGCTCGTGGTATTGATCGATAAAGCATTGCGCTTTGTGTTCAAAGGCTTCGACGGTGCTATTGTCCCACCAGTCTGTGAACTTGCCGGTCTCGTCGTAGTGACGTCCCATGGAATCGAAAGCTAGCTGAATCAGCTAAGGCGCATCCACGTACTCTGGAATTGGCTTACCGTGTGACAGCTTCTGCCCGCTCAAAGATCCGAATGCGCCGTAGCTCAGGTACTGAGGTATGCTTGGATCATAGAAGACGGGAGCTTGCATGATACCGGCGGGGAAGACAACCTCATTGCCAGCTGGGTTGTAATACGCCTGATGAGTGTCAGCGATCAGAAACCACGGCGGTGCCACACGTGCACGCAGGTTAAGACCACGAACATTGACTGTGTCTGCAGTCATTCCCCATTCATCACGATTCCTAGGTTTACCTAGAGCAGACCATTCGCGCTCTATGGTGAATTTGGCAATGGAAAGTGCATTTCCGAAGAAGGCCGTGCTAGTAATATTGACATCCGCATAGTATTCTTCAAGGGCAGCAGAGTCGCGGATATCTGGGCTTTTAGTGGGGTAGCCTATCTTTTGTTTGATGTTGTGAACTGGGTCGCAAGTTGTAAGTTATGTTCTAGCTTTTTGACTAAATAGAGGACACATACCTTTCTCTATACCGAGATCCCTTACGTCTTTGCTCATCCAATCCGCTCCCCTCAATGTCTTGATGAACTGCACCTTGATGTCCGAGACGATCTGATCACCGAAATGCTTGGCTTCGTCTGAGAAAGCTTTCTCCACAAAAAATTTGCTGAGGATCCAACCTATAGTAACAAGATCAGCAGCTTCAGCCAGCTCAAAGACTGCTTTCAACACGTACCGAGCCCATTGTCCGCGACCTTGATGCAAGTCCTCCATCGCTCCTCCGGCGCATCAAAATCCCTGCCTAGTAACTCATTGTTGAACCTTTTCAACGGCTTTAACGCGTCGTCTTCAACACTGTATGCGTAAGCTTGCACTGTCTTCCAAACAAAGTACGCCTGCAGAGCCTCTGCACTTGTTCCTCGCAGGATCTCAGGAAGTGCCTTGAGGTAGGATGGAGATCCGACAATCAATTTCGCCGGCTTGAAGTCCGCAGGGGCCAGGGTGGAGACGAGATATTGTACAGACAGCTGCGGTAAGAGGCCTTTGATCTGATCTAGGTTCATTGGGTTGTAGTATTTAGTGACGTCTCCAGCATCCTCTTCATCTGGTGTCGCTTGAGCCAATCTGGACTCGAACAAGACAATGCTTTCGACCAATTCAGCACTTTTCGTAGAAACTTGAGTCCATAATCTTGTGAGAGGTCTCGAATCGGATTTGGCCTCCGCGAGCAAAGCTTCCAGGACTTGGCCAATGGTCTTGGCGTAGCGGGCGACTAACTCCGGTCTCTTGTAATACTCTTTCGTAGGAAGTCCTGGCCTGCGTGGTGCAGCTATGAAAGGAACGACGACATCCGGATCTTTGTCGTCGGCCTAGAAACATCAGCTTTGAGAAAAGAGCAGGAATCGAACGGGAACGGACAGTGACATAGAACGAGATTAGCGGATCCATGCCGATACTCGTCAAGTAGGTCAAGGTCTTCGAAAGTTGGTTCTCGCCTTTCAAGATGAAGTCTTTCTGGTCCATGTTCTTGAGCAACGGGAACAAATCTGGCCTTGCGGCCGGAAATAATTCCTCAACCTTCCGCAAAATGTCAAGAAGCGGAGCGGAGCCAATGTCTTTAATTACTTCTTCATTCATGCAAGCATTATATGCCGTCTGTAACTTTTTGAAGATTTCCCTTTTGGCGGAAGAGTCTATCTCCATCTTGTAATCGTCCACTGAATACGGGGATTCTAACAGGTGACGAAGAATCTGTTGTGAATCTTCCGCCATGATTGTGCCTGTAAATGCGCCTTCTTGATCTGCCCGTAGATCGTGTTTCTCCTGCCAACCCTCGCATACGAATTGGTCAAAGTCATGACTTGATGATTTCGGAGTCAGCATTACTCTTTCGGGAGGAATTCTACGTCGCGAGACATGTCTTAGGAGCGGAGAACACTTAAACATGCCTGACGATTCATGAGACAGCATGAACGGGGAAGAATTGACTCGGAAATTTTAACGTACCACGGATCAATTGCGTGGTATCTTGGTGACACGTTTTCCAGTATCCTTGAAGCCGCAATGACACATGCCGGAGTGAGGCAAACGGTGTCAGGGACTTCCGGGTCAGAGTCGCCACTGTCCTGATTGTACGCGACTAGGAATCCGACTTCAGTCAAATCTGGTGCTGGGGACAAGTCAAACATACCTGCAAAGTAGACCAGTAGCGCAATAAGGCCACCTAGTAATAGCAATATGATTGCGGTTGCCATGAGATTGTTCAACAGCCAATTCCAGGACTTTCTGAGCCAAATGCGAGGTTTCTCCCGCTTTGGTACTTTGCCGTTGGCCTGTGGCGCATCCTCGACGCTGTCTGCTTCATCGTCGCGAGCATCATCAGCGAGCAGCGGCGCCTGTTCGCTATCCCTTGCGGATGTCATAATGATCAAAGAGGATGGTTAAATCCCGCTGATTATCTACAGTGAATGGCAACAAAAGCTGTAGACTGGAATGGGACGGGATGGGATGGAAAGCATATGCACACGACCAACAAAAACGGACTTTGATTGGGATGGATCTATCAAAGAACAATATACGCACAGTCCACAGAATTAAGAAACGATAAAACAAAACAAGAACCAACCGCAATGGTAAACCCAGCTATTCGGAATACCCAGAGAAAGGAATATAGACAAATGACGATGGGAAAGGATGGAAAACAAGATCTCGAATATCAGAACTCTTAAGGCTGAAAGCATGATTGTATACCGCACTAGCCCCTTTTGTAACCACTTGGCGGGGGTGCCGCAAAGATCTCGAAAGGTGCAGACAGCTCGAGAGATTCCTTGATCCGATACTGAGTTCCATCGAGCGACGACATCCTGATTGGAATCACCAAGAATTCTCCCGGACATCAGCCTCCTGAGAAGGCATGCTGGAAAAGCCATGACCTACAACTTAGGCGGCTTCTGATGAGGGGCCACAATGGACATTGGGGATCAACATTCCGATGATGAGGTTGGCTTTGAGGACGCAGAGGAGGTACCGCAGCATCGACCTCTGCCGTCCGACTTACCGAAGTCACTCGATGATAGGCAGCCAATCCGTCATTATGCTGGGGAGACTGAGATGTACGACGCTTGGCAAGGTAGTTGTTGCCTCGCGGAGCTATGAGCTCCTGGAGAATGCAGGAGATCGCTAATTTACCGATTAGGCCAATCGCAGTTCCTCACTAGTCCCGTGCCTGCCCAACCGCTTGCTTTCAATCTCTCACTAGATGACGATCGCGACGATAGCGACAATGCTACGCAACGGCTCGAGGATAACGATACCAGGTTGATGGAGATGTTAGCTGCCCAAGCTGCGCATCGGGAAGATGGATCAGCTGCTGGGGACGAAGAGGCAATTGCTGCAGATAAGAAGCTTTCCGACACAGAGAAGAAGGCTATGCTACAGAAGTCACTGCACAATGCTGCCAGCAACGGGGATGTAGATCAGGTCGGCAGAGTATTGCGGGGTCCTGCGCGCAAATTTATCGACATCAATGGCCCGGACGAAGAAGGGACGGCACCCATAATATACGCCAGCTGCTTTGTGAGTTCGTGTTCGAAATCTTCCCGTTGGGGTCACGCGCTGATTTATTCCATCATTTCTAGGGTCACCAGGATGTGGTCTTGGCCCTTTTGAACGCTGGAGCAGAAGTGGATAGGCAAGACAAGAATCAGTGGACACCTCTGATGTGGGCAATGACGAATCGGCATAAGGATATTGCGAAGATGCTGCTGGACCACGGTGCCTCGTCAACGATCAAGTCATCTTCGGGGCGGACAGCGTTTGACTTCGCAGCGCCGAACAGCGAGATATCAGACTTTCTACACCAGAACGGGTATGGCATAGGAGATGTGGGCGTCGATGACTTCTACGACAATGGCTTCTCCCAGGATAGGTTCGAGCAAGAGATGGAGGAAAGCGAGATGAAAAGGCGTATGATGATGGAAAGCTCAATGAATCTAGAAGTCGACCTATCAAGCTTGGGCATGGACGAAAGACCGGAAGTAAGTCGCAGTAGACTTCTCTGTTGATGAAAGAGCTAATAGAGCGAAAGTCACCTGAGGAAAGTGACGAGCAACAAGATTTCGTGTGGGATAGGTGTTTAAACGACCAGATGTTCGTCTTCCAAGAAAATGAGTTGGGGCCAATATTGGACATCATCATCACAACCATGACACCGCAGCGGTCGCCATCGCAAAAGCCGGTACCGGCAAATGTTCTGTTTCTTGCAGCGCGATACGCCCACTATCATGGAAGCCGTGAGCTCTTGGCCACCCTCTTGCTCTCAGCTATGGATAAGATTAATATCAAGGTTGAGCGGCACCAGTGGGATATGACAGTTCTAGCCTTTTGGATTTCGAATGCTACGTTGCTGCTACACTATCTGAAGAAAGATGCTGGCCTTGTAGGAGCGACTACTGAGTTCCAGGTCCAGCTAGTAGAGCTCATCAATGAGATCTTCATTCTAATTATCAGAGACGCAGAACGGCGTATGGACAAGGTCTTGAAGAGCGCGATTCTTGATCACGAGACCATTCCATTTGATCATCTCGAATTTGCAGGCGAATGGAACATATTCCGATCCAAGAACAAGGCTCAACCAGAACCGGTGAGCTACAAGCCCCCGCCACCGAACAAGAGAGCTCAATTATCACCGAGGAACGTCGCATCTCTTTTGTCCTCGACGCTCTTCGTGCTTGATCTCTACGATATACACTCCGTCATCACCTCTCAAATTCTTGGGCAGCTCTTCTACTGGATAGGAGCGGAGCTATTCAATCACATACTATCGAATAAGATGTACCTGGCGAGAACGAAAGCAATGCAGATCCGGATGAACATCTCCGTCCTCGAAGACTGGGCGAGGACGAATAACAGATCGCCAGAGCACTACGAGAATGGATCGCTTTCGACATCAGGCGAAAATACAGTCGACGCGGCTCGGAAACATCTTACACCTGTCATCCAACTTCTCCAATGGCTACAATGCTTCTCCAGCCTTGACTATTCGACAGACTCGCAAGATTCGCTGGAGAATACTATAAAACAAATGACTCGACTCACACCCCATCAGTTACTCCATTCAACTAGTCACTATCGATACGAGAAAGAGGAGAAAACCTTGCCCAAACCAGCCCGCAAGCGGCTGGTCACTCTGCAAACAGAATCGCAGAAGCGGTGGGAGCAGATGCGGCGGGAGCGCGATAAAGCCTCAAAGAGGCAGTCACATCCGCCACCACCATCACCTTCACAGAACAATCCAGAGTCACTCGATAAGGCTGGGGGTCATGCGCTCTCTAATTCATCACCTGACGAGCTTAATGGAGTGGTCCAGCCAGAGGAAGAGGAGCCTCCATCTGAAAGATTGTTGATGGACCCTGCCCACATGCTGCAGTTCTCTCTACCAACGACCGTTGACATGCGACTTAGCTACGGTGCTGGCTACGGTGGCGTGAACAAGGAGAGGGAAAGAAGGTACATACCTACGGTGCCACCAGAGTTCCTAGCAAAGCTGGACCTCAGTGGCAATGGCAATGGAAGCTTCATTGAAGAAAAGGACTGGAATACGCCGAGTGACGAGAGCTGACGGGTAAATGACGATCATGAATTATAAATTACATTGCGGCGGCGTTGAAACATCCAAGGGACTTTGGACCTAGGAGATCGACTGGCTCGGGGTGTTCAAAAGACAGGTCGCATTGGTAGGGTGCTGTCTTACTATGAATTCAGAAATAAGACTTTGTCGTACGTCCATTCGGTGACAGGTAATTCTCCAACTCTATCCTCATAGCTAGAAACTCCCTCCGCCTGTTGTCCCAAATTCGTCTCCGCAAGACACCTTGCTCTTTCGCCTAGAAGCCCCATCCTCTTTCTCGTTGCCATATCTTGATAAAGCCCAACGCTTTTGACTCCATACTTTTGAAACTGCTCTACCGGGGAGCAGATATACCGGAATGAGGACGTTCATACAGGACCCTTCATTGTCACTCGCTGATAGCCGGTAGGGCGTAAGCAGAGAAGCGACTCTATATCCTGCGTCTTGGCGACCTGGGCTCTCTTTGCTTGTGCTCGGCAGAAATTACCAAAGCTCAGACACCTCCCCCAAACGCTCGCCACAACTCGGGTCATCGCCCCTCAGTAGTACACGTCGGCAATGCCAGGACAAGGGACAGCGGGCATTTTTCGTCTGTTTGTCTTTTACTTTCTATAAGGAATGTGTGCAGGGGCGGAGGAACAAAGGGCCTCAGTGAAGGGGACATTGATGTCGATATATAGTTGGGTGTTGACTATCATAGACACTAGATTGCCTCAGAAGGATGTACAATCCCATCCTTCGACCCACAGCAAGCGCCCGAAATATACGTTGAGTTGCAGGCACATTGATACGGCATGACATTCTCATCCAAGTATTGCGGGACGGCCTTATCATCCTGCCTCGTGTCTCCGACCACTGACCAGAGCGATGAAGCAACAGCTCGGCCTGGAAGCGAAATTGTACTACACAAGGAACACAGACACCGACGCAATGACACCCAAACCCCGAGGTCCTCGCATCCTGCAACCCGCCTCCGCATCCGTAGACGAACAGTCTCGAGGAGGAGTAAATGCCACAATGCGAAGCGCTCGGCGTCGTCCACCTGATGATCTGAGTCGGTGTTGTAGGATAGAGTCTAAGAGATTTGTGGGCAAGGGCAAGGGCAAGGGCAAGGGCAAGGCCATTGGGCAGAGTTGCTAGCCGTCGGCACCTGCTGCCGCATGTGCCGGCTGATTGTGAGTTGCCTCATTAAGGTAACGGGCCGAATCACTAGTGTATACTAGCGCCATCGTTCTCAAGCTTCGATTCTGATCTCTGACAGTGTGTATTAATTCCTCGCGCACCCGGAGTGTCTCTTGACCTCCGTTCAAGGACTTCACGTCTAGAATGCCTACAGGCTCTTCAAGCTGTTTATGATGTGCCCGTGAGAGTAGCGATGCAAGTGCAGTCGGAGTGTATCCCTTCAATCGACTTGGGTATACGATGACTGAGCTAAGCTATGACTTGGATGAGACCTATGTTGACCGTCATGAAGATGATCATATTAGAGAGCAAATGGCAACCACAGAAGCGCTTTTGCTTGAAGATACTGGCTCAGAAGTCTCAAGGACACTGCCTTACCTTCTCGTCTTAACCTGCGGTGGCGCTGGGTAAACATGAGCCCGTCTACACAAGTGAGCGTTCCGATGCTAATATTTTGCAGGCTACAAGTCATTTGGTCTGTCGTTAGGTCTAATGGTGCGGTAAGTGGTCTTACGGATGTTCCAATTTCATGCCATCTATCCTTTCTGACCAACCACTGACTGCTTTCAAGCCGTACCTAGTGTCTCTAGGACTCTCCAAGTCGTTCACCGCTCTTGTCTGGCTGGCGGCTCCTCTCTGTGGAGTTGTATTTCAACCGATAGTGGGGATCTTGAGTGATCGAACCCGTAGTCGCTGGGGACGGCGAAAACCTTTCATAGTCGGCGGCACGGCCGGCGTCATCATTGCCACCCTGGCCCTTGCTTTCCTTACGACACCTCTCAGTGGAGATACTCAGGGCCAGTCCCCACGGATGTTGATCATACTGCTAGCGATCACCCTGATATACGCCATGAATGTATCTATTCAGCCTATCCAGGCTGGTCTGCGTACACTAATCATAGAAAACTGCCCCACCCACCAGCAGACCCAAGCCGCCGCTTGGACCAGTGTTTTGATGGGTATCGGTAACGCTTTTGGCTACCTTTGCGGATTTACCGTATTACCCGAGTTCTTTAGACTGAGCGGTTTGACGCAGTTTCAATGCTTGTGTCTGATTGCTTCATTGGCACTGGCAATTACAACAAGCATAAATTGCACTGTCAGGGAAGATTATTGTGCACGCTCGCTACCAGTCAGACTTGAACGAACCGGAGTCGGGGTGGTATTCAGAGACCTGATCCATACATATCGATTCATGCCCAGAAAAATCCGCAAAGTGTGTCACATTCAGTTCTGCGCCTGGATAGGGTGGTTTCCGTTCTTGTTCTATTCAACCACGTAAGGCTTCTTTACTGTCATGGACAAGCTTGAAAGTGATTGCAAGCTGACTAGTGCCTCTTTCAACGCAGCTATGTGGGCGAAATCTGTAAGTACTTTGCGCCGACTAATGTTTCCGTCGCTAACAACTTGCAGATGCCAATCACGCTATCGCCATTAGACAGTCTTTAGTGGCCATAGAGACCATGGATGCTACGTCTATGATGTCTGCAGATTTGACAGCTATGAGCAAGGAAACTAGTATCGCTGAGGACGCGATTCGTTATGGCACATTTGCCAGTTTCCTCTTCTCCATTGTGGCTTTTGCTACCAATTCGTTACTTCCGATACTCTTGGGAGTCTCTATCAAACCTGGCCTCGCTGCAAGGAAGCCTACAGCAAAATTTGGGATATTTCAAGCATGGACCTGCGCTCACATCTTCTTCGCTCTGGCCATGTTTGCCACCATGATGGTGACCTCACAAGCAGCTGCCACCTTCCTAGTCGCCTCTGTGGGCCTCTCGTGGGCACTCACCCACTGGGCACCGTTCGCTATCATCGGAAATGAGCTCGCTGCCCGCCAGTCATTCAATACCCACACCAACGGTTTTCCAGACGACGAGATGTCGACAATGGGTGTGGAAGTTCAAGCTGGTGCCATTATGGGTCTGCATAATGTGGCCATATCAGCGCCGCAAATCATAGCAGCTTTGGCCTGTAGTGCTATCTTCGGGCTTGCAAAATCCTTGGGAAGTCAGGATGGGACAGGGTGGGTGCTGAGAGCAGGTGGTTGTGCGGCTTTGTGTGCCGCATATTTGACCAGCAGTTTTGATGATTGAACGATTGACGATGATGACATTATGATCTGTACATGGTAATGGTAATACAGCAAGTGACGTGTGAGGGTTTTCTCATCTCGGTGCCCGAAGCCGAACGGATCTACATGGGAGCAGTGCATCTTATCAGATCAACTTGTGGAAGTTCGAGCAATTAGGACCATCCTCGAGGAGGATCGTAGTGAGGAGGACGATCGTGCTCTAGAAAGCCTCACGGAAGGGTGGTCAATTGTTGTATTGATAGAGAGTACTCCCTAAACAGAGAATGATGCTTTAGTGATGTTTCAAAATGCTACGTAGAATGACTTGCATTCTGGCGAGCCAACGATTTAATGACGGCTGAACCTGAACCTAGCCAATTCTCTAGACACTCACTTTCAACAACATGGGTTACATGTCCCATACAAATTTTGAACCACTCCAAAAATGGAAATCCAAGCACTCTCCCCCGAAACGATTCAGGACATCCAGTCCACCCCCACCGATTTCATCCCGCCCGACCAAATAGACAGCACCTTCGGTACCACGTGCATTGGTAAAGCTCCCTCCTCTCCATCTCCCGGGGGTCCACCCCTTAGCGACTCCTTGTCCGATAGTCCTGTATACACCGGCTGCCTGGAACCATCGCTGACAATCACAGACCTCGTCTCCGCCCCTCTGACCTCCCGCATCCTTTCCTTCTCCGACGAGTTCTTCGCCTCGGCTTCCAACCTCCTCAACCCCGCAATCCCCATCCGTCGGCCCGGCCACTTCGTCGAATCGGGCGCCTGGTACGATGGCTGGGAGACCCGTCGGCATAATCGCTCTCCTCCTGACTGGGTTGTGATACGCCTCGGCCCTGCGGCGGGGATGGTCAGGGGTGTGGAGATAGATACGGCGTTCTTCGATGGGAATCATGCCGAGGGTGTGGAAGTTTGGGGCACCTACGAGACGGGAGAGGGGGCGGATGAGAGGGTGGTAGAGGCTGGGTATAGCGCTTGGAGGCCGTTGCTGGGGAAGAGGGGATGTGGAGCTAGTAGGAGGCAGGCGTGGACTGTCAGCGAAAGGATTGGGGAAGTGACCCATGTGAAGTTGTGCATGTTTCCCGATGGGGGCATCGCCAGGTTTCGACTCTACGGTGTGGCGGTACCGGTTTGGCCGAAGGATGAATCCGAGGAGGTGGAGTTGAGCAGTGCGCTCATGGGCGGCAGAGTCGTTGGGTTCAGCGATGAGCACTTCGGGAAGGCAGGGAATTTACTAATGCCGGGACGGGGAGTGGATATGGGAGATGGGTGGGAGACCAAGAGGAGTAGGGAAAGTGGGCACTCCGATTGGGTCGTTGTCAAGCTGGGAGCTAGGGGACGGGTGAGGAGTTTGATGATCGATACGATGCATTTCCGTGGCAACTTTCCGCAAGGAGTGAGGGTTGAGGGCCTGGATGCGGAGGGAGAGGAGGTGGTGAGTGGGGACGATGAGAGGTGGGTGGAGGTTGTAGGGATGCAGGGGTGTGAGAAGGATAAAGAGCATGTGTTTGCGGATGGACTGCTGAAGAGTGTGGAGGGAAGGGCGTTTACGCATATGAAGATGACGATTATTCCTGATGGCGGAGTGAAGAGGTTCAGGGTGTTTGGGGTCCGGGCTCAGGAGAGACACTTGTAGCCCAGTTTGTACGCATGAGATATGAGGTATGAGGAACGAGGAGGGAAAGACTGAGAGTATTCAGCTGAACGTGAGCAATGTGGTCTTCAGGCTTGATTCAAAGCACCCTGGGAGTCAAGGAACGAGATATTCGATGGGTCGAAGCAGGTAGATGTGGCGTTAACAGTGCTGGCTCGTCACTTGTCACAGTAGGGTTCCCTGATATGTGAGAGTCGTTTCTTGAATTGAACGCCAGGCTGTTCAAGAATCCGAAAACCAAAGCATAAAACTGAAGACTTTGATTTGCAGAGCACGAAGATTCCAATCACAACTGTTGAGAATGCGGTTTGAAGGCATTGGCGAAAATACTAAGGGGGAAGCATTGACATGCAAAAATGGCCGAGTGGTACATTGAAAGGCAAAGACCTGTCGGATCTTACGCTAAGAATCCTCAACCTTGAGCCCAATTCAGTTGCCAATAGCTTTGCATCCACATAGACGGAGCATGGTCTTTACCGGTCTCTACCGATTCTAAAGCTGACTGCTCTATTCCTATCGGGTGATTTTCCTTTTGTTCCCCAGTTCAATGACGGTTATGTTCAGTTCCTTTTTTTTTCTTCCCTTCCGTTTTGATTTTTCAACCCTCGCTCCACGTCAATCAATGACAAACAGGACCAATTCCTCTCAAGGAGTCTGGTCCAAGATCTCTTGTTTTTCGAGCCGATGCGTGGCCATCATCCCCGGCTGATAAGTGCAAATGTTTTGCTGTTTTGAAAAATAAGTTTGAGATCGCATCCTCTTTTGCGGAAGGGTTCGATACGATGGGGCTGGCGTACTCATGAGGTTCAATGTTTTCACCTCGTTCCCTTCTGGGAAACAAGCAGAACTCGTTTTAACGTGATAGTGCATTGAATACTACAGATGACCGCTTTGAGCATTTTTCAAGGAACAGGCTCAATTCAAAGTGTCTGATTCAAGTGTTAACATCTGGATGTAAATCAATCATGGACTGGACGGTGTCACGTGAAATGGTGGACGTTACGGAAAGATTCCCTTACATTTCAAGCCGAACGAGATACGCAGAAACGATGTTGAGGATGGCAGGGAGTGTGGTGCGTAGTGGCTGCTTGCCTGAAGGCATCGGGTCACTTACAGAGTATCTTGGCTACTTTGAGACTTCTTTCCTCCCAGTCGAAGCAGCAATCAGCCTTTTCGGCCAGTGTAGACACAATGCGTACATTAGACCATCAACATCTATGCATTATCCCGCCCCCCTAATACATCGCACTTTCGAGCTCACAAGATTTGCTGTTTGAGAGATCCCGATACTCGACTTCAGTTTTCGCCCTTGGGGAAACATACTTAACCTCTGTACACGAGGAATCTGCTAGAGTTATGTAAAAAGCTACAGGTGGCCGCGAGAGCAAGATAATCGCGGCGTGGTACCCAGACTACCTTTCAGCTCCATGACAACCCAAGGAAGAGCCACACTGAAATCTTTGGAGAGTAGTGCCTCTGAGCATCCTTGCTAATGCGCCTATAGAGTCTTATTGAACATATACCCACCCTTTCAAATCTGATATTGTCTGCCCATACGAGTTTCCTTAAAAATACGGACGAGATCTCGAGAATCGATCTTCAGTGGGCGCTCTTGCTCCCATTTCCCTGGTTAGGTGGAAGAAGGGGCAAATTCTGCGGAAGAAAGGTAAGTTGTGCGGATGAGAGCAACTTTTGGGAGGGGAAGTCCCGTTGATTTTAATCGAATCCGACGAGATAGACGTTCTTTAGAAGGATCGAATGATCCAGCAGCTGCGAAAATGATGGTCAGGTTGTTGTGCAAGTGGGTAACACGAGACGTAGAATCATAACACTGAGCAAGAAGGGCACCGAACAAGATGTTTATGACCCCTTATTGGAGCAGCGACAAGACTGGAGAGCGTAAGATGTAAAGGCAAAAGCTGAGTCATGGGGTTGCTGAAGAGAGTGACAATGACCTCTCGACACCTGGGAATCTTTCCCTAATCGAACGCTCTCTAATAAGGAAGGCTTCGACAGCTCTCTAGTCAAAGAGATGAGATCAAGGCTTCCGAGCAATTGTTTTGCCTTGGCAAATAGATATGGTGTCGAAAGGCTCATGCTGATTCCTAGGTTCAAGTGAAGGGTACTGAAGGGAGCAAAAGCTCCTGAGGATATACTGGCGGAAGCAGAGTGTTCTCGAAGTCGTCTTGAGAGCTCTGTAGTAATGGCCTCGACAAAGTAGTGACAAGAGGAATGCAGATAAAATGAGTGGGATTGCGGAAATGCTGGTGGTCCATCACAATGTTGATCGGACGGGTAAGCACCATGCTGGCGGAGGTTAAAGAGTTTGATATAAAGTATTCTGTATGCGGAGCTGGATGCTTCCGAAAATGACAAGAGGCAAGCAAGTCGGCCTGGCGCGCTGAAATGGGCATTAACCCGCGATCATGCATGACCCATACATATGGACTGCATCCTGGTATACGGTCTCAAAAGCACGGCCATCTCAACCTGAAAGAGTCGAAGCAGACAACTAAAGGTGGAAACGGAGGTGGCTATATCAATCTAGTGGGTGTCCAAATAGTCTCGGGAGACGCGCCAAGAAATTGATACATGTCGAGTTTTGAAAGTGAACCACAAATCTAGGTGTCTAAACACAAGCACTCTTTCTAATCTCTTGACAAAAGATTGAACAGCAGTCTTAGATCTACATGTCAATCTTTGAAGCCTTTTTCTGACCATAACATCAAGATGCAGGCTCCGGTGGTGGTGATGAGTAGATTCTCCAAAGACAGCTTCCAGCATAAGAGGATGCAAGCTGACTTTTTGTAGACACGCAGGCCGGCGACAGACAAGTGGGCCGCAAAGCACAACTATCAAATATCACAGCAGCAAAGACGTAAGCAAGAGAAGACTGGACTGCGAGTTGGAAGCGGATACTGAACGGCTGCAGTGTGGCAGACATAATACGATCATGTCTTGGTCCCAAGGCCATGTTGAAGATGCTATTAGATCCTATGGGAGGCATTGTGCTCACAAACGATGGTCATGCCATATTACGAGAGATTGAGGTGGCTCACCCAGCGGCCAAGAGCATGATAGAATTAAGTCGGACACAAGACGAGGAGGTCGGGGATGGTACTACAACGGTCATAATACTAGGTACGCGGTTCTACATATTCGAACGTGCATTAACTGACTGCTATCAGCTGGTGAAATTCTTGCACAAGCTCTCCCTCAACTGGAAAGAAACATTCACCCCGTCGTCATAATCGCCGCTTTCAAACGAGCCCTAGCAGACGCCCTCGACATTGTCGAAGAAATCTCCTTGCCCGTGAATATCAACGACGACAAAGCCATGTACCAACTTATATCCTCCTCCATTGGCACGAAATTCGTGTCCCGCTGGTCAGAACTCATGTGCAATCTCGCACTCAAGGCTGTCCGGATAGTGTCCCATGAGGCTGGCGGCGGCAAAAAAGAGATTGACATAAAACGATATGCAAAAGTAGAGAAGATACCGGGAGGCGAGATAGAAGATAGCAAAGTTCTCGACGGAGTCATGCTGAATAAAGACATCACTCATCCTAAGATGCGTCGCCTCATCAAGAATCCTCGTGTTATCCTCCTAGATTGCCCTCTCGAATACAAGAAAGGAGAGTCGCAAACGAACATTGAGATCAGCAAAGAAGACGACTGGAATCGTATCCTGCAAATAGAAGAAGAGCAAGTAAAGATCATGACCGACGCCATCCTTTCCCTCAAACCAGACCTTGTCATCACTGAGAAAGGAGTCTCGGACCTCGCCCAGCACTTCCTAGTCAAAGCGAACGTCACCGCTCTTCGACGTGTCAGAAAGACAGACAACAACCGCATAGCTCGTGCCACAGGGGCCACCATCGTCAACCGTGTCGACGACCTACATGAATCAGACGTAGGCACACAATGCGGGCTCTTCGAGATTGAGAAGATCGGCGACGAGTACTTCACCTTCCTCACAAAATGCAAGGTCCCTAAAGCTTGCACAATTCTCCTACGTGGCCCCTCAAAAGACATTCTCAACGAAATCGAGCGAAATCTCCAAGACGCTATGTCCGTCGCCCGCAACGTGATGTTCCACCCACGACTGTCTCCAGGAGGTGGTGCCACAGAGATGGCTGTCTCGGTGCGATTAGCGCAGATGGCGAAGGCGGTGGAGGGCGTGCAGCAGTGGCCGTACAAGGCTGTCGCCGAGGCTATGGAGGTCATCCCAAGGACACTGATACAGAACAGTGGGAGCAGTCCTGTGAGGGTGCTGACAAAACTAAGGGCGAAGCATGCGGAGGGTGGGAGTACGTGGGGTATTGATGGGGACAAGGGAAGTTTGGTTGATATGAGGGAGTATGGAGTGTGGGAGCCGGAGGCGGTCAAGGTGCAGAGTATTAAGACTGCTGTTGAGGTATGTGGCCCTGTTCCTGTTCCTCTTCCTCTTGCACTTCTGGTATGCTGACATTCTACATACAGTCAGCTTGTCTACTCCTGAGAGTCGATGATATTTGCAGTGCAAAATCTGCAAAGCAAGCAGGAGGCAATATGGGAGGAGGTGGTGATGATTAGTACTATCTGTTGACATAGATCTTCATTGCACGAATGTACTAAAAGCGGATATCCAGCATAGAACATGGCATTGTATGAACGACGCTGATCACTCAGCATAGTCTACATATATTGCTTCCCCTGTTACCTAATCACGCCAGTGCAATGCTCCAACCAGTCGCTCGAGCGATGCAATGTCATAATAGCGTGAATCATTCACAAAACAGCTCCGTCAAAACTCTTATCCTTCGCCTCCATCTTCGCAACCTCCTTTCGGTGCTCTTCTTCCTCTTCATCTTCTACATCGCTCTGATCCCCAAGCGCATCAGCCCTGACCCTTTCCCCATCACCATCCAGCTCGCCATTCAAGGCCATGGCCAAACTTCTTCGAAGAGGCAACGATCTCATGCGCTCCTTCGCTTCGGTTTCCGAGTCGTCAAGGCTAGAGAGACTGGGACTCGCGGCGCCAGAGCGTGAACCACCGCCGTCGCGGCCACCTTTGAGGATTTCGAGGCGGTTGGGGGACACGATGCGTGTTCGAGCGCCTGGTGTGGCTAGGAGGACGTTTGCGGCGTCGGTCTGTGAGTTCTCTCTCTCCGGGGCTTGGGTTCGGTCTTCTCTGCCCCTTGAACACTCGCTCTCACTACCATCGGCCTTCTTCCCATTCCCAAGTTCTTTATTACCGTGCTCCATTTCGACGTCTTCGAAAAGCTCCTTCGTGTCTTTCCTCCTTCTTGCCATCTGCCTCCTTGCAAAATCATCACCCCGGTCCCCGTCTGTTTGTAAGCACCCTCCCCACTTCTTCCTGACCGGGATTGGACTCTCCGGCTCCGTTATGCTGGTCCTAGAATTCGCCCTCTCCCTCTTCAACTCCGACCATGTCCGCAGCTGGTTCTGCAGTATATATTTTCCGTTATCCTCATTCAGCTCCATAACCACAAACTCACAGTGGTTCATGTTCCGTAAATCTTCGAAGTATTCCACGCTGAAGTGGTACCATTTCATCAGAAACACTCGAGTCATGAGGCCGTGAGTGACGAGTACGCAAACGGAAGCAAAATCTGACTCTCCAAAGCTTCGCCACAATGATTCGTTGAAGCCTGAGACTCGATCGTATGCGTCGGCCGCCGATTCACCATTTGGTATCCTGTAGAAGAAATGTCCGTAGTCCGCACGTTCCTGCCACATCCGACTCATCTCTGCCGAGTCGGGTTGAAAGTTCCCAAAATCTTGTTCTCGTAATCGGGGCTCTTCATACACCTTGATCGTGTGTCGTGGAAAAGGGGACGGTTTGTGATCTGGGGCAGGAGATGTGAGCGCATTAAGGATTCCTTCGGTTGTTTCTCGTGTTCTTCGGTAGGGAGAGGTAAAGAAGTGGAGGGTGTCTGAAGGGCGGAGGAGAGAGCGCAGCTTTTGGCCTGCTTCATCGGCCTGGAAGAATCAGCTTGTGGAAGAAGGGTTGGGGACCAGATGGAGCATAAGGAGGGTACCTGTTTCCAGCCATCTTGAGTAAGTTTGACGCGGTGGTCGGGGACGGTTTGGTGGATATCTCGATTCTCTGGCCCAGATCAGCTTCTTCGTCACGTACAAGAGGCTTCTAGACGTACTATTGCCTTCTGATTGGGCGTGGCGTATCAAAATTATCATCTGTAGGGCTTAGAAACCCATCTTTTTGATCATATAGAGTGCATCCTACCCGTGGTTTGCCCATGATCCTGGTATATAGGCTTCGAATCCTGGAGGATGGCAGTATCTTTCCCACATATAGTTCCTTGATGTTGAAGAGCGAATAGTGCATCTGCAGGTGCGAGCATAGAGTAGAGCGATCTAGGCTTATCGATAAGCATATTCACTAGGCTACATCTACACTAGAGCAAAATCTTCTCCGGACTACAATCCATCAATCCCTGCGCCTTTCTGCTATTCTATTTTGACTTATTCATTCTATTGAGTACTATGCTTAGGAGCTAGGTACATACGCCTTAGAAAGACGAGTTGCAGCTTGGAAACGGTAAGAAAATTATGGGGCCTTGCCCAGCAACTGCACACAGCGATCGAGTACAACGGAGAACATATGGATGGATCCAACCACAATCGATCCAACCAGTACAGTAGCGAGCCTGTCACGAGGATCAGCGGCCTTTCGCTTCCATGGGCATGCAAGCAAGGGGCTACAGACCAGAGAAGCGCCCGCAACGTATGGTGAAAGCCCACATCTAGTATCCCTCGAACTGTCCGCGAGCTGTAGTATTATCCTTGTGAATCGGAATATGACCAGTAGCCAGACCTGCTGCACGACGGTCTGCGAGGGTACGAGCATGGGCACGTTCTTCATCTGTGGGGCCGGATCCACCGAGTGCGGTGCGCGGGTTGGGCGGTCCGTAGTCGATACGTGGGATTCCAGCACCACGGACACCCCCGTTAGCTGCATCTTTCGTGGCCAGCTTGGCCTTGATCATCGCATTGATCTCTTTTTCTTCACGGAGACCACGCTCCTTTTCAGCCTTGACTTTACGGACGACTTCCTCTTCGCTGTCCTCTTGCTCTTTCCCTTTCTTGGGTTTCTTCGCAAGCGCACGCATCTTCGATAGCAGACTCTCACTCGTGGTGGTACGAGGACCGGTGGTTGCGTCGCCGGTGCTCTTGACTGCTGGCTTCGCATTACTCTTGGCGAGCAAAGCGTTCATCCTATCCATTAAGCCACCACCCATGTTTTCAGCCTCGCGAGCAGCCTTGATCCTCGCCATTTCTTTGGCAGCGATCTCGTTCGCCGGCTTTGCCAGCAGCTTCTGGTACGCTGGATCGATAAATGGATCGTCCGTAGTGATGGTGGTTGGACGAGTCTGTGAAGTCATGGCATTGCGGCAGTAACGGTCGGCATCCTGCGCTCCCAGGGCCTCAGCATCACGGTCCGTGATTTGTGCTGTACCAGGAGCAATAGCAATATCCACGCCTGATCGATTGCCTGAAGCTGCAGTAGTGGTTCCACGAGGTGGGCGGACGTCAACAAGCTTGGCTTTTCCTCTGAAGACAATTGGCATCGCTACTGCTTGTTGGACACTATTCTCATCGCCGGAGTAATCTGATGGGTTGAATGAGTCACTGTCACTGGCGTCTGGATTCTTCTCGGTAGCTGAAGTCTCGGGAATATCACCACGCTCAAGAGCAGCTTGGTGTCCGCGTACAGCTGAAGCGTTGGAATGGTCATAGATCTGCACTTTATCAGCATTGGGAATTTTCAGGTCAGAGCTTTACTCACCAATGAGGTGTTGAGATCGACTGGGATATTTCCAGACTTGTCAGTAAGTCCTTCAGGGCTTGTATACGGACCCGAAAATGGAATCGAACGATCGAATACAGCCTCTGAACGGCTACGTACAACGGGTGATCCATTGGATACATCGCTCGAGGAATGAGGCGCAATTGGTCTCGAATAGTTCACCACATTCTTGCCGTCTGGTGAAGCGTCAACTAGGAGGCGTGCCGAGTTTAGGAGAACTTTGGCATTGGGTGAGGCGTCAACGAGGGTCGGTGCCGAGATTGTCATACGAGCTGCAGTCTTTGCCGAAGAAGAAGGGGGAGTTGTAGACTCCGTGCTTTCCTTGCGATGGAATAATTTTCTAAAGGACTTTTTCTCGTGACTAGCCTTGGGCGATGTGATCAGGTTTGTCATCGTCTTCTTTGGGGTGATCTTATCTTCCTCGCCATAACCCAACACAGCGTCCGCCTTCGGAAAGCCGCTGGTCTTGTGCTTCACGACGTGATTTTTGGAGTTTGTGGAAGTCTCGCTGCTCTGGCCAATCTCTGCTGCATTGCCCTGGTCTTCACCAGAGGATGGGTTCTGGTTGTCATGTGCTTTGGACATCTTGCCACGATGAGTAGGGGTTAGATATGCGTCGCTGTTCTTGTTATTCACCGCAGCGCGGTCCTGATCATTGCTATAGAGCGCGTCCTGGGTTTCCTCTGTCTTAGACATCATGCTATGAGCAGTAGCGCTATCGGATGTTTTCTTTCCTAAAGCCATCGAGCCTTTGCGGCGACGTAGCGGTGGTGAAGGATGTAGAAGGTCGGAAACTTGCTGCACCGAGAGAGGTTCAGGATACGGTGTGGGAGCTCGAGGTAAGTTGTGTTTCAAAGCTATGGGTGCTGTGTGACCGGCCTCAGCAGAATCTGCAGTTTTGTGTGAGCTGCCTGACCTGCCAGGATTGTCCGGATTCGTGAAAAGGAGTCCAACTTACTCTTTTGAGCTTGAGCAAAGTTGTCTGTACACTCCACACGACTGTGCGTATGTGCAGTGGTTTGTGTGGTTTGCTCAGGATGAGCTGTTGACAGACGAACTAACAAGTGAACCTTCAGCCTTGATTCCCTCGGCGGCGGCAAAGACGACGACTTCAAAGGACATAATTCCCTCGGCGGCGGCAAAAACGACGACTTCAAAGGACACTACTGCATACCTTGGTTATTTTCGTTACTGGTCTTAGCTTTTCTAACGTGCAGAGGGTGGATTTCTTCATAGTCATCGTCCGTGCTGATTTCATCGTCTGCATCTTCCCCAGTATCGTAATACACTTGTCCCCAGTCTGTATCCACAAAGTCCTCGCGAAGTGCTTGCAGTGCATCAATGCTGTGATGTGAGAGCGTTGTATCTGCCTTTTTCTCTGCTTTGTCTTCCTCAAGATACTGCCATCCGAGCTCCAAAGCAAGGTCTTGCTTTTCGAGCTTTCCGGTGGCCTCCTTCTCTGCCATATCTGTTTCCGTAAAGGATGCTTTTCGTGCTTCGTGTAATGTTTGACTGCAGGAGAATTAGCTTCCTGTCTTCTCAAGTGTACTTTTACTTCATGAACCGTCCGAAAAGGGTTCGAGCGGATACTTAAAGGCTTGATATACCTTGTTCGATGAGTATTGTCAAATGCCGTGAGTTGCTAGAGCTAGGGAGAGTAAGTTGAGCTATGTGCAAGACAGTCTATGTTGGGCGGTTCATGGCAAATGCATTTGATATTGGTGACTGTTTGTGATGTTTTGAACAAAGCTAGGCTTCGGACATACCACCGGGTTTAAGCCAGTGAGGTTTACTTATTGCACTCATTGCACTCGACGCGTCTGCAAATGATATTCTGCAAGTCTCTGAACAAATGGGAACAAGACTACAATTTGATGCTTTGCAGCAAAGCAGAGTCTACAAGTTGGTGCCTTGCAACCAGCTTCATTCGTGTTGAAAGACCGATTCGACTGTGTTGTGTCCTAGCCGGACATAAACACCTTTTCAAGACTCAGTTAGCCAGCCATCGCGAAGGAGAACTACAAAAATCAGTGGATCTGGGCCTTTGGAATCTAAAGCCTCAAGAACACCAAAACCCTCAAGTATCTCTTTACAGCTAGTCCTTTTAGTGTTGAATGCCTTGCTGATGCTTTCTAGCCTAACTAGCTCTCCAAAATCATCGCAGTACAATCATGCCTCCCTTCTCTGGCAAAATCGAACCCATTTCCATTATACCCAATGAAGAGCTCTCTTCAATTGACCAGATTGACGTTTCGGCCTTCAGAAGAGCTCTGTTAAAAAAGCCGACCTGTACGTTATACTTTCCGAGGCAATTCTTTCCCCTTCATGCTGTCTTATGGGTCGTCAGACATGTCTCAAAAGTTCTCTGCTCGTTAGACATGTTTCGCGAGTCAGTGTTCCCCCAGAAAGAGTAATGCTGACTCCGAAATCATCAAGACAAAGCCTACAAAGCTCTCCTCGTTCACCGCCATACCCTACAAAGCTTGAATTTGAATGTGGACCTCATGGTTGAGCAAGCTGATGATGCGCTCTACAAGGCCTCCGAGAACCGCGGAAAGACAGAGCGAGCCTTAGCCAACGCTTGCGACTCGTCTATGTCTCCCTATCCCACAACATGTCCGCCCATCGCCAGCAAAGCGTTCCAAAGTATCATCGAGCTGCAGACGTTCTATCATGATGAGAAAGTATGTGTTCTTATGGAGTGCGTTTCTGAGCAGGGGCGTGCGCAGACACTCCTTCGTAGGGTGAACAGTAGGGTGGAGAAGGTGGAGCAAGCCTTGGTGAAGAAGTTTGGCATCCATACTGTCGACGACGAGGGTAATCCGCTGGAAATGCAGGACTTGGAGCGAGTCATTGATGTTATGGCTTCGGTCCCCGGGATCGAGAATCTCTAGTGGGACGATGGGTGGGTCATGGATTTTTTTAGCAGGTGGATAAAGCCCGTGCAGCGCAACTCAGTGGTATTGCTGCAAGCTGGGAACGCGCCGTTGAGGAGGGTGTGGAATTCGTGCTATTAGCTGGAAAGGCGGCCCTTAGTCAATCGTGTCGCTTTCTACACTGCTCCCAATCCTTTTTTTCACCCCGTGATGTGACTGGCAAGGAGCCGACAGATGTGGTGTCCGGAGGGCGAAACTACTGCCTGTCTACCATGTCTGCCATGTTCGAACGCTACGAATGTTCGAAACCCCCGTCGTGCGGAGTATGGGGCTGCCCCCCCCATTTTTTCAATCCTGAAGACCGGGGCTACGGACAAGAAGACATACTCCGTGCAAGATGTGAAGCCGCTTTGGGAGTACCATAGTCTCGAGAGCAATGGCACAAGCTGGGAGGGGAATGTCGCGCGGAGTACAATATACGATGTGACTCCAGTATACCGAGAAGTTTGGGGCTAGGCGCTAAGCGGTAGGCCGGTACTCGAAGCTAGAGTACCTTAAAAGCCGATGATGATCGCTTGCTCGAGCTAGGTCTGGTGGATTTTTGATGATTTCACTTGCAGATTATGAGGAATGAAAGTGTAGAGTTTGCACGCTGAATTTCTTTCTTCACCATCTCTCGCCATGTTGGGAAGCGATAACGTCTGCCTGTCAATGGTAGCAAGGCCATCGTACGCCTGGTTCGCGAGGTTCTAATGGTTTCTGGGAGCTAGAGGATACACAGTATGAAGGGTTTTGCCCACAGATTGCACGTTGGGGAAATGGAGCTTCCAATAATTTCTCCGTTCTCTTTGATGGATGTTACAGAGGGAGGATACCTGCTTGTGAGGGATAGCAAACCTATCCATCATGTGTGTACAACGACAGCCTGCGAGATATTTCCCAGCAATTGAGCGCAGTATGTAACAATCGACTGGACACAGTCGGCTTCGTTCCAGGGATTCTGGAGTGTATGTGCCAGTCAGGAGCAAGAATGTGTTGAGCTTCAATGGGAAGTGAGGAGAGATTGAAGTATTATTGTCACTTCGCTTTTCAAGATATTCCTTTGCGAGAGTCACGACTCGACGCCATTGACCCTTGTCAAATTGGAGCATATGTTCAGGTTCAATTTTGAGTGTTTCAGCTCATTTCGAACATACTTTTCGGATGGATAGACCTCGGCGCCTATCTGCACGGTAGACTTCCAGTATGCGCTCATACACGAATGCAGGGTCTTGGCGGTGACTGTGGAGTAGGACCCTCATTCGGCACTTCTATTGGCAGATGTGACGTGACATTTTCCGTCTTGAGCTCCTGTGCTTTCCCTGGGCCTGCAGGATGACGTGCATGGGAGAACCTCGGTAGTCCCACCCTTTTGGACAGTAGGATTGTGATCGCTCATCCGATCACTCATCGGGTTTGAGGATCCCAGGCTGTACGGCGACGCCGACATGCTTCTCTCCAGGACCCTTTAGCTCATAGGATGCATTCGATGAGCACGTCCCAGCAGGAGTAAAGTGTCCTTGTAAAAGGTCGTCAGGTAATTAGAAGGTAACTTGCCATGTCGAAGTCGCTGTCTTGGAACAGCTACTTTTTACTTTAGGTGTTTTTATAAAGTTTGTAAGTTATACTTTAACTTTTGTTTAGTTCTCGACGTTATATATACTTATATAGTACCCTTTGCTTTTCCTTTATTTGGTTTTTGTTTAGGTGGCATTTATGCCTTTATGGGTGATTTGGGAGTGTGGTTGTTTAATCCTAAACCTTGCGCGTTTTGTGTATGTTTCTGATGTTAACATTTCTACTTGTGACTCTCCAGGCTCGAAGCAACTTTCCACGTCTCCTTTCAGGCCATCTTCCATTCAGGCTTTGAGCTGAAGCACGGAGATTTCTGTCAATGCTCAGTCCAACAGGCATCTTCATAAATTTGGAGGATTTTTGGACTACAGGAGCTTCCCCCGTTCCGCCTGACATCCCGCCTGACATCCCGCGCTGTCAGAATAGCTTACCGTTGGTTCTATGGAAGTAAGGTAAAGTAGCGACTACATTTTAGGTACGGCGGAACGTGGGATGTGGGAACCGAGGAAGAGGAAGCCGCTACTTATCTTAGTGCCAATGCTTATCTCCATAAAGTAAGATTACTTCGTCCAACCATAGCCAAGACTTCTTGCATCTTCCGATTACACTTATTAAAGAGGCGGCAAAGGAGATTCTCCGAAACGCTACACATACAAAGCTACAGACAATATTCGAGGGAATCGGATCGCATCATGCGTGGCGCGGAGATGGATCGTTCTCTGGTCTTTGGAGAATGGCTGGAGAAAGGATCCCAGCAATGGCCAACCAGCAGGCCGTCCACCGTCACTCCTTTAAGATCCTTGTCCCGCGCCAACAGCACGAGCCATATAAGTCACTTCTGTCAACGGCTTTGACATTAGCAAGAGCCGAAGAGGTCTGAGCGACTACGAACTCTATTTCCACTGTCTTCCGTCTCCTCCTATCGGACTGATATGAAGCCATTAAGCACCTCAAATCAGCTTTGAAAGGTCACCACGTGGACAAGCCAAAAAACGCTCAGGGAGCAGACACGAACAATGATGACGAAGGGGGGAGATGACACTGTACGGACGTTGGAAACTTGGCTGACTGGGCTCTTATATCGACGTCGATGGCTTGCTTTTCCAAGCGAAGCTCTCGACCCGTGATTGACCTGCGGCGTGCTGATTAGGGAATCCCTGCATGCGTGGGATTCCGAGCTAAAGAAAACCGGTCTGGAGCTCGCTCCAACGAACGCTGCCGTTAATCCTAGGTACCACAGCCGTAATTTTTTCCGATTCACTACTAGGAAGCTTGACGTTTCGGTCAAATATGCGCGTTGCCTTCTAAATCCAAACAGGGCGCTTCCCTCGTGCATAAACGAATTGCCTCTATGACAGCTTCCTGCTTTCAGCTCAGCCTTCATGCCAGGAACATGCATGATCTTCAACAGTCCTCGAATAAATCCTCTCAAAACATGCTCGACGCCTCATCTGCTTTCACCTTAACGCGGCCTGCAGCAGGAATGGTCTTGTTTGGCCGACTATGACTGCTTGGTGGTCCAATGAAAGGATCAGCACCACCGTCAATGCGGCATACATCAAGAGGGAGTTGGGATCGAAGGATTTGGTGGACAAGGTGCATCGGGTGCTTGCATTTGGAGATGGCTTAACGGACGACACTTATCTTGATTGGATCCTCGAAAGAAGCCCGCGCTTCTTCCTCATCCTCAATGTAATCGGCGTACCGGAGAAGGTCTTCGAGATCATTGACAAATCCTTCGCCGACGACGACCTCCCACTATCACAGGATACTCTATGGGAGCTCAACCTCTTCGGCGGCAAGTCCGAGACATTGGACAGGAAGTTCCACCGCGAACAGTTCAACTTCCTCATACAAGAGCTTGAACCTGGGGGGCATGTCGACTATGGGGACTGGGCGGTCGTCCCGGTAGAACCATTTGTAAAAAGGCCAGGCATTGCGAAAGCCAACGACAAGGTTTACGTCCATGGAAACCTCTACACTAGGAAAAAAATCGCCGTCTTCGACGACAACAGCATCGATGAAGTGCAGTTCATCATGCACCTCAAATCCCTTTCGACCGTCCGCCATCCTCATCTCGTATCAATTTGGTCAACTTACTCGCAGGAAAGCTTCATTTACGTACTGCTCACTCCTGCTACCGAGCATACCCTGAAATCTTTCCTCGAAGAACAGCCCAAGGCTTTCAAGAATTTTGACAAAGCGCAACGCCGGGAGATATATTTGACCTGGACCCACTGCCTCGCTGCAGCCTTAGCGTATCTTCACGACAGAGGCTTCACCCATGAGACAATCCGCCCTGGTACTATTACGGTCGATCACAATAACAAAATATACCTTGGAGATCACAGCGCTCTCAAGAAAGTCGACACAGACGAATCTCCCAATGCCTACAACGGCGAGCTGTACGATCACGCGGCACCCGAAAATTGGTTGCGCAAACCCCGGCTTCACGAAGTAGCGGCACTCAAGACGATACTTCCAGGCGGTGGTCGCACATCTAGAAGGATTCCAAAGGCACCCAGTGCCGAGCGAACGACATCCCTCCCTCTCCCTTCGACACCAGTCAACTCCACTCGCACCAACTCGAAAAGCGGCTCCTCGGGCTCCTCAACCAATGCCTCTCGGCCACGCAATGCGCTCATCACAACTTTCGCTCCTACTGAGCGACGCACCTCCATCTCTTCCTCAATCAGTCCCCGTAACAGCAAGCTCGAAGCGGCAGATGTCTTCTCTCTCACCACAGTCCTCATAACCCTGCTCTCGATGATCCTCCAACATACACCAAAAACCTTCGCCACCCACCGATCCCGCTTGAATCGTCAAGCCGGTCGCGGCAACGCTCCTCCCGACGCCTCCTTTCATAAGAATCTCAATCAAGTGGTTAAATGGCTTGACATTTTAGCTAAAGAGGCAGGACAACGGGAGAAGAAAGACATGAAGTTTTGGGGCGCCGTTGTGGAGACAGTCCAGCTTTGCAGGCTGGGTGTCAAGAAAGAGGCAAAGGAACGGATAACGGCGAAAGAGCTTGAATATAAGATTGGTGGTTGGGTGGAGTGGGGCTTAGGCAGGAAACGCAGGTGCACCTGCGAGGTGGCAAGAGATACCGGTGTACAACCGGATACCCGCAGCAGTGCAGAATTTTCGAGTAAATTCGCCTTGGATCAACCAAGCTCGGGACGTCGCCCTAGCAGACCAGACTGGCTTCCTGCGAGCGAGCGTGGTCGGAGTTTTCCTGAAAGTCGGCCTCGAAGCGCGGATGCAGCTAAGCAGAGTACTGTATGGGGTTTAGGGGATCTGGCAACACTGCACGAGAACATGATGCGGCCGGCCAGCGTTATGACCTTTGAAGATAGTACGGCTTGGGGGCTCGAGCATGGGCCATATATGGACAGAGACAACAGAGGATCCGCTAGTATAATTTCCGGTAAGGAAAGCACGGTCTGGGGTCTGGGAGATGCGCAGCGGATGGACGACGAAGATCGACACACTATCGGGCGGAAAAAAAGCGATGCTTCTGCGACAGATTCTTGTATAGCTATGGGAGAGGTGGAAGTGTTAGAGGGCTACGATATTGATGATGATGAGGACGACGACGATGAGGAATATGAGAACGTTCTCTATGAGAAAGGGGGACGGTCAGAGAATTGGCCACTCCCACATCTCCCACCTGAGATGCTGGCGCTGGGCCGTGGCAAGGCTAAGGAAATGGATGGACATCGCGATTTACGAAGGATTGGGGCCATGGGGATACAGGATATGGGATAGATGGACAGATACCCTGAATGCGGTCTTTGTATGACATACCATGCGACGTGATGAGCTTGTCGCTCCGTTCACTTCCTGGACATAATATAGCAATGATTTTCAACTCTTATTGCTCGCGTCCCTCCTAAAGATCTGTCGGTGTAAATCGATCTCTGAACAACGCTCCAACCCTCCCCTCGTGTCTTGCCCCACACTACATCCACCCTCCTCCCATCATGAAATCTAGCTCGTGCGAAACCCCATCTGCCCCCCACCCCACCCCCTCACGCTATGCCTCAACAACCAAAACGAGAAAAACCCCCCGTACTCACAGCACCCTTCCAACCGCGAGGGTGCGAAACAAAAAACCCCCTACCCCTACCCCTGCACCCCGCCGCTCCCGCCCCGGAGTGGAGTCCCTCCCCCTTTTTACCGCGGGAAGCTGGCGCTGCTCATGCGGCGGATGAGCTTCCGGAATGGGTTCAGGCCGTTTGGCTGCGTTGGGGATGACGAGGTGGTGGGTGGCTGTGTGAGGGGAGGGGGGTTGGTTAGTGAGGGGGTGGTGGGGTGAGGAGTGAGAGTGAGTGAGAGAGTGAGTGAGAGAGAGAGAGAGAGAGAGAGAGAGAGAAGGAAAGATTCGGATCCGTACCTGTTGAGGGAAACCATCACTCCGCTCGACGCCTCCTCCCGCTCGCGACGACGGATCCTCGTCCTCGTCGTCCTCGTCGTCGTCGACGTTATCATCACCATCACCATCACCATCACCATCACCATCACCGTCAACAACAACCGACCCCCCCGCTACCGCCGTCGCCGTCGTCGTCGTTGTCGCTATCGTGGTCTCCGCACCACTCAGCGTCCGCGCCAGCGGGCCCTTCTTTCACGTCCGCGCCTTCCACAGCCGCAGCGCCTTCTCCGCCCGCGCCGTCTGCTTCCTCTTCTGCGCTTTGGCGTACGCGCGCTTCTGGTCGAGGAGGTGGTCGACCTGCTCCGGTCCCCCGGGTTAGCGGGCGGGAGAGGATGGTTGGGGGGGAGGTTTGGGGGGGGGTGGGGTTTTATGATGTGACAGGGGCGACGGGGATGGGGATGGGGATGGGGATGATGATAGGGAGGTGTGGGATTACGGCGTCGTCCGCGCTCTTTCTTCTTTGCGGTTATGTGTGTGTGTGGTTGGGGGGGAGGCAGGGGGGGAATAGGAATATCACCTCGCGGATCCAGAGTTCCTGACGATCGCTCCACTTCTTCTGCGCTTGCTTCAGCTGGTCTTGACAGTAGGTCAGGCGGGCTTCTTGCTCGGACGTCCAGGTCCCGGTGGGGGTTAGATGACCCGCCGATTCGGTCGCCGAGGTGGTGCGGGATGCTGGTGGTGATGACGACGGTGAAGTGGATGGTGAGGCCATGCTGGATGCATGGACCGGGCTTGGCTTGGACGCGGGTGTGGGGGTCCGTGGGGGGTGGTGACGATGATGACGATGTTTCAAGGCTCGCTGGAAGGCTTGTTGTTGGAGTTAAAGGGCGGTGTGGTGATGGGAGGAGGGTGTTGTATGAAGGTGGTCGCGTGCTCGGATTTGTGTGACTGTGGGGAAATTAGATGGCAATTGAAACATTCACTTGTCGTCGCACCACTATGATGAGCCATGCAGAGGGATTTTGAACACGTGATTGATTACTCCGTTGTGTCGAAATGCAATAATCAACCAAGTAATTGGGTGATGTATAAAACAGGCCTCTATGGCAGAAATAGAAAGTCTTGGAAGAAAATGGTAGGGTCTCCCTTGATATACGGATCTTCGTCCGCTAGACGATTACTCGTCGTGCCAGCTCACCACGACTCTGCTCCGACGCCAAACTGTGGGGGTATTCCCCGTGGGGATCATCAAATTCCCATGTACCCAATTGGTTACCGAAGCCGAAATGTCATCTATCCTCCTTGCCCAACGCCGCTGGTGCCGCCTTATCCTCGATGGCCGAATTCCCGTCTAAGAACATGATGCATTGGAAGGTTTATGAGCTCAGAGGCTGTGATAGAGGCGATATGACGGCCGTCGCATGTAATGTAGCGGCAACGCCGGGCGTCCGCCCCACGTTCGCCATATCCGCAAGGAGGGTGGTCAAGCAGCCCAGCACAATCTTTTGCATCCAGCTGCTCTCCTCACCAATGAAGACCATTCGCTTGCCATCTGATCTGTACGTTGCTAACTTGGCAGGCAGTACCGCAGCCCCCACGGAAGCCGAGATTGGAGCAAGCTCGGGTTGCCGAACGGTCTTAGTGGCTTGCATCTCTTCGAACTCGATGCACTGGCGTACCATTTGATGAAGACCATTCTCAAGATTCGATGCCCGGGGCTCAAGCTCTTTCCAAATATCCGGTCCCCAGAAAGGGTCCTCGTCCAAAGCCGTCCGTAAGGAGGAAAGCCAGAAGTCAAAGACGGGAAGGGAGCTCGGATCTTCACCTGGCGTCGGATCACTAACCCTCCGGAGTGAGGACGCGAGCCGACATGCGGTGACGATAATCCTGATGGTCGGCTCAGCCTCTAGGACGTGGCTGACAACGCACGCTTCGGACTTGTCAGCAGGCGCAGTCGCAATGCTGCGTAGGGCGATCTACCTGGACAGCCTTGTACGGAGCACCATTCCTCCTCTTCTGCGATGAAGCACTGTAGCCACGCGAAGGCTCCCCGAGCCTCCCCACGAAAGACCAACTCTAGGTCAAATATGTTGCGATCTCCTAGCATGGATATGGCTAGCTGAGTAGCATAGCGTTGAATCTCGAGTAGAGGGAGGATCAAAGCGTAAGTGATGTCGCGCTGCAACAGCCATGCTTCTTCGTGTGCTTTGCTGGTTGGCTGGTGATGCAGACAAAAACTAGAGTCGGGAGGGTCAGCCTGCAGCTACGATTGGAACGGCTTCAACGTAGAGACTGCTCACCTATCACCGTGTCGGCTTGTTAGGAAGCCACGAATGGCTTGAAAAGCTCTGCATGACAGTAGCCTTCCGACGTCCTCGTGATTGAGGGAAAAGGGTGGTGTCCGGGAGCTCTCTTCAGTGTGGGACAGAGGGAAGGTGAATGATCGAGTGAGGGCCATCAGAACATAATAGATGTCGACTGGAAGGAGGCATGATGCCTTTTATGAGATGTTGATCGGCTGAAATCGTCTGGAATTTTGGATCGTGATGGTCAATAAAGTCAATTGAGCTAAAATCACCGAGACCGTCCAAATTGGTTGACCCCCACACCTGAATCATGCACGACTGGACTGCCGGCGTCTTCGCGACATGTTTCTCTCCATCAGATGATGGGAAATCAGAACAAGAACCACTGCAGCACGCAATCTTCGATAGTAGAGTAGATAACAGATGATCATCTGTAATCCCTAATGCGTACCAGCTGGGATTGGATCAAATGGGTGTACTGGTACTCAGTGATACCTTGGTACCTTGGTGGTGAAAGTGAGAAAGTTGACGCTACTCGTAGGTGCCAACACTAAGCTCTGTTGGCTACAGACTAATCTATTAGAGACCTTTGTGAACTTGTCCACCTCCCTGATCAAGATGTGGTGGCGTGTTAAGACCTAAAGATGGAAACCCAAAGATATAAAAGGCTTTGCTTGCTGCTTCTGCCGTTCTGAAACCAACGGGAAGAGGCCAAACGATGAAGCTGTCCTGGCATTATAGGGACCCGTTAGGCGGGATCTCGGCTAGGTTTCGGGGCACAGGTCCCCAAAGACGGTCTTCGAACTCCCCGTTTGCAACTCGCCATAAGTCTACAATGACTGTAGTGAGAATATATATTCCAGTGGAACAAGTATCATTTATCAAAACGCCTAGAATCCTACGTTCAAGAGGCTTGTTGTATCTTTCGTTCTTCGAATAGTTATCGCATTGCGAAACCTCCAAGGCAACGAGAACTCATGCCAGGACACGGGGTATCCCAACACCTACACTCCTTCCACTTGGCATGCTGGCCGAAGCAACCCCTTCGATGCTCTCTATTACCCGCTCCACCTCCTATGTCGAGACTGCGCTACATATTCATATCGAGATCGTACGTAGCGCAAAGTCACGTAAGCCTGGCTTCCGGCAAGGTTGCTGTTGCCCACGAAGAAGCAATAGGGGTTTTCAAAGAAACTTTTTCCCCGGGGAAAAGGGGGGGGCTCGGGGGTTTAAAAAAAAAAAAAAAAATTTTTTTTAAAAAATTAAAAAATTAAAAAATATTAAAATTTTAGACACTTCACGTGACTATTTTAGGTAAATTTCGAGTATTATTTGGGCCTTCCTATTCTTTCTATCTATCTTCCACACGCCTATATCCTTTTAACACGCCATAATAGAAAAGAGAAAGCCCACCGTCGCTCCCACCGTCGCTTCCACCGTCACTCTCACCGTCACTCCCATCGTTACTTCTACTGTCACTCTCTCTAACACTCAAAGAACTTGTAACCCTAAGATCAAATGGTTGTAATAAGATATAGATCTTATTATCAATTGATTCTATGCACGAGATGAGGAGAATAAGTTATATAACTATGAGGACTAGAGTAAAGATAATTATATCGATAAAGATTAGAAAATACTTAAAGATATAGAATTAATAATTAAGTTATTAATTTAAAAAAAGAAAATCGCTAATAAGATCGAAGATATAATTAAGAAGTATAAGAATATATAAATAATAATCGAAGGATCTAATTAAGAAACGAATATTAAGACTTATAAAGAGAGTATTATAAAGAATAGATCTATAGTTAACGAGTATATTCTAAAGAAGTATTTATAATATTACGAATTCGATAGCCTCTATTAAGATTATTCTATTATAAATCTTATACTTATTATTAAATCTAAATAGCCGTCTCGTCGTAATAATTAGATTATCGAGAAGATCGATCTCGAAGAATTTAATATTATTAATAATAAAGACGGTGATAAATAAGAAGAGGATAACTCGTTAGATTTAAATACTAATTATTTAATTTATTTATAAGCTAAAAGAATCGTAAAGACTAAAGAATAAGAGATAATTAAGATTATACTTAAATAAATACTTCTTCTTATATTAGATATAAACGATAATAATAATATTCTTAATCTTTTACTCGCTTATATAGTTATTAATATTTTACTAGCTATTCGCTCTAGAATAGTTTCTCTTATTTAGAGTATCGAATAATTCTTCTTCTTTAAGTCTATTAAATAAATTTTTAAGACTTTTAAGAAAGCTCTTAAAGAGAGATCTAGAAAGAAGATTAAGAGAAAGGCTAATAATAACTCGGATAATAAGAAAGAGATTAAGATATCTATACGCGAGCGTTAAAAGAAGATAAAGGAATAATCTATAATAGCGAAAGCTATATTAAAAGAAGTTAAACTTATAAATATTCGTTTAAGAGAAGAGATTAAAAAATATTAATAGTAGTATAAAATAAAGTAAAAGAAGCGTAAACGACGTTTTAAATTAAAGTATTAATAGCGTAAATATTATTATATTACTAAGATACTTCGCCTATAATACTAGACTAATTAGAGTTTTAAGAATCTCTTATATATTTAATTAAAGCTAAAGAAGAAAGAGAATAAATAATAATAATAGTAAGAATTTAGTAAATATAGATCGTTAAATAACGACTTTAATATAAATATAAATAATAGATTTCGAACTTCGTAAGAAGAGCGATAGAGCGAATAATTTAAATAATATTCTATTTATATATAATTACCTATAATTCTATACTATATTTTATTTTTATTATATATTATATTAATTTAATAAACTAAAATTCTTCTAATTTATTCTTTTTAATATATTTATAAAATAATTTAAAGTATAGTCGAAGAAAGATATAGTAACGAAGAAGAATTTCTTCTTCGTAAGTACGTTAAAAACATTGAAATAAAATATCGTAAGTATTTTATAAAGAATAAGTATATTTTTATATTAAAATCGTTCGCACTAGACTTAGTTCCCGTATTTTTTTCGTTTTATTATTAGCTATTAAAGATATAAAATTTAATTATATAATTTTCGCGCCCGTATCTTACTCCGCACTTTATTTATTTATTTAAAATTTATCTTTTTTCTTTACGAGAGTCTATTATACTTATTTCTTTATCGTTTAAGTCGTCGTAAAGAATTCGAATATTTTAAATATTACTCTTTCGAATAATATAAAGTTCGTTAAGAGAATTAATTATATAGTTATCGAGATCGTAATACTTTTAATATCTTAGTATAAGATATAAAAATAATTAAAAATCGATTTTCCCGAACCCAAAAACCCTTTTAACCCCCCTTTTATTTTATTTTTTAATTTAATTTTAAAATATAAAAAAAAAAAAATTATTTTTATATTTTTTTTTTTTTTTTTTTTTTTTTTTTTTTTTTTTCCCCCTTAAAAATAATAAAAAAAAAAAATTTTTTTTTAAAAAAAAAAAAAAAAAAAAAAAAAAAAAAAAATAAATATATTTTTTTTTTTTTTTTTTTAATTTAAAAATTAAAAAAAAAAAAATTTTTTTTTTTTTTTTAATATTTTAAAATTTAATATTTAAAATATTAATAAAATAAAAAATAAATTTTTTAAAATAAAATTTTTTTTTTTTTTTTTTATTTATTTTTTTTTTTATTATAAAAAAAAATATTATTAAAAATAAAATAAATAATAATATTTTAAATTTTAAAAAAAAAAAAAAAAAAAAAAAATAAAAATATAAAAATAAAATTTAAAAATTTTATTTTTTTTTTTTTTCTTTTTTAAAAAAAAAAAAAAAAAAAATTATTTTTTTTTTTTTTTTTTTTTTTTTTTTTTTTTTTTTTTTTTTAGCTTTAGCTTAATTAATTAATTAATCTCCTAATTAGAACTAAGTTATATCTTTTCTCTTCTTCGTAAAACTTCTTTTTAGAAGTATATATATACTTCTTATATAGTATCCCTAATAATTAATAGTAATATACGACTTTTCTATATTCTTTAATTATTATCCTTATTATTTTCCGTATTAGAGATACTATTCTTATATTAAGAAGTTTTACTTCTATTACTTTCTTAAAGAAAGAATTTTTTTCTAAAAGAAAGAACCGCTATGAAAGCTATTTAATTCCCTTTATCTTTTTAAATAGCTTTCCTTCTCTTAAAGAAAACTTATCTTTTATTCTTAATATCTTCTTTCTTTTTCGATAGAGCTTTCTTTTTATTTCTTTTTATATCTTTCTTTATAATAAAATATAACTATTTATAATCGACGAAGTTAGAAAATCTATTTTAATAGAATTAACGATTTTACTCGCCTTTTAATTTTAAGCTTTTTTAATAAAAAATCCTAAACTCTATAAGTAGGTTCTTAACGAGAATTATCGTTAGATTATTAAATCGATTATATAGACTTATAATTTACCTACCGACGTCCTTTATAATTAAGATTTATACGTCTAACGAGATCGATCTTAGAGTATTAACTCGATCTCTCTTTCAGAGATTACTCGATTAGAAAAACCTCTTATCTACTCTCTTTTCTAAAATTATAATTCTAAATCTATAAGTACTCTAATAAAAGTAGTTATTATCTTTATATATAAAGTTCGTTATTATATAAATAGTAATTATTTTCTTATCTAATAAGCTAAAATAACTCGACTTAAGTCTAAGAATACCTCTATTTTTAAGAATCTAAGCCTCGACTTAAGAGGTTATATAAACGTCTTCTTAGAGTTATTATCTTCTTCTTTTCTTAAGATAACTCGATCTTCTCGCCTTAATAGAACTTCTCTTTTTAAGCTCGATAAAGATAAAGAAAGAAGACTTATTAGTCTTTTCTTATTATTATCTATAACTCTTACGCGAAGATCTTAATCTCTTTATCGATCTCGATTCTTATCTTTCTTCTTATCGCTTTTAAATTCTATATTAAAAGTAAACTAGGCTCTAAAAAAGTTAAGTATATTAAATTTCTAGAATCTCTATATAGTAATAAACTTAGTAAATAAAATTCTCTTTTTATCGAGCTAAGCTATATTCGATAAGATATTAGAAAATAATAATAAAGAATATCGAAATTTCTTAAGTATAGGATTTTCTAATAATAAATTTAATAG